CCATAAGGATAAACACGAGATAACCACCTGGAAAACACATTGTAGTATCTTGATCAAACGCGATTGTATCGATAAGTGTAGGTGTACTTGTGCAGTGGTTTTCTGTTAGCTTTTGGAGATTTTCGATCTCGCGGTAAGCTTCTGAGCTGATATCGTTACTTCCGTCATCCCAAGGGGAGAGCCTAGTTCAGTTAGTAGCTTCATTCGTACTTCCACAGTATGGCCCGTACTGTTGCTTGATCTTGACAATAGCTTCCTCCCAATTACCTGAACCATTGATCTGTGTTGCTTTGCAAACACATGTTAACTCTTCAATAGTTCCTCTGGATTCGTCATGTGTTCGAATCTTTTCTGTAAGGATTTCATCAATTCTCCAATATGTGTTTGTGCCGCGGAAATGGACTTTACAACCAGGCAACCAGTCCAAATGATGGCTTCGAGCGAGTACAGGATCCATTATCATGCTTCAAGACTGACAGCGAGTCTTCAAGAAGGAGGTGCAAGAGACCTTTATAGGTTTATGTTAAGACTTCTGGAATAGACTGATGAAGGGATGCATTTTCGCACTAGTCAGACTGGAAGGACATTTGGCAGATGTAGTCCACCGTATTCTCGACGGAAATGCAGCTTCCTGTGCGAGCACGTGGCATGGATTAGGTGTAGTGCTTTCAAAGGCCAATATTACATTGTTTCTCGAAACGACTATTTCTCGTAATTACTACAAGCCATAATCTGGGAAGGATTGTGTCTTGTTAGCCAAAACGTTGATTGAGATCATCAGTGAGTTCTAGCTGGCTAGGCTCAAGTGTGAGGGAAAACTTTCAGCCGCCTAAGCAGTTTGTGTGGTTCTGATGGGGTGCGGTAGTTCGTGCGAAGGTCGGCATAGGCCTGAGACAGAAGGCGGTATGGCTGTAAAATTGTACCCATGGAAGAAAAAAGATGTACGTGGTTGTTTGTTCCGGGCTTGGGTATCAGCCAGTCTCACGTGACATATGATTAGGCTGACAACAACCCTGCTGACCCCTCATTAACAAGGCTCCTTTTCCATTTAGTACAGACTTTCGAAGTTTGTGAGAGAGAGTCACATCGGCTATCAACTATAATGGCGCAAGATGACTCAAATCCGAGTGTATTCAAAGAGCTTCCAGATCAAGCAAAGGCAACTGTCGAGAGAATCAAAAAGATTATTGGTGAAGACACTACAAAGAAGGAAGGCAAGGCTAGCAGTGGTTGGGGGTTCTCTAGTGAGGAGCTCAGCCAGGAGATTCAGAGATTATCAGCCGAGCTAAGTATCAATGGATTTAAAGTAAGTCTGACTTTTGGGGACAAATCAGCGGGTTACCTACTGACAAACCTGGCGCGTGTTGTAGGCATACAACTGCAAAGTCCTCCACCTTGTGCACGGCGGAATTATCCAGAATGGAACAGGCCATCAGATCATAATAACGTTGAACGGAAAAGCGAGCTTTCTACACGACAAACCTCTCTTACCATGCCACTACACCACTCAAAAAGAAACTATCTTGGGCGACAATATCGATCTTATAATAATGTCACTGAAAAAAATCTGAGACTTGTGGGAAGATCATGTTCTGAACTTTCACTTCGGGTATAAGTCTGAAGAATAATTATGAAGGCTATCGCTTGCCCAAAGGCTGAGAAGCCCTTATTGCGATTCATTTTCCATTGAATACTGTAGATCCAGTATCGACTCACTCACAGCAGTAGCTAACTGGGGTGAAGGAAGACTAAGGCCTTGTGGGATCAAGTGCGCAGCCGGTGAATCGAAAAATTGCATCCACTCAGGAATATTGACATCAACAGAAACAGACGTTTCCATAAGCTGCACAGGGTTAGGTATCTCTGCCACTACACTAGAAAGAGCATTGGGGTCAGGGGGTGAAGTTTCGGGTTCGCATAAGAGGACTGATAGCGGGATATCATGTATCCAGTCAGGATCATTAATATCAACATCCACTAAAACTGACGTTCCTGTTTCCAGGGGCGGGAAAGACGCAGAACCCGAGGCATCGATGGCTGACAGAGAAAAGGGATATCTTGATGCAAGATCATTGGAATCAGCAGATCGTGCTATGTTCTCGATAGTCGGACAAGCCATCACGTCAAGATTTTCTGCAGATTTGTGTCGTTTATTCTCTCCCTGAGAGATTCCTTCCGGTATCCGACATCTCTTGCGACTGCGCTCTCTGCTTTTTCCGTCGGTTTCTGAGATTATCTGTCCAACTTCGACAGATGAACGATTAAGCGACGTATTAATTCCCGTAAAGGATACATCAGCTTCTGAAAGATGCTCGGAAGACCCGGCAACAATCACATGGTCGACAGACAAGATAGCTATATCTTCATCAGCCTCAACATGGTTATTGAGATGATCAGCAACCTCGACTGGTTGAGAAGGATCCCTTCTGATGATCTCGGCTTTGTAGTCTTTCCGGCGGTCAATAATCCATTGATGTGTGTTTTGAGCCAACAGTCTCCAATAATCAGTCATAACAAGCTCGTGCGCAAGTGCTGGAATATCTTTCAGACGGCAGCGGTCCATGAGACTCCAAGCAAAGAATGTTGGCCAGACAAACGCGAGAGAGGTGCATTTGCGAATTACCCCATCAAGCTCGAGTTGCTGATTATCAAGACATTCCCGAACCCGCCATTCGAGATACTTCAGCTTCATTCCGAATCGAATACAACTTCGCGCTTGATTTTGATTGCTGAAACGCTTGCAAGATCGTATGTACTCTAAGTACTCAGGTCCTTGCCTTCTTGCGCCTTCGACTATGCTGCGTAACTTTGAGGGAAGATCTTCCTTATCTGCCCAGTGCTCGAAATCGTCTGCAAGAGAAAGTGCACCGAGCCCAGCTCGAAAGAAGTCATCTTGGGTCCGCTTCCCATTCACTGTCATAATGTCAATCACACGAGGATCTTCTATTGATAAAACAGTTGGCAAGGGGACTTTTTTAGTCGTTTTCGCGAATTCCATGGTGCTTTCATAATTGAGGTATGACAAGACCCTTGTTACCGTATCAGGTACTTTCTTGACTGGTGAAGTAGGTGCAGCTTGTTCTGATAATCTTTGCGAGAAGACAGAAGAATGAAGGAGTGAGTGTAAGATCTGAAAAGCTGATTCAATCTCGTCCTTGTGGTTGATCAATGTATTCTTATCAAGTTTGTGTATGTTTTTAATCGCGGACAAGGCTCCCAGAATCTCCTGAAGGGACTCCATTGTAGACGATGTGAGCTGGATGTGAGCTGCAAGATAGAGAGGAGGAGACTTGAGTTGAAAACCCATAAAATGTGTTTAAGGGGTCTGAAGACAGACACTTAGCTTCTTGCTCTTACACACCTAGCTAATTGTATACAATTAGCTAGACAGGGATCTTGCCGCCGGTGGCGCTGGCTGTGCTTGTTTTGGGCTGTATACGACATATGAACAGTTTAAAAAAGACTAGGTCTTCAGCGTTGCAGGGATTACAAACAAGATTCTAGCCTCCGAGAATTCTACCTAGGCGCCGGTGACGCTGGCTGAATTATTGAAAGGCCGAGAACTATTCTCACACCATGGCCTGTGATCAACCCGTATTGCCTAGCTTACAACTCACATCAGACCAACCCCTACGGTATGTCCCTTGCGGTATTGAAGCAGTATATAGGTTAATCTTTCGAGGTATAGACATTCACAGAAAGCCAACAAAAATTATGCTCAGATATATTATACGTCATCTTAAAAGACTCTTTACCAGTCACAAAAATGATCGTTTTTCTCTGATATGTTCCTCTGCCATGCATGAAGTTATGGAAGTTCACAGTTTTACAGCCACGTCAGATGAACCTTACGCGTATGGTCCAGATGCGCTAAGTCAGCTATTGTACATCGAAAAGTACCAAGGAATTGGCTGGGGGCTCGAGGATGAACCTTACTTGAAATTTATTGGTCACTACGGTCAGCCGCCTGAACGCAAGTTCACTCATTGGTCACGTACGTTCTTTAACACCTGGGCTCTGCCGCGGAGCATGTTGGAACAAATGGTGCCTGAAGATGAACAAATGTATATGGAATCACATTATGGCTTCAATTGGTCTCGGGTATCAGTCGAGGCGAGGCTCATTTCGGTGCCTACGTGCAGGGCACATTGGACCATGACTCTTGCTGGAGATGGACAAAGTATCAATATATCCTTCGAAGAACAGGAATTTCGATATTATGACAATTCTGTTTATCAGAACACTGATACTATGGCTGTCTACGAGACCAAAGACTGCTCAGTGAAGGGACTATCAGCGAACGTGTGGATTCCGGAGCATCTGAAGCAGCACAATACTTGTCCTTGTGTGGATTGGCTGTGAGTCTAATCCTATATCATAAGACGTTGACTTACTGATTGAGTGTTAGTTTTCTCAATCTTTGGAATTTTGACCGCTTGGGCTTTCTTAATCTTGATAATGGAAGTGGCAACCATCTTCTCACCTTCTTACAGGAGAAACAGAATGAGGTTGTCAGCTCTGCTGAAAGCTATTTTCAATCTTGATATAAGCTCTATTATATATAAGTCTGTCTGCTTCTGCTCTTACTCAATGTAATTAGTTTCTGATATTGCGTTTCTATTATGGCTGAACCCTCAGGATTACCAAAGAGTCAATTCAATAGCCTTGAACTCATGAGGTTTAATAAACAACTCCAATCAATTACTATAGAAAAGAAATTGGATAAGACCCAGAATCATCTTCGTTGGTTTTTATATTTTCACTTAGAGGATTGTACCTTATCTGCCTGTTTGGAATCTTCGACAAACCGCTTGTGTCTCAACTGGAAGCTAGAGGATTCATACATCTTAGAGAATCAATCTGTAGCATTTTATGCTACAGGATATTGTCCCCCTTTCGCTGCAGTCAGCGCTGCTATGTTTACACAAAAACATATCGAGGAGCCAGAGTCAGATGATATTATCTCTTGGATGTGAGTATATATCAAACAGATACATGTACGGTATCAGTTAACATTACCAGCTCCCAAGTGATCAGCTTTTTGCTAGCACGAGGATGGGTTTTTGGTGACTTGAATCAATATGACCAACTTCTCAACATGACCAGCTTCTCAACATGACCAACTTCTCAACATGACCGAGGTTTCTTGGAAAGGGATTCTTGAGAGTAAATGGAGGCAGACCGGGCTCTCTTATTCATACGGGTGTACTGATTGTTTAATCCTGGTATTGCCTGGAGTTCTTCTTCCGAAATCCATGCAAGTCTGTAAACCAGAAATTCCTTCATACCATTTACTCCTTCTCTTGAGTGGAATACAGTATGAATGATAGTACCTGTCGAGTGGCGACTAAGATCATAAGACATAGCTCCATAAGGTTCGACAACCTCAAATGGCTCGATATAGGTTTTGTCGGTAGCCCGAGTGTTGCCGCTATGAGGTTCTTCATCAACATGCGCATCATTCTGGTACGAAGGAGATAGCCCAGGGCCATAGCGCGGTGAGGTCATAGGAATCGTATCGGTACTGGCCGTGTCATTGAACATGGACTCAGGGGTGGAATGATTGTTCGATACTAAATACCATCGAAAATGTTAAATTAAGTCTGCCTTGGTCTATTATAGGTAAGTCACCTTTCAGGGAGTCCTCTGTAGGAGAAGCCATTTTGTAAATTATAACAATTTCAAGTGGAGAATTGAGGTAACAAGAGCCTTGAATCGCGGCTCTATTTATACAATTCTTAAAAAAAATTTAATCTGTGATTTCAAGCACAGATGCTACAATATGGCTTACTGCTGTCTTGTTGTAAGGTCTGCTGAGTTTGGAACGATATACAAATTCTTTGATTTCCTGTCCAGATACTCACCTTTCGCAAGCGCAGATCTTTGGTCGATAGAATCTTCAAGAGCCTAAAGCCTACTCGCAGGCCTCAGCTTCTTCAAATACATATAGTGTCAAAATATTCTAAATGTTAGAATCTTCACCAATCGGAAATAAAGACATCTACTGACCTGGAATAGATTCAGTCACGATGAGCGACTCACCAGAAAATGCTTTGTATAATTTGAGAAGATCTCAATGCGAACTTATTCGAATTCACCATCAAAGCTTGCGTGGATCCTCCACAATGGCTAGAATAGATCAACACAACAAAGAGCCATCTCCTGTGCCTCTTCCTTCATTCGAGTCTATGATTTCAACAACAATGTTGCTTCGTGCCAAGCTGGATTATCTATCAAAAATCACTCGTTCACTTATCAGCCGCGAGCAAATCAGACGTGGTGCAATGATTTCGATTGATGGATATTGCCCTAAGGCTGTGGAGTTTATCACATCCTATCTTGATAATATTTTGGGCAATAACTATATGTCCAATACCTTCAGAGGCCCGGCGACCCCGGTCATCTGTTCTCATTGCACTCACCAGTTGCAGCGTCTGGGAGATCAGGCTAACGTGTCTTGGAAGCTGACAATAGCCAACGTTGAGAAACATCTTCAGAAGCAAAAAAAGCACCGCTGCAAACCTGTGGCTCTTGTTCCGCAGTATCAGCTTACATTAATTGATCTACTCTGCCTAAACTTCCCCCATACTCAACTGAATATTACACCTGAAGACAAGTGGACGCAGCAGGCAGACGTTTGGAAAGGCTATGCTAGACCAGATATTATCGTTTACATTGATGATCTGAAGAACGAAGACTATTTCGAGTTGGTCCAAGCTGGGACACAAAATTTGATCATTTGTGGCACTGAGCGATCATCGGGCTTTCCAATATGGCATACCAGGTGTCGTATGGTGAAGGTGCTCAAAACCATACTAAACGAAACCAGATTTTGATTGGTGGATATGGTCTTGGGATTCTGTTTATCAAAACCTTGGAAACCCTAGCTTTCAATTCGTATGGCTCAAAGAATGACTTTGATAGGGCTACATTCATGACCTTCATCCTTGCTTCGGAGAGATATAATCAAGCTAAATGTTACATTGTGTATGCGAGTGTCAGAAGGACTAGAAAGGCGAAAATAATCTCAGAGTATTTGATCGGGTCAGAAGCATGGCAGAGACAATTCAGATGTCCTCGGCTTACAGAAATCTTGTAGAAAGTTAACGCAATTTGATAGGGCAGGCATAGCAAGCACTCAACAGTTGTAAGTACTATAGCGGTGACACTGAGCAATAAGATAAGCCGTATTATCCACGTAGCGTTCTTCCTCAAGCATGTTGCCAAGGCGGAAAGGCAGCAAGGTGCTGATTTGTATTTCCACGCAGCAGATAGCTAAGGGGCAAAGAGTGCTATACCTAAGCAGGAACGCTATACCACTTCAAGTAATTCGCCGTCACCGCAGACTACGTCCGAAAATCAGATTTGTACAGCCGTGGTCAAACCTGAAAGATCTCTTTACCATTATTTTTCGGTTATATGAATCAAGTTGATAGCAATCATCGACTTTTGCGTTACTAACATGTAGACAGAAATTGGCGTCGATTCTCGGTAGTTACGAGATATCGTCCATGGGTAGCAGCATGTGTTACTGTTGCACTGGCAGGATATATTCGAGCCGACTGAAAGATTCGGAGTGGCAGGACACCAACACACAAGCCGACGATGGTGTAATCTACTTACTACCGATTAATCTGGTTTTATGGAAAAACCCTTAAAAGCTATAGTATGCAGATACATTGTTTGGACTCTTCTTATTAAGGAGATTTTATGATTCTGTAATTTTTTCTTTAGTATCTGCAAAAAGCTATCTTGCTGGGCATATAATTTTTTTGGTATTCTATTTAAGATATAATTAATTCCTGTATTCTTTTTTGCTTAACATCGCTGAACTAGTAAACGTGACCTTATCCATATAAATCTCCTGAGTGTATAGTTACAGTGAGGACGATACGGAACTGAAGCCCGTGTGCGAGGCGGCATAACAGTAACAGCAAATTTACCCAACGGGAAGTCGGAATCAAAGTGATTCCCTTCCGGACTCGCCACTCCCAGCCCTCTTATATTCTCTTTTCCCCTTTCCCTATCTTCGTAAATAGTATCCTTTCTTATTTCACGCTGGCAGGCAACCACCTATCCAGCTCTACCATCCCTCTCGCTGTTACATTATCCCCACGTAGAGAAAGTATTAGCTACTTGCCGTACTCGCTGCCAGGCCTGCCATTCCTGTGTTCTCATAGGACTCTCTGATTTCACTTGTTGATTTTGGATTGGGCAGGTACTCGTGACCAGGCCGCATCGGCTTCTACAACTCTACTCTTTCTTCGCCATCTCTATCTTTTGTTAACATTATTCGAGTCAGGGCTGCTTTTATTGTCTCAAAGCCCGGGTGGGAGGGTAACTCGATTCGTCGAGGGTTTTTCTTTAATCTCAATTTTCTTGCAACAGCATCATGACTGAATTATCGACAAAAACGCCGTGGGCAACAGGCGTGAAGAAAGTTCTTGTTTCTACTTCTACTCTGGAAAATCCCTCTGTGGCTAGTATCCGTCTTGCCTACCATCAAAATACTCATCAAGGATGCATTTCCCTCGGTATCGACGCAAACTCGGGTAATTCGAGCGGGCAAAATACACTTTTGTTCAGAATCTCTCCCGAGTCAGTCAAAACGTGTAGGTTAACTTTGGTAAGCGACGAAACACTATGTCCGGAATATTTTATTACAAGACTCCAGACAAGGGCAAAGAATGTTCGGGACATCTCATTACTTATTTTAGAACTTGATCGGGCGCTTGCGGAGGAGACTGTTCTTTGTCCGTCTAATCTGCCGTCTCCACTCCCTGCAGCGCATAGGGACTTGAATTTCGCCGCTTTTGCCACGGTTTGTGAATCCAAGACTCTACGAATCTATTTTGGTCGGCAACAATTTAGAGATCACGAACTCGGTACACTATGGACCTTTGTCCATGGTCTAAGAACAAAAAACCTTAAAGCGGTGTCTTTCGATGAGGCCCGCCAGGGCCGGGTTGAAAGACGCTGGAAGGATTTGAGTGTATGGCTTGACAAACCGCCTGATTATGAGGAGTCTGCGTCCGAACGGGTGCAGCAAGTGAATCCACCTCCATATCATGATAAATATAAGTTAGCCCGTGCGGGTGAGAAACGGCCCCCAGGTACCTTCAATTCCATCATTCTTCTATACTTCATCTTCTACCATAGTTTGTTAATTCTTTATAGACCACTCTTCTTTACCACCCAAGGATGTCGGACGAAAACGACCGCTCTTGATATCCCCAGAATCGCCATGCTGTCCTACTGAAGTCAATACACCGAGTCCTCCCACTTCACCGGCCTCCAGAGCAACTGACTTTACGCGTCACTCCTCTCCAAGAAGCACAGAGTGTGACACACTTGCGCGTTTTGAGCATATGCTCTATGGTGCTTCCGATGATTTGATCCGCAAATTATTGATTCGCTTAGTATGTCGATGTCTACCGGCCATATCTGATGATTCCGTCGGCCTGGAACTTGAAAACAAGGAGGGTCATTTACTGGAGAAAGCCATTTTGACCAAGATCGAAGTGATCCAACGTCACCTCGAACGCGTAATCGATGCGAAGATCGAATCCATCCTTGAAACACATATCCTGAAGGAAATCGTTCAGGGGACCGTCGACAGTGCTTTGAGCGAGTGTTGTGACAAGGTCTTGGATGAATGCGAAATGCATAAAAATGAATTTAGCGAGCATGTTGACGATAGTAAGACCGACGTACGCATCACAGCCGATGATTGTATGAAGGAGATGGAAGAACAAGCCCAAAAGCACATGGATGAAATAGAAGAGAAAGCGCAACAGTATATGCATAGGATTGAGGATCAGGCAGCAGAGGCTGAGATGTCTGCGCAGAAAACGGGACGTAATTTACAGCGATGGTTGGAAACGTCTGCCCAGTCTCTACCTGCGAGCAAATCAAGGCCTAGCCAGGGGGTGCTGAGCACCAAGGGCAGACGCAGCTCCTTCTAGTGGATTGGTAATAGACACGCAGCTCCTAACATTGTTGTCATGGACTTCAATGGTTTATAGGCTCGTAAAACAATCAGTGAATGAACCAGCATTGAAAGATTCGACGGGCGACTTCAGTTGAAGGGGACTGTCAAAAGCCCGACAGTAGATCTGTAGCCGAACAGCCAGTGTGACACTGGATGACTTTTGAAACAGCGAACACTTCTCTGCAAAATGCAGGACAAGCCCAAAGGTCTCTACTATTGCCAATCCTGTTTGTTAACCAACCCGTCGATAGAAACGGTGGTGCATCGGCGTTCATCGATGACAACTTTCGCTAGCGAACCAGTTTGAGCTCTGCATATAAAGCTGTCTTGTCCTGCTTTTTCAGATTTTGTGACTAAATTATGTGGAATATAATTGCTCCTATGGCTGCATCTACAGGTATGCAAAAAAAGTCAATGCAATAGCATTAAACTTATAAGATTCAACAAGCAACTACTATCAATCACTGTTAGTCAGAAACAGGAGAATGAACAAATTGTTTATCTTGGCTTTAATTCATTTACTTGGAGGAATGTACCTTATCTGCCTATCCAGAAAGTACACTATAAGGCTCGTCTACCCATTTGCATGGTTTGTGTGATTTGATGCATCAAAACATTTTAGCATGAACTCAACTTCAGAATAGCTCTGGTGATAATGTTTGTTCGCTTATATCAATGACAGTTCCTATTAAAGATGGCATCGTTTGAGAGGACATGCAGATAGACCGCACTTGTCTACGGGCATGCTCCACAGCTTGGCACCCTGCTATGCCGTTTGGGGAGAATCTCGTTGGCACCAACGAGATTCTCCCCAAACGGATGTCTTTAGGGCCCTTTAATAGATTTCTTGAATGGACAGGCGAACGTTGATGCTTCTAAACTATATACTCAAGTGACATTCCAAAAACCAGGAGGAGTATTCAAAGGCTGGTATCTGCATAGAATTCGATGTACCTCCTCCGGTCCCTGCTGTTCAAGCACCAGCTCTCTCCACTGTGCATTTTCAAGAAACTCCTCGAATCGCAGCTGTCGATATCCTTCTTCCGTGTTGAAAAGTATACGCTCCTCCTTCAGAGTAGAAGAGTGAAGTATCCCCCGATACGTGGGCGTTGATGCAGTGTTTTTAATGAGGTTTCTATATCATATGGGTATATAGAATTAAAACAAGGCTCGCAGAGATACTGACATAGATACTGAAGATTGCGCCTCTGAATCCTCGACGACATCGACTGTTCTCCATACACTATTGCGGATGGAGAGAATAAAATGGGAAATCATGGTTGGGATTTTCAATTCAGGCGAGATATCATGAATACGCGCTGACTAGATGAAGATTATACAGCAGACTGTAGAACTGTGGTTTTTTTCGAACACTCCTTATACTGATGTTATATGACGACAAGACAATGGAGACTTCTTATAAATGTTTATGTACATCTCAAGTATTTGGCCTATTTGCATGCTTTGACAAAATCGTAACGTTTCTTCAAAGATTCATATCTCACAGTCTTCCATCCCAAGTAGATGCCATCAAAACTTGTGATCACCTCAATCACTCGACCAGCACTACCGTCATCCACCTGATAGGAATTTCCAATCTGAACAATTTCCTCCCCCTGTCCGATTTCTTCTATTATAACATGGGGCAGGCTCGCATCTGCAAACTAGCAATAATCCTGTAAGTTACTTGACAGAAACCGGAAAAGTACGCATACCGGTCTTGAGTCACTGTAATGAGTTGTCTGACGAGAAGCTTCTGTCAAGCAATGAACCTTAGCTAAGAGGCCACAGATGCATTTAAATTTATGACGTACCATGCTCATACAACATTGTAATATGAGAGTCATGTTCCCTTTCAAGGAGCCACGGATTCTGAATCAGCTCTGGGTCCATACTGTTGTTCAGGTCACTGATGGCCAATCGACCAGAAAGTGAAATAAGTACTATATAGACGGATTCGAGTTCTTGAGAAGTAAATCTAAGATCTATGCACAAAATGGAAATTGGTTATGTTGCATCTCAAAAGATGAGAACCAATAGAGGAAAGAGAAGCTACAGGATACGTCCCTGGCATCACAAAGCCGCTTGATAGACAATGTGAACCTCTATCTCTGAATCTGAGGGGCACTAACTCGTATAGGGTAAATTTGAAGACGTCGGCCATGTCCGAAATCTCGAAGTATGATTACAACTTCCTGTCAAGATGTGGCTCAGACTGCCCCTCGCCACCCCTATCGGATATGAAAATACAGGATGAGCCCACCAGAGTTGCGGTAAGCCATATTTCATTGGGCTTGGTAGATTTATTGGCTATCTTCGCAATGGACAGGGCAACCTTGTTGCTTTCCATACTAGTCCGTCGATTTCGGCCTGCGATACGCTGTGTCGAAAAAGCAGTAAATATGAACTCCCAAACCTATCAGGGCTATAGTGAGCCCTTTTAGATAAGTTTGAGATATCAGACCCTATAGCGCTTGGACCGGTTGCGTGGAAGCTCCGCCGGGGTAGTTTACAACCCCTGATTTAATGAAAACCTTGGTTAGTATTGCAGCAAAGAGAAACACCCTAGACGAGTTCCAAGGCTTGAACCTTGTCTACCGAACAAGCCCAGTAGGACATTTAAAACCTGTCTGAAAGGGCTTTAAACTGTGAAGCCCTTGTTCGAATATTAATGAAACCTGGGGAGTAGGGTTCCTCGCTGAAGGTCGTCGGGCCGACACAATTTCGCTAGTTGAATTGCTGCAGAGTTAGTACTCTCGTCGGATTGTGCATTATCCCATATGAGCGTTGGTGTTTCTTGCTTATCTCGTGACCAATGATGAAGAAAAGAGTACAGTGACACACAATTGAATTTAAGCTCTACAGCAGGAGTTTTGGTTGAGTATTTCTCGGGACCATAAAGCTGGACTAGTGCTGGACTGGTCCACGCTAGCAAGGTAGTTGCAGCTACGGCTCCTTACAACCAATTTTATTCGCTACATCGATAATGTCTCAGCTTGTGATATTATAGCACGATGATGGCTTGATATCTTGCATATTGTGATAGTCCAAGCTGTATTTGTGTTGGTAAAAATGTATCACATAAGAGCTATATAAGCAAGTCGACAACCGATCAAGAGCTCAGAACAGGACAATTCGATCATTGCGAACAATTTGACATAAAGTTTATATCTTTGCTTGAATCCCTAGTTGTTACTATGTCTTTATTCATCGGTAACGTCTTCAACAAGGCTCTCCAAAAGGCGATTCCAGTCTATATAGCCGAATCCGGGGAGGGCTACAAACGTCTTACAGGGGTCATTGCTGAAAGTGTCAAAAACGCTGCCCTTGCAAAGATCAAAGCCCCTTTCGAAGAAGGAAGATTGTTCAAATTTGAAGACATGAAGGAAATGCACCAATTGACAATAACGTCAGTTATTCTTCGAGAGACTCCACATATTCTATGCTAACTATACTCAGTAACATGTGTCACCCGAGTGATTCCGATCCACAGGATCACTACTCTATTCAGGGTGAGGGCACAACTGGTGAGAAGGTCAAAGGTGGACACGTCCCTGACGATGCATCCAAGCAAACTGTATGGTAACCCTCTGGGAATACAAAAACTTAACTAAACAATTCAATAGCAAACCAAGTAGGTTTTGAGCCACCGAAGCCAACCCTGTTGCCTCATTCTCTGTCTGTCAGGAATGAATCGGAATTCACAAGGCTAAATCGCCTCTATACGAAGAAAAAAAAAGGATCTGTCCCACTTCTTTCATTCTTTGATCCATATGAATCTATGAATACGAATTAAAAATTTTTCGTACAAATTTCCCCACTTGAATGGAAAATTCATGTCGTTTCTGGGATACTGTGCGAACAGCAATACGCACTTCGAGTATAGCAAAGAACTTATAATAATTTTAGTTATATGCAACACTGAAAATACAATAATGTTTCATAAGCTGCTCCTTGATCAAGGCTACAAACTATCTCAACTCTAAGCATGCATCTTTTTATTATTTTGTAAGATATTTCTGCTGTGCTAAAAGTTATTTTGAGAGACCTGTAATCACTGGTGCTTGAACTCTTCCACACTATCCAGATAGCGACGTAACTTTCAAGCACTGCAAAAAATTCTGTAAGATGTATAACATCATCTACTGCTATAACAATGTCAATCTCTACTGGGACATATTATAATCTTATGTTTGATGGTAACATATTCCTTCCAGTATATCCGAGACTTTATCAATACCTACTAATTTGAAGGAGTCCTTTGGCGCCACGGAGAATCTCTCAATAACAAGCCAAGTAGCTCGACGTGCAGGATTGTGACATAGGCAACAACCCTGCTGAATCGAACATGTTGATTTGTAGACATGGTGATGATCCAGCATTACAGCGTTATCCAGCTGTTCAATGGATGCTATTTTTCTCAGTTGCCTTGAATTATCTAGTATGCCTATTACAAACTAGTGGTTGCCTTCAAACACAGAAGCTATTTCTGGCTGGACGAGCTGATGCTCAAAACTGGTCTCGAAGAGCGATGAGCCATTCAAGGGCTGCCATTGGTCTATGATGAATTAGAAATGTTAATCCGTACAGCTTTACTATATTGCTGTTCTATATGCCTTGCACAAGCTCTGACATTTATTAGGGTATATACAGCTAAACCTTAGCCGAAAGACACCTGAACAAACTTGCTGGCGATTAAGACTATTTTGATAATACTAGGTGCCCGTCTCAACCTGCCTGGAAGATGATGTTGCGCTGGGATTGAGGATAGGAATCATGTGAGTCTGACCCTCTCATAAATCATTTCTAGGCCTGTCCCCGACAAGCCTGTATCATACGGTTAGATTGATGTAATAGGATAGCTAGGATCTAAAACATAGAAGGCGAAGGTTTGGAGCATTTCGAATAATAATCTGGCTTCTGATACTTGAATCCAAATCTGCGGCCTAATAAGTGCAATCGTATTGGGGTTCTTAAGCTACTTCAAACATTCAGAAGTAATGTGGTTTGGGCGTCAATAAACTAGGCGGAGCGTTCTGTCATAACCCCTTCCGAGGGTTTTTCCGACACCGTTCTGACCCAAGCTGAGCGACAAAGGGGCTGAGCCTGCTCAAAGAACACACACTGTCTAATCATAAGCTCCCTCCTACCCACTGTTCATCCCTCTATTTAACCAACTTACATTCATAGATTCAGCTTATTTCTTATCACTCTTCTATGTATTCAATTATTCGTTTACGTACGTCATCTAAGAACCACTTGTCAAGAAACATGTCTTCTCTCGCCCCTGGACATATTCTTCGAGGTACTCATTGGAGTTATCAAATTTCGCAACCTCTAAGAGGCGATAGAACACAGACATCGTCCATCTTCAAAGCCGAAGTCATTCAAGCCTGTAATGACAACAGTTCTACGACACCTAGATGGTTGATTCTATTGTATCTACTATAATTACCTATTAGGCTAACTCTTGTGCAGGGCTTCTATCAAAGTTGCTTCGCCTAGTGATCCAATCTCTGTGCAAAACTTAGCCCGTGAATATCAGGTCTACTGTCTTCCCGCTATTGCATCTGCCAAGTGTTTTAGGACGTTTTACGACTTGATCGACAACAAAACTATTGCTTTAGAATGGCTGGACACTACTCTTGCAGAAGTGGAATACCAACCTACGACATATATTTATTCACTCATCTCAGAGGTTTTGAGAGCACTGCTACAGAGCTGTGTCATTTTAGAAGCTCTTGGCTTCGTCAATACAGGTAAGGCTCGCGATTTCTGTATTTACTGTCGTTAAACCAAATAGACTACAAACCCGCCAATGTCCTGCTTTCCAGGACGAAGACGAATGATCCTACCGCCAAAGTAGGAGACTTAGGACTTGGTAAGTAAGATTTTGACGCAAGTCATCATATTATTGACAGCCTAGCAGTGTTCCCAGCGGGCAGCAGGTTTAATTGCCAGCCGTATGCTATGCGCGCTCCTGAAATCTTCCTAGGTCAAGCTTGCACGGGACCCTCGCAGGTCTGGGCTATTGCCGCGATGCTACTTTCCTGGATCAGACCTGGTATCTTGGGCGCGTGGGATAGCCCTTCTAAATTCATAGACGACGCTTGGTCTATGGCGAAGATTAAGCGGCTCTTTCCGCACTGGATTATTCCAACTCCAGACGAAGTCGACGATTGTGTGCTTAAAGCGGTCGTTGAGGGTGCTATATCTTGCAGCAGAGACGTGCCAGATCTACAAGCTATCTTGCCCTTTGAGGAAGAAACAGAGAAGGTGGAGATGCCGCAACAATTAAGGGATCTCCTCCGTCTTATGTTAGTTGTTAGTCCTTTTGAGAGACCTTCTGCAGCGTTTGTACTCTCTTCAAAGGAGTTTGGTTCATTTGAAAAGATTACAAAAGAGGGCAGTATTGTATCTTGATCTCAAGAATGGTTGAGCGAGCGTAAGCTTTTGTGGTTCGTGCTGAAGTAATCGATTTCATTACCTTTTCTAGCACTTATTCCGCCTGAAAATATCAACGCCCTAATGGTGTTAGGAGTTAGTCAAGCTGTGTTGTAGTTGTTAGAGATTACACAGAGACCAGTAATATCATCAAGGTTTATAATATACCTTGCTAAGAGTGGTTTATTCAATGCTCAGTTAGCACTAGCCTGGTATAGAAAGTGCGAGATTTTTTTTTGGATAAGAGCCGACTATTTTACTGCATGGCCTAGGCTTTCGGAGAAGGCAGTGCAAGGATGTGGCTTTTTTGAACCGACCGTCACAGACACCAATTTGTCCTTCCGGTTCTAGGTCGGAGGATATATCTTCCGATTTGCCAAATGCCGGGACCCAAAAGAATTTAACTGAGGGGCAGCGGGTATTTCACTCCACTCCACTCCACTTGTCTACAAGCTTCCCTGTGGAAAGTCTGACTCAAAACAAATTGATTAGATACTCACATATGGATATATCTATGGTCAAACGCGTATCAAGATGGGCGCTGGATGCCTGCGCAAAAGCAGAAGCCCAGGGCAAATCAAAATTAGAGCCAGAACTGTTTGAAAACGATGAAGTAAGTACTTCTTTCCACCCAGGAAGCATTACGCTAAGACATATAGATCAAGCATGACGCTCTTATTCTTTTCGATAAGCTTAGACGGCCTCAAAATCGAGTTGATCGCACTGCGGATGATATTGCAAAGATTGTGCTTGATCCATCATTAAAACCTTGCATAAATCGCTGGGATAAAAATCCGCAAGCTTTCGGTGGGATTATTAAGCAGGGAGAACCAAATTCGACTGAAGAAGATCTTTTCCTAGCGAAGTGCTTTCATTTAGCATATGAAGCTGAGAGAGAGAATCTCATAAACAGTTTACGTCTACGATTCTGCTATATGTTTTTCTACAGATTCAGCCAATTCTGCTCTACACTGATAGGGGTCAACCATGATACTTTTGATGTTGTCTTTAGGAGCATCAAACAAGCCGGGCTATATCAGCTGGACGAAACCGACATACGCAGAAAGTTGTCAAGCTGGATTAGATATGGGGAAAGATTTGAGCTTCTTGTGCAAGATCTGGGCAGTCCCGGCATTCTGTTTCTGCTTCCATTTGACCACGGGGAAATTTTGTAAGTATTATGGGAGATACTTGACCATCATCTAACATTCAGATAGTTGGAGAGAGAAGGTTCCAAAATCAGGGCACAGACGTGACAATTTGATTAAATCTCTTCGTCAAAGACTTCAATGTGACGCTGGAGATGAGGAAGGGATTGTCAATCAGAGCGATGCTCACAGAGTTGCTACAACGATTCTGGATTTCTATGTTCAAGGTATGATAAAAGGCTTTCAAACAACTTACATGCCGTCCTTGGCTACAGATTCCGGAGAAATATCTACCTCTCGATCTTGTAATGATGCATTTGGAAATCCTCGGTATCTGCCTCAATCACAGAGGTCTCGGCGTCTGCATCAGTCAAGAAAATGCAAGGGCGGTGGTTTGAATCCTCGTTATCGCAAGACGAAACAGAGCAAGAACCTTGCAAATTCTCAAACATTTACACCCGCACGCGACACTGGTAAGCTGCCTCGTGACCATTGTGATAATTTAGGCGTTTTTGCATTGCTAACCGCAACATAGCGCGGTCGGTCGCACCATTTCCGGCAGGGATGTCTGATAGAGATGACACTCATTCCACACAATCAGCACAAGAGACGCGAAGATATGCTTCCACGGGCGAGAGGCTCGATGTGAGTTTCACGCGAGCGTCGATTCCAGAGAATGAAAGTATTTCTGAGTCTACGCCCCGAAGTTGTAGTCACAGAACAGCCTCACCAAACATAGTCCAAGGATCTGAAGTCTGTGAGATTGATATGAATTCACACAGTAATCCACAACCCCTTCAAACAACAGGGATGGTGACATATGACACAACGGTAGCAGACAACATACAAGCAGATCTTCTTCTCCTCCCCACAGGCTTACCATTACTCAATGCCATGAGTAATGACGGCATATATCAATATGTTTTTGACCCTGCCCAGCATTTCAGGACCCTGGACGAGACACAAGACTGCATGTATCCAGGGTTCAATCCCGCAGAATACATATCACAACCACTCCAAAATTCCCTGGATCTGGGTGGTATTTCCTCATCTTATACAGTGGACACCTCACCTTATACAGTGGACACAAATGCACTGCATGAAACATCACAAGGACTTTTTTTTGACCCAGCCGAGCATGTACAACCAATATTCATGCCATATCAAAGTGTCGGTTCACCTACACCTCCTTCAGCTCAGACGCTGGATTCATAGAGTAACTGGGTGGAGTTGATGCAATAAATTGATGGCTGAAGAGAGCGCGAATCTCATATTCATGAGTCTTGCAGCTTTAATCAACCCCTCGATCTGCTTGCCGGGACGATGAATGAGTGAATGACCCGAGGTACAACCTAACCGCCAACAATGTGACATATGCCAACAGTCAGCTATATAAATGTGCAAATTTCAAGCAGACACGTACCTTTGCAACCCATGATAGCTAAATGTCTGATCAAAACTGGCTTGCCACTTCATGTTAATCTACAATGGATTCCCCACAAAAAGGCAAGTGAGACCAGGTACAAGATCTACTACACCATCATGATACACGTAAGACCCAGTCCCCAGCTTTACCACTTCATTTTGACTTGTGGTAAATTCATTATTAAGATTGTCTCGAGGAATAAGTTTTGGTTCGTTTCCAGGCACTATGAGGATGGGTATGATATATTCCGGACCGGTGGTGTTCTTGATAGAGATCCGTGTCACAATCTTCCATGCTGTATAGCCTAAATGCTGGGATTTCTATCAGCAAAGATCACGTTTAAATAGAATGAACACTCACCGCCAATTTCAGGCTCCTTAGAAGGGGTGCGACATTGTTGTCAAGACTTCGATTTGAGTATTGTATATTTCCGTTTGTCTCAGACTTTTCGATTGATGCACTCTCTAGAGCTTTCTGTAAGAGACTTAGGGAGCTTTTAGCATGCTGCGATTCTATCTCTATTGTTTGTATAGTTGTAGGTGCCATTATGGATCTGACAGCGAACAAGATATAGCTATTACATCTGGGTATTAGGTTCTGTTTTTCATTCTCAATGTGAGGAATTTGATCGTGAGTATTCATACCTTGGGTTTAGGATATTCAAAAGGCAAGCTAGTTAATCATCGTTGGAGGTATCGATCAAGACACAGATTTAAAGTGTTTAAAAAGGGAAATTGAGGGGTTCCGAGTAACCATGAGGTGTCGGTGCCCAACGGCAAACATTTTGTTTCCGGAATAAGGATTTTCCATCGGTCTCTTAGTAAGTGGCAATAACCAACTTCATTTGCGGGCAACCGGAGCACCCTGCCGTGCGTAACACTCCCTTCCAAATCGTGCATCATACGCACTTTACAGTACAAGTGCCTAATACCATCAATTGCTTCGCGATAAGCCGATTTGAACGGGAATCCGCCGGACCAGGCCGGTCGCATCATATAATCGTTGAGTTCTTGCTCTGACTTGAATGGGCCTGCAATGTGATTGGGTACCGGAACACTTCTAATAGGTGTTCCCACTGTGGAGCAGATTGTGCTCTTGCCCCACGGATTCTTACATAGGCTACGCTCCAGTGACAAACCAAGTCCAGACTCAATCAGAGCATCTGAGATTATTTCAACCAAGTGTGATACAGTACCTAGTTGCATCTTTCCTCCATCTTTCCTCCATCTTTCCTCCATCTTTCCTCCATCTTTCCTCCATCTTTCCTCCATCTTTCCTCCATCTTTCCTCCATCTTTCCTCCATCTTCCTTCCATCTCTCCGCCATTTTTCCGGTATCATCCCGCCATTTCCTCCAGATATCTACTGATTCTCATATTGATTTTATTTACTCTGTAATGGCTGCGTCATCACGCAATCAACGGCGTTCACGCTTTCCAATTACCTGTAAGGAAGCTTGGTGTAAAATTGAAAAGGTTAGGCGTACAGTACTATCTTCAAAAACCAATCTCTAAGAAATAGCAAAGATACGCGGATAATCACGCTAGCTTTCGACTCTTTATCTCAGGATCCAATCTCATCCAAGGATCAGAAGTTCCATAATTTCTTATCAGCTATACGATTGAGATGCGAATCCTATAGTACAGCTTGTATTAACTGCCTGCGTCACTGTAATTGGCAAGGACAGTATCACCTGCATAAAGCGTAATCAATATGATGTGCTTCTCAATTATATACTTTGATGGCAAATACAACAAGATGAAAAACTTTTAGAGTATTTAGAGCATTGCTCTTATTGTCGGTATTTTTAGAGAGATGACTGAAAGCGGTCCCTCTACGCTACAGTCAATAAGAAGTTGACATGGAGCCGTATGCACCTGGCGTATGATAATGGACTGCTTGCCCGCAGGAGTAGACTTCAAACCCCTGGTCGGTGCGGAATAGAACTTGTTTACCTAGAAATTTGTTAATGCTGTCTATGTACCAACCCCGCACCAGAATATATCTAACACACCACTATGATAGTGCCATAATATTCTGTGGATAAACCTTGGTTCGCTGAGGAGGGTGAGATAGGTTTATGATTCGATTATAGAAATGCACGGGCTCCTGTGGCGCTCAACACTCATAGCAAATCGCACACCGGAGTCCTGAACTTGTGGACTTACCATCGGATAGGCACGCCCCTTCTATTTCATCCGTATCCATGCTTCGGATACCAACAAAGCGCCGACAGGTTTCTAAGCCTTTTCCAAGAATATGCATTTTTCTATTCAGTTGTTCTCGTAGTGCACGGGATTCCTCCGACTCGCCGGCGATGCGGGATACTAGCTCGGACGGCATATTGAAAACTTAACGGGCTCAAATAGCGAAGTCAGAGATTTAATCAATCTGAACTCTATAACCTCAACTGCGACATCGTCGATAAATCTTTTCAATGCCACCTGCAGCAGTTAGCGTTGGCCACGGAGAAGACGGGCCTTATTATAATCCAGTGTACCTTATAATAGGCGAGCATGCAATTGTACTAAAGATGGTGGAAAGCGTATATCTCTATAGCACATTTAAAGATACATTATCGCTTATACACAAACAAAGTAAGCAAGAGTTTAGAATATCTATAATATTTTCTGTAGTATACTACCAGCGGGTCGGAAACAGCGCCAATTTCTTCTATTGACTAGGGCTTAATATCATTATTGTTTATAAAACATGCAGTGTTGTTCCATATTCATCTTGGAACTGAGTTGAGCCTTACCAGAAATAGATTGATCAATTGGCTAGACTTTTGGAATAATAAGCTCTAGGTGCGACAGAGCTGACTTCGGATCGCAGCGTGGCTCTAGGAAGATGCACCAATGACTGTGTGGGTACACTAGCCCAATGCTGGATTGACAATAGTGTACATCCGTATCGTCTGTCTTGAAACAATACTTGACTGGTCTGAATTTCTGCTGCATATAGGTATCAAGCCACATTATGGCGCAGCATCGACATCACGTTACCAAAGCATTCTCCCTGATCAACATTCGTCGCAATGGTGAGCCCTGCTTGAGATTTCCGCTTCTATTGGTTGTCCGCCAAGCGATAAAGAAATTAGTACATGCAAATTTTGATGTCCTGAAAGTCTAGAGCTTGCGAGTGCCCAAAAAGAAGCTTTCTTAGCTGATACATCGAGCACATGTCTAGAACTATTTACAATGTTGCATATAGTAAATTACATATCTTCGCTGTGCTTCAGTGTTTGCTTGGACGTCACAGTATCTGCCAGTGACCGGCCTTGCTACCAGAACTTGCATAATTCGCGTACCACCAACGGGTACGATCAGCATCCGCGTATTTCGGGCACTTGTAAGCTAAATATCCCTTAAACAAGCACCAAAACAATTCCTAGTCATCCGAGTCCGCTTGCTATCAAAGCTCATATTGACAACGGACATCGAACTATTGGCGCTATCTGCCGGGAACTGGTTGAATATTTGATTTACAGCACTACACATAACAAACCAACAATCCTTAAGAGAAGGTACGCGATAAAAGGGTTAGATAGAGTGCTATCACGGACAGATCCTTACGGCAAAGTTGTCCTTGCAGGCTTATATGTAAATACAAAATAAGGAAAGAAGGAAAGTGTCTCAGGTATTGAATGTTAATCCTCAAATGAATATTTCTCCTACTTATGAAGACAAGACCAAAGTGACGATGCTCGACAGGGTCTGAGGTTGCTCACCAAATTCTGTGAAACTCGACAAGGATCACGCATTTCTTTGTTTGCTACGACAAACATGATGACAAGCACATCTCAGAAAATTACTCCTCGTCAAAGTAAGCTTTGGAGATATAAGAGGTCATCTCGCATCTATCATGGTTGTAAAAAGATGATTATTCACCTTTTATTGTTGATAATTTGTTTTATCGTGGGCACATAGGTCACTTCTACCAGATGGTGAGTTTAGGTATTTCCTTTTCAATAGTGCTCTAGATGTTAACACGAGGCATGAGTCATCAGAGAAAAATGGCTAAGACCCCAGCATTTCGGCCTATACTCCCTGCTGCTACACCGCTATCTCAAATCCCGAGTGCAGAGCGTTCTGGTTCTATAAAAACTCATCGATCCTCAGCCTGTCTAAAGTGTCGCGAGAAACGTGTTAAGGTAAGATATCCCGACTATACATATTCCAATTCTACTAATCACTACCACTCTAGTGCGTCGGCTCATCACCCTGTCAAACCTGCACTGGGTTGGGATCAGCCTGCATCTTTGAACCGTTCAAAGATAGACGTAGGAAATCAGCTCTCATCAATGCAGAGCAATCTACTCAGAGATACCAGGAACTATTGAAGCAGCTGATTGGCACTTTGATGTTTGGTGATGATGAACAAATCTCTGCATTGAAGGAATTCGTTAGATACCATGCTTCTGTGGAGAGTTGCTTGGAACTCTGGGGTTCAAAGTACCAGCCAAGCTTATCTCCCTCGGAAACAAGGTAGTGGAGAAGATTGGGATTCAATGTATCAAAGACCTCATAAAAAGTTGACGCGTTTGGTTTCATGCTACAAATGGAACCAAGACGAAATCTGACTCCGGTTGAAAAGTTCCGAGCTTTGCTCAATCATCTCAAGGCCATCAGGGACAAATACAGGATACCAGGTGAATACTGCGGACTGAAATCATTGGCAGATTTTTGGGTTAATATTTTTGGTAATCATGACCTTTGGTGCTATTGTAAAACCACGAAACGCTGTCCCTCTCTTAATTGCTAACGAATCGGTTTGTGCTTATCTGACGGGTTATGCAACCTCTTCTTCCAACGATAGTTCAGTTGTAAGTGTCGAAAGTGAGAGCATGATTGGAGTGTTGCCCCTTCGCCTCCTGATAGAACAGAACTGTTAGCTTCTGGTTTATTCTACTAACACCTCCGTTCCTATTCCTATTACAAAACCCGATTTGAGCTAGGACACTCTAGGATTTAGTAGCGGGATTTTCTGAATGCCAGAAGATTGTCTCTAGGATTTGACACTAATTCGGATTCCTAGGTTGCTGGATTCTGCTGTCATGACCGCGCACGCGATATGACAAAATCAGGCAATGTTAACTTGCTTTTTCTCCCTTGAAATGAAAAGCAGGATAAAAATACTAGACTATATTGACTGCTCGCCTCTTAATATGATGAGCCTATTCTGATTAGGACTGTCACTATTTCAGTAGAACGTCACCTATTGTCGAAAGGATAGTCAGGCGAGCTACACCGCAAGCTCCGCAGCGGCAGAAGATGCAGATCATGGGCGGGTCTCCGCCCTAGAGCAAGACCCACTCCGCGATGCACGTTGCCTTGATCACAGGGGCTGCGGGAGAGTCAATGCTTACGGCCACTAGGCATCACACCTACCCACCCATCCACACCCAAACGAACAGCGAACTCGGCAGGTAGGCTACACACATTTGGGCATCCACAGCCGAAGGGTCAAAAGAGAAAGAATCAGATACACTAGAAGCTGATTATACATATCGTGCTACTCAAATACTTGATAGGTGATTGTTTGCACCACAGATTCTGATGGATTCCTGGTTGATCAACGGTTGCTTAGAATTGACGGGCAAGGAGTGTAAAGCTTAGTAACAAGCATTTTCGAACAAACGCAGACAAAATTTAAGATTGTTCAATGTGATACAAAAACAACTTGAAATAAATCGACAGGTAGGCCAAAGTAGACTGTCACTGCTTGTCTACCTACTGTGGTAGTGCGGGCGATGACACCACGCCGTTGTACCTGCGCCCCGCAGTACTTACTGTCTTCTTTTTATCTGGGCGTTTCGACCGTCCTTTGCTTGGGTGAACTCTCACGCTTCCTACAAAATGCGGCCAGCCTTGATCTCCGGGCCTGGAAGGTGGGCTGAAGGGAATGGGGACGAGGGTTGCCCTATTGCAGTACCTATAGTTGAGGTACATAATTAGCTTGCGTAGGTGGAGAGAATAAATAGCCAGGCAGGTCGTCGAAGACTAGGGTAGAATTCAACTAATCATTGCTTTGTACGTTGCGGGAGTCCAAAAGTTGCTGGCACTGACACAGAAAAGGTAGTGAGATCAACATCTAACTGAGGGGTAATTCTTGGCAACGGGGCTGTGCTACGAGGCCACATCGGCTGCGGGAGCAATGAGTACAGTTTAGAGAGGTCACGCCCTGAACGAACTGAAGAGAGGTGAATAGGGGTGAAGATAAGGCGGCAATGACGCCTTACCCACCGGGTAAGAAGAGAGAGGTGAGCACCGACATACAACAGAAGGGATTCGCTGGTGGTCACCCACCCAACTACTAACCTCCCGGCGTGTGGCTTGAGTACGGCTGAGCGGACGGGAAGCCCTATTTTCCACACCCTGTGGTCGTATGTGCTTGTCGATTCCAAGCAATGCTCTATATACCCTCTAGCAATTAAGCACAAGTCAGTCATTCTATTGAAGGTTGATCACTCCGACCCTCCGCTCGCTCTTCCGCTTTTTTGGAGAAAAGGGGTATTCGGAGACCACAGACGATTAGTACCTGGCACAACCAACGCACACTTCGAACGCTACAGGGGAGACACGGTCGTGCCGTGGCTCGCACTACTCACTTATTGACCCCCTGCGTACCGCGTACCGCGTACCCGTCGCGGATCGGATCGGATGCATCATGCAGTGTCAAGCCTCAGTTCCTCAGCATCGGTCCTCTTGGCAACCAGTAGACAATTCCCGGCGATAAGGAATGTGAATCCAGTTCGGGGGGAGGGTATAGCCGAGCCCGCCCGGTGGAGCCCCGAATTTCTTTGGGTTCGCATTTTCGGGAACTTGAAGCGAGAGGAGATCGCCGATCGTTGAACCACCAGATAACTTTGGCAGAATTAAGCATGGAAGATGAACCAGTGGGCTGTAAAACTAGTCCTACGAGATGCTTTTATTTGATTGTATAAAAAAAATGGCTGATCGCATGCAGGAATCTCTGGTCTAATCCGACAACGATCTACCAAGCTAATCTCTGGAGTGCTTATTTTTTTTTCTTATTTTTGCTGCCTACGTGAGAAACACGTTGGCTAAGGCGAAAAAGTGGAGCTGCCGAGCAAAAGACACTCGTCACCTCGGGGGATGCTGACGACTACTAGTGACTAACTATACCTCTATTCGAACGGTCCCCAGTGCGAGGAGATAGTCGGTGCTAACTACTCCGTAGCTTGGAAAAATAATGCCTAGGAGACACGCAATTCGATTGGTCACGTAGTTACTAGTATGGCAGGTGGTTAGCTACTCTTCACAAAAGGGAGGTTTATTTAGGCCCGATTCGCCCGGGTGCTTTGCCTGCCTCTATGGAATTCTTGAAATTTTTGTGTCCGCTGATGCTGAAGTCGATGATCCGCACAAGAGCCCCCCTTTAATTGAAGCTTGAGACTTGAAGATCAGATTCAACGTCTGCTGCAAGATCATGAGGGAGCTGGGGTCGCATGCCGTCTGGCTGAGATGGCTGCTAGTACTAGCCCTAACCACTGTCGTTCGCGTGACCCGGGCCATAGATATCGACGTTAGCAGTGAGCGTATGTTATCCAACCCCTTTCCTTCTACGAGGCCGCTGCTGAACAACACGCTCACTGGTTTGGAAAATCAGAGTCCATCAAAGATGCCGCAAGCACCGCCGCATACGGAATGATGTCGTATTATCACGGAAATGAGTCCGGCCATATCCCCGGGAAGCTCGATGACACCTGGTGGGAGGGCGGGGCGATGTTCATGGCCATCATTCTCTATTACAAATACGCAGGGGATTCGACCTACAATAAGGAGACAATCCAAGGCATGCAGCATCAGGCTGGGGACTGTGATTACTTGCCGTCAAACTACAGTAGCTGGCTGGTAAGCAGCGTGCTTCCCCTCGACCAACAATACAAAAAGGATATCCATCCCGACTGACGAGCAACCAGGGAAACGATGACCAGATGTTCTGGGGCTTAGCGGCCATGACGGGGGCCGAAGTCAACTTCCCCAACTCGGCAGACGGATACTCGTGGCTTGCGTTGGCGCAGGGAGTCTTCAACAACCAAGTCGGGCGCTGGGATACCACCTCGTGCAATGGCGGCATGCGGTGGCAGATGTGGTCGTACGAGAGCGGGTACACCATGAAGAATACGATTGCGAATGCGGGCTTGTTTCAGCTTGCCGCGCGGCTCGCCCGCTACACCAACAACCAGACCTACTACGACTGGGCCGAGAAGATCTGGGACTGGTCGGCCACGACGCCGCTGCTGAGCAATTCCACGTGGAATGTGGCCGACTCCACCGAGACGACCAACGACTGTGCGACGCAAGGCGACAACCAGTGGACGTACAATTATGGAGCGTATCTGATGGGGGCGGCGTACATGTACAACCAGACGAACGGCACCACTGCCCGCACCAAGTGGCTGACGGCCATCAACGGGTTGTTAAATGTGACCTTCGACACCTTCTTCCCCACCAAGTACGGCGGCAACGTCATGTCGGAGATCACCTGCGAGCCCACCGAGGTGTGCGATCGGGACGAAATCATCTTCAAGGGGCTTCTGGCAAACTGGCTATTCTTCACCGCCATGCTCGTCCCCTCCACCTACAGCCGTATCTTGCCGAAGCTGCAGGGCTCTGCTGAGGGTGCGGCGGCATCGTGTACGGGTTACTCCAACAGCTCGTGCGGTGTCCGCTGGAACTCCTCCTGGGACGGCTGGTCCGGCCTGGAGGAGCAGATGAGCGTCCTCAACCTCTTTGTTGCCAACCTCCTGCCGTATGTCAGTGCATCCGACTCGCCCCTCACCTCCTCCACCGGCGGAAATAGTACCAGCGACCCTTCCGCGGGCACTTCTGACAGCACGGATGACGAAGAGACCTTGAGCACGATTACAACCGGCGATCGCGTCGGAGCAGCGTTTATAACGATTATTCTTGTCGCCATGTCAGTCGGGAGCGTGGTGTGGATGATTGCGCTGTAGTGTGCCATGTCTTGAATTTTTGATAGAATGATACCCAATTGTCGCTTCGATTGACAGGTGGTTCACAATGTGGATTGATAAGATTGCGGCCCGGATCTTGGATGCTCGCGCGAGTCATGTTACAACGTCCACTGAATGTAACCTATTCCCAAAGCACGGGATCGCTGCTTGAACCTGCCGAAATGGCTATATCGAGTACTGTATGTACGAGAACACACCATATCGTCAATGGAGGTAGTCTAGGGCTTCGATCTTCCGTGACATTCCAAAAATGAGCATCGTTTGAAGGGAAGGGTCAGGGTGGCAGCAAATCGTGACTGACTGCCTCGGAGGTGTAGTAATGGATTCAGCCCAAGTCCCGCCAGCATCTAAGTGCACGGCGCATTCCCCTCGGTAAACTTTTCCTCACTATCAGCAATACGAACAAGCAGTGTGCAGCACTGGAAGATCTCAAATCATCTCAGCTGAGGTCTCCTGCGCTGAGATGCGGACGGCATGTTGAGCCGACTACGGAGAAAGGCGCTGATTGGCTGGACGGTGGGTATAGTCCAGCCTGCTAGTATGCTTCAATCTCATCGACTCATCGCCAGTGAGCCCAGATACTCGGTGGCTGGCTCAAAAAGCTGACAGAATCTCAGCTCTTTTGATGTCTATGCTCAGCTTGCCTTGACTCGATTTCTTGCCGTGCAGAATCTAGACGCAGTACGGTCAGCGATACTATAAAATGCCTGACTTTCCAATGAAGTGGTCTCTCACTTTCCCATCAACTTCATCCATCATTCAAGTCACCACAACCCATCTCAAATACTTCTCACCGTTCTCACACCCCTTATTACGTACCAATCTCTACCTCCCCAAACCAAAATGTCTCCTCCCACAGAAACCCGCCTGACCTTCCTCGAAAACCTCACCATCGCCATCAACACCGTGAAGAAAACCTACCCAGACGCCCAACTCTACGAAGTCGAAGCCCGCAATCTCAATCCAAGCGTCTACATGCACAAGCCGACAGAGATCACCTTCCTGAAAGCGGTCTTCCACGTGGGCCACAACGCCACGGCTATCATCTCCACGGGCATGGTGTGGGGTGAATGGAACGAGGTCGAGTACATCCCGAAGCCGTGGCTGGAGGATGTGGTGATCCCGTGGCCCGTGGCGATGGACGCGGAGCAGGCCGACGCCCTCCTCAAGATTGCCGGGTATACTGGCGGTTACAAGGTGATCACCCTGCGGCATCCGCTGCATCCGGATTTCGATGAGCCGTACTATATTTTCAATGTGGAGGGGGTGTTTGTGTTTGTGGGTGTGGATGATAAGAAGGTCTTTGTTGGCGATTCGGGCGTGATGGAGGGGAGGGGTGCGATGTAGAGGATTGGTTGGAGGTGGTTATAGACAGTGGTTGATGTATTTGAGGACTTTGGTGCTGCTTGTATGTTAGGTTATGGTCCGCTGACCATCGCCTCATGCAGGCATTCATTGTTGAGCTGCTGTGGCTGTCAGACTTTTGGCAGTTGTCGGCGCGATGTTCTCGGGGGAAGGAAAGGAATGGAATCGCCAATATTGAGGGGACTAAGTGGAATCAAAACTTGTTGAGTATCCAATGCTAGTTCTTGGTTGTAAGGGATTGCTTACCCGGTGTCGAAAGACGAAGAGAGCGAGAGAGACTCTGTGCGTGCGTGTGAGTGAATAGAAGGAAGAGTAAGAGAAGAGAATTTCTAATCGCGAGGTTTCTGGCAAACCCCAATCAGGCTCAACAGCTTCTGTGACCTCCCACCAACAGCGGAAGCAGCAGTAGTAGTCTAGAGTGGCAGGCAAGTGCACATTGGGACCTCCCTTGGCCATGCATCCAAGAATAAGTTAAAGCAGGACATTATGTCTAATGAAGTCTCAATCATGAACACCCTTAATCTCTCTCAAAGATCCGACTCTCGAATCAAGCGAAGGGTCTGTACATGGGCCATGAGGAAAATGGTGTCATGATTGACACATATGTAGCATATCTCGAGGAACATGTCAATGCTGGGATTGAGGGACTTCGTCCTTACATCTAGTGTCAGAAGGTTGTGCTTCATACTGCCCTGAATTGTGGCGTTCATCAGAAGCTGTCAAACAGATTATCCTGACAGAGGGCGCTTAGAATAGAAATATCATATCATCTATATCACGCCCAGCCGCATAGACCATCAGCTTCCCCCTTTCATTCATTGCAGACGCGTATGCAGCATACGGGCAATGAAGCGGTTGATATTCCCATCGTAGGGAACCGTTGCATGTCCAAGGATCGCTACGGGCTCCTCCCATAACACCCACCGGTGACGCCTGCTGATAGACGTACAACATGTAACCCTAATGTCTATACACACGAAAAGCATATCATGGATGGAACATTGGATTTACATATACAGCTCCACAACTTTGAGTCTGTTTTCACCTTACAACAACTTGCCTTCCGGTCAACTTGCCGGTCTTCTCATGTCACAATTGAAGACATAAATCGACTACTTCAGTACATAGACGACCTTGTATAGAGGAAGCCGTGGCAGGCAGAGAAGAGGCCTCGGTGGCTGTAGAAGCAATGTCGGTGAAGTCGAAGGAGAAAGTAAAAGCGTGATGATCCAAACAACTGAAGCATGTCTGGAAGGAACGATCAACATTTCCAGAAGGAAAGAATAATAGACAAGGCATTCGCCGTCCGCTCCAAGAGTAGGCGGAGGATAACATCCAAGTTGTGTCTGTATGACAAGATAACGACTTCTCTCATCTGACCCCTAGCGGGTGACAGCAGCTTTATAGACACATTCATTAATTCCAACTCATAGTCAACGCATTGCTAACCTTCTCACGCGGCTCGGTACAATCATGTCTCTACAAGGCACTCACGATGGAACCAGCGCACAATTCGAAACCACGACGCTCCCCCCTTACAGAGTATATCAACTCGACCAGTTAGCGAGTGATTTGCACTTGGTAATTCGTCACCTGGCAACTGAGTGGCAGTTAGGCCCGGACCACGCTACCTTCATGATTGAGGATAAGGATGCCCTTGACATTCTTCAATGGATCACATACATTATACACCTCGTGCATATGATGGGAGACCATTGGCTCAACGACGAGTCATTCATACGGCAGAAGATGGAAACGGTCGAGCCAACTGGGGGTACGTACGAGGATGCCTGGTGAGGGCGAGGTATGATGGCCTGCAGAAGCTGTCCGATCCACACCGACAATATGCCGTCTATGATCGGCAACGGGCCGAAGATATCGCAAGGGCCCTGGAGCCGGTCACCAGTCCCGGCGCACAGGCTGCCATCGAAGCTCTCATCCGCGCATCCCTGGGCCCTGAAGCCGTCGCGCATCTGTCAGTGGAACAGCGATCCGTGGCCCGGCGCCTTGACGAGGTTATCTGCTCGATCTGCGACGAGCCCTTGCCAGACTTATCGCATTGCGCCTGGTGCAAGATAAAATGTGGCCACAACTTTCATAACCACTGCATCGGATTGTGGTATGAGGAAATGCATAATCAAGGATTGGTACCCCTCTGCCCGTTTTGTCGCGAGCCCTGGCCTCTGCGTTTCCCCAAAATCACAGCCTGGGGTAGAGTCGGCTCCCATTGATGGAGTTCGCTATTTAGACCAACCTTCGATTGCATCCTGGAAAACCCATTGCAAATCCAGTTCTATAAGAGGTTCGCATTCCGGTCTTCGTGAAGTCCTCAGTTTCCATCAATACCTAGGTGGATGATGGAGAACTTGTGTTAACCTTTGTCACAGATGAGAAAGTGGGCAGAGTGTCAAGACTGGATGCTCTTCCTCCCTCAATGCCTCCACCATGACGAATTCAAAATCCGCAGTGAATGACTTGCAAACCATATCACTTTCTTTTTGATGTTGGCTTTTATCCTTATTTTCCAGGATATGTTAGACAAGCTGGGGTGATGGGAGGATCAGACTAGCATCTGTAGCAGACTAGACCAAAGTAGCGAATAATCGAATCATCAATACTGGCTTCAGAATGTCCACATAGGAAAAGAATTCGGAGGCTCGCTCGGATCAAGATGGTGATTCATAAGCAATGGACAAACGGTGGGTGCTGTTTCAAAAAGGACTTTGGAAAACAGCTGTGCGACTTTGGAGATCAAGGCTAAAATCATGTGTCAACACTTTTGACTGATGCGCCTAACGGACTATAATTAGCAGAACCTAGAAAGAAACGAGTGAATGCAAAATCGAAACACTAAAATTAGGGCCCCATGAACGCAGCTGATGGTAAGACAAGAGTACTTATGTCGCACCGATAAGTTGATTGAATCCCTTAGTGATTCTTCACACATATAGAAACCACGAGCGACATGGCAATCTCTTGGATCTCCGAATAGACTTATATCGGCAGATTTCGCTACGCTTCGGAGTAGAGTGTACGAAAGCTGAAGAAAATCCAATTCAACTTTTAGATGCCTCATAAATACCCAAAATAAATGGTCGTTAAATCTATAGGTCATGCAAGACAGCCATCATATCACCACATTTATTATCGCCAACGCAACGAAGTTTACTGCTCCAAACCCCGAATAGCCATGGCCAAAGCACCCTCCTTGGTCTTGTGGCCACCGATGAAGCCGCTGGCGTGGACAAAGACCGCACCCTCGGGAATGCGAGGCTTGCCTGCTTGGTCCGCCTCAGCAGCCATGAGAGCATCGAGGTCAGAGTCCCTGACTCCGCGCCACGACTCGGGCAAGGGCTTACGCGAGACGAAGCTTCCCTCGCTCTCAGAGACGCACTGCACGCGCCACTTAGAGCTCTCAGAGGCGCTCTCAGGGTAGAGAACGTAGTAAGTCTGCTCGTTGCCGAGCGCACCCTCCTCCTTCTCGAAGTTGTACAAGTGCTCCTTCCACGGCACACCGCCTTGAGGGAGGACAATGATGCGGCCGGAGGAGTGGACATCGCGACGGAGGCGATACGCGGCGCCGACACTGGCCCGGGCAGGCAGCCAGGACGAGGCGGCCTGGTGCAGCTTGCGAGTGAAAACGTTTCCAATGAAGGTGCTGGCGCGACCGAACAGACTGTCTTCGTCTTGAGGCTCGCCAGGAGGGCTGGTGGGATCGGGGTTGTTCATATCACCAACAACAGAGGCGAGCGTGATGCCGCCATCACGGAAGCGTTTTTGGAGGCCAGCCGCGGAGATGGCTTCGGGATCGTAGACTGAGACACCGTTGTCGTTGGCGTCGATAGCTTCGATGAAATCATTGTATAGCTTCTCGTACAGAAGGGTCACATCTTCGTGATCCTCGGGGAGAGAAGTATGTTGAGCGATGATGGCACGACCGAAGTGCATGTAGACCAGACCGGCAGAAGAGAGCTTGGTGTTGTGTGCCGGGAAGGTGGTTGCGAAGGTGCGCTGGTGGTGATCGTAGCGGTTGGTCGAGGGATCGTACTCGCCGCCGACATCAACGACGGTGTGGCATGTTGCGAGTTGGGCCGGATCACGAGTTCTGACAAGAGGAGAGGCGCTGTAGGTAGGTAGGAGACGGAGAAGGTAGACAGCAAGAGCTTCGTCGGCGTGGAAGTGGCCGCTGCAGAAGACTGCGTCAACGAAGCGATCGCAATGAGTTTAGTTAAGGCAGAGACTTACTTGTGGGTTCCGATCAAAGGGGAAGAAGTCTTGATCTTCTTGGTAATTGTCTCCTCGGCCATTTTGAACAAAGAACGGAATCGAAACATGCACTGAAGGTGAGATGAAGGGTGTATGTAGTACCTGGGAATCAAGAAGTCGGCTTGAGCAACAGCACTACCAATGAAGATCTGGAAAGGTCTTCGTATCGAGCAAGGTTAGTTTCAGCTAATTCCTATTGGGCGGACGGAGCAGAGCGTTGCTTGCTACAAACGGAAAGGTGCAAAACTGGCCCCTGGGCAGTCTGGAGCCTAGCTTCATAGAGCTAACCATTTTAAGAAAACACTTAGGGCTAGTTTACTAGGGCTAGCCTCAAGGTGCAGTGTGCATGTGATGGCGGCCTGAGGCCAAAACAAACTGCGTATTCGTAGTTCGTGTTTATTATGGTGGTTGCTAACTTACACAGTGGTACTCCGTATCTGATAGCCCGTGATTACGTCGATTCCACCTCCTCTCCCCCTCCTCCTCTCTGGTGCATACTGTGTATCTCCGTTTGTCTTTTGGCGCAATCACAGGATCCCTGACAACACGTCTGATTAGCTCTCAATCGCCTGGAGATGAGATCATATACAGCCGATCCCTTCGCCAACTGACCGCTACTTGCATCGCTTGAACGCCACCGCCTGCCAGTTGAAATCGGATCGGAAACGCTAAACCGCGAAATTGCGAGCAGTTCTTGCGTTTGGCTGCTTGTTGGACTAGACTGGTCCCCCTCCCTCTCCCCCCCTTCTATCCTTTTTCCTACATTCCCTGCTCTGTTCTCCGTTCTTTATCTCATCCTGCCCAATTTATTGCATTGCAGCTGTTAAGCTTCGGTGCTTGAAGTACGTAAGTGGATGGTGTTGACCAGGAGTCTCATTCGTCCATCAGCACGTGCCACGTGAATTCGATCCATCCATCCCTCCGTCCCGCTTGGGAGATAAGATCGTTTCTCAAATCTCCTGCACTGAATAAAAGAGAAAAAAAAAATTGAAAATTCATATCTTGAAAGACACTGTGACGATATTCATCCCACTTGCATTTTCAGCAACATTCGAAGACGTTAGGAGGACCGACCGACCGACAAACCAGCAAACAGCCGACCTACAAACAAAGACCGGAAACGCAATCAATCAGCGGCCTACATGTATTCTTACTAAAAAGACTCCCTCCTCCCAGTCTAATATCCGGTGTTGTCTACCATCCTCCCACTCAGGTCATTTGTCCAAAAGAGCGCGTCTGCTCGTTTCCCCTTTTTACTGCCTTCTTTCTCCTGATCTGTTCTCCCCTTTTCGTCGTCTTGTCCGATGTGGCTCTTCCGCGCCCTCTCGTCGGGGATCTTCCTGACCGTCACGGTCGCTTCCATCCCCCTCGCCTTTGATGTGGGTGGAAAGACATGCGGTTTGGCCTACTCGCTCTCCCTCGCAACCTTTTATTTCCTATTTTCGCTCCTGCGACTTTCGACGCCCGATCGTTCCTGGATCCGCTCCTCTCTAGTCGTTATCATCAGCTCGACGCAGTGGCTCATCATTCCGATCTTGCTTATCTGGTCGCTCAACCGCTTCTCTATCGATAATGACAACGCGGCTTCATGGGTGGAACGGACATTCACTGGGAAACGGGCTCACGACTCCTCCATTCAGGAGTGGGTGTTTGGGCCGGATGGCTTGGTGGAATCGGTGACGATTGGCAACTGGGACAAACTCTTGCGATGGTCAACACCCGTCTTCCAGCTGGTGGAGGGCTTCTGCAGTTTATTGGTCATACAGGCTGCAGGGCAGATCACTCGGTGGCTTGTGAATCGCGGCGGGCGCAGTGACAGTTGGATGGTATGTACATGTCCCAGTAAAGTGTTTACTGCATGCAATGATAAATGCTAACCATGGCACACCAGATTGGTCTCCTAGTATTGTCCGCCTCAATCATATCCAGCTCCGTCTACTTCCTATGGCGCGTGCTACAGTTTCCGGAGATCTCGAATGTGGATGCGGCTTTGATCGGTGTCGCCATAACATGCGCGGTCATCTTGTGCGCCTGGGGTATCGGCAGCGGCCGGGGAAATCCAGTGGAGAGTTCTTTGCTGTTTGCCTACATTGTACTCTGTCTCTATCAGATCTTTACCGACTATAAACCCTCTCATCCCCTGGAGCAACCGCCTTCCGCTCCTCAAGCTGGAGACTTCCCTCCTCTACCTCCGATCATCATGGAATCGTACACTACCTTGATGCATGCCCTGTCAACCCTGCCGTCGATTATTCACGCCGCGTTCAATGTCATCACAGCAGTCTTTGGCGCAGTGACCCCCTCCGTGTTGGTCTCTCTCACCTACCGGATCCTGGTCCTGTACGCGTCTACTCGAATTATCCCCGCCGTGCGCGAGGCTGGCGCCCGTGCCTTATCGCAAGAAGCGTCGTTGGATGATTCTGATGCCGCCGGTCAATTCCTCGGGTTCCTCAGCTACTTCTCACCTTCGATTCTTATTGCTGTGTACACCAGCCTCTTGATGCAGCATTTTGCGTCAACATCGCAAGCTATGGGTGGAAGTGGGGAGTGGTGGAGCAGCCAAGGCGGTGGCGGCGGAAACCTCTGGCGCTGGATCAACCTCGCGTGCACAATGGGCTTGTACGCCGTCGAGCTTTATCTGGGGGAAACTGATGATCTGGATGCTGGCCTCGCTGGTCACTGGAAGACCGACTGAGAGGCGCCGTTCGCTTCACAACCCCACACTAATTATATCAGCCATGCGAACACTGGTGGTACATAATCCCTGCACCATCCTGCACAAGTCAGTCTGCCTCAGAGGATATTTCTCGGCGCATTCCATCAAGCCAGTGGTGTTTTATGCGCGCTGAATGATTGGGTCAGCGATGCCATGTAAATCCTCACCTTTTGGCGGCACACTAGCTGAATCGGCGGATACGAAAGACCGTTCAGCAAGAATAGCTACGAAGCCTCAGTTCGGGACCTCGTATGCTATTAGTCATCTTTGCACGTAGACTCTTTCCATGGTCGTGGGCGCGAAGTGATACACTTCCTTGGCTGCCTGCATCAATGGTGCACACGTTTGATGGTCCTTGTTCCTGGGGGGCTTCGTTTTCCAGCATGAATAGGTCCAGCACACCGCGCGGCTCGGATGTTGCAAAGCAAACCCACCCAGCAAGCAACCTGGGCTACATCCGCTTCGGAACCTTCTTTGCTCTCAACTATGTACTCTACGACACGGCTTCATCCTTATCTCTTACCCATTCACATCTCTTATGATTCTCTCTCCGGTTATTGATATTATACCCATTCCTTTCCAGTCTAGCGCCTCTTTGCTACACTGCCTTCTCCGGTTTCTGTTCCCTGTCCGGGCGAACCCCATTTTCTCTTTGCCTCGGATAGCTTTGATTTTTGACAACTGTTTGCACTAGATGGAGAACTATATACCCCCCACTTGTTGTGTACGGTGACAGGTCTTTTTTCGTTTCCTTCTTCGCGTCTGTAGCGACTCTATCTCTTTAGCTTTTTTGAGCTCTCGGATATTGTGTTTCGCGTACTTCAGCTTTCCTTCGCAATCAGACTTAAAATTCTACAAGAAAAGGCTTCCTTTTTTGGGATTCAAAACAAAACCGAGTAACTTACAATGAGTACCACCAGACACTCTTAGAGCAAGTCAACCGAACAGTACGTCAGGTAATGTACGGTACCCCGAGTGAATAAGGAAAGCAGCTAGTGAGTTACAATTTAGTCTTGCGAGCTGTCAGAACCAGAAAGCAGTACCAACTAGTAACCAAGATTTGGAACAGACTTATTGAAAACCATACCCAGGGAAAGAGTTGATCCGTTCCAAGGAACAATTTAACCGAGCGGATCTAAACCATTAAGCAAGAATGGCAAGGAAGCACCAAAGGATATATCACATGCGGCCTCTCCCTGATTCTTGGATACTGTGCAGACTGGCATGTTTGGGATCAGGATCAGGGTCTGGAACAAGGCTGAAGCAGAACTTGTGCAGGACAGATGTATTCGGACTCAAGGAGAAGAGGCAAACAAGCACAGGTGCGTCATTTCGTGATAGACATAACCTTCCAACGTTGCGCGAGCAAGCTGTAGACCTCATACCGTGGACCCTTGAAAAGACAGATCGGGCGGTCGAAGCAGGCTATGATCGACAGATGAAGAAGATCCCATCCGCGTGGTGAGCTCATGTCCCGCGGGGTGGGTGAGTGGGTGAGTTGGTACTGCTCCGAGCTGCAGGATACGGTCATACGAACTTGCTCAGCGCCAGAATCCATTCTGTATATCACGCGAGACGCATCCGAAAGACAGCAAACGGCAAAACCGAGATGGTAGAAAAAGCCAATGATCAATGATGAGGTTAATGTCATAAATACATTGCAATGTCAAGAAACAACGTGATGTGGGAATCCATGGCGCCAGAACACTCTTTTAAATACCACCGACCACCGGACGGAACCAATAAATGATAGACGAAAGAAGATGAAGCAATGAGAAATCACATGGAGGGTGAGATCATGATAAAGGCGAATGATTTATTGACGGATGGGAACACCACCCCGAGTCGGGGGTGGGCTCACACTGCCTTCGGCAGGATCCTGGGAGGCGACTGCATCGATGTTGCTTCCATCGGCCTCGTCGATGCTAGTCCCCCGTTGCAGGAAACTGGCCTCCTTGACGGGGCTGCGGCTCTGGAAGCCAATGGAGCCCGGATGGCCGCTGATGCTGCCGGGGATCTGCTGTCCGCCTTGGGCGCTGATGCTGCCTCCATTGCCGGTACCGGCGGGGTTGTTGGCTCCGGGGGAGGTGGCAGTCAGGTGGGGGATGTTCTCGGGAACGGGGTGTTGGGAGCCGATGTTGGTGACACCGACGTCCGAGGCCTTGCCGGCTTTGCTAAGGGCGTAGTCGCCTGAATCGAAGTATTTCCGTTCCTGTAGACGGTGCACGAATTAGAGAAGGATACGGCTTGGCTATCAGGGGGTCTCGGAGGCTCGTACCTTCAGTTTGTTCTGCAGGAGATCCTTCTTGTTAGGCATTTTGCCATAGAGACGCAGCAAGCGTTGCTCATCAGGGCTCAGCGACTTGAGGAGAGATGCTTGTTAGTTCCAGCCCGACGAGATGGGTTGGGGTAACCCAAAGTAGATCTGATTTGGAGAACGTACGCTGGTATCGATCTTGTTCTGTTGATGGGGATTCATTTTGAAAGACTGCGAGGGTCTGACAGGGGAATTATTGACGACAAAAGGGGCGATGAAGGAAGGAAAGAAGATGAATGGGAGTAGGGAAAAGTGAAGAGGATGGCAGTGAGAGAGTTGAGGCGGACAACGGAGCGGGTATTATAGTATTGAGTGTCGTCAGGAAACCCCACCACCTTCAGCGGGGAGATCGGTCGACTAAGTATAGCACACAGCTTCCTCTGCACTAACTGCAGGAGATGAGATTTTTTGGAAAAGTGATGAAGGAATGATCAGAGGTCAGAAAAGAAATGGGAAATGAGCGATCAACCGACTCGAGGGACAGCAGACAGATACTTTGGTGAAAATAAGAGTTGAAGATGAGGGGAAGGAGAATAGTAGAAAAGAATGAGAGAGCATCACTACCTTAGTAAGTTCACTGAATGTTATGAGGGGAGTCACTGCGTATGAGCTGGTATGGGCCGGTATCCGTATGGTCATCCCGTTGGAGTAGAGGGTACGCCATGGGCGGTGACCGCCCTGTAATCGGCCCCGCTACTTTTCTTTCGAGACGGAGATCCAGCATTGAGGATAGCAGAGAGTCCACATGCAGTTTAGCGCCATGGAGCTGCAAACGGCTCCACCTGCACTAGTGACAAAACCATACTGTTTTGGTTTCACTTGATCTTACCGACGCCTCATTATCGAAGAACATCAGGCACTCGCCGTTTGACACTGCAATTTGCTGCATGGGATGAACCAGGGGGTGGAAGAGGTCTAAATGAGCGAAATCGAGACATCATCTGTTTAGTGCACTGCCTGCACGATAGGGGCTTTCTGCGATGGATAGCCAGTACGGATACAGCTTAGATGGGATTATCCAATGCAGGGACAATATCAACTCATTCTGCTGCCCCATTAGGCACAAAGACCAAAATGTAGATTTGGACCTAACCCACAGTATAGCAACAGTTAATTCCCATTCAATACAAAGGAGGTTGTTCGGTGCAGTGATGGGAAAACATGGAAGGAGCGAACATCAGTCAGTCAGTCAGTCAGTGGGTGCAATCGGCGTATCAATCTGTATCCAACTCAAAAGATGAATTCTTTACCTTTTTTTTTCTCTCTTCTGCCCCTCCACAATTTGATATCAATTACATCCCATTCTTTCACGCAATCTAACATCTGCACACGGTCAGTTCTAGCTACGAGCTTCGTGTCTCTTCTATCTAGGCTAATTTTGAATTCAAGAACCGGTGAATCCGAATCTGCACGGTGTCACAAGAGGTTCCTGAACCCCACATTACTATAACCGACATCACGCTCATTGACCGCGGGCCAGACCGACTTGGACGCTTCCATCCGGGTCAACATGAGTGATCAAACCTCTTCTTCAGGTCCTGTGACCATTGTGGTCGAGCATCTAGACCCCGAATTGGGCGCTTGGTCCGCTCTGGAGTATGGCTGCATTGCCCGTGAAGCCCATGCCTCGGGGAGCAGATTTCTGCTCAGTTCCGTGCCCACCTCCCTGCAGATGCCGGAGGATCTGGCAGCCACTCCCGGCCTGAATGTCGAGCATCGCAGTGTCGAGGAGATTTTCGCGGATCGCAAGTCCCGCGTCTGTCTGCTGGATCCTTCTGCAGAGGTCGAATTGAGTCCCGCTGACGCAGAGACCTTCGATGTCTTCCTCTTCGGCGGTATTCTGGGTGAGACACACTTTTCACAGTCCCCGTGTTGTTCGGGGATGCAGCGGCTCCATCGTTCTAATGGCTAACCAAAACAAACCTCTGGCTCGGTCACCAGGCGATGACCCACCACGCGGTATGGCCCTTCCAACCGAAAACGCGTTGTGATACTAACATGGAGTAGACCGCACTTCGGAATTGAGAAAGAAAGGCTACGCTGGTCGACGACTGGGCCCTGTGCAAATGACCACCGATACGGCCGTGCGTGTCACTCGCCTCGTGGTCCACGATAAGAGTCAGTCCTCGACCGATCTGGCTTACTCCAACCAGTACTGACATTGATGCAGTTCCCTTGGAGGAGATCAAATATGTTGATCACCCCGAGATTCACATTAACGAACACGAACGGACTGAGATGCCCTTCCGCTATGTGACTGGAGAGGATGGCCAGCCCATCATGCCTCCTGTAAGTTTTTTTTTTCCGCTTCTCACCGTGCCTTTACTGCGCAGTGTTGACGTTGTTCAGGGTATGGTGGACCTGATTAAGAAGGATGCCGACCAGGGTATTGACGATCTCATTTGAGTCGTGCCCGTAGTTAGAGAAGTAATTAACAACATACTAAGTGCATACTGGCTGGATCCAAGAAATTCAAGCCTTCATGAGTTTAGTTAGTACTCGACCTGGGGTAATTCAAGTATTTTCAAGGATGGATGGATTGGCGAAGGAAGCTCAGGTGGTCGATGTGGCCAACTATGGACAGGACAATGCTCTTTATTGAAGGCCCAATGGATAAAAGCAGTGTCAATTTTCACAGTGTATAGTGATGACTGTGTTGTGTGTGCCACTGGACATACTATGGTCTATAGAGCCCCCAAAGCGGCATAAGCTGATTGATGGATACCCGCCCGTTCGGGCCACGCCATCCATTCGTCTCTCTCTGTCTCAGCCGCTGAAGATCCTCTTCCTCCTCCTCCTCCTCCTCTTCTTCTTCACCTTCTTCCTCTCTAGTCTTTAACCCAACTCTCTGGTGCTCTCTCAGAACTCTTCTCTCCCCCTCATTGCTGTGGGAAAGGTACCCCATTTCATTCACTCCACTTCCCCTCACCTTTCCTAGCGTGGACATCCCCCATCACCAACCTCCATCACTACCACACCTCCCTTTATCTCCGAAACTCCGACTTAACCGGGAGTTCAGTCTCAGTCAGCACTGATCGATGAGTCTTTGAGCGCTGACTTGAGTCCGGTTGGGACCCAATCGATCTATCTTTGCGACAGCTTGTCAACGCTCTTTTCAGAAAACCCCTTTCACTTTAGCCTTATCACAATTCCGGAAATGTTCCCCTTATCGTCCCGCGGGGGTATCTCCGTCTCTCAGCTGTCGACATGGGCTTTGTCGACCCTTCTTTTCCTCAGTCCTGCCGTCGTCTCGGCCAAATCGGCGGCCGACTACTACATTCATTCCCTCCCGGGCGCACCTGATGGTCCGCTGTTGAAGATGCACGCTGGGTGAGCAAACTCCGCTGCGACGCTGCCGGAGTTCATTGACCATGCTGACCCTCTTCTCTGTTTCGCAGACACATCGAAGTTGACCCTAAAAGCAATGGACATCTGTTCTTCTGGCACTACCAGAATCGTCATATCGCCAATCGCCAACGCACCGTCTTGTGGCTGAACGGCGGACCCGGATGCTCGTCGATGGACGGAGCGTTGATGGAGGTTGGACCGTACCGACTGAAAGACAACCATACCCTTGAGTACAATGAAGGGTCGTGGGACGAGTTTGCCAATCTACTCTTTGTCGACAACCCAGTTGGCACGGGTTTCAGCTACGTCAACACTGACAGCTATATACACGAACTCGATACGATGGCGACGCAGTTCATAGTCTTCTTGGAGGAGTGGTTCAAACTGTTCCCGGAGTACGAGAGTGACGACGTAGGTTGCTGGTATCAAGTTGATGGGTGCCTCGGCTAACAATCCCGCAGATTTACCTTGCAGGCGAGTCCTACGCCGGACAGCACATCCCCTATATTGCAAAAGCTATGCAAGAACGGAACAAGAAGATCGCCAATACCAACACCGCGCAGTGGCAACTGAGAGGTCTTCTTATTGGCAACGGCTGGATCGCTCCTGAGGAACAATACATGTCCTACCTACCATTTGCGTACGAAGAAGGCCTCATCAAAGAAGGCAGCTCGGGTGCGAAGGACTTGGAGGTGTTGCAGTCCGTCTGCCAGTCACGATTGGAAGCGGGCAAGAACCGGATCCACATCGACGACTGCGAGAAGATAATGAATGGTATTCTGGACAAGACGATCGTCAATAACCAGTGCTACAACATGTATGACATCCGCCTACGGGACAGTCTAGATGCCTGCGGAATGAACTGGCCGACAGATTTGGTGGATGTGAAGCCTTATCTGCAGCGGGAGGATGTAGTGGCGGCTCTCCACATTGACCCAGCCAAGAAGTCCGGCTGGACCGAGTGTTCCGGCGCGGTCAGCAGCAATTTCCTTGCCCAGAACTCCGTGCCATCCGTCCGACTTCTTCCGGAGCTCTTGGAGTCCGGCATTGAGGTTCTGCTATTTAGCGGTGATAAGGACTTGATCTGCAATCATGTCGGCACCGAACAAATGATCAACAACCTGAAATGGGGCGGCGGCACTGGGTTCGAGACCTCGCCAGGAGTGTGGGCTCCCCGGCACGACTGGACGTTCGAGGGCGAGCCGACTGGCATCTATCAATATGCGCGAAATTTGACTTATGTGCTGATCTACAACTCCAGCCACATGGTGCCCTACGACCTTCCTCGCCAGACCCGGGACATGCTGGACCGCTTCATGAAGGTGGACATTGCCAGCATCGGAGGCAACCCCACGGACTCGCGCATCGACGGCGAGAAGCTGCCGCAGACCTCGGTAGGCGGCCATCCCAACAGCACCGCGGCCGAGGAGCAGGAGAAGCAGCGACTTAAGGAGACCGAATGGAAGGCGTACGCCAAGTCCGGTGAGGCCGTCCTGGTGGTGGTGATTATTGGAGTGATCGTGTGGGGCTTCTTCATCTGGCGCAGCCGACAGCGGCACCATGGCTATCGGGGCATCATGCAGAAGAGCATGGGCAGCAGTAGCTCGGTGCTTGAGCGCTTCCAGAACAAGCGGACAGGCGGCGACGTCGAGGCGGGTGATTTTGACGAGTCGGAACTGGATGATTTGCACTCGCCGGGTCTAGACCGAGAGCATTACTCGGTTGGCGAGGACAGTGACGAGGAGGAGGCTCGAGAGGGACATGGCCAGTCTGGACGAGTTGATCATTTATGATCTTGTCACTTTGTTTAGTTTTCTTCGGGCGGTGTCAGTCAGAATTATGCGGACATATTTTGGAGTTTACGTGTTGGGAATTAGAAACGAGGTTTGTTATGCTTTTTAGTTGACCTGTATAGGTGGCAGTGGTGTTTAGTGCTAGGAGGATCTATCGATCAGCATTGACTTTTTTTATCTACAACAGCGTAGGTATAACTTCTGTATAAACACTCCGTCTCACATCTACTGTCCAAGAGTCCACACTTTGACAGTGCCATCATCGGCCGTGGTGATCAGGACCTCCTCCTCCTTGGAGACATCACGCCCGCGATCCGCCCGCTTCGCCCACGCAACATGGTTGACCTCGTAAATGCCATGCGCCCCGATCAACACCGCCACCACCACCCACTCTGTCGGCGGCAGCTTCGCTTCTGGGCCAGCCTGAGGCTGTTGTCCCTCGACAACTCGCTCTTGGTAAACAACCACCCTGCCATCCGCCCCTGTAGAAGCCACCAACCCGGTCCTCCGACTCCACGCCACGGAGTAAACCGCCAAATCATGGACCGCAGGCAGCACCGCCTCGAGCTCCCAGTCCTCATCCAACCCGGTGGGCCGAATAATACTCGGCATGCCAGCAGCAGCAGCAGCAGCAGCCGCAGCCGGGGAAGTTTCCTTAGGAATCCTTCTCCAAACCCTCACCGAGCGATCATCACTACACGAGACAATCCTGGGCCCGGACAACGCCCTCCACTTCCCCACCTCCTCCTGCTCCTCCTCCTTACCAGTCAACCCAGAAACAAAAGGAATCCCCTCAAACTCCACCGCCCACACCGTGCCCCCATGCCCCCGCAAACAAGCCACCTGGCCCCAATCATCCACATCCTCCCTCCACACGCGAATCGTATCATCATAGCTCCCACTCACCAGACACTCCTCCGCGGGATGCCACGCCACGCACTTCACATCCCCCTCGTGCTCCTGCATCACCGCCACCGTCTCGAAGTTGTTGTCCCCATCGTCCAGGTCCTCCCAGATCCAGATCGATTTGTCGCGCGAGCAGGTGGCCAGTAGCATCCCGGATGCAGACCACGCAACAGATTTGACTTCGCTGTCGTGTCCGTCAAGGAGGACGGCGAAGCGCCATTCTTCTTCTTCGTCATCTTCTTCCTCTCGTTCCTCTCCCGCTCCTCCTCCTCCTCCTCGCCGGGGTATTGAGGCGGAGGTCGTCGTCGTACCCCATTCCGAAACTGAATCATCCCCGTGGGTTGTCGAGAGGTTTAGGTTTGAAGAATCCGAGTAATGGTCCCATCGTCGCCAGATCCCCGCCGTCGCGTCGAAGGAGCCACTGGCCAACACGCTCTCCCCGGTGACGTGCGGTTTCCAGGCTGCGGTGCGCACGCTGCGCTTGTGGCCACCCGCGATGGTCGATAACAAGCAGAAGTTTTGCAGGGAGTAGATCCGGATGGTTTTGTCCGCGCTGCAGGTCGCCACGATCGGGAGGCGCGGGTGCGGGGCGGTTTGCCAGGTTCGTTCGGTGGAGGGCGGGGAGAGCGAGGAGAGTAGGGTGAGGTGGTGGGTGGGTGGGGTGGGGGGGTTCGGCATGATGCCTCGCTTGGGTGGGGGGGAGTGAGTTTGAGGTTCGGGGATTTCGGTTGTGTGTCAATGGTGGTCTGGTTTGAGTAAATTGGGTTCAAGCGATAGAAGTGTGTGGGGGGCAAAGCAATTGCTGTTCTGTTCTCTGCAGTGGTTTGTCTGTCAAGGTCGAGTTGAAGCTTTCCGGAGTCTCGGAGGAATGGCGGGGAGCAGCGTGCTTAGTCAACCGCTTATCGGTGAGGAATGACTGATGATAAGGATTCCGTCACTATGGATATACTCGTACTATCCAGAGATTCATGAACTAAAGTCACATCCCGGAACAAGAGTCATTCATTTGTATCTGACTATAGAACCAAAAGCACGACGTATCTCAGTCTGTCCCAAGCAAAACTCGCCTCATGAAATCTGCAACACAACACCAAAACCGAGCTCCTCCCTCATGCATTCAAAATCCGCTCGTAGACCATCCCATGACACAGCCAATCCACCTCACGCATCTTCTCCAACTCGTCCGTCAACTGTCCGACCTCCGTAACGAATTCCGGCATGCCCGCGCCAGCCAGACTCTGACTGGCCGTCGCCGTCGCCCGCACCCTTTCGCTCGCGCTCGACGCACTGAGCCGCAACAGGATGTGCGCACGCAACCTAGACAAGATTAATCGGGCCACCGGATCGGCAAACCCCGAAACCCCATTGCCGCTGCCACTCGTCGCAGTCAACGCGCTAGTGGCATCGGACGTGAACGAGGCCGCAGACGACGTCGACTCGACCTGAATCTCCACCGCAGGCTGAGTGCCTTCTCCCTCCGTATGGGCAGCCACGCAGGCCGTGGCAACGGGCACAAGCACGCGACGGATGGTGGCTGCCAGTTGCGCACTAGCATTGGGGGGCATCGGGTGGGTCGATTCCAGAATCGACTTGACACGATCAGGCTGGATCTCGTTAAAGTCCAGAGACATGATCCGGTCTGCCTCGGCTTTCCATTGAGATCGCACGTCGCGCTTCAACAGATTCTTGGCCGTCAGAAGAATCGAAGCCGTGGCAACGATCCGAAACGCCTTGGCATGCAACCGCGCAAGTCGCTGGCGATCCAACTCCAAAGTCTCAGGGATAAGCTCTTCCGAGACAGGCGCGTTGCTCATGACCAGATCAACAAGCCCCTGCGCATAGACTTTAGTGCTCGGCGGTTGAGGTTCCCCGTTCACATTCTCGGGATCCCGCTTGCGCATCTCATCGGCGATGACCTTACGATGTGTCCGCCAGAAGCGCCGCGTCTTCCCCAGGCTCTGGGTTCCATCTTGCAGACCCTTCTCAAATGTCCTCTGCTCATACCCCGGAGCCTCCTGGATCAACTGCGGGGCTGCAACCTGAATCATGAAGTTGGTGTGGTCGAGGGAGAGAAGATCGATGATCCCCATGAGCCGCGCAAGGCGGTCGATGGCATCTCCCGAAGTGTCCTCGGCAAATGCCTTGACTACCGGATCACGGTAAGGGGCACAAAGCTTAGGCAAAATCGTGTTCATGAAGTTGAAGAAGCTGTCGTACGAGAACGCGCCCGCCCTGCACTGGCTCTCCACCAGCTTGGGGTCAAGCACCTCACTGATCAGTACATGGAGCGAGTTTCCCGGCCGGAGCAAGCGGAGCAAGCGGTCTTGGATCACCGTGGCCATCGCCACTGTCCAATTTGTTTCCAGGCCGGCTGCAACGTCCTTTCGCATCATGTCGCACATATGTTGCATGATTCGCTTGCGTGGCTCAGTGTATTGTTTCTCGTCTATCCGGAACTCCTTATTGATCAGCAGCTCGTGTACCAAAGCCCGGTTCTCCGGCAGGGCAGTAAGCATCCGGGTAAATCGCTCATGGGGAGAAACACGTTGCCTGTCGAGCTCCTGCAAAACACCACTATCCACAGTGTTGAAAGTCTCGCTGATCGGGGAAGCAACGCTTTCCGTGAGAGTTTCCGTCGAGGCGGGAGCCACCTCTGCCGACCGCGGGATAGCCTGTTTGGACGCGGTGCGCTTCTTCTCGCGCTTCGCCTTTTTCAGCGCATTCCGCACCTTCTGCATGGCCTGATCAGGGCCGGCCAGACGCTTCAGCCTGGCAAGGAGCAAGATCTGATTCTGTCGGATCCCTTGACGATAGTCCTCTGCAACGCCACCAGCACGGTCATCCTTGACTGTCTGCCAGATCAACTCCAGCTCGATGAATTGAGCCAGCATGATCTCAATCAGGACACTGGAGTCGTGAGACTTCCAGGCGTGGAATGCAGAGAAGAAGACATTATACGCCTCGCAAAGAGCCTGGAGTTCGGTGGAGATGACTGCGGGAGAACAGCACCCCGAGGCAAGCAAAGGCATCACCAGCTCGAATGCAGCGAGAAGCTCCCGGGCCTTCGCGATCAGATCCTGCTCCTGCTCCCCATTGCTGCTCAGGACCTCACTAGGATGGGTCACAATCAGGTAACTGCTCAAAAATGTGCGCACCGCGCCCCGTCCACCCATCGTGTCGCTCTCCATATCCTGCAGGCCACACAGCCGAAGAACCCGAGCCGTCACCTCCAACACCCGCTCGTCTGACAACATTCGACCAACTTCCTCGAATTCTTTCTCTCGGATACGATCCGTGCTCAATTCAAGAGCCAGGAACCCACGCATGACCGTCCTCGCATGATAAGTCCTCCAGACTCGCTGGATGATCCGCGCGGCAGCGTCGCGGGTGACTCCTAACGGGACGGTGGCCTTAGGCATATTCTTCTCGTCACCAGCGGTGGGCAGACTGCTCGTGCGATGGCGCCGTTGGGTCTGCTGATAGAGCATGCGTCGCTTCTCGGCCTCTGCAAATTTCTCCGCGATCTCCAGGCGGAGTCGCGCGTGTTCGGCGGCCTTGCGCTCGCGGTTGTCTTCGGCCTTCTTTTTCGCCCGACGGACTTCCTCCTCGCATTTGGCCGTGATCTCCGCCAGAAGCCGCTCCCGAGCCTGCTGGGCAGCCAGGGCTCGCTCCTCTCGCTGCAGGTTCCGAGTTGCCGCTTTAGCCAGGGCGGCCCGAAGTCTCACTTTCTCCGCGTGCAGGGCGCGGTCCGCGAGTCGAGCCTTGCGACTCTCAAGGATGGAGGTGCGTCGGAGGTTGTGATCGGTCGCGGCCGCGCCATGAGCGGGCCCGTTCTGGTGCTGAGAATGGAGCGAAGAGATCGAGCTGCGGCGGGATGAGGCGGCGGAGGAGCGGCGGGCGACACTTGGTTTGCGAGCGAAGCGAGCGGCAAGGTGGGTGGGCAAGTTCAGAGGTAGTGTAGGTTCATCAGACATCATCTCCACATCGGCTGCAGTCGAGGGTTCGGGCTCGACAGGGGGGGAGGAAGCCGCATCGGAGAGTTGGACGTCGATGTCGGAGTTGCGACGGATCATATTCTGCCGTAGTAATTTGATTTCACGGTAGCGGGGGGGTAACCGAGATATCGAGATATGAGAGGGCGATGACGAGACGGGATCGGGTAGATACGCCGGTTCCGTGGATGACTGACCCCTGTAGATGTGGATGAACAGGAGAGTTGTGAAAGTTGGTTTCGTCTGGGGTCGAAGATTCAGGCTGCAGGTTGGTGCATCCCTGAGAGGAGATCCGTGCTCCGTTTCAGAGAAGGTGGAGGGAAAGGTCAGTCGGGGATAATACTATTAGCGAGTGTAAGTGTACGAGTCAGTAGGGAAGAGTGTCAAGGTGAAGGAGCGGAAGTTGGGACAAAGAGAGCGGATGGGGCGTGATCAAGACAGTGTCATCAAGAACAGGCAGAAACTAGGTAAGTGGTTCAGTCACTTGTCAGCCGGACAGTATGATAGGGGAGATAAGCCAGGGGAAAAGAAAGTATGCAGTGGCTTTTGCACCGCATCCATCCTGGGGATCGACGGGGAAGTGGATTTGCAAACATTCTCGTCGTCATCCAGCGCCGGAAGAAGAAGAGAAGCCCGTCGAAGGCCCGCATCCAGCCCGGCTGACTAATCCGGATCCTCAACGCAGCTGCAGCAGCTTCTGCAGACTTTTAGAAACAGAATAATTCAGATGCAGAATCCTTGGTTGAGATATATCTAAACTATGCCAGTTTCCCTCATGCATGCGAGATGTTTCAATGCGTCGTGAGTCCGAACATGTTGTCCCCTTATCTCCAATCAAGACACGCCCTCCCTTGTCCCCAGCAACTCAGACGCCCAATACAAATGCATAATATATCATATGGAAGAGCAAGCAAGAAAGCAAATGCAGCCCAAGTCATGTGTCTTTAGACTCCCTCCGTAAACGCGCCAGATATCATACAAGTCACTCCAGTTGGTCCAGCCAACTACCGTCATTGCCAATTGTGGTTTGTCGTCAATTCTTAACTGTGAAGAGGTCAGAAACCAATCTCACCCGCATCAATAAGCGGGCAAGCCTGTTCCACGCCGTGAGAGTGGTACAGTCACCCCTTCGAGGCGTTCTCAGCGGTGCCCGAAAATGTCAATTTCGTCGTCATCTTCCTCTTCCTCCTCACTACCATCCTCCTCACTGCTGCTCCCTGAGGCACCGCCATCCTCGTCTTCATTGACATCAGCATTCGAGCCACCGTCAGCAGACTCGGCTCGCTGACCGAGGAAACCATAGCTGTACTTGAATTTTGTTCCCCACAGGCTAAGTTCGCCGCCATCGTCATTCCCTCCTCCTCCTCCTCCTCCTCCTCCACCGCCGCCAACGCCCGGAAATGCGAGGCTGCTGAAGAAGGAGGTGGATTGCGCTCGCTCCGAGTCACGGTCCGTTGGAATCCCAAAATAGTTCCTGATAACGGGTGACACAGCACGATCGCGAGTCAAACTGTAAGAGGCAAATGGCCGGCTCGGATCTGCAGACATGGGAACAGTAAGCCGTGAGTCAGGCCCAGGGACGGAGCTGGTGTCGATACGGAGCGACTCGAACGTAGACAGGCCGCTGTCGTCGGCGCCGTGCGAGGAGGACCTGGCCCGCGTGGTAGAAAAATCCTCACTATCACTGTCGAGCGCAGAAGGATCCGAAGCGTTGCCTCGAACTAAACGGAGCTGTGCAGTATTGTACGATTCGCACCTGTGTTCGTTAGAATTCCTGATAGACATGTAGAGAGAACGAAACTCACAGGTCGCATCTTAGTCCCAGCCAATGATATCTCACGACAGATTTCGCACTGCAGTCGTTGCAATAGACCAGAGCTTTGGTGTCCTTGAACTCTGCCGGCATTGGCTGGCTTTCAATGGTGCGATCCAGATTCCGGAATGTAGATTCCATGTTAGTGATGGTTTTGCTGCAGATGGGGCAGCGATAAGAAGTCTTGGAATACTCGGACAGACACCGTTGGTGAATGCTGTGTCCGCACCGCATGAATACTACAGTCTCCGGGGAAGTGAACATATAGTCTCCGCATATGGGACAATCACACTGAGTGGAGCGCTCGATGCACCGATGAGTATTTTCAATTGATATAGGTAGGCAAACACTGCAGGTCTAAATTCGGTCAGCTTCCAGTTGGTCAACCTGGCCGGCGACTGCTTACCTTGCAATGGAAAAAGTCTTTCCCCAGACCTTTACCGATGCGGCAAATGCCACAATCACTGCAATGATATATACTCTTATGAGCATCATTATCCCAGAGCTTGCAAATTTCGCAGTAGTACTGCGCCGCTTGCTCGCCGCAGCTTCTGCAAGATTGTGCTGCAGGTTGAGCTTCCCCGCATAGCATGCAAAGCATGTGCTCTGTTTTCGGCCGATCCATACGGTGGTCCTCGACCTCATCGTGGCAGAACCGGCAGGTGTACCACTTTTTGCAGTCAAAACACTGAGCCTTGACGTTTGTTTTATAATGTGGGCAGCCCAAGAAAACTTCCTCGACCTCTTCAAGGTCCAAATCGTCAACCTCGCATGCAGGTGACTCGAGTTCTGGCTTGGGGGTGTAGGTCGGCACCAGATCTTCTGCCGTCAAGTTGTAGTAACCCTCGCTCCTAGCTGGAGTGGGAGACGAAGATAATGGCAGTCGCTCCAAGGAAATAATGCTCCATCGGCGAGCGGATTGGTCTTGCTTCGAATTCTGCGGAGTCAGAGGCGTGGGACTGCGGGGTGTGCTTTGATCGGCTGTGTCCCCCCGATGGAGATTGTAGTTTTCGGTCATCAGTGCGTGAATCATGCGTGCCTGGTCTGCATGGCTGTAGCCTAGATCTCGAATCGTATGAATCCGTCTCCGTAGAGCACCCATCCCGTCATCCTCGGGCAATGCGGCAGGACCACCGTGCTCGTCCGTCATGACAATGTTACCCATCGCGTGCTGCGCAATCTGTGAGCGTGGACTAGTAGGTTGTACGGCATCTGGCCTAGCTAGCGTCGCGGCGGTCTGCTGTGGACTAATCGGGGGATTGGCGCGCGGCATCTGGGAACGTGTTTGTGGTAGACGATCAGGACTTGAATTCATGGCCCATCCCAGAGGGAATCGGGGTTCTGGCACACGAGGGTTGCTAGTCGGTGAATTGGCTGAAGGCGATGCAGAGGTGACATTGCGGCCATCTTCAGACCCCGCATTTCCACCCTTGGGCGAATCCTCCAGGCTCACCGGATCGGTCATGACAGCACTATGGAATAGTTCGCTGCCATCGCTGACCACGGAGGAGGCACGATCTTTTTCAGCTGCAAGGGAATCAGCCGGGGGTGGTGAACTGGTCTGTTGTGAGAATCGACGGGCCTGCCGCACGACGGGTTCAATCAACAAAGAAGAGAGGAGCCCGCTCATGGAGGAGGTCAAACAGCATCTGATGCAGGCAGAGGCATAGAAAAACAAATAAAGAGACTCGATTATAAGAGATAAGAGAGTTGAGCTACACCGGAAAAGGCTTGGAATGCCCGGGTGTAAGGATGAGCAGGGGTAAAAGCAGCGAGGAAATCGGAGTAACTTCAGGACCGAAAAGGAGGGAGGGAGGGAGTGATTCGATCTCGGATGGCGATCGCTTCGTCAGCCGCTATGACGTTGGGCGTTTGGTCCCTGATCCCTGATCTTGGCGCGAGGGCGAAGAGTGTTCTGCACGCCCGCTGACAGTAAGTCTCATAAATGCTTTGTATTTAAACACAAATCGGGGTCATAGTCTGCAAGACAATTCTGCTGTTTTTGATATCACTTCTGGTCGAGATAGAGAGGGGAGGCTGAAGACGATTCAATAACTTCAATGACTGGGAGTAAAAGTGATCTTCCCATATCGGGCTTAGCCTAGGTCCATCTTTTGGACTGACTTTCCATATTTGGTTTAGTGCTATGAATATCTCGGCAGTTCATCAGACACCGGCATGTGATAATCATACCATAGTAATTTAACTTAGTTATTTATGTTTAGTTAACTCCTCAATAGCTGTCTCGAATGGAATCTTGAGTCGTAAAGATATCTCTCTCACAGAGAACGTCCAATCCGACCATATCCACCCGCCTTTCAACAAGATCTCATCTATCTAGAACTTGCGGACTTGCATAATCGCCTGCAGCTTATCGTCATTCTCCTTGAAGATCAACCCAACGAGGGAACATGTCCACTTGCGAAAACAATCCTGGGAGGGAGCATGGGTGAATCATTGACTGAATGAGTAGATGAGTAAACAAACAATTGATTGAGGGACTTCATGAATGGCTGAACAAATAAATGACTGAATGAACGTTTGAATGAATGATAGGAGTTGGACACATATACCTCCCGGAGGGATGAGGCCTTTATAGCATAAGTTCTGCGTATAGTTAATAGCTCGCATAGGCTCTGTTGGCTCGGAATGTTCTTTACGACATCAGACCGATGAGTTTAGTATGTATTGAGTATGCCTTGTCTCGGGTTTCCCCCTTGTCTAAAGCTCACTCCAGAAGGATGTGCAGCGCTGTGGGCAAAGCTAAGCCAATTCAAAGAGGCCGTCAAGACGAACCATATCGGCCAGTCACTCCACACAGTCCGTGCTGAGAGTAAGCAATGGATCCTAGCTCCTGCAGTCAGGGACCATAGTGAGATTGATTAACACAAGATAGGGACTCTCTCCAATGCTACTTGAGCTTCAGACTTCGAGCGACGTCTGTTAGCGAGATTAGTCGCTGGGTCAGCAATTTCCCACGGTGCCGTCTGATCCGGTTAGAGTCTATTGTTGAGCTGAGGTATATAGGTCGGAGTTTGTGCGTCTTCTGGCTGGTCTGTCGAGGCAGTGTCTGTATAGTTCTCTGTCGGTTACAAAGAGACTCAATCTCTCTATCCTCAGTATTCTGGCCCCTGGCACCCGCTGTGCTTGGCAACGTCCTGGCGTCGCCATACCAGGCCCTTTAAAAATCATACTGGTGAGAATAACGACGCTTTGAAGGCCTTATCGAATCATATGTGCAAAATTATGGCAAGGACAAGAAGGCCAATGCCAAGGCCTGGCGTCATGGAAACGCTGTGCAGGCTTATCAGGAATTCGAATTTAGGATTCTAGGGGATTATACATGCTAAGTCTGCTTCCATGCTTGCTCGAAATGTGGTCAAGAGGGGAGCAGAGAAGAAGAGGTTGCCGCTGGGTCAAGTCACTCAGGCGATGAAGTGCCTGTCCCCGTGGGTTTATCGTCAAAGTAGAAACTGAACAAGAATCAGCTTGGATGCTGCAATGCATGGACCCTAGATCTTCTCATAGCCACATTGGACTATCTTGGGATAGTAGAAGGATATTACTCTCCCAAAAAAAACCAGATACAAGTCCGACTCTCTTCGCCGTCCTCTGCCTTGACCTCTACCCCTTCCTCTGCCCCGCACTCGAGCCCATCCTTGAATCAGCCTCTATCGCTCCATGTCAGGATCACTCCAATGGGTGCGTATCTTCGTACAAAGCCGGACCATCACGGCAAGCACTAGCACAGACAGGACTTCCTCTTTCCCGAATTGCTGCATTTTGAGCTCTTTGGGTCGCCGATGGACGTCCTCGGGTGGGTCTCTTCGCAGGTTCTGCTCGCTCGGATCATTGTGCTTATGGGCCTCAGCCAGCGATTAGTACACCTCGATCCGATTCAGGTCATCTGCATCGATCTGCACGCGCAATGCTTGCAATCTCCCACAGAATGGATTAGAGGAGATTGAAGGAGGAAGAAGTCAGAACAAAACGACAGAAGGGTTCGCTCAAAATCTGACATCTCAGTAGCCCCTCGAGCAGTACCACCTACTAGTATATTCATAGTTGTAGATGCAATTGGACAACTTGGTTGGTCGTCAGTCGGCGGAATCTAGGTATGGAGTATGAAAGCTTTCCCCCCCACCAGCTGGCCTGAAGTATCGAACCTCACTTCGCTTCCCCACCAATTTTCTGCTTTACATTAGCTTGTGCTTCTAGTTAGCACAGCTTTGTCAAATTAAGGAGAGTTTTGAGAGACTAAGAACAGTAACTAGGATAAGTATCAAGATTCCAAATATGAAAGGTCAAAAGTAGTACTAGACCTATACGGTGCCGGCAATCACAACTTACCGATGAAGGTGAATGTCTGACTGCCGTAACTCATTCCGTACTGGACCCTGTCTTCGGCAATGCAAGACTCTCGGGGGATTTTCCGCCGATTTTCCTTTACCTCTGATCCACTTTGACAAATTAAGCCAGATTAGTGGAATGTATGAATCTACACTTGTGCTGCCGGCTTACTGTAGGTTTAGGGGGGAATAGGGTGAGTTGGTGCACCTTGATCGAACAACAGGCGCCAAAAAAGGAGACTCTGAGCTATTTCGGGGGTTTCAAAACGTGATTTTGTGACTTTCACATCAAGGATACAGCCATATCAAGGTGAATGAGGTACAAGCTCCGGATGTCAAGTACATGCTCAAGAACAGAAGATGAGACTATGTGAAAGTTATTTACTCAATCCCCGCGATATAAATTCTTTGTGGTCAATATACGAACCAAGACCAATATGCCATCTGCCCTGGAATTGATCGTGATGTTGTACTATAGTAGCGCATGATAGATCGGTTCACGTGTGCTGCCCCAAGTGACTTTGCAGCAAGTCCGAGATTTATATTGAAATAGCCGTTTATTTCGATGACATATTAGGATTCTCGTACTACTTCACGACGGTAACCGGGTGCATGCTCATAGTAGACCATATATCCACTGATGATGACACCTTAGCAACGGAGACCTCATTTTTGAGCAAGCGCCTCTTCTCCTGGCTCGAAAAGACACACATCTTACTTTGCTCTCGTCAGTATGGGCAGTCTGTTGTGCATCACTCAGACCTATTGCCTTGATATGTACTTGATGGTAGCGGCAAAGAGTGGACTCGATTCCAAGATCCCACGTAGGGCACGCGTCGATTCCGTAGCGGATCTCAACGCGAACACGGATCAGAAAAGGCAGAGCCTCTAGATCAGCTCGACCATTTCGCTGACTACTTGTTGCGATAGTACACCCAGAATGACCCGTTCGTCAATCACAAATGATCATTCTTTTCGGACCCGAGGTTTGAAATACGATGCAGAGTGAGTGACCAATAACCAAAACCTCGGAATCTCTTCCGAGCCAAGAAGAAGAGCAAGAGACAAACAGAACAAACCGCTCTGACTCAAACCAGATTTCTCTTTCCATAAGTTCCTTATCTTTCATTGGAACCAAATTCCCTCCTGCGACGACTGAGAAGTCTGTAACTGAGATCACCCGACAGTCTTCAAGATGAGCGGTGTTGCGCAGCAAAGTTCCGCTCCGATCGAGATGGAATCGACGTCGTCTCCATCGCAACCTGTCACTGGGATGGACCGCTCGGGCAATTCGGACAAGAACAGCAACCAATTATTGAGCCATGGTCTGGAATCAGGCAACTCGCAGTCGGAAGAAATCCAAAGACTCGAATCGGAACAGAATGCCCCTGTGGCTCGCAGCAATTGGAAGATATTCTTGACCATGATTGCTCTTTCGGTACGTTATCACCAAGGGAAGCCTGCGTACTGATTGCGGCCAATTTCTGGTGGAGAGCCCAACCCGATAAGCCCTTACTTACTGATACGCGCGTCATCAAGCTTGCTCTTTTCATCTCAGCCCTAGACCAGACGATCGTGGCGACGGCGACCCCCACAATAGCGTCCGAGTTGCACTCCGCGTCGGGCTATGTTTGGATCGGGGGTGCATATCTCCTGGCCAATGCGGCTAGTTCTAATATCTGGGCCAATCTCTCCGATATCTGGGGACGGAAGCTCGTTCTTCTCACCGCTGTCGCCTTGTTCTTTGGCGCATCCATCATTTGCGCGACTGCGGTCGATATGCCCATGCTGATTGCCGGTCGTGGTCTACAAGGTATAGCCGGCGGTGGGCTCATTCAATTAATCACTATCACTATCTCTGACCTGTTCAGTGTCCGGTATGGAATTGACGTATACCCGTATCCCCTACTCAGTGGCGTATGCTAATCTTCATCGTTGACCAGACTTCGCAGCCTTTTCATGGGACTCATTGAGTTCATCTGGGCGATCGCAGGAGCCATGGGCCCTCTTGTCGGAGGTGCCTTCACCCAATCCGTTTCCTGGCGATGGATTTTTTGGATCAACCTTCCCGTCTGTGGAACGGCCTTCGTGCTCCTATTCTTATTCTTGGACATCCACAACCCTAGAACCCCTGTTTTGGCCGGCATCAAAGCAGTGGACTGGTGGGGAAGCTTCTCCATGCTTGCGCTGATTATTTTGCTTCTCCTTGGCCTTGACTTTGGAGGAGCCACCTTCCCGTGGGACTCGCCCAAAGTGATCTGTCTCATCGTGTTTGGCGCTTTGATGTCGGTCGCCTTCATTTACAGTGAGAAGCGATTGGCCAAGTACCCACTCATGCCACTTGGGGTCTTCCACAATCGATCCAACGTGGCCTGCTTCTTGGTCGCGTTCACCCATGGCTTTGTAAGTGGTTCTCCAAAGGGCTGTCCTTCTCTCGTGACTCGAGCACAAAGCGTGCCAAGTTGAATACTAAGACCTATATGACCAGGCTTTCCTCGGATCGGAGTACTACCTCCCGACATATTTCCAATCAGCAAAGGAAGCGACCCCCTTCCACTCCGGACTGATGATCCTCCCCTTCGTGCTCACCGAAGCCGCTCTGAGTCTCTTTGCCGGATTGTTCATCCATGGCACCGGCCGGTACCTTGAGATCGTCTGGACGGGGACTACCCTCGTTGTCTTGGGTCCCGGACTGTTCGTCAATCTCGACACGGGGTCCTCGCTGGGTAAGATTGTCGGCTATCAGATCGTGGCCGGGATGGGATGCGGCTTGCTCTTCTTCCCGCCGCTTCTTGCTCTCCAGAGCAATGTCACGCAACGGGACACGGCGAGCGCCACCGCCACCTTTGGTTTCATCCGCAACGTGGCGATGGCCATGTCGGTGGTGCTGGGCGGTGTCGTGTTCCAGAACAGTATGGAGATGCGACAGGGCGATCTCCGTGCGGCAGGCCTATCGTCCGCTTACTTGGACGAGTTCTCGGGGTCGGAGGCTGCGTCCAATGTGGTGATCATCTCCACGATTCAGGAGGCGGATCAACGCCATGCGGTAGCCACCGCGTACGCCTGGAGTCTGCGTAATATGTGGATTCTGTATGCGTGTGTGGCGGCTGTGGGATTTGTTGCCAGCATGTTCATCACACGGCAGCATCTGAGCAAGGAGCATGTCGAGACCAAAACCGGGCTGAAGGAGAAGGAGTCGACAAGCTCGTAGCGGTCATTAGAGATGTTGCCAAAGATGGTTTTTACAAAAGTTTTGGGATTTTGGGTTCGATAGTAGTAGTTCCTCAGTACATAAGTAGTTACTCATAGTTGCATTTGTATATACGAAGTGTCACAATCGGCACCAATTTGATTAGTGTTAGATGATTACACCATGATAGTATCTCACAAAACAATTTAATCAACCCACCCCTGCGTAAAGAAGGCGTTGGAATTGACAGAGCGCTAAAACCGCCCCCTAATCTCGATGACGAGGCGAAACGAATCGGCAAACGTGGTTGTTGTAAGTTGCATCTCAGGCTAACCTCCCGAGACAATCCCCGCAACGCCACTCCGCCACAGAGCGAATCCCTCGGAGACCAGCAGGAGCAATGAGAACCAGGGCTGAAACCGTCCTCATCCAAGATGTGATTCTGTGCGTATCCTGCTCTACGAACCGCATCTCATCACAGAATCAAGATTCAGACCTGAGCCTGAAAGTTATCCTCGAGGTTTGGGGGCGGATACGTCTGAAGGCATAGGGATTTCTAACGAGTCGTATTGCTCAGTGGTCTTGCCGTCTAGCTGCGTAGGGTCTAATGGTTTGAACGGTTAGTGAACAAACCGTACTATTTTGTTGGCTCAACTGGGGAGGGGGCCTGACAGCTATGAACTAGTTCGTCGAAACGAGAATAGCCCGAATCATCGCAATCCGACTGAGAAGGTAATCACGATTAGGTACTCAACTGTTGACACTGAATGTGTTGCCACGCTGAGGTAGTTAGTTGTTTTGCTGTGATGCCAGTGAGTGATTGAAGCGACTGGACTGTCCCATCGCTCGCTCGATGGCTCGCTGGTCTCCCCTTCACTCACCTGCGAGAAGGGGTCCACACAGGCACAACCCGCTCAGACAAGACGCAGGTACCAGGGACATTCAGACTCAGGCTGCAGACGAGATCTGTTGGCAAGCCCAAGCCCATCTAGAAATTAGATCGATCTTACTCTTACGGCGGGAAGGTTGAGCGAACGAACCGGGTTCACCGGCGAGAAGACGGTGCGGAGGTGGGCGGGCAGTGCAAAGGTCCTGGAGGAAATGAGTGAGTGGGTCAAGTTGGGGGCGATACAGGAAGCTAGAAGGAAATTCGACATTGACTGCGGGAGAGAGAAGCTTCCAAGAATTGAAGTAAGCGTCGGTTGGGGGCTGTGGGTAGAGCTTCATTGCCTCTTTTTCTCATCCTTTCCCTATCCCGGTAATGAGCTTGGCCATTCAGCCCCCAACCATTACTGGCACCACTTCATCTTCCATAGATCCAAGATTACAACAACCGAGTCGAGGGGCCACAATGATTCTTGAGTTCATTACGTGTTGGATGTGTGAAACCATGGGCTGGAATGGACTTGGGATGAGGATGGGATGATAGATGCAGGTAAAGGAGAAGGGATAAAAGCGTTCCAGATGTCCCAGCTCAGTCAAAACGCAGACAACCGCTTCGCGCACACAAGACCGCAATCATGCTCAGGAAGTCCTTATTGTTGGCCTTGTTGGCCAGTCGAGTCGTGACTGGAGCCCTGGCGGCCGATGTCATTGCGAGTTCAGTCGAGCCCTTTGACCCTCTGGCGATAGTGGTAGATGTGGCAGAGCAGCCCAACCTTCACGAGAATGTCGCCAGGCATGATTTGGGGCATTTCCTGCAGCGCAGGAAGCACAAGTCCAGCAGCAGCAGCAGCAGCAGCAAGGGTAAAGGTAGTACACATGAGACTGGTAGCGAAGACACCACCACCAAAGCTGAAGAAAAGAAGACAACAACCACCAAGAAGGCGGAGTCGACAACATCCACCAAATCCACAACCACTCATACGACCACCACCACGACTACCACCACGGAAGAGAAGCAGACATCTACTACCTCCTCGAGCTCTACCACCTCTCATTCCTCTTCCACTACTGCAACTTCGACTGCTACTAGCACCACCGCGACCACTAGCAAGACCACATCCACGGTGTCGACATCTTCTGAGCCTGACTACTCAACGACTTCGATCAGCACAACGTCAACATCAGCACCCACAGCTACCTCTAGCTCTACCACGACCGCTGTTGCAGCAGAGCACTCTCCTACCACTTCTAAGGAGGCAGCCTCCCAGTCAGCTACCAGCTCTATTGAAGCAGGGCATGGGTCTACAAGCACGGTGGACACGACAACGAAATCTGTCACAACCTCTGCAGAGCTGCACCATGCCTCATCAACCAGGATCGATACGACGCACACGTCCACAACCACCTCCCTCCCGACTTCGGTGGGAGAGGAGCAACCGGCTAGTGCAAGCGTCCAGGTCGGCACAAGCACCACTGAGGCACCCAGCGCGGCGACCTCGACCGAGTCAGGCTCTGATGAGTCGGGGAGTTCAGACGACGATGGTTCTTCTTTGTCAGAGTAAGTCACAGTTAACCGCAACCCACTCTACAATTTGAGTCACGCTGACAGACATCCCTAGCACGATCAGCAGTATCGGAGACACGATCAGCAGCGTAGGTGATACCGTCGGTAGCATCGGCGATACTATCTCTTCCCTTGAGGATGGATCCGACGACGGCTCAACCACCTCAGACGACTCCGGAAGCTCCTCCCTCTCCTCCCCCTCCTCCGCCCTCATCATCGACGATAGTTCCACCGCGGCCGCAATCCCCTCCTCTACTCCAATAGCCTCGAGTTCCCGACCACCCAGACCCCTGCAGACCTCAACCTTCACCATCATGGCTTCGCCAACATCATCTCAAACCACCCCGGAGGCGACACTGATTGTCTAAGTCCTCCGATATACATGTGAAATAGTAGACCGTACCGTACAACTCCCAAGCGGGTGGTTGTATTAACTCTCCACTCCTTTGATTTCCTCCTCTTCTGCTGCACTCTGTATGTATGAATCCTCTTCTTGAATTTGCATCAGAGACTATTTCAATTCGGGACGTGCCTCTCATTTTCCATCCTTCATGCTATTTCTTTCATTGCCACGTATGTCTCTGACCTTCACTTCTTTCTCTCGTTCATCCCATTTTTGCCTCATCTGTGTAATGACTAAGTTTGTATGACTGTTTGGGAACTTCGAGTTGAAATCTTACAGGTCATTTGACGGCATCGCATTGCAATCATAAGAAAGTTATTCTGCCGGCATCCTACCGGCACGACCGGCATGGGTTTAGCGACTAGATGAGAATAGCTCCTTACACCCCCCTGAGTCAGCAGAAACTTGCAAAGAAAAGTCAAGCTGGACTCCGCAAAGTCTACGATGAACATTGCCTACAATTCATGAAAGGAGTAGCCAAAAGCCAAGCATTAAGTCCTAAGTCCATAGTTCTTGGAAAACCACTATCATTCCAGATGATTCTTCGCAACCCGTTCCTCGCCATCACTGCACCTCGCCCATGAGACCACTCGTCTAGTCCAAGAACACCAACCGGCCGTTCTGGTTCGAGATGCGCTCATCCAACCGAATATAGCTCCGCTTCCACCCCCCATTTCCATTGCCAAGGTCGGCCACCAAGACCCGGCCCCCATCTTCCAGATGAACATTACTGGCCGAGGCCGCGAAATTGCCATGGCGCGCCCACTTCAACTCCCCCCAGGAGTTGGTCAGCACGTCGTTCAAGGGGAGCACCGACCGATGCTGGTGGCCGTTCACATCGCTGCAATAGGCCACGAGCTCGTGGTAACCCTCAAGCCGAATCTCGCGGGACGAGCCGGAGAAATTCCCGCGGTAGCTTCCGCCCCCGCCGCCGTGGTGGTGGTGGCAGTGCTTCTTCTCGTCATCGGACGAGGAAGAAGATGAAGATGACGAGGAGCTGGAGTGACGGTTGTGGCGGTTGGCGCGGCGTTGCATCTTGCGTTCTTCCTTCTCGCGACGCTTCTGCTCCTTGAGGGCCTCCTTTTGCCGGCGTTGGGCTTCTTTCTCCTCCTCTTCCTTCTTCTTGCGGTGGTTCTTGATGGCGTCTTCGGCGACAGAGCCGGTCAGAGCGCCTCCGATCGCACCGAGGAAGCCGTGATTGACTTTGTGGCCTGCAAAAGCGCCGGCTGCACCGCCAGTGACGGCGCCTAGGAAGCCGCGATCCTGTTCATCGGTGGCACTGGGTGGCAGGTTGGGTTCTGAGGTCACGGTATAGGGTGGGGGTTGTTGGGGGTGGCCTGGTTGCTGCGGGTAGGGGGAGTACGGGCGGTCGTTGTAGGGTGGGTTGTTACCCGGTGCGCCTCCCTCCTGCGGGGGGTATGGGGGGTACCCAGGAGGGCCTCCGTGTTGAGGGTATGGGGGCTGCTGTGGCTGGCCGTACGGCTGGTGGGGGTAGCCTTCGCCGCCTACAGAGGGGGATGGTGAAGGACCGCTCCATGATGGCTGGCCCATGGGTTGGTAGGGGCTATGAGCGCGAGTGGGATCTGGCGAAGTAGCATAGTAGTTCTGGTTGGGATTGGCGGTTTGAGGATAGTAGTTCTCGTAGTTGGGTTTCTGGTTGGGATCGGAGGGAGGATAGGGGCTGTAGGGACCAGTGCGAGGTGTGTCGGCACCAGGCGTCGATGAAGACCAGGGTCCAGGAGTATGTGTTTCCTCGCGACGAGGGTTCTGGGAACCGCCGAAGTACTCTTGTGCGGACATGGTGCGGGTTGTCTGATATTTAAAGTAGTAAAGAACAGGGAGGAGGGGAAAAGTGAGAAGAGGTTAGTAGGAAATAGAAAAAGAAGTGAAGTTGGTGGGGGGGGTTCAAGAGAGGAATATATATGGGGGCACCTGCTGTATTTACTGCCCGTCAGCAGTGGCTGTGCGGGGGCATATTTACTGCAGTGCCTGAGTGGGGCTCAGACGCTGGGTGTTTCACTCCTGCCTGTTTTGGGCAAGCATAAGGCTGACGGAGACTCGATCCTGAAAATGAGGGGCACTGCCACACCAGGCGGGGATGTCACTGTGGCTGAGTCGGAGAATTTGCCGGGCGGTCAGTGGCTCGCACTCCACCGCCGCACGTTCTCATGCATCATCATAGCAGTCAGTCTATACTCCATTCGAACCCAATACCTACCCTCTCTTCTCCAGTGGAACTTCGAATTCAAACAATTTCACCTACTCGACATTTGAATCGAAGGTATTCTATTCTGCTCGTCAATTGCAAAACCAAAAACAAAAAAAAAAAAAAAAAAAAAACAAAAAAGCTGCTATCGGCCTCTTCCGGATGGCAGCCCCGCTTGCTGATAAGAACGGCGACTGCCGATAACTGAGTCTCTCTCCATTCAACATCCCCCGGATTTATAACCAGCCCAGGTTCCTTTCCGACGATCCTCTCTCAAAAAGTCACATCATACAAAAAAAACACCAATTGGCATCATCCTCAGCAGCAACAGCAGCATCATCGCCACCATGGCACCACCGACTCTCTCATCCCCGACACCCACCCTAACCCTCACGCCCGAACCGCTCACTCCATCCGCCTTCTCCAGCTTCGGCACCGCTATCACCTCACCTCTCCCCCGCACGACAACCAAACCACCACCCCCGTCCACCCTCCAAACCCTGCACCCCGTGCCCGTTCTCGCCAACCAAAACACCGCCCTCAAGTACAGTCCCATCTCGCCGCTCGACGACCACTACATGACGGCCCCATGTCCCAGCGGCCGCGCCTCCTCCGCTCGCATGACCATGTTCTCCTGCTTCCCGCGGCCTCTCCGCGTGAACCCCGATCAGAAAGCCATCTTTGACGTCCGCATCCTCGAGCGCCACCCATTTACCACCCAGACTTTCGCCCCTCTCGATCTGTCGAGTCAATCGACGACCGGCCCGCACGGCAACGCGGAGCCATTCTACCTGGTCATCGTGGCGCCCTCGCTGACGGGCACAACCGCGCAGGCTACTACCGCCGCCGGGAAGGTGGTCACCGTGGCCAACCCGCCGGATTTGAGCCGCGTAAGGGCGTTTGTGGCGCGCGGCGGCCAGGCCGTGACCTATGCGGCGGGGACGTGGCATGCGCCTATGGTGGTGGTCGGGGACCGGAGGGTGGATTTTCTGGTGGTGCAGTTTGTTAATGGAGTTGATAGTGAGGATTGTCAGGAGGTGGTGTTTGGGGAAGGGATTGGGGTTGAGGTTGATCGGGAAGGCGAGCTGGGGGCTGGGGAGGTGGTGAAGGCGAGGCTTTGATTTGCGGGGATTGTGAACTGGGGGTGGGTTAGGGTCGTGGACAATACGGAATGGCATCGTGGCATTGGGTTTGTATGGGACAGAGAAAAGTGTATTGTATTGTACATAGCTGTTGGACCGAAATATTCTGGAGGATAGAGGCTGGGTACAGCCGGGGGGAGTGGAAAGTAATGTACATAAATTGCCAATATTGACGTGCGTGATCGAAAAGTGATATGTGCAGTCATCATACAGGGGCTGTTGCCTGGTTCTCATGCGAGTCAGTCATCAGTCCTTGGTGACGCACTCGTCGCGCCAATTCAATGGTCTCGGAGGGCAAGCCAGCCAGCTGGGCCACTTTGAGGGCATGGGATTCGCGGTTCACACCCTTGCGCAGCCGGTGCACAAACGAAAAGCCCCCGTTCGCCGTCTCCTTGACGTCGGTACAGTACCGGCCGAGCGACTCGAAGTCGCGGGTCATGTCTGCCAGCGTATGGAAGTGCGTTGCAAAGAGCGTTCGGCAACGATTGTGATAGTGCAGGTGGTGCAGGCATGCAAAGCTCACAGCAGTCCCATCCTCCGGCGTTGTGCCTCGACCCACCTCGTCCATGATCACAAAGGATCGCGGAGTCGCCTGCTTCAGAATCGCCGCCGTCTCAAGCATCTCCACCATGAAGGTGGACTGGTCCCGGAACAAGTCGTCGGCCGCTCCGATCCGACTAAAGATCTTGTCTACAATGCCCATCTCCGCATAGTCGGCCGGCACTAACGATCCGACTTGGGCGAGGATCGTGATCAAAGCGTTCTGTCGGAGAAAGGTGCTCTTGCCAGCCATGTTGGGGCCGGTGACGAGCCAGATTCGGTCCGGCTCTCCCAGAAAGCAGTCATTGCTGACGAACCGCCGGCCCTGCTCTTCCAGACCCAGCTTGACCGTGGGATGTCGACCACCGATGATCTTGTGGCATGGGCCGTCGACGAAGATTGGACGGACCAGTCTCTGCTCTTGGGCCAGGGTGGCGAATGAGCATGCTACGTCCAGTTCGTCCAGAACGGCCGCGTTGCGGCGGATTTTGACGAGGTTGAGGATGACCTCGCGGCGCAGGATCTCGAAGATTGCCTGCTCTTCTTGGCGGATCTGGAGCTTGATCTGGTCTATCTGGCCGCCCAGCTCGGTCCACGCTGGCAGGTAAAATGACCGAGTGGACTTCGTCATTGAGACATTCCGCGTCACTCCCAAGTCTTCCAGGGATTGCTGGGAGATCTTCGCAGCTTTGACGTGGCATATGTGACCGAGGCCCGGAGTCCATTTGAGGGAAAGAGCCGTCGACCCGACAGCGTCGCGAAGGCGCTGGGTGAGTTCCGCCTTCTCATCGTACAGACAGTCCATTCTTTGATGGAGGTCCTGGAGAGCAGGGCTGGCGCCGCGCCGCATGATCCAGGTTTCGATGGCAGACGCTTCATCTGCCGTCCCGGACCCGCCTCGTTCGCCGCTCCTCATCCGGACTTTCTTCGGCAAAGTCTCCATTTCACCCGGCAGACCTTCGTTCAAGGTCACCTCCTGTGCTAGCATGGCTGCTTCAGCAGCGGTGTCATCTTCAATGCGTTGTTTCTGTAGCAGCCCCTCTTCGTCGATCGCGGCCGTGATTTTCTCGGCCAGAATCGTGGGCCCGTTCATATACAATCGATCAATCATGGCCTTCAGGCTACGACCTGCGGGTGTATCTTTACATTTTCGCCTTTTACTCATCAGCACCCGCCTGATTTCTTTTGAAGCTTCGATGGCGCGGGAAAGGCATATCAGGTCATCTGCGTCTCCTCTCCCTAGCGTAAACTTCTGAACCAATCTCTGCGCATCGTAGCTGCGCTTCAAGTACTCGATGACATTGCTGTGCAAGGCAGTATCGTCGATGAAGGTACACACGAGGTCCAGGCGTTCGTTGATCACACCCATAGAGGTTGAAGGAGAGGCTGCAATATTAGGCATTAGTCGAGGAAAGTTGATCGAGCACAAGGGAATGAAAGCATACTTAGGCGATCACGTAGCAGCCGCGCACCGCTCTTCGTCGACGTCCTGCGTACCGCATGAAGCAAGCTCCCTTTACCGAAGCCATCCCTGGCCGTTTCCAGTATCTCCAGGCCTCTCAGACTGTTCCGGTCAATGCTCATCGATTCGTCCAAATCCCGACGGCGCGGGGGTTGAAGCTTCATATTCAATCCTTGTAGCTGAACGCGGATGTATTCGAGTAGGCTGAAGCCAGCAGCTACCTCTTCGTGAGTAAAAGACTCTGCAGCTTTGGCAGATATGGGTGCTTCGAGCACCGATCCCCACTTCGTCATGGGCTCGATCTTGGAAGGAAAGGGGAAAAAGGTCATCAATCGTTGGTCATGCCCGCTCAGTAGCTCTAGCTCTTGCCTGACCCCGTCTCCGAGGGCTTGATCAACCAGCACCTCACGCGCACCTATACGTGCAATCGCCGACGGCAGCATCTGGGCTGTGATCACTTGGGTAAAGAAATCACCGGTGGAGAGGTCCAACCACGACAGGCCAACATTCTGGGACGCTAGTGGCAGCACATGTTGTTTTGACGAGTCATCATCCTGGCCCCCCTGCTCTTTGACGGAGCTGCCATCCAGATAGATCGCTAGCAAGAAGTTGTTCTCGGAAGGATCCATGAACTTCTCATCAATCAGGGTGCCGGGGGTAATGATCCGGGCGACTTTGCGGTCGAAAAGAAGGCCATTATTGCGCAGCTTGCCCTCAGCATCATTGGCAAACTCTTCGCTTATAGCCACATACTTGTTCAAGTCCTGAACGAGTATCTTGAGGAAGCGGTCCAGCTGGAAAAAAGGAAAGCCGGCCATGTAAACAGGCCCGGCACTTGTCCTTTTTATGGCCAGTTTCAGGTTCAGCAACGGAGCCAATTCTTCTGCCTGCTCAAAGTACAGCTATAGCATAGCAGCGTCAGAACACGCTACGTGCAGGAATAAAGCGAGGCTCTGGCTGGCAGTCTCATCTCATACCTCGTAAAACCCGCCAACGCGGGTCAGGACAACACAGTTCTTAAACTTTTGCATGTTGTTGCGGTGTCCCTGCAGAACAACCGGATATTGAGGGCCAGCATTGGAACCATCGTCGAAAGGTTCCAGTTTTAAAGCGCCCTGAGGCAAGTCCTTCAATACCACCGAAGATTTGGATTTGGCAGTTCTACTCGGACCGTGTGTGGTGGGCGTCACCCGGGGTGGAATGCATAGAATCGGCCTCCGAGCATGGTGGCAGATGGTGCGGTGTACATGACAGCGATACGGTGGACAAGTCGTCCGAACAAGACTCACATGTCGCTGCGCCTGGATCAAATTAGAGATCGATAATCCATGGGCACGCATCGTCTCGGCCCCGATCACCTCAACTTGCAGAAATTCAAGTTGTATACGCGTTGAAGCTTGACCGAATCGGATCTCCGAGCGGCGGCAGAAACCAGGGCGGAAATATGGACACCTCAGGCCGCAAGGGCCGTCCGCCAGACCTTCCCGCTTCGCCACGCAAATCTGCTGGGACGAGAACCTCGCCCGAACTTCGTCAACCGCCAAACTCCTTCCAACTCCGCAAGAATCCCCCCTCTTCAGCAGCTCGCAACATCGCCACCGACGAGTGTGCTTGTTTCTTGTCGGAGGATGTTCTGGGTTTGTGGAACCTAATTGACTCACTTTGATATCCAGAAGAACCAACCCACTGTCATCAAGAGCTTGTCGCAGGTGTCACGACGCGCCGCCGGCTGAAATCTGAGCTCCACCGAGCCTCAGACGACATTTCGCCTGCCACTCGCCTCACAATCCTTCTCCCTTTCTTCCGTCCGATTTCCATCTAGTTCTACCTTTTCCACAGACCACCCGTCAAGATGGCCGACCAAAATATCTCCCAGTACAAGTACTCGGCGATGTCCAACCTGGTTCTCCAGGCGGATCGTCGTTTCATCTCTCGCGTCAACGATGAACCCACCGGGGACCCGGAGTCCCTCGCCGGCCGCATCAGCATCCGGGAAATGGGATCGAGGATGGCGCGGGACGATGCGCCCAAGACCAAGAAGAAGGCCGGGCTGACGGATATCGAGCGAGGCTCCATTCGCGAAGGCGAGGATGTGCTCGCTCGCGAACAGAGAAAGACCCAGCGGGGTCAACCAGCGCAAGTACGCGGCCAAGGGATTCTGTCCGCGGCCGATGCCCTGGTCGAGGGGTTGAAGTACCGTCCGCGCACCCCTGCCACTCGGGCCACCTATGACCTCATCCTCACAATGACCGCCAGCCATCTGGGCGATGTACCACACGAAGTGGTTCGGAGTGCGGCTGATGCAGTGCTGGAATTATTGAAGGACGAGGATATGAAGGATTTCGACAAGAAGAAAGAGATTGATGACTTGTTGGGGAGTTCGATGAACCCCAAGGAATTCAATGAGCTCGTCAACTTGGGCAAGAAGATTACGGACTACGATGCACAGGATGACGATGAAGAGATGGGCGACGGACTGGCTGGTGAGGGCGAGGCCGAGTTGGATGAGCGTCAGGGTGTGGCGGTCGTGTTCGATGAGGAGGATGAGGATGACGAACGCCTGGGCACCCTGGACGAAGTCCGCGATGATGACGAACTCTCCGAAGACGATGAAGCCGACCAACAGGATGCCCCTGGACTTGATGACGCAACGACCGAGAAAGCGGATCTCGAAGGATTAGAAGACGCTGAAGAGATGGTCATCGACGGCGGTCTAAATCGTGGAGACGAACGGCGTAACAAAAAAACCACAGTCCTTGCTCGAGAAATCGATGCTTACTGGCTTCAACGCCAGATCGGTAACGCATATCCGGATGCTCACGTACAACATGAGAAGGCGACGCAGGCACTCGAGATCCTGGGAGGCAAAGGAGAGGATGGCGAGGTGCGGCCCCTCCGCGACGTGGAAAACGATCTGATGGATCTCTTCGATTACGAGCATCCCGAACTTGTCGCCACTCTGGTCACGAACCGTGATAAGATTGTGTGGGTTACACGTTGGCGACGAGTCGCTGAAGATGCGGATGCCCGCCATCTGGTCGAGAGTGAAATGGTTGAAGCTGGACACCGTGCTATTCTAGACGAGATTCAGGGCAAGGCGACTCGTGATGAAGCAGGTCGTCCCTCAAAGAAGATCAAGCTAGATTTGATGGACGTGGATGTGCCCAACGCCCCTCAGCAACAGGAAGAGAAGCAGGAGGATGGAGGACTAGTGCGAGGTCTGCAGCCAAAGAGATTGATCAATCTGGAGAACCTGGTGTTCCATCAAGGTAACCACTTGATGACGAATCCTAGCGTCAAGCTGCCTCAAGGCTCAACAAAGCGGACGTTCAAGGGATATGAAGAGATTCATGTGCCGCCCCCTCAGGCCAAGAAGGAGCCTGGCGAGAAGAATCTTCCCACCACCGAGCTACCCGAGTGGGCTCGCATTGGCTTCGGAAGTTCAAAGGAGCTGAACCGTATCCAATCCAAGTGTTTCCCCGCCGCCTTCCACGATGATGGGAACCTGCTTGTCTGTGCTCCCACCGGTTCAGGTAAAACCAACGTTGCTATGCTTACCATTCTTCGCGAGATTGGCAAGAACCGAAACCCGGAGACGGGAGAGATCATGCTGGATGACTTCAAGATTATCTACATTTCTCCCCTGAAGGCATTGGTGCAGGAACAAGTTGGAAATCTCGGCAAGCGTTTGGAGCCATACGGCATCAAGGTTGCGGAACTGAGCGGTGATCGCCAGCTCACGAAGCAGCAAATCGCCGAGACCCAGATTATCGTGACGACTCCCGAGAAGTACGATGTTATCACTCGGAAGGCCTCAGAGACGAGCTACACCAGACTTGTCCGTCTGATCGTCATTGACGAAATTCACCTTCTCCACGACGAGCGTGGTCCTGTCATCGAGAGCATTGTTAGCAGGACCATCCGCAAGGTAGAACAGACTGGTGACCCGGTTCGTATCGTGGGTCTCAGTGCTACACTGCCCAACTACCGGGATGTGGCCAGCTTCCTGCGTGTGGACCCTCTGAAGGGCCTATTCCACTTCGATGGCTCCTACAGACCCTGTCCCCTCAAACAAGAATTTATTGGAGTTACTGACAAGAAGGCGATCAAGCAGCTGAAGACCATGAACGATATTTGTTACAACAAGGTTCTTGAGCAGGTTGGCCAGAAGAGAAACCAAATGCTCATCTTCGTTCACTCCCGCAAGGAGACGGCCAAGACCGCTAAATACATCAGAGACAAGGCTCTAGAGATGGAGACGATCGGTCAGATTCTGCGCAGTGATGCTGCAAGCAGAGCCATCTTGGCTGAAGAAGCTGAGTCGGTCGACGACGCTTCGCTCAAAGATCTGCTGCCTTACGGTTTCGGCATTCATCACGCGGGTCTGAGTCTCGCTGATCGAGACTCCGTCCAGGCGCTTTTCGCCGACGGCAGCATCCAAGTGCTTGTCTGTACGGCAACTCTTGCCTGGGGTGTCAACTTGCCTGCGCATACGGTCATCATCAAGGGTACCCAGATCTACTCGCCAGAGAAGGGCAGCTGGGTCGAACTCAGCCCGCAAGACGTTCTGCAAATGCTCGGTCGTGCTGGTCGACCTCAATACGATACCTTCGGTGAGGGTATCATCATCACGTCACAAAGCGAAATTCAGTACTACCTTTCGCTCCTGAACCAGCAATTGCCGATCGAGAGTCAGCTCGTGAGCAAGCTTGCCGACAACATGAATGCTGAGATTGTTCTCGGAAACATACGTACTCGGGACGAAGGCGTTGACTGGCTGGGCTACACTTACCTGTTCGTCCGCATGCTCCGCTCTCCTGGTCTGTACAGTGTCGGTGCAGACTACGAAAATGACGACGCCTTAGAACAGAAGCGTGTTGATCTGGTTCACTCTGCAGCCGTTATCTTGGAAAGAGCCGGTCTCGTGAAGTACGACAAGAACACTGGGCGCTTGCAATCTACGGAACTGGGTCGCATTGCCTCTCATTACTACATTGGCCATAATTCCATGTTGACTTATGCCCAGCACCTCCAACCCAACATCACCACGATCGAGCTGTTCCGGATCTTCGCTCTTAGCGATGAATTCAAGTACATTCCGGTCCGTCAGGACGAGAAGCTGGAACTTGCTAAGCTGCTTGGTCGTGTGCCTGTTCCTGTCAAGGAAGGAATCGATGAGCCTCATTCCAAGATCAATGTCTTGCTTCAGGCTTACATCTCTCGCCTCAAGCTGGAGGGACTTGCCCTGATGGCAGATATGGTTTATGTCACCCAGTCAGCCGGTCGTATTCTCCGCGCTATCTTCGAGATCTCACTGAAGAAAGGATGGTCTTCCGTGGCCAAGACTGCCCTCAACCTTTGCAAGATGGCTGAGCGGCGCATGTGGCCCACAATGTCCCCGCTCCGTCAGTTCCCATCCTGCCCGCGGGACATCCTGCAGAAGGCAGAGCGAATTGACATCCCTTGGGCTAGCTACTTCGATCTCGATCCTCCCCGCATGGGTGAGCTTCTGGGTATGCCCAAGGCTGGACGCGTTGTCTGCGATCTTGTCTCGAAGTTCCCTCGCTTGGACGTCCAAGCCCAGGTTCAACCCGTTACGCGCTCCATGCTACGGGTTGAACTGACAATCACGCCCAACTTTGTATGGGATGAGACATTGCACGGATCGGCCCAGGACTTCTGGATTCTGGTGGAGGACTGCGATGGCGAGGAGATCCTGTTCCACGATCAGTTCCTCCTGCGGAAAGATCATGCGCAATCAGAGATGAACGAGCATCTCGTTGAGTTTACTGTCCCCATCTCTGAGCCGATGCCTCCTAACTACTTCATTTCACTGGTGTCGGATCGCTGGATGCACTCGGAAACCAAGATTGCTGTTTCGTTCCAGAAACTGATCCTTCCTGAACGTTTCCCGCCTCACACGCCCCTCTTGGATATGCAACGGGCGCCAGTAAAGGCGTTGAAGCGCGAGGATTTCCAGCAGCTGTATCCCGAGTGGCAGTACTTCAACAAGATCCAGACGCAGACTTTCAAGTCTCTCCATGACACAAATGACAACGTCTTTGTTGGTGCTCCCACTGGCAGCGGAAAGACCGTGTGTGCCGAGCTTGCCTTGCTGCGTCATTTGTCTCAGCAGGACAGCGGCCGCGCTGTGTACATTGCTCCATTCCAAGAGCTGATTGACCAACGTCTGGCGGACTGGGAGAAGCGATTCAGCCAGCTTGCCGGAGGTAAGAACATTGTGAAGCTTACTGGCGAAACCACAGCAGATCTCAGGCTCTTGGAGCGAGCCGATATTGTTCTCGCCACTCCAAATCAATGGGATGTCTTGTCCCGGCAATGGCGGAAGCGAAAGAATGTGCGGGCGGTACAACTCTTCATTGCCGATGAGCTACACATGCTTGGAGGTTATGGCGGTTACATCTACGAGGTGGTGGTCTCACGTATGCACTCCATGGCTCTGGAAATCGAGAATGGCATGCGCATCATCGGCTTGAGTGTGCCTCTTGCAAACGCCCGTGATATTGGCGAGTGGATTGGTGCCAACAAGCATACCATTTATAACTTCAGCCCTCACGCCCGTCCAGTACCTCTTGAGCTCCATATCCAGTCCTTCACCATCCCTCACTTTCCCTCGCTTATGCTTGCAATGGCCCGACCAGCATACCACTCAATCCTACAGCTGTCAGCCGATAAGCCCGCCATTGTCTTCGTGCCGAGCCGGAAACAGACTCGTGCTACTGCCATGGATCTGCTAGCTGCATGTGCCACGGACGACAACGAGGATCGATTCCTCCACGCCGATGTCAACGAGCTGGCTCCTCTCCTCGGCCGAATTCAAGAGCGGACGTTGGCAGAGTCTCTCTCCCACGGTATTGGCTATTATCATGAGGCATTAAGTCCTACGGACAAGCGCATCGTGTCTCACCTCTTCTCCATCGGTGCTATCCAGGTTCTGCTTGCTTCTCGTGATGTATGCTGGGAGCTCGACTTGACTGCGCACCTGGTGATTGTTATGGGAACTCAATTCTTCGAGGGCCGCGAGCACCGCTACATCGACTATCCCATCAGCGAGATCCTGCAGATGTTTGGCAAGGCTTCTCGTCCCGGTGAGGACAAGCTTGGTCGCGGTGTGCTCATGGTGCCGGCCGTCAAGCGCGATTATTACAAGAAGTTCTTGAACGAGGCCTTGCCCGTTGAGAGTCACTTGCAGGCTTATCTGCACGATGCGTTTGTCACGGAGATCAGCACAAGAACGATTACCTCGACCCAAGATGCCATTGATTGGATGACGCATACGTACTTCTACCGTCGCCTCCTAGCCAACCCGAGTTTCTATGGTCTGACTGATGTCAGCCACGAGGGTCTCAGTACATTCCTGTCTGAGTTGCTCGAAAACACTCTGAAGGAGTTGTCTGATGCCAAGATCGTGGATCTCGATGAAGACGACGACAGTGTCGCTCCTCTGAATGCTGCCATGATTGCCTCATACTACAACATCTCCTTCATCACTATGCAGACCTTCCTTCTTTCCCTGTCGGCCCGCACTAAGCTCAAGGGCATCCTGGAGATCATCACTTCGGCCACGGAGTTTGAAACCATTCAGATGCGTCGTCACGAGGACCACATTCTTCGCCGCGTGTATGATCGTGTACCGGTGAAGATGGCTGAGACTGCTTACGACTCGCCCCACTTCAAGGCCTTCGTCCTGCTGCAGGCTCATTTCTCGCGCATGCAATTGCCCATCGACCTTGCCAAGGATCAGGAAGTCATTGTCAGCAAGGTGCTGAACCTTCTCAGTGCGTGTGTGGATGTGCTCTCGTCGGAGGGTCATCTGAATGCGATGAACGCGATGGAGATGTCACAGATGGTCGTCCAGGCCATGTGGGACCGGGACAGCCCGTTGAAGCAGATTCCTCACTTTGGGCCCGAGGCGATCAAGGTGGCTAATGAGTACAAGTATGTATCCAGTGATCAACCTCCATTGAACGGTGCTAATCTTGTCGCTAGTATCAACGACATCTTCGAGTTCATGGAAGCCATGGACCCGTCGGAGAACAAGGACTACGCGACACTGGTGAAGCGCCTTGGCCTGGACAACAAGCAGCTGGCCCAAGCGGCTGCTTTCACGAACGAGAAGTATCCCAACCTCGAGCTCGACTTTGAAGTGGAGGATCCTGAGAATGTCACCTCGGGCGAGCCGGCCTACCTCAAAATCAAGATCGAGCGAGAAGTCGAGGAGGATGAAGAGCCTGATACGACAGTTCACGCGCCCTTCTACCCAGGCAAGAAGATGGAGAATTGGTGGCTGGTGGTGGGAGACGAGAAGACCAAGAACTTGCTCGCCATCAAGCGGGTGACTATTGGGCGAAAACTGGATCTGCGTCTGGAATACATTGTGCCGACGCCTGGCGAGCATGAGTTGACGCTCTACTTGATGAGTGACAGCTATGTGGGTGTGGATCAAGCTCCTACCTTCACAGTCACGGCGGCGGAGGGTATGGATGAGGATGAGAGCGAGGAGGAATAGGAGGATGAGTAGAGGATGTTTCTTTAATTCTTATTGAAATGCATTTGTATGATTGTGTGTATTTATAAGTTTTAATGGGGGGGGGGAATATACGATATACAACCAACCCTTAAGACCTACTAGTAGCGCTTACTGCTATCCCAATTCGGCATCCCGGAGAAGCTCAAGTGCGGGAGCGCCCAGCCATCCTGACGCCACCTCCGCTCTTTCGTTTCCCCTCACGGGTCCTCCCTCCTTCATCCCTTTGCTTTCCTCTCTTCTTTTCTTCCTAACAGCTTCTCCTTTTCATCATCATCATCATCATCATTATCATCCTTGTCTCATACCGAGTATAACCTTGCTCTGGTGTGCATTGATTGGGCTGCTCTACAACTGCAGCTACTGTCTTTGAGCTATCTCCCTATCTTATCTATTGGGCCATTGCCGGTCGCAGTGTCATGACCATCCGATCCATGAAATTCACTCCAGAGTATGTCTTGAGGTCACTCAGCTGGAAACCCCCCCCCGGGGTCATAGGCGATGACTCTCGCACCTTGAATGGCATTAACTGATTTGCGCAGAGTCCTCCTGGGAGCTCCTCGGCGCTCTGGCCCTGTGCCGAATGCCTCAGGCACCCTTGCGGTCTACACCCAGACCACCTATTCGTTCGAATCTCACTCCAAGACCAACGAGATCCGCGTATTGGACATTGAAAGTGGCAGATCGGCCCTCATTACCAATGATGCCGGTGCCAGTTGTCCTCAGTGGCTAGGCGACAGCAACCAGCTGGTCTGGTTGAAAGCCAAGGCGAACGGCAATACGAGCTTTATCATCGGGGATGCACGCGAGGCAGACAAAACCTATACTGCAGGAACGGTTCCAGGCCCGGTCTCAGATCTCAAGGTCACAGTGGTTGAGCCGGGCAAGATTGGCTTTGCGGTCACCGGCAAGGCCAACACGGACGGTACCTTGTACAACCCCCATGACGCGAAGAAGCCGACCAGTACCGGTCGCCTCTACACCTCGCTATTCGTTAGACACTGGGACTCGTATATTGAGCCCCAGAAGAATGCTATTTGGTATGGGTTGCTCCAGCAAGCGCCTCTCTCTCCTCCCACCCGACAAGCGGGCAAGTACGCTGTGTCTGGGCTCACGAACCTGATCCAAGTTTGTGGCTTGACTGGGGTAGAGTCGCCGATTCCGCCGTTTGGCGGTACTGGTGATTTTGACATCAGCCCCTCTGCGATCGTGTTTGTTGCTAAGGATCCGAACCTGAACCCTGCCACGCACACCTCTTGCTCGTGCTACTACTGTCCGATGTTCTCCTGGACCAGCGTGACGGCAATGGAGACTAGGGTGTGCACCCTCAAGGGCCTGGAAGGAGCCATGTCCTCCCCGATTCTGACCTCTGACGGTAGCTCCATTGCTCTACTCGTAATGCGGGAGGACGGATATGAGTCCGATAAGAGACGGATTTTGTATGTGCCGAACCCGTGGAGTGGCGAGATGATCGAGATTTTTGCGTCGTCGGATGGGGAGGGCGCCTGGCCTCTTAGTCCGTCGGGGTTGACGTTTGCGCATGACGATAAGTCGTTGATCATCCAGGTCGAGGAGATCGGACGGGGAGTTCTCTATCAGCTGCCTCTAGAGAATGTTCGCCACTCAACGCCCGACGCGTTGAAGAAGCTGACACATTCAGGATTCGTGACGGAGGTGTTCCCTGCCGCAGCCAACTCGAGCAAATTACTCATCGCCAGTAGCACTCTTGTGGACAACAGCCAGTGGTCTATCATTGATCCTGAGTCGCCGAATGACGTGCGTGTTATATCCTCCATTGGACGCGACGGTGCTTCCTTCGGGCTTTCCCCTACACAAATCGATGAAATCTGGTACCGTGGTGCAAATGACACACCTGTACATGCCTGGGTGGTGAAGCCGTCCCACTTCAAGCCGGGGGAGAAGTACCCGTTGGCTTATCTGATTCATGGAGGTCCTCAAAGTGCGTGGTGCGAGCAATGGAGCACTCGGTGGAACCCCGCTATATTCGCTGAACAAGGATATGTTGTCGTAACGCCGAACCCTCGCGGCAGTACCAGCTATGGGCAGAAGTTCACAGATGAGATCCGTAATGCCTGGGGATCGCTTCCCTATGTCGATCTCGAGAAGGGCCTTGATTACATTGAAGAGAATCTGGATTACGTGGATACCACGCGAGCTGTGGCTTTAGGCGCCTCTTACGGCGGGTATATGGTCAATTGGATCCAGGGTCATCCGCTGGGCCGGCGATTCAAGGCGCTGGTGACGCATGATGGAGTGTTTAGCATGAACTCGATGCTGGCCAGTGAAGAACTCTACTTCCCTCTACGGGACCTCAAGGGTCCTTTGTGGAAGGTGCCCGAGAACTGGGAGCGCTGGGATCCTTCTCGTCATACCGCCAACTGGCAGACACCGCATCTGATCATCCACAATGAGCTCGACTATCGGTTGACCATTGCTGAGGGACTCGCCGCGTTCAATGTGCTGCAGTTGCAGGGGGTAGACAGCGCCTTTTTGACCTTCCCGGATGAGAACCACTGGGTGCTGAACCCGGAGAATTCGCTCATGTGGCATTACACGGTGCTGAACTGGATCAACAAGTACACGGGGCTGCCGGTCGCCTCGAGCAAGTATGCGGAGTTCAGCGCCACGAAGGCTCCAGCGATGGAGAAACGACTGGAAACTGTGTCATTGTGATTGATGTGATGATAAGTAGCTAGATAATGAATGGAGTCACCTGATTCTTCCGAGTTTATTGTTTTGCGATGCATTCCATTGTTTTGTCTGCCTCACAAAGGAACAATAAAACAGTCCTTATTTGGCAGCCCCTGACCGACAGATAATGACTCGATGCATAAAGGGATTGCCGTGCGTTGTCTGCTATGAGACAGAAACCCTTAATATAGCAGTAGTTTGTTCTCGCGGCAGACCAAAGCACAACTCCACGACACACAATAGGAGCGATAAAGACATGGTTGTGCAGGATATCTGGGCGGCAGTGAAGTTGGGTTTCGGGTTTCGAGTTTTTATAGACGTGGGTTTGCAACAAAGAGGAGGGAGTTGTATAACCACTGCGCGGTTCCTGGCTGAGAAGCAGATATTCTGGAATTATTCGATTAGTTTGAGGTATACTACATCTCCGAAATTACCCTGGGAATCAGTCAGAGTCTAATAGTACATTGAATACGTACGTTAAGTTACTTGGAGATCGGTTTACTGCATCATCATCTTCATCATGTCTTCACGACCACATGGCGATGGCCCATCGACTCCACGCATTGTCATCGTGCCAGCTTCATCTCCAACCACAACCTCCCCCACGACGGACTCGGAGGACGAGCACTTTTCTCCCATGTGCATTGACAGTCCCATCAGCCCGCCCGCTACATTGATCGCTCCGCCACGGCGATTCCGACGATTGCTCCCGGCGCCGCCACCAGCATATCCACCATGTTGGACTATCAATCCAACCACAACTACGACTTCAACTTCAACTTCAACCACAACAACAGCAGCAGCAGCAGTCCCTCCTCTCTCCCCGGCCTTCCCCTCCCCATCTTCCATTCCCTCCTTCTCAAGCTTCAGCTTCATCCCCTCTCCACCTCCAGATTTCCCAGACTCCCCCGACTCCCCCCTCAGCCCCTTCGAATCCCCCCGCCCCAAACGCCCCAAACTCACCACCAGCACTACTAGCACCTACACTCCCCTCCGCTTTTCTCCGAAGCCATCCCCCAAGTTACCTCCCAAGTTACCTCCCAAGTTACCTTCCAGGTCATCCGCTAAGTCCCCCCTCACTCCCACCCACCAACCCAAAGCGCGCAACCCCAAAGCACCGACCCCCAACCTCAAAATCCTCACCACCCACCTCCGCACAAAACTTCACCCGCTCGTCTCCAGCACCACCGGCCACGAACACCCCAGCTTCCCGCGCACACTCCTGGGCTTCCACTGCCTGACCCACGCGCAGCTCGACGCCCTGGCCGTGCACTTCCATCAGGTGTATCCGCCGGTCGCGGCCACGGCGTATTATCCGATCACCGTGCCGGCGTGGGTGGGGACGGGTATGGAGGCGCGGGTGGATTTGGAGACGAAGAGGAGGCGGTTTGGGAGGTTTATTGGGTTGAGGGGGTGTGAGTCGCCTACTTTTTCGGAGTGGGGGGCAGCAGATGCCGATGCCGATGCCAATGCAGATGCAGATGCCGCTGCAGATGCAGCGAAGAAGAGGAATATGTGGGTGGAGATGCAGGAAAGGAGGAGGAGGGTTGGGGTTTGGTTGGAGAGGTTGGATTTGCATTTGCATTTGCATTCTGGGGGTGGTGTTGATGCTGTTGGTAGTACTGGTAGTGATAGTGATAGTACTACTACTGGTGGTGGTAGTACTGGGAGTACTGGGAATAGTGGCAGCACCCAAGATAACCCCCCCGCAGAGGAATCACCAGAGGAGATACTGGCCCGCATGGCCCGCGAGTGGGATGCCGCCATGGAGCGGGCCAAGTGGGATTCCAACTTCGCCTTGCGGTGGAAGATGGGAGGTTAAGCTAGACTTCCTACATAAATCTGCGAGGGATTGTCTCACCACTAAGTATCTGAAACTAAGTTTGTATAAGTTACTGTTTACTGCAAGTGTAAACGCACAATCAATGACCCATCCCCTTCGTCTGGTTCTCCACCACAATGTCCCAGTATTTCTCGCGGCTGCGCTCCCGGAACATCTTCCCCCATTTGATCATCACCAAGAACACCGCGGCGCAGGCTAAGCCCACAAAGGCGGCCGAGATGAAGCAGTTCTGGTAGCCCAGGTTGTCGACCCACGGTGTAATGCTACAGGAAGTGTTAGCCACACGAGACCACCCCTCCAAAAGAAAAAAAAAAATGAACTCACCCGTATCCGATGGCAAACGACATCGTGTTCCGAACCAGAATCACCGTCGCCATGGCATCGCCACTCAGCTCGCGGTAGCTGTCCACCAGGTAATTCACGCTCAGTGTAATGCCACACGTGTTGGCCATGGCAAGAAGACACATGGCCACGATCAGACCAAACCAGTGGACTTGGTGCGCGGCCCCCACCCCCCAGAGCAGCAGCGAGCCAGGGACCAGCACCAAGCAGATAGCGAACGGCCACAACCGCTGCTCAGCTTCCATGATGCCGTTGTTGCGCCGAGCCAGTCGAACGGTGAGCCAGTCGCTAAATCGACCGGTCAAAAGGGAGCTGGTCTCGTTGTTAGTTGGAACCATACTATATCCCTATCCATATCCGGGAAAACTCACGCGAAGACTACACCCAGAATACAAGCCAGGTAGCTCAGGCCGACCATCGAAGAACTGCCCTGGTCAGCATCCCTCTCTGTCATGCTACACATACAACACATACCTGAAGTTGTAGGGAGCACCGCCGAGGATGATCGAGGCGGTGCCGTTGAGCACGTTGAACCAGATCAGATACGAGCCGTAAGAGAATCTGCCCATGTTAGTGGCAGGCCTGAGTCAGATACACCAACAGACTCACCCGGCGTAGAAGATCACCGGCCAGCTCAGATAGTATAACGTCTGCCACAGCCGTCGAAACATGTTGTTCCTGGGCAGTCGCGGACCCAGCAGCGAGAGCTTCTGATAATAGCTCTTCTTCTTATACATGACTCCACACTCGGTATCTGTTTGCTGCACTATGCCAGAAGGAGCCTTTTCTTTCTCGGTCTGCTCGGATGTGCGGGTAGAGGAGGTCAGTCGCGACTCGGGAGTGGCTCGATGCTCGCGCACGTAATTCGTCTCTTCCATAAAGAAAAACAGAAAAACAATGGCAAAGCCACAGAAGATGCTCGGCCAGTAGAACACCCATTGCCAGCCTTGATACTCCGCAATGAAGCCGCAGATCACTGGTGCGAAATAGTTGCTCCCCGCCAGGAAGAATGCATATAGAGCCATATAAGTGCCTCGTTCGTGGGTGAAATACTAGTATCGTGTGAGTTCGGGGTAGAATCTTCGCATCAATCCACTTACCACATCCGTAACAGTGACTTCCGGAAGCGCTTCGATCGGGGCAGTAAAGAAGCCCGATATGATACTCCGCGCAATCCACTGGCCGTTGGTGTGGATGTAAGGGCTGGTGGAGTGTTAGTTGTAGGTCACTACAGCAGGTGGGTCCATTATCAAGCTTACCCCCACATCGAAGTGCCCTAACGATAATCAGTGACATTTTCACATCGGTATCAACTAAGAACATACCAGAATTCCCACCAGTGAGGCGATATATGTCAAGCGTTTGCCATATTGTAAAGCCAAGGGCTGCCAGAAGAGGAGTCCCCAGCCCGCGAACAGAAACATATATCCAGTCCCCTCATTCAGAGTCGTGACAGAGACTCCAGTCGCATCTGAGAGCTGGGTGAGCACCGAATATACCACTGAACATGCTATCCCCGCAAACAAAGTATATCTATGACGCAATGGTCAATACTGTTGCTTCTCTTGGTGAGAAGGCTCGCCCAACAGGGGTGCACGTACACGCTGACACAAATTGTCGACAGCAATTTCCGCCGAGGCGCCCAGTTCAACGGATCATCAGGATCATCCGAAGGCTCTGGGATCAGGACGATGTCGCTGTCGCCCTTGTCCAAGTGGCGGGTAGCCAGGACATGTTGCAGATCCACTAGGGTCACTGTGCCAGGGATGGCATTTCTATCCAGCTGAGGGGCCATGGTGCCGATGAGCAATAGGCACAGACCAATGTGCCTTGTCAAGGTCTACAGCAAGAATAGAAGACAGGGAGAAGACCGAAATTGCTCTTGGTCAGGGTGATTGTCTGCTCCCTTCCTGCGGCCCGACCAGACTATTAAAAGCTGCCTGTAGTCGAAGAAACTTCCGACGGCGACCGAATCAGGTTGCAGCATACATGTCAACCCTTGCAGAAGCCGGGAAGCATCATCGCCTGCCTGCCTTCTATGACCCCCGCTCTCGCAGTGACACCATGGAACCATTCCGTCTGCTATCAGGTAGGTATGCTCGTTATCTGAGGTGTGCAGATAAGCTAAACCCCGGAAGACATTCCGTCACGCTGAGAACGCCGAGCCTAAGCAGGCACTGCATGGATAGAGTCATGGGCAAGTCATCAAGACCCTATGAATTGGGCCAGCGCTCTGATTATCATGCGTTGATGGGTCCACTTGGTTATCAGAGAGGGTCGATCGGGGGAAGTAGATAAATGCGATAGCCAGTGGTGGTCGTCTTCCCCGCGCGACGTCGAGGCGTCAAGGCGGGTCATCGCGATAATTGACCAGTTGCGCTTGTGCACGCGAGGAGGGGATTTCGACCGTCGGCAAAGGATTGTGTTCTGTCCGTTGAGCCTAGTCATACTTCTTGGATTAATCCGAAGGTGATCCATAGTAGTTCAGTGTACCAACCTATTGAGATTTGTTGCTAATCCAGCCCAACGGTTGTTGGCACATTGACAGCATAAATCTCGTTGCAGTTCGAAAAGCCCTTTCCTCGTGTCTAAATTGTCACACTAAGGCGAGTGTCATTGTGAAGGGGAAGTAGACTGGGGAAGAAGGGTGGCTTGAAGAGAGAGTCTTTCCGCCGAGGGTCGGAGAATACGAGCATCTCTCATCACATCTCTGGGTGGGGTCTGTCTGGATCATATCTCTGCCTCAAGAGATAAAGTAACTGCATTGACCTCTGATACCAGATGCATCATTCTGATAACTTACTCTTCTCTCTAAACCTGTTCTGTGCCCATCACTAGATTCTCATACACCTTCATCTTACTCATGCTTATCCGCGTAAGGAAATATGTTCAGCATTCAAATCATTTTATATAATACACCTGGTATTCCAAGGTCCAGCACAGCTGACGAATTCCGGCATTAATGTAGAAGCAAAAGCAACAAATATCTGCAAGCGACATGCTAAGGCAACGTAGGAAAATCAGAGACTCAATCGAACAACTCAGCTTGCCCCTCCAGCGAGCTCGTCATCCTCCGGTAAATCCTTGATGACATCCTGTATGATCTGAATCAATTCATCAATGTCCGGTCGATCTGCTGGTTCCACTTGTAGGCATTTGCGCACAACTTCCTTCACAGGCTCGCTGATCGCCAGGCCATTGTCGCGGTTGTTGCTGTTGTCGCCGGCTTTGCCTTTCCCTTTGGTGGCGCTGGATTTCTCGTCGGGGAAGCGCCAGTCTCCACCTAGTACACACATGCTCAGGCTACCGCCGGTCTCTTCACTGCGAGCTTCGAAAGGGCTCTTGCCCACCAGACAGGCGTAGAGTGTGCACCCAAGAGACCAGATGTCCACTTTGGTATCGATGATGGATCCTGTCTTGACGTCGAACAGCTCGGGAGCCCGGTATGGCATGGTGCTGTGTTCCGCCGCAGTGTCCTGGACAGCCAGCGCGAGTGAGCGGGAGGTTATAGCGATCGGACTGGGTGCCAGTGACCCCAAGTCCATCAGAATGGGCGTACGGCCATCGTCTGCGATCATGATGTTCCCTTATACAAGTTAGCCAAGCAGTCCTCTCATTGACTCCATGATCACCCTACCCGGCTTGATGTCTCTGTGCGCGTACGGACGAAGGTCACCCTCCTGCACGCCTTCCTGGCTCCTTGTTACCTCATCATCCATCAGGGGCTCGTTTTCCTCCTCGTCATCATCCAGGTTCTGACTTGCTCGCCGTTTGGATTTTGCCTTGCGTACAGCAGCGTCTGCGTCGGCCTCGGCTCCCTCCCTCCGGACAGCCTTCGCTTTGCGGGTAGGCCCCGAGCCGCTCTTGACGCGATATTGGTGCATGGCGCGCAGGGCCTGGGCGACTCCCAGCACCAGCTCCATCAGTCTTTTCTCCGGAAAACGGGAGTGATTGACGAGATTGGCATTGATCGCATCCTGAAGGTTTCCGCGTTGGTAGTATGGGAGAAGGATGTAAACGGTCTTCGAGCCGGGTTCGCCCCCGTCGGAGCGGAATTTCGAACCGGGTTCGGTCGAAACACAGTGATCAATGGAATGAATGATATTGTTATGTGATGTGAACAGGTTGTAGGCCTCAACCTCCTTGAGGGCTTGAGAGACCGATTCTTGACCGAAGGGGCATCGAATCTTCTTGAGCGCAAACAGTTCCGAGGTCGCTTTGTCTTGAACGAGGTAAACATAGGAGAAACCACCCTGCGAAGTAGAGGATCATCGTCAGCGTGGAGTCCTTCGTGACCACTGGATCGAGCGAGCAGACAGAATCGGAGACATACTTCACCCAACAGCCGGAGCAATTTGAAGCTGCGACTGTTGATCTTCAATTGGGGCGTGCTAGGAAAACAGCACATGCAATCGGTGAAACTGTACAATAGGTCGAAGAAGTATTGCGCCATGGCGAAAAAGAGCGGCGCAGTGATTCCAGGGCGGAGGTAGGGGAGATACGATGAAGCCCTTGAACAGAGCAGTAATGATTACAAGAAAGATAAGACAGGACTGTGAAGAACCCGTGGCAACGAAAGGAGTGCTAGCTGCAAGAAGGATACACGTACTATCGTCCACTTTTGACGGGCTGGGATCCACCCCGGGAGCTGTCGGCGCAGAAGCGGACAAGTAGAACGGTTAAGGCAAGGAAGGGAGCGAAGGACCGCGATCGGAAATGCAAGGGGAAGCGGAGGGAGTATGCAGACGTAGGGCGAGATTTAAGGGTGCAGTAGAGTGGATTTCGGACAAGAGGATGAGCCTCCTGAGAGAGAAGGAGGTGATTGTAGTGTAAGACAGAACGAATTGTTGGTTAAACTACGGGGTAGTAGTTAAGTTAGTAGGCGGAGGAGAAGAGAGAAACGGGGTGCAGTGGATGACGAGAAGCCGAAGAGAGGGAGGATTCCTCAGGCAGAAACATGTTGAACGTGCGTTGCCCCAGCCACTATTGTATGTTTCGACAGTGTAAGTACGTGACGGGACGGCGCTGTGACGGTGGGGCAACCGCCCATGGTTCGTGTGTTTATTACCCGTTTGGGATCGACTGGAGGCAACCCAAGAAAAGCCTCCCCTCCCCCAAAGCTGCAAAAGCTCCAGGCTACTAAGTTAGTAACTTAGTTAGAGTGAGTGAGTGAGTCTCTGTCGTCACTCAAATCTTTACTTCGTACTTCTTCTTCCTAATTGTCAATTGCCTCCGAATCTCTGGCCAGGTTCAGTATTTCCCAGTCTTTTCAAGTCTGATTTGTCCTTCTTTTGCACCTCTTGCCGTCGCCCCTGTCCTTCGCTGCCCAACAGGAGGCCTCCCAGGGACCCTACCTGAGCAGTGCAGACGCAGAGGATAGGGATAGTCAATAAACATCCCCCTCTGAGCCTCCTACTAGCTGCGCAGCCATTCTCCCTCCAGCTATGTCGACTGACCTATGATCAGTCACTTCGCTCCTGCACTGCTTTCAGCCACCCCACACCTTATCCGTTCCTAGACCATCCCTTGCAATCCACTGCCTGTCCCTCTCCGTGGCAGTATAATTCGAACCTTCGATCCCCTTTTCCTTTCGTTCTCGCAAAATCTTCATCTCGAACTCGAACTCGACCCCCGACCATCTTCAGTCACCATGGCACCCCTCGACGATGTCCAGGTGGGCGACCTGGTCAACGTCCCCGGCGGCATGTACGGGACGGTCAAATACCTGGGATCTGTGGCGGGTAAACCAGGCAAGTTCGCCGGCATTGAACTTGCCTCGGAGCATGCCAGGAGGGGGAAGAACAACGGAGATGTTGAAGGCAAACGTTATTTCTCCACGACGATTCCCGGCTCTGGGATCTTCGTGCCGATGAACAACAACAAATATGTCACCAAGCGTGCTTCCGGTCCAGGCTCGACCATCAGCGCTGGACCTCCCACACCCTCCCGGCCCGTCAACTTCAGCAAGTCTATCGGTCCCGGTACTTCAGTGCGCGCCCCCCGAGTGAGACGGCCGTCCCTCCCCCGGCCCGAGTCGCCCAGAGGTCCGCCACCTTCGAAGTTGAGTCTGGCGGGTCTACGGACCCCGTCTGTTGCATCGAGGACCACATCGACACACGGCTTTCCGCGAAGTCCAGTCAAGGCTCCCTCCCGCGCCTCTGACCGCCCGCCGTCGCGACTGAGCACCGAAGACGAGATTTCGTCGGCCCGTACCTCGGACTTTCACCAGTCCTCCGTGGCAGCAGAGCTCCAGGAGGTACGGGAACAGGTGCAGAGCCTGGAGAAGCAATTGCTGGACCGCGATAGGCAGCTGGATGAACAAGCAGCCACACTATCGGATTTCCAGCGGACCTTGGAAGAACTGGAAGGTTCCGACTCCCTCTCAATCCGGGCTCAGTTGCGCGAGAAGAATGAGAAGATCGCGCAACTGACCGCGGAGTTCGACCTGCACAGGGCAGATTTCAGAAGTACTTTGGATACTTTAGAGGTTGCTGCCTCAGAAACGGAGCGCGTCTATGAGCAACGCTTAGATGAATTGATGCAACAGAACAAAGAGCTACAAGAACGAGGGGAGGATGTCGAAGCAGTTGCAAGGCAACTGAAGCAGCTGGAGGAACTAGTCTCCGAGCTTGAAGAGGGTCTTGAAGATGCCCGCCGCGGAGAAGCTGAAGCCAGAGCAGAGGTGGAGTTTCTGCGGGGGGAGGTTGAGCGCACGAAGCTCGAACTCCAGAAGGAACGCGACTCGAAGGAGCCTCAAGCCGCCTCCGATGGACAGCACCACTTGAGGGAGTTGGAACAGAAGGATGACGAGATTCGTGGTCTCAAGGCTATTATCCATTCCCTTAGTCGTGGTGACCCTGATCTGCACGCTATTCAACATAATACCGTGGGGACAAGCCCTTCACCCGATCCTCAGCCTGACCATCAACCAGAACAGGTGGCTCACCTCGAGCAACGGGTAGAGGAGTTCGAGCGCCTGTCGGAGCGGAAGACGTATCGCATTGAGGAACTGGAACGCGAGCTTCAGCAAATGCAAATCAACGGTGGTGGTCGCACCCGCAGCTCCACGTTGACTACAGCGCCGAATCATCAAAAGCCGGCGAGCACTAACGGATCGAACTTTGCCAATGGCAACGTGATCAACCATGCACACCGTCTCTCGGATCATACGGTGGTCCCAAGCGATTGGCAAGATCCACATCAACATGAAGGCCAGTACCAAGCCTATTCGGTACGCCACCGCGCTATTTCGGATGCATCCCATCGTCTAGAAACAATGCACGAGTTGGATGCTCGCTCAGAAGACGGTGGTTCATTGTGGTGTGAGATTTGCGAAACAGGTGGTCATGATATCTTGAGCTGCACCAACATGTTTGGTGCTGAGAACAGGGACAAGACCCCTGAGCCCGAGGAGCCGCACCATGATGACAGCTCTGTAGACGAAAAACCTACCCCTGGAACTTCCACAGCGGAGCCGTCTACGTCTTCGACCCCAGAAAGCACCACCCCGCAAAAGACCGGACGTGATGCCGTGCTGGAGGGACTCAGAGGGGTAGGTTTGACATCATCCATGGCGCCTGTTGCAGGAAAAGCAAGCGGCGTGATCGATGAGTCCAAGTGGTGCGCTCTGTGTGAGAGAGACGGCCACCAGAGTATTGACTGCCCCTTTGATGATTGAATAACCGACGGTCCTGGTATGGGAAGCATAGTCTCCATGCATTCAACAGGGCCTATGGTTGCAGTCAGTCTTGCCCGCCCATGGTATGCTCCATGAAGTGCGGCAATTTACGAGTCCCTTGATGGCTCGTGCTACCAGAAGCAGGTCTCTATGTAAGATGCAACAAGCGTTTGAAATTTTGTCTACTCGCCCATTGGATCTACTTGATGACCACCTAGTCTCTCTTTCTGCATTGTACAGCCTGGTTGCATGAGGGAAGATAGCGTGCATACAACTTCTGCTCGGTGGTCGTGCAGCTTGGATACATTAACGTGTTGCCATCAGCCTTGGTCGAGTGTGGTGGTATCACTTTCTCTTTATTTCTATGTTTGTCTTCTTTATCCTGGTGTCGGCTGGTCCAGAGAAGGACAGCTACTTCTGTGTATCCTTTCGCTTCATCTTTTCTTCTCTCTCATATTCCCCTTGGTTAAAGCCACCACTCAGACACTCAACCATTGACTATATAGCCTGCGAGCACCCTAATTCAGACCCGTGAGGTTCACGATGCACCACACATCAATTGAACCACAATCAAATCATAGATTCGCTTTTCAGTCTTGCACTTGAAACATTCTGACTCATTATTCGCCTTCACCAAGGCCATACATGTAATGTACATCACCATGGCATTAAAATTCGGGGTATCGTTTCATTTTCATCCACATGAACCCTATTCTGGGTGTGGAGGGGGCTGCACAAGTTCCCCTTCCTCGAACTTGGTCTGCGCAATGGTCCCACATGCTTTGCAAGTACGTTTCTTCTCATCCGCACCAAACTCGTTAACCACGTCCTTCACCTGGGTCCCGAGATCCGTGCAGATGAACCGCTTCTCCCAGACGATCTCTCCACAGCCCTTGCAGTACCAGCGCATGCTGTCTACTGCATCCTTGGCTCGAGGCTGTTCCATCACGACTCCCACCGTGTCCTTGAACCGGACTGGACAGTGCGGGGTGTTAGCCGGTAGCAGAAAGATCGAGCCCTCGTGGATGGGGATATCCTGGAAGATGGGTGGCGTAACCGACGTGTCCACCGTCTTCAGCAGCATTGAGCCCCGATACTGGTAGAAGAACTCCGGGGTAGTGTTGATGTGGTAATCGGTGCGGGCATTAGGTCCTCCCACGATCATCACCGTGTATCCGGCGGTAGCCGGAGACGACGGATGATAGACGCAGTAGTTATTTACAGGTGGCTGCAGAAGATGCGAGTTGGCTTCTAGCCTGCATAGATACAACTATCAGTCAATGTGTGTAAGACGACATGGAGAGGGTGCTTGGTTGGTGTGACGATCAGCCAAACCACAATGCGGGGCTAGGAGGGGTAATTTGTCGTTCAAGAATCCATACCATTTGGGGATGTTCAAAGCTGGTGGTAACATTGTGTCTTTAGTATGTATGGCTGTAGGGGGATGAGAAGTTCCGATGGAGGGAACCTGGGTGATGTAGTAGTTGTATGATGTCCGACGAAGGAGGGAGTTGATTGACTCACTGTAACCTGAGCTAAAACTATTGTTATCTACCGGTATGGAATCATCCGACAGGGTCTAGTTTTCGTTATCAATGCCGGAGATAACCGTCCTTTAACGCCGTGAATGGGCCCGGAGCGGAATATCCCTCCCTCCCGGCAGATTTTCTCGATTCCCTTTTTCGGATCAGGCAAAAGATTCGCAGCCACGAATTTCGTCTCTTCCAAGGCGCTTTTGACGTTTGTGAGGATAACTGCCTCAAAATACTTTCGACACAATGGCGTCAACCTCTCAGCCTCCGCTTCGGTTTACCTCCCACAAAAACTTCGTCTATCGCCTTGTCTTCTCTACGTTGACCGGCCGCACCATCCACATCTCTCAGATCCGACCTTCGTCCCCGACCAATCCAGGTCTCGCTCCGCATGAAATCTCTTTCCTTCGTCTTCTCGACGCTGTCACCAATGGCTCGCAGATGGAAATCTCCTACACCGGTACTATTGTCGTGTACAAGCCAGGTCTGATCACCGGTAGCGCTACGGGCACCGGCGCCAGTGGAGGTGTGATTCGACACGAGCTCCCTGTAGGATGCACACGCGGTGTCAGCTATTTCCTCATCCCACTGTGTCTTCTGGCTCCCTTCTCCAAGTCTCCGATCAAGGTGACTTTTTCGGGCCCCGGAGTGATTACCTCGGCCACCCCGACCGGTGATATGTCCGTCGACAGCGTGCGCACGGCCATTCTTCCTCTCTTCAACCAATTCGGGATCTTCAACAATATCGAGCTGCGCATCTTGAAGCGATCGAACCCCGGACCCAATGGCAGAGGTGGAGGAGGTGAAGTCCAGTTTGTCTTTGGCCACCAATTGCGACTCCCGAAAACTCTTCACCTCATGAACCCTGGTAGAATTAAGAGGGTGCGTGGTGTCGCTTACTCGGTGGGCGTGTCGGGGTCCAACAATGCACGAATGATTGAGACCGCCCGTGGCATCCTCAACCCTCTGGTACCCGACACCTACGTCTTCTCTGATGTGTCGTCGGCACCATTTGTGCCCGCTCCGGAGAAGACCAATCCGTCCGGGAAGAAGAAGATCGGCCTTGGCTTTGGCTTGTCTTTGGTCGCTGAGTCGTCTACAGGGTGTCTTTTCTCCGCCGATGTGGCATCGCCCCCCTCCGGTGGTGAAGCGCCTGAGGACATTGGGAAGCGCTGTGCCTACCAGTTGTTGGAGACCGTCTCCAAGGGTGGCTGCGTTGCCCCTGCAGCAGTGCCGGTTATGCTTGGTCTGATGACCATGGGGTCTGAGGACGTGGGCCGTATCCAAGTTGGCCGGGAGGTCATGGCCGCGGAAAGCACCATCCAACTGGCCAGGGACCTGGCCAAATTCGGTGCCCCGGGTTGGGGTCTTCGCGATGCTAGTGGTGAGAACGAGAATGGTGATGTGATCATCAGCGTCGTTGGCCGCGGCATCGGCAACGTTGGGCGTAAGGTCGCTTGAGCGTGAAACATCGTCCACAGCCTCATCTCTCTATCGATTATCCGATCGAGTCATACGTTTCTTGTCTGTAGCGGCTCTTTCGGCAACGTTGCAGCTTTGTTTCAGACTCCTGCCACCTTGCAGCGCCTGGGCAGGGCAGCGGTGTACACCGATAGAACCAGGGGAAGAAGCAGTGTTTCACCCCAGCCGAGGCAGAAACCGACCACGTCTATGCTTTGGTTCTCAAGTCCTTAAGATGTGGTTTGGTTCGTTGTCGCCAAGTTTCACCGCTAGCTTGGCCCTATTGCCACGTGGCTGAGGCCACACCGAACAGGTGGCTGTTGATCGCACACCGCAGCCCACAAGCACTGTTGCACGGTCTTTTATTGTTCGCCTTTTCTTATGATACCCACTGTTGTTTGGTCTGCGAGGCGTCCACCTCATCTTTGGGGGGAAGCCATGTGAGCTTTGGAGGGAAGGGATGGGATTGGATTTCGGAGTCAGGAGTAGGAGGAAGTAGGGCTGGTGGAATGCGGCCTGACGAACAGACAGTTCCAAATGATGCATTGATTGGCTCGTTTTCCATGTATATAGATGTCTTGAGAAAGAATATAAACCCCTTGCTGGTCGGGCGTCCCGTACTTGTCGATCTCTGTTTCTCCCACTACAAAGCCCCAGTACCTCGCTATGCACCCAGCTTCTTGTCTTTGGCATTCTCTCGCCTTCAACCACCGATCGCCTCGACTTGAGATCCGTTCAGGACCCCGCTGAGCAACCGTTCGGAGAATTTGCACCATGTCCTCTCCATTCACCAGCGCCAATTCGATGCATAATGACCACCACCACCTCGTCACTCCGTGTCTCGCACATTTTCCGAACCTTGGATTCAACAATCTCCAGCAGATCGCACCGAGTCATTCGACCAGAACCGACATGACGGAATGCAAAGACGAGGCTCTTTGTCGCCAGCCAGCCAGCCAGCCAGCCAGCGAGTCCGCAGCAAGACCCCAAGTCCGCCATTTCGAAAGACAATATAAACCGACACTTTCTCATCTTACTCGTTTTTTCTTTCTTTCTTTGCCTGCCTTCGCTCCTTCAGCCTTCTTCTCTCACCCCTAACTGCTCGACTGACATTGCCAATACGCTCCCCTCAGAGACACGACCCCCACTCGACCATGCAGGACCATCCATCCTCACAATCCACCTCCAGCACCTCGTCTCCCCACCGCCCTCCTAGACCCTAAACCGGCGATAAAGAAGAACGCCAGTAAGTGCCCTCCACCAACTCTCAACGCTGACAAGTATGTGTAGGACGATGCGTGGGATGTCGGCTCCGCAAGAGATTCGCTCCCCAGCAATCCACTTTTCCCTTCCGGGGGGGAAGTGGTTTACTGGAGAACGGTCTCTCTGCATGTTTCTACTAACGCATACCACAATACGCAGGGTCACATCTTTTATTTCATAACACCTCCGTTCTGAGCAATGCCGGATAGCCACCGTGGGCCGGCCCAGTAAGTGACAGAGCTTTGTAAGTGTCTCGCTCCTGGTGGAGCCGGTGCCATTGAGAATATTCTCCATGATTATTGCTACATACTAATACACAAACAGGCTGGCTAAAAACAAATCCAAAACATGCTGATTCCCACTCGGTGCGGCACGCTCCCTGTTGGGAAATGCTCTGGTGAGATTATCGATGTCTTTGTTGGATGGATGAGTTTGAATCCGGAATGCTGATTTGGTTGTTATGAAGTGCTTTCCACCTTCTCCTCCTTTCCACCCTCTACTTCCACTTTCTCTACCTTCTATACCTCTTCCTTCCACCATACCTCTCTGCCAGCGTGGTTTCCAAAAACAGAAACTGGCATCCCACAACAAACCAGGAGACCCACCGTGAGTCCAACTATACAAATAACAACGCAACAAGACACAATCCATACTCACCACCACCCCAGCCCCTTGCCAGAACTGTGAAGTTCAACGACCGACTCGCGAACAAAGCAAGTCAGCGAGAGAACAAAAGAAGCCACCCGTCTGTGATCTCGCCCCAGGAAGTGACAGAGCTTGTAAGGCACCTCTCCCTCTTATTCAGACTATAGACGACTGACACCGTCTTTCCAGGCTGGGTTATCAATCGGTCGTTGACGTCCTCGACAGTACCATGACTCCATTTCCTCTGGACAATACTTTCAGGCAAGGTTGACAAATAAGAGGCAGAGGGGGGTGGTTGGTTATTGGGAAGGGAAGAATTGAGGGAAGAGGCTTCCGAAGATCTACTCTCCTGCACATACTCTACACAGATGATTTCCCTATGTCTTTCTGGATAACTACATTACTCTCGTTTATGGACATCTCGTTTATGGACATCTCGTTTATGGAAATGTATCCCTGGGCCATCAAAGGCCCTTGCTTGGCTTGGCTTGGTTAGCCACATATTAAGCGGGGTTCAGCGCGCGTACAGGCCTCTTGCTTCGATCCGCAAGTCGAGTAGATGGCTGAGTGGTGTGCAAACAAACTATCCCGATATAGAAAGACATCAGTCTGCCCGCCCCGTAAATGAGAAGGATAGTGGGGATTGTGAGCCGGACCTGACCAACGTAGCCTCGCTTGTTGCGGGCCTGTAGTCGCCAGATGATAGGCTGCAGCAGTGGCCAGATGAAATTCATCAGTCAGTGGTGGGGATTCGCGGTGCGCTGCACACCCACACCAGGGCCAATGGGCGCAGTCATCCTGCACAGTCTGTCACACCGCATACTGCTCTGTCTGCTTCTTCTAGAGGAGGAAGCTCCTGAATAATGGGCTGGCAAGACTGCTCATCGAGTCACATGGCCCTAAAGGTTCTACTTAGTACCGTGCCTTTTACTGGTATACATAAGCTAAGCCTCGCTGCAGAGTGTGGACCATTTCCGCAAGATGCCAATTTATATACGTTCACCTGTCTCATTAGGTAGTACCCTATACTACAGCAACAAGCCATCTCCTCATGGAGCTGGAGAGCTCGTAAGCGTACAAACTATAATGTCAAGACTCTAATATTCTCTCGCCTTTAGGATTCTGGCGTTATTGGCTTCATGATATGTGCAACGCTCAGCAAATCTAGCATGTATATCTCCGCAGATAGAAAAGAAAAGGACTTGTGCCCACCCAATCGCAGTGAAGGCTAGGTGTCTTCGAGAAATAATGAAACAACGACATCTATGAAACATCCATAGCACGTATATGTAAAACCATGACTCAGGCACTTAAGTGCATCGAAAATATGATAACTTTGCAGAAAGAAAGACAAGAAGACAGTCCAAAAATAAACTATCACTCTGACACATCCTCGTCCTTGCCAGGGAAGACGATAGCCCGCCTTACAACGGCACGAATATTGCTCGCAAACACAAAGAGCCACATCCCCACTATGCAAATGGACATGGCCGACCCAACGCCTTTGATCCCCGGGCTGTTCAAGGTTTTGCCCAGGGTGATGGTCGCTAGGGTAAACCCCGTGTTGGGAAAAACCATGGCCCACCAGTTGAGGTGAAAAGCTGTAGGCGGGAGGCGGATGGTGGCAATGGCAGCAATGCTGAAGAACCAAAGACTAAGAGCCCACAGAAACGCACCCGCGGCGACGGCCAGGAGCCGGAGAATGTGCGCATCTTGGAAGGGGTGCGGATCTTGGAGGACTTGAAAATCCTCAGGAAGACCGTTGGTCATGCCGATCAGGGCAAGGGCTGTGAAGGCCGGAGGCCCAACACAAATGAACATCCCTGGGCGGTGTTCTCGGGACGGAAGCCCTGTCTCCATCAGCCGTCCGATGTAGTGCGCGTACATCAGAAAACTGATGGAGAAGCCAAGGCCTTGGAAGGTGGTGCCTGCGACGATCATAGGAATGGCAGCGCGCGCGGGCTGCTGTTCAGCAATGACGGAAGCGATGGTGCCACTGAGCATTATGGGAAATGCAGGAAGAATCCATGAAGGCATCATTGTTTGAAGAGGGTAATGGTGGGCGGTAAAGACAAAGGAGTATTGAACGATGGCAGTTACAAGAGTGAAAGCGCAATAAATCCAGAAGAGGACCTCGAGGGCATAGACGAATGCAGGCTGTGTAGTGTCGCCGAAGTAACGGTAAAGACCGGTGATGATTGTGGCCATGGAAAGCCAGAATGTGGGAAAGAAGAGGCCCTCACGGTCGTGTCGGAGGGACTCTACAAGGTTGCCATGAATGATAAAGCGTGTGGCCATGAGGCCACACAGAATGGCAAAGAAAGCCAGGTTAATGATGTATGTTGCGAGCCCGATCCGTTGCAAGCCGGGGAAAGGGTAGGGCTGGCTGGCCAGCAGAAGCGCGAGGCCGCCGGTGCTCATGGTAAGAGTGTACCAGGCCCAGGTGAAATGACGCAAACGGTCTCTGAGGGACACATTGTTTGGGTTATCGTAATTGGAGGCTTTGAGTTCGTGATGGTACATCAGGTCCGAGGAGGAAGTACCGGGGGGAGGGTATTGCTGGAGCATGCTGGATATCGAGGAGATAAGGATTGAAGAGAAAGACTATGTTGATGGGTCTCGGATGAAGAAGAACTTGGTTTAATAGTACAGAACAGGTGACAAGCAGTTGTGCAGCTGCATTTAGGCCCAAGTGAGGGTCCGCTATGAAACTAGCACAACCAAGTCGAATATGTCGAAAACGCCAATGAGTATGGGCCATATCAAAGCGCAACAGCACAGATCTAGCATCAGCTTGCATGAGCCCCTGTCCTTCAAGGCTTTGACAAGTCCTCGCGGACTTGGGTGGCCGCCGTGGGTCTAGCATTACCGGCGAAGAGATGGGCAACAGTGTTGCCAAACGTCTGATCTTTGATCCACAAGTACGCCAGAACAGGAGACACCTGGTCTGGGCGTTGACGATTGCAGATCTGTCAATGGCCTCTAGCGAGAGATACGGCCGCTAAGGACGACGAGCCGGCATAAACAATCTGAAAAGAAAACAGACTGACTGCCAAGTTCCTAGTCTGGATCCACAGTCTAGGCATCATTGAAGGTAAGGAGCTGGGTTGGTAGTCGAAGAAATTGGAAGGGACCAAGATCTGCCTCTTTTTCGGTCTCGGCTTTCCTCAATGACCCTGACGGCTGTGAACTATGGCGCTGTAACAGTGGGTCACGGTGGCAACGACAATGTCAAAGTCAATTGTCGGTCATTCAATGAAGTTCTTCAACTGATGCGATGAGGCCATCTGCACTGTCCCCTACGCGCTGCGCACAGTATAGCCTGTGTAATTGTTACAGCGGTTCATCATGAGAAAGCCATATATCAGGATCAATGGCCTGGCAAAGATAAGCTACTAAGGTCCAAGAGCAGTATGTGTCTCAAGCCCATGAAGATTCTTGAACCGAGGCACACGCGGTTTGGGGGAAAATCCGTAAGTGATAGAAATGCTCCGACCACGATACCAGGCAGGAGGCGCGACTGTTGCAAACCAGCGTCGGCCCATCGAGCGATTTGCATCATTGCCAATCAGAAGGCGTTGATAAGCGTCTCTATCGGGCCGAGAGCGAGCAACATCGGCAGGGTCAAGGCAAGTCAATGACTATCATCGTGGCTCAGCTCGAGGACAAAGTTCTTAAGAACCGGCCAAGATAAGATGGATCGCCGCTTGGCTGGTGGGCTCGATTCAGGGAACTCATCCATCAGTTGCGAGGAGCAAGCAGGCAGGCCGACAGACAGAGCGAAGAATCAACATGATGCACAGAACCCAAAAGATAGGGGGAGAAGAAGAAGGCCAAGAAGGAGATCGACAGCGCAGCGTCACGGAAGGCCCTCCGCCAAGCTTCACAGTGGCTGTGGCGGAATATTAAGCATGAGAACGAGAAGAAGAGCCGGAAAAAGGAGGTCAAACAATTAAGTTTATTGGTTTCATGGTCGAAGTATCCCTTATTCTGGGTTTTTTGAGTCAAGTGTATGCCCTGGCTATGTTTGGTAGATTTTATGGAGAACCAAAAATTTAGTTGACGAGAGTGAAGGAGGAGGAGGTCGAAAAGGAAGAGCGGAAAGTCTTGGAAGAGGCTGGGCAGCGACAGTGACTAATTACCCAACAGTAGTTACTCCGTGGCCTCGGCGGAAAATGGATTCACTATTCTCGCCAAGCATGGCTCGGCTCTTCTCTCCTACACAAGTTCACCACTTGATCATCTGTCGCTTAGAGCGCGTTTCATCCTTCTTAACGCAATTTGTTTAAAAGCAACCTTGCAGCGTGACAATTCAAGCAACAACAGTCACTCCTGCAGCACGCAGCCCAGACGATCTTCTTCTTTTTCTTCTTCTTGAAAACGTGGTCTGCAGAGAAGAGACGAGAAGCAGAACCTGGACTTGAGTAGGGAAGGTCAGGCGAATGTCCAGCGCCTGCAGAACACAGGTCATATCCCACAGGATGATTCGAAACGGTTTCACTCGCAAATGAAGCCAAGCGGCACTTCGGTTACAAGTCTGTATGCAAGCACTTCTAATTATATCTAATGTCATGAAGTAGGGCACAGCTAATCATCATCCTTCAAATCCTCAATGCCATAAACACATAAAAGTTCGTCGTTGTTATGATGGGGGAAGGGGTGTATAAGATGATCGATCAAACGAAGACGGACGCCGGGTCATGCAACTCATACATTCTCTTGTGCAATTGACTCTCAATGGAAAGGAGTGAACAAAATCAGGACTATGGTCGACCGGATGATCGAAGAAACAAAAGAGTGGAGCAATTCCATAGCGCACCGACGCGCAATCACATCATACGGTATACGAGATCGGAGGCGAGCTCCGTCGTAGTGTCGAGTAAGGCCCGCAAACCCTGCGCCGACGGCTTCTGAGAAATGCTTGATGGAGAACCCAGATCGCTATCGACTGGTGGACAGTACGAAGCCAGATCCCGCACCTTGCACGCCGCATAGTGCACAACCAGCTTGCGTAACTCGTTGTCCCGCAGTTGGGTGGCAGAGGTCGGAGTGATCGGCTCCAGTCTGGTGGTCTTGGTGTACGTATAGTGCAGCAGGTCCAGCACTTTTCGAGCTTTGGTGCTGGCCAGAAGATGATGATCATCATCTTCCACTGGATTGTTCTCCGGAAAGCCAAGATATAGCAGGTCTCGGTGCAGCTTGCGAAGACAGAGCTGAGCAAGCGCCGGAATCAGATACCGTGTCGCGAAGACATAGAGCTTGGCATGAAAGACCAAGTACGGCAGTTCGTAGGGCGAGTGGGATGACATAGCGCTGGGAGACCTGATGCTGAGACAGGAGCGCGGGTCGACGTAGTCAATGGCGGCGAATTCATCCCATAGGTTGCTGCCCTTTTCGTGCAGACGAGAGTACTGCTGCTTGGCAAAGGAGGTGTCAATCATCGGCCCAGCCAGTCGTCTGCCCGTCTGGTCGTGGTTCTGGTGCTTCTCCTCTTGCTTCGGTGCTTGGGCTGTGTCTCTAGCGCCAGCTTCGTCGGCATTATTGGTATCAGCTTCTGTTGGAGGATTGGCCGCTGTCTGTTCCCAGCTCTCTGTATACGAATGCGAGTCTGTAGTACCCGGCGCCTCTACTGAGGCATAATTTGCCCCCCATTGCTCCGTCACTGCGCCCGTTTCCGCCGCCGGGTTGGAATCGTCCTCGGGTCTCGAATTTTCAGGAGGTGGCGTGGAAGGGGGTGTCAACTTAGGCGTCGCTACCTCCGAAGCACCGCCCTTTTTCTTCTTGTTGCTGCTTTTCTTGTTCTTCTTGCCTTTCTTACCTTTGACTGCCTCATCATCCGCCGCATCCCAGGCGTCTTCCTCCCCCTTACCATCCACGACAGGGGCGATCTGAGGCTGATCACTAGGTTCTCGAGACTCAGGTCTCAAGTCCTGCCCTGGGATGAAAGGCTCCTCGTCTGGCGCGATTGCACATTCCCAATCATCGTCCTCTCTACCAGAACCCCCGTACACGCCCGCCCCGGGACGGTCGTGAGTTTCCCTCGAAGAACTCCTGGGGGGTGTTGGAGCACGCGGAGGAATCGTCCGCAGTGGACTGGGCGGGGAGTCTTTCCCAAAGACTCCGCGAAAGGGATTGCTCACCCGCTGATCATCTCGGTCTTCTTCACGCGACCCTGGGGGAGGGACGCGGTAGTCTCCTGTGTAGGCATACTCGCAGAAAGCGACAAAAGTCTCGACATCTTCGTCCTCGAGTACGGCAATGTGATGCTTCGACTCCCGGGTTTCACCACTGTTCATAAGATGGTCGAGCGGCTGAGAGACATGACGGGCGAGACCAGCCTGGATGGTAAGCTTGGTGTGGTTGGGACCGACCAGGAAGGTGAATGGCGGTGAATGGACGATGCTGTAGCCATCAGTGGCCGTCCTGTCGGGGTTGGCATGGAGTAGTAGAGGGGATTGCTTGACAAGAGTAAGAGAAATCAAGAAAAAGACCTACCTGCTAAAATCTCGGTCTGCCTCCATCGACAATGACTCCAATTGCTGTCTGGGCAGTCCTCTTCCCTATAGACAAGACACACCAGAGGAGGGGAAGGTGATGGGGAAAGAAGGATTGGGGGGGACTCGAGATATAGAGAAAGCCACCACAGCTCAATTAAAACACTGAAGTCTGCTCATGCGACCCCCTGACCATGACTCTTTCATATACTCTGCATCGTTGGGGGGGGGGCTCGCTACTATGCACTGGCAGCTTGCGCACTACTGACTGCCACTGAACCCCCTCTTTCGTTTCTGGGCACTTTCTTTACTTCCCCCCTCCACCGGGAGAAGCTACAAGCGCACGAGACAAGACTAACTTGGTCAAAAGAGCGATAGTCTGGCTACGTGGGCAATCATGACGGGGGGAGATTGCGAAAGAGAGAGTGGATTGACCGCCAACCTTTTCGCAGAGCTCGTCTTATCGCGCGAGCCACCGGGGAAGGAAAAATGCTAGGCTTTCCGAGGGGATCGGCCTGGTCATCCGAGCTCTGTTCGACCTTGTTGTCCTCTCTGCCTTCCCTTGAAATTGGTTGTGGTTGAAGGAGGGGTGAGAATATGTAAGTAGTCCTGCATGGTTGGCAGAAAGCACTGGGTGAGGAGAAAATGTGCTCTCTTCATCCGGCCTCTCGTCTTCGATTTCACTCCCCTTCTCTCGAGGAGATCAACCTCCAGGTATTGTGCACCCTTCCTGCATATTCTCACGCCAGACAGGGATTACAAAGACCAACCAGAGCATAGTTGGAGGGGCTGGCGAAGGATGATGAGTTGTTGCCCGATGGATCGTTTATTCCCAGCCTATCTTTTCCTCTTCGACACCCAACGGCGGTCAACCCGCGCTGGTCTGCATTTTAGGGGCTGCAGGGATCCTATTTTCGACTGAGAGGATCTTTTTCACAGATATTTCCTGTTTTAATGAAAGCTGTGATTCGTATCCTGATTATCCCGACTGAAGCTAACAGACTGAAGCAAACCGTCGTTCGGGCTTTCCGTACGGAGATCACTTACTTATACCCTAACCCGTGACTCGGACCTAAAATCAGCTTCCCCGGCGTGCATACGGAATACAGTCTACTACTAATTAATATTGCAGGGATACAAGCTAAAGGCTGGATGATAATGATTGGTGCAATCTGACCTGATTCCCTGAAAAGAGCTACGTGGACTGAAAATAGCTTCCTGGCACGTAGCTAGTATTTTCGATCCCGCCTGAGTGCAAGTATATAGGAGTGGAATGGTATCATTGATCACATCGACAACATCTATATATCTAATTCGCCCAGGAAATTGTGGAGCAGACGTATAACATGTAGTATACATGCACAAACTAGCCCATCATGCCCCTAAGACACCCACAATTAATGCACCAACCGAATCTCCCTCGTCCCAGGCTCCCACTCTCTCAACCCTTCTCCAACACTATACCAAAACCGCAACTTAATGCACTCGGTCCGGGCCTTCTCAATATCCCCACGGTCAAAAGCCTCCTCCAAAGTCCGTACACACCCTTGGACCCGCTGCTCGTTCTCCCGCTTCAACTCCTGGATCGTCTCCTCGGCCCCCTCCTCGGCCCCGACTTCCTCGATCGTCTCTTGCACCTCCATGACCTCCATCAACGTCTGGGCATCCAGCGCATGCTTGGTCGCCCCGTCCTCCGCCGTGACGTCGATCCCGTGCATCTCGCGGAGAAGGTACTGCGCGCGCAGCAGCGGGTCCAGCAGTGTGCGGTAGGCCTCATTGATCCGCGCCGACAGAGCCTCGGCCTGCTGCTTCTGCGGACCCGAGGGGTATTTGTCTGGATGAATGCGGGACTGCCATTGGAGGAACTCGCGACGCAGGTCCGCGGCCGGGATTGCGAACGGGGACTGCGGTGGCGGGCCGGCGGGAAGCGTGTTGCGGAAGATGGTGTAGTGGTTGGTGATGTCGGGAGTTTCGGGGGCGGCCGTTGAGGTAGAGGATGCGAGGTATGAGGATGTAGTCGTGAAGCTGCGAGTGAGGTTGGTGAGACTGCTACTGCGGACTCGACGTGCTAGTGGCGAGGGTAACGGCGACGATGACAGTCGGAGATGGCATCGGTAGTAATATGTGCCTGCAGTAGCTGAGCGCGGAGTAATAGTAGTTTGCGCGCTTTTCGAAAAACATGTAGCTGAAAACAGCTGAGGGGCTAGGCGCGGTGTCGCCATTGTTATAGACAGAAACAAATGGTAGGTGAAGGTAAGAAAGAAAGAAGTTCAGACTTCCCTCCTACTTACTCTAGAAATCTTGATTGATAATGGATGCAAAGCCTCGGTTTTGCCGCGGGACCCCGACGGGCGGTAGGCCGTGATCGGCGATTGTGGCTCACCGCCTGCCATGCATAGTCAAGTTGTCCAGCTACTAAGTGAACACGATGATATCATCACCAACAGTAGTACTCTTTCTATTGCCATCATACATCGCTGTCGTAATTAGAGGTTATGTGGTCATATCTAGTACATACAAGCAGGCTCATTCAATCCCCCAGAGCTTCACCGTCCGGTCGTGGCCACAGCTGGCAATCCACTGCGCATCCGCACTGATATCTGTGCTGAGCACGTTGCCCGAATGTCCACTGAGACTCTTCACCAATGACCAGTCGTCTGCGCTGAAGATGTTGACGTTCTTATCGAAGCCGCTACTCACAAAGAATGTCCCCGACTTCTTCGGCTGTACAGGGGCCGTGGTCTCGCCGTCCACCTCCATACGGCCTTCCGAAGGTAGAATGGACGTGGCTTCGGCACCCTTGTACCATCGCAAGTCAGACACGACGCTCTTGTGAGCACCGATTCCTCCAGTATTGCGCACTTGCCGCAAATCCCAGCACTTGACCCATCCATCTCCAGATCCGGACAGCACCCGGTAGCCATCGACCCCCCAGTCGAGACCGTAGATTTCCCGGATGTGTCCTTCCAGAATCATCACAGTCCTGCCGGTTCGTAGATCCCAGATCCGGCCAATGCTATCCAACCCTCCGCTCGCCAGGAGCGAGCCATCGTTGTTGAAGGCCACTGCGTATACTTCACGCGAATGGCCTTCTTGCAATAACAACTCTGTGGTCGTCTCCACGTCCCACAATCGCCAAGTAGTATCGTAGGAGGCGGAAGCGACATACCGGCCCGATGGATGAAACTCTGTCCGGCAGACGCGACCACTGTGACCGGATAGGGTCGCCAGTGGCTGCTGCTTGTCCAGTGACCACAAAGACACGTTACCATCACCACCACCCGAGACCAGGTTCACTGTCGATTCCGACGCGGTAGACGTTGCACCAGGAAACCACGACAATCCACCCACCCGATCTGCATGTCCCTTGACGGACCATCGTTCTTCCAGGTTGGGTACTGTGAGCAATTTGATACCTCCTCCCCAATTACCGGTGGCAATCATCTGCCCATCAGGCGAAAAGCGACAAATGCTGACGGGCCGATCGCCCGCAATCTGAGAACCATAGAGGTCAAACTGATGCAATTTCTCCTTGATTGCTTTGCGATGTTTGATATGGGTTCGTAGGGGAATGGTTGACTCTTCACGCAGCCGGGCGACACGGGCCTTCGCGCGCGGAAGAGAGAACCGCGCGATCTCTTTCCGCGCCTTGAGGAGCTCTTCGGAACCCTCGGTGTAAAACTCCTCCTGTTGCTCAGCATCCTCCTCATCCTCCTCACCGAGTTCAGTTGTTCCCTCGCGCATTTCCACATCGCCCTCAGCTGCCTCCTGTCGTTCCGCAAGGTCGGTCAACAGCTCGCGCAAGCGGTCTCTGCGATCCGCGGGACCTTCACCAAATAGTGTGATTGGCTCGCCTAACTCTCGCAGTCGTGCGCGCACTCGGGTGTCATCAGTAGGTACTGCCATTGCTGCGGCCCTCCTCTTGCGCTCGAACTGGGATATGATAGCAGAGGCTCTTTCCGCCGGAATACCCGCCGCCCCCGAGGGGAGGTCATAGTTTCGGTCCACGGCTGCATGCAAGAATGCGAAGGTCAGTACGTAGTGGCGCAAGTCATTATGACAGCACTGGTAGAAGGTTCTCAGCGATACTTACGTATATTCGCCAAGTCAATACCCATGTCCGTGTCCTGTGATAGATACGAATGTCAGTCAATGCGCCGTGAGAAATTTCGTTAACTTATGAGGCATAGACAGGGTATGTGATGGGACTTCAAGCTGAAAGAGACGGGAACTGAGGGAAAGAGGGATATGCCTACCTGCGCCTCCTCCACGTACGCCTGTCGCGATGGGTGCATCATGATGGGCGAGGAGATGAGGGGATCCGCCAAGAGACGCCCTGTTATTGGACCAAACACGTCAAGCAGGACTGAATAAATGCAGCTGGGATGATTGAGGTCTTGACTTGACTTATACCAGCAAGGTGAAGTATGAATAGTAGCAAGATCTAAAGATGTGGAAAGAGAGGAAGAGGTTCGAGTTTCGGGGGAAGGAAATGAACTGGCGGCATCTTCGTTTTGCAAAAGGCGGCAAGCAAAGCAACAACCCCCGATCAATAATCATCAAACTCCCCCCATCCAAGTCCAAATCGCGCAACAATCCTGCTATCCTTGATGCTGTTGGTGCATTGAATGAGCATTTTCTTTAGGTTACCACATGTTCTACAGATTTGTCATGAAGGTATCTATTCATCATGATGCTCTTCCCTCCGTCGCCTACAACTACTGCATAGCAGGATAAGAACAGTGCTCGCCAAGTTCCGGACAGCGAGCTACTAAGTTCCTTCTCCAATCCTCTTTCACCTTCGGTACCAAATGCATCTGATTATATTCCTCAATAGACAATAGCTACATCCCACTCCTCCACAAACTTCATCAGTCTTTAAACCATGCATCACCAGCTCGAGGCGGTCGATGACGACGGCGGGCGGTCACAGCAACTGCCGGCCTTTCGACCCGGAAATTTCCATCGGTTCTTCTGCTTTTCTTCCAGCCTCAACCCACAGCTTTTCTGTATTTGTCCAGTCAGCCGGAGTTTTGTAACGGCTCCTTTTCTACCTCTCCACTCACTGTTGCGCGCTTCACACTATCTCTGTTGGTCGTTGCCGTTATCGACCTTTTGGCGTCCTGTTACTGCTGGCTCAGACAGGATAGAAACTCTCCGGCTCCGATCCGGGAATCTTTGCTGATGATCGCGTTGGCCGCCTCCAGTAGGGCCTGCAGTCCGGCCTGCAGCAGCCTACACACTGTCCTGCGTGACAGTCTCCTGGCCTCAATCGTTGCGCCAAAATGGACAGCTGCTCATCGTTCGAACTCTCGATCATCCTTGTGCCTTGCCCCCGTCGCACGAACTCCGCCGCCTGCCTCTTATCGCCGAGCTTTCCATACGACTTCACCGCTCGCTTCCCAATCCCCTTCTCCCCGAATTACATACCGGGTCGCTGCTTCATCCTCTGGCAAAGGTCGCCGCTTTCATCCGGCCAAGAACTCGTATGACTTCAATCCAGATCTCCACCCGGCTATCGGAGTTGCGACAGACACTCAAGACCCTGCATTGCGGAGGAAAAGGAGACCTGACAGCGGTGAGGATGCGTTTTTCGTCAGCAGAGTTGGCAATGGAGACTCTGGAGCCATCGCATTCGCTGTAGCTGACGGGGTTGGCGGCTGGGCGGAATCCCGCGTTGACCCGGCCGATTTCTCCCATGCACTATGTAGTTACATGGCGCAATCGGCCCTTGCCTGGGATGCACCAGCTGAGCAATTGCGCTCGAAGCACCTTCTTCAAGTTGGCTACGATCAAGTAGTAGCAGACAATTCGGTCCCCGCCGGTGGCAGCACCGCCTCCGTCGGCGTTGGCTTGGAAGACGGACGCATTGAATTAGCGAACCTAGGCGATTCGGGCTCAGTCCTTCTTCGACTAGCAGCCGTGCACCATTACTCGGTGCCGCAAACACACGGCTTCAACACACCATACCAACTCAGCATCATTCCTCCACGGATGCGCGCCCAAGCGTCTGTCTTTGGCGGCGCCTTTCTAGAAGACTTTCCCCGGGACGCGGCCGTCACCAATCTTCAGATGCAGCACGGTGACGTCCTCGTACTAGCCACAGACGGAGTTTTCGACAACCTCAACAATCAAGACATCCTCAAGCTGGTTTCCAGTCGTATGGTTCTCATGGGTGCATGGACCTCCACCGAAGAGGCCGGGGTGCAGCCCTCTGCGGATTTGCAGCAACTCACCAGCCCCAATGGCCTGGCGCCGCTCCTCCCTACCTCACCTGCCTCTTCCTCGCCCTCCTCACCCTCCTCGACATCCTCTACGTCCTCCTCCGACAGCACCGCCTCATCCACTAAAACCGCCTCTCCAAACCCCCGTGATCAAGTCTATACCCTCCAATCTCTGATTGCAGCCACCATCGCCGGCGAAGCCAAGCTAGCAAGCACGGACATGCGTCGCGACGGTCCGTTCGCCAAAGAAGCCCAGCGCTATTACCCGGGAGACTGGTACCGCGGTGGCAAGGTCGACGACATCTCAGTCGTGGTCATCATCGCCGTGGAAGAGGGATACTCCGGCTTCTCTACTCCCTCATCTAAATAGTTGCCTCTCTTCCTTTCTCTTGTGTCTACGATGGACATGCACATAAACCACCCAGTATAAGCATCTCTCGACCCCAATCTCTTCATGTTGGACATCATCCAAGACTCCTCGGCGTTCGGTTTATTGGAACCAACCGCATATACAACCTATATATACGGATAGAAATCAGTCACCATTTTGCCCCACCACTAATCCTACCCGCTACCCTTGCGTGTTTACTGGTTTGGTTCTTTTCAAAGGGAATGCGCACGCCCTTGGCAAACACACCCACCTGAAATGGTCATTCATATATACATCCATAGTACATAATACCTGCATCCGACCAGCATTGCCGAGAGTATATCTTTTTCCTGTGTCCCAGATACCTGGCGTGAGCTGTGTTTGTTGCCCCTAGCTCTCTTTCTTGTACCATACCCCCCACCAACAGGCATTGACCCTTCCTACTTACGCTAGTACCTTACCTGATCGTTTCTATTTTGGTTGAAGTTTTCTATGACTGTGTATGCCATGCACCTCCCTGAACGGAATATAGGGTCACTGCCCGTCGAGGAAGGGCCATCTACTTAGGCTTCTGCATATGCATGTTCTACTACCCTTGACTCCAAAGAAAGCAAGTCCCACTGAAATGGTACGAAATTTGGAACTTGACAGCAACTCTGCATCAAATAGACACACGTCCCCTCGAGCCTTGGGGGAATGAACCAGAATCCTAGAAATCCCCATTGCCAAAACTAACCCCTCATACACAAACATACAAGCATGAATTGGAAGTATAGGACACCATCACCCCCGCCACGGAGAGACCACCGAATCAGAGGAGAACCGGCAACTGTATAGCATTCTGTTGGCGAAAAAGAAAAGCAGCAGAGCATAAAGGAAAGGGTAAGTCAGGGGACAAATGAACAAACAAGCAAAAAAGCGAATATAGAGCGAAAATAATCCAAGAACAGAACATCATTCCGAGTCTTGACAATTGGGCTGGGGCCAAAGCCCCAGGAGGGAACCCCAAGATTTTCGACGGCTATCTCCCTTAAGCGAATTCAACTTTAGTGACTTTCTCTTCAAGTCGCCGGTCAAAGTCGTCGTATCTAAAAGCATAAGATGAGGAAAGGGATTCCGGTGGGGTGGCAATGTACATAGAACCAGCAGTGCAGATCAAATTCACATATTCACGAGAGCAGGAGAGCGTGCACGTTCAACGGCTATTTTCATTTCGCTGTCAATTTTCCGACTCTCTTCGGGCAGTTGAATTCCAAAACAGTAAGATGGTGGCGTAGACAATTGAGCAACAGAGAAGGGTTGTAGAGACTAAGTAAGAAACGGTGGCGACACAGGACCCAAATGCTAAATAGTAAGGGAGGTGCTGCACAGGACCAGGAGCAGAAGAGCTTTGCGAAAGCAGTGGAAAAGCAAACAAGCGGCACCGGTAAACAAAATCATTTATTTTGATCTTCAAGCAACTGCCTCCGCAGTCTTCTCCTCCGTCTTCTCCGCCTCTGCAGCCGGCTTTTCCTCATCTGTTTTCTCCTCTTCCTGTTCTTTCGGTGTCTCATCGGCCTTCGAGGTGGGCTGCTCAGCATCTTCCTTGGCGGGCTCGGGAACGTCCGACTTGTCTCCAGCATCCGCGTCAGTCATCGGCTCGTCCTGAGGTTCGGCGGTATTCGTCTTGCTCTCCTTAGAATCCTCTTCCTTTTCGTTTTCGGTGTCAGCCTTGACGGGCGTCTCCACGCTACTCTCTTTGTGAACACCGTTCGCCCGGGGCTTGTCCTCCTTTTCCTTGTGCTCCGAAGGACCGGTGGTATCAGCATCGAGAACATTTTTCCACTTGGATAAAATGTTGATGGCGCGTTGCCGGAATTGGAATTCCTCATCCCGAGGAATAGAGCTGAGCTTCACAATCATTTTCAACACCTTGTTGATCTTAGTCGCACGAATTATCGATACTTCCAGATCAGTGTGCTTCTCCAGTTTGGTGAAGTAGCCCGACATAGCAGTCATTTCTTCCTCTGCAGGTGGGAGTTCGCGGGAAATGAATCCCTTCTGGAGCTTGTGGCGGATGAAGAGGACTATATGGTATGAGCACGTCTTGCTACAGCCAGAAGATTGCATTCACTGGGAACTTACCCTCTTTCTCCTTCTTCTCCTTGAGTTCTTCCTGATTGACCTTCTTCTCGGGTTCCTTAGAAGCGGGGCGAGAATCTTCGCCTTCATCGCTTGCAGCGGCCTTGCCAGCTTTCTTGGAGCTAGTAGTTTGCTTAGCCTTGCTAGAAGCAGGAGCTTTTTTGCCATTCTCAGTGGTCGGAGTCTTGGGAGTCGTCAACTTCAATTTGGTGGTCTTGGGGGTCTTTGCGGGCTGTAGACCAGTGTCAGTTCTTGCCAACTCTCGCACGCGTATAGAACGATCCCTGACTCACCTTCTCATCAGCCGTAACGTCGGCTTCGGCATCCTTCTTCCGCTTCTTGGAGCTTTTTGGCTTGTGTTCCTCCTCATCAGCATCCTCCATCTCGACATCGTCGTCCTCAACAACATCCATGCTCTTGCGCTTGCTCTTCTTTGCTTCTTTGGCAGCTTTGGCAGCGGCCTTTGCGGCAGCCTGAGCCTCCTTCTCTTCGGTTTCCTGCTCAAGCGCGCGCTGGTGGTCAACCAGAAGCTCTTTGAAGTACTGAAGATCGTGACCCTCGGCTCCGACGGCATAAGCGGACAGTAGCAGCTTGGTTTTACCCTTCTCCGATACTTCCTTGCAGGCGGCAGGATCGAGAGGGGTCAGGTCTGTATTGGGAACCCAGGCGCTAAAGCGGTGTTAGACAGGAGTCTAGGGAGGGAGTACAACTGTGAAGGCGAGATGCCAAGCTTTACTCACAATTCGTTGGTCTCGAAGAACATAACCGGGAAAGTTCGCTCGTGCGCGCGCTTGCCGCCTTTGGCGTAATCGTCTCTGATGGTGCCATCTTCACGCTGAGCGGTCACGGGACGCGTGTCCAGCAAGGTCCGAGGAAGCATCTCTTCATCACAAATGATGGAAGGCCAAGGTGGGTAGCTTCTCAAACGCGCGAGGAAATAATCGCCAGGTTTCGCATCGAGATGCGTGACGCGAGGTTGCGACTTCTTTCGGCTCACTGAACCTCCAGTAGATTTGCGCCTTGAACTTGATGATTTCTTGGCCGAGGCGGGTGTTCCGTTGGCCTCCGATGTTGGGGCGGGTTCAACTTCGGGCTCTGCAGGGGCGGCTGCGCCGTCGGCGGGTTCCTTCGCGTCGACGGGCTCGGAGGACGTAGCGGGCTTCTCAGCTTCAGTCGACTCTTTTTTCTCCTCAGAAGAAGAGGCAGGTTCTAACGACGGTAAGTCGCAAATGTTAGACAGCTTTACACCAAGAGGAGCATGGTCTGGTTGGTGACCCCTTGTGAAGAGCCAAGCCAGCGCAAGCTAAGGTCAGACGAATATTTACCTGATGCCTTCTCATCCGAACCATTGGCTTCCTTCTCTACCGTCTCCTTGGGCTGCCCTGGTGCCGCGTCCACAGGAGCGGACTGGGTCTCGGCAGGAGCGCGCTCGACCGACTCAGCAGCGTCGGGAGCGGGCGCAGAGGCAGGAGATTCCTCGGCCATGTTGCGCTAGGGATCAGAAGACGAGTGGAAGAAAGAGATAATATCGGGGGAGGATATGATAATCACAAGAACCTTCTGATGATGGGAGAAGATGAATTGTAAAAGGGGGGAGAGGGTCGATGTGGATTTTTGGTTGGGGGGGGGTTGAGGGGGGAAGAGAGAGAGGGAGGTGAGTTGAGTTGAGTGAGAGAGAGAAGTGGTGGAGAAGGTCGCGACGCCGGGAGGCGGGAAGTTCGAACAACGCGTTGCACTTCTTGGGGGGAAGGGAAAGCGACACACTCTCTGCCTGTCCGCAAATGACGCAAACACTTCAACAGCCACAACCTTTGATATAGCTGAGATCAACCACAAATGTCGGTCGCTTTGGTCTGTATTCCAGCCAGAAAAATTATGCCTGGTTGATGAGTGTTTCTCCGGGTAAGCTGTTGAAATTGCAGCGCTCGTTGTAGCCAAGGACGAGTGCTAGTCACCAATCCTCCTCCCAGTCACTGCACGGCTTGGAGGGATAGATAGATGTAGATGAAGCTATCGTGTTTCCAGACAATATGGTGATCAGTGGTCGAAAGACTGAGATGCCAGGGGATTCTGCTGGTTCACAATTGTGACGCGAGGACACACGCACAGCACCAGCGACACGAGACGATCTGCCAACGGCCTGTAGACCGCGGTTGCGACGGCTACTGCTGCACCACCACCACAACAGCAACAGTACCAACAACTCGCGCGGAAGATCGCGGTTTAGATCAGGTGGTGATGGATCTTTAGCTGGTGTTGAATACGCAGCTAGCTCTGAGCCTACCGACTCACAGTAGGTAATCGATGAGAGCGGATACAGATGAAATAGCTATGGGTGGCAGGGAGGAGTGTATTTCCCAAGTCTGACAAGATCGCAGGGGTACTGCCTCCTTCGATTGACCCGGAAGATTGGGAGAATGCTCGTCAAAAGTCTGGGTTAAAAGGTTAGAAAGTGATGCAGGAGCAATAGGGATGTTACGGACTGACCTGGTGGCACCGTCGTCAAGCCAAGAGCGACCGAACGCGAAGGTGGTGAGGATCTCGAGCAACACCAAGTCACCCCGCGGTCGCAAGGATCTGCTCTGCAAGCTGATGGACTAGGGATCTCACCAATATTTCCCGCAACTCGGATAACAGGCTTAGCTTCTCCTAGCCCAGTTATTCCATTAAGGAGTGAAAGAATGAATGGTAGAGAGCAAGAGACGCAGGGCGGCCTTGGTTGTGGAAGAGAGAAGGAATCCACGGAGGAAAGTAGGAGTAGTAAGAGGCAATGGTTGAACCTCCACAGACCATACAAATTATACACACATTCACTCCCACATACGGACGGACCATTCACCTTCCCTCTGCTCTTCCTCTCAGCAAGTCACCATTACTAAATCTTCTACATTTGCCCAGTGAAGCTGAACGCTTTCGTCGGCTCAGATCCCAAGCTCTCGATCGCAGACATGAAGCAACCCGTGCCCCGCTCCGAAACTAAATACTTCTCTTCTATGGTTAAATAGACTGCTTGCCGAAACGTTGCAGATAGCATCCCCCAACCCCTTTCACTCCCCTCTGTTCTTCCTTGTTAGCACACATTGTGTGTTGAAGTTGTAGGTGGAAATTCCATATTCACAGAACTTGCTTCAGATTACCACTCCCGACGCCCACTTAAGGTCCAGACTTCTTCTACAATCACGGAGATCCAGATCAAAGATGGAATACTTGCATTAATTCCCAAGGAAGCCTATATATATCCTGTAGGGAGCCTGCATCAACGGCATTGATATTGATGGTCGTAAAGATACGCCAGAAAAATGGTCGGGAAGACACGTTCGAAGGGAGTCATCGGGTCATGATCGAGAGGGGTTCGTAGACATTAATAGTGCATATGCAAGGGTATCATCAAGCTCTAGGGCAGACAAAATAGGGAGTAGGGGGATCTTCCCGACGGTCCCTGAATCAAGGGAGAGAGGTATGTTCGGGAACGCCATCATCGACCCAGCCGACTGCATCTGCGAGTCCGTCCATGGTGTTCGGTGCAGGTTTATGGATACGAACCAACCACAGAAAGTAATCCTCCAAGGGCAGCAAGTTCAAAAGAATGCCGTTGAATCTCCACCCGAGAGCACACACCGTTGCACCGGCGATTGCATCCAAGATAAAGTGGTTCGCGGTGGCGACGATAGCAGCCAGGATCACAAAAGGGTAGGCAAAACCCAGCACGAGACAGCCCAGCCGACGCCACGACGGAAGCTGCAGCTTCAAAGGGCCAATAGCCACGCGGGTGCGGCGTCGCTGATGTGGCGGCAGCGGGATGGTCATGATGGTGAGACCAATCATAAGGGAGTAGCCAAAGTGCAAAGAAGGCATGGCAGCTAGAACCTCGTCAGTATCTTTGCTCGGACTTATTCAGGAATGCGCAACCGAACTTGGAAACCCATTCGAGCGACAAAACTTACCATACTGATTGCAAAAGCGATTCTCGGTCCAGACGCTACCCGCGCCATTGACTCCGTGCACGGTATCAACAAATCCATAGCTACGACCCAAGGCTGCGTCAGGCCCCTTCGCATCCTTATCGCTCAGCAAACGAGGTGGCATGCAGGGCCACAGAGTAAAGACCACAAAGGCAAGCAAGTTGCACACAGCGAGCGTTCGACGCCGAGCTTGGTATAGGTGGGATCCCGCGGGTGAGCCGCCAACAAGCCCGCGCGGTTTTCCTGGTTGCGACTCGTCCGACCGGTTCCTCGTGATGGTGAAGTAATAGAGCCAGACAAGAAAGGCGATGGTCCCAGGGATATGAATAAACGAATAGATCCAGTTGGTCCAGGTCATTAGGGTGGGATGACGAAGAAAATATTTTTGGATTGAAACCTCCCAGAACATTCCCAAAGCCTGCTCAATCTGAATCAATTGAAGTGCATGTTTGCGAGCTACATCAACGGTATCCTCTTTGAGAGTGACAGCCGTGAATGCGCGACCCAGCTGGTATGTCTAAACCAAGCACGTTAGTCTTCTCTCCGGTACCACATAGGATCTGTGCGAGCTCCAAGCAGGGATCTCGTTCAAAACATACCCAATATACAAGCGCCCAGTACCAGCACTCGACCAAGAAGGGAAATTTGCGGAGCAAGCGACTGAGTAACCGGTCGTGAAAAACGGTGGTATCTGGCGACGTGACTTCGAAGGTCGAGGCGAAGAACCCAATTTGTCTCTTGCGCCAACCGGCTTGACCGACTTGCTGAAGCGAGGAAGAAGACGAAGAACGGCGATTCAGTAAAGTATCCTTGGCAGTTGGGGTGGAAAGGCCGGATTCAACCGCGCCAGGGGAAGAACCACGCGAGACATTGGAGTTACGATGAGGTCTTCGAGGAGGAAATTTCCCTGTACTTCGGTTGATCCAAGTGCCTCCGAAGAGTAGGACGATGACGGTCAGAGGTTCTAGAATGGCCCCTGCGCCCATGATGACTGGAGGCGGAAAAGAAATGCGCTGGTCAGACCCGCTCAAGGAAGGAATAAGACTAAGTAGGGAGTGTCGTGTGATGGTGACGAGAGCAACTGCGATGGAATAAGCGACTGAAAAGAGGTGATTAAGATGAGTGAGAAAGGGCTACTAGACTGCTAGCATTGTAAGGTACAGGTAGCGGAGGAAAGATGAAGGAAGTGAAGTTGAGAGGGAAGAGAAAAGGAAACAGGGAAAGACGTCACGCTACCTGCTGGTCGAGTTGCTGATTATGTATGTTTGTATGGGGAGGGGATGTATGTACCTAACTTCCACTTACGTATCTTAAGGCGCCTCTGTCTCTTGGTTCAGGGCCAACCCATGCTTTTAAGGTATTTTTCAAGTCAAGCATAGAAGAAAGTCAATGTGAAAAAGAGCTTTGAACTTAGCGATACTAGTAGTCTAGTACTACTTGGACCCAACCAAGGTGGAAGTGTGGGGGGGTGGAAACCATGCGAGGTGAAGAAGGCTCAATAAGAACTGCTTCTACTAAGACAGCGAGAGGGGCCTGACCAGCGGCTGTTCATGAAGAAGGGATTTAGTTTGTGCATATGTCGTGACAATTAGCACATGCTGGAGCCAGGGAAGGGCAACCAAGGAAAAGCAAGCGACCATCTTAGCTCATAATAGGTAGGTAGTTATCGGAGCTCCCGGAAGCCGGGTTTGTTTTCTGAGACAACGACTTATCCACTGGGGCTTGATTCCGGGCCCTGGTCTACCTTGGCATGGGTGGTACTTGTGACTAGCTAGTCAGTTCTGGTTGAGAGCAGAGATAGTAAGAGATTCTTTAACTTCTCTAGCTATGCATCTATACAATACATGTTCATCTGGTATTATCCACCAGGTTTAAAATTTCTTTGAGCTTTCTTTGATGGAACTATTCGGCAAGTGAGCATAACTGCGCTGTGCACTGGAAAAGTTACTGTACTGGATCACACCTTGGGTTCAGCGGTGAAAGAGTCTCAAACTATGTTATGGATGGATGGATGAATGGCTGGTCAGCCCCAAGTACCTGAAGACTCGGTAAGGTATAGACTAGTAACGATACTGGAGGTCAACAGGTTGCCCCATACTGAATTTGTCATTGATTGGCGGAACAGGAATCTTTGGTTACAGCTTCTTTTCCCCCAAACATGGTAAGACGTCACATGGACGGGATGCACCAAGCCTTGGAGGGAGCTACTGTACCTCAACTTTCCATTACTTCCAATGGTATTGGGCATTATCCTCAAAATCAATGAGCCGGATCCATTCTGGATCTCTTTACAACCTGCGAGGCTCGAATGTGTTGACCCCTCCGTCAATCCGCTTATATCAGAAGCCGCCAGCACAGTGAAGGTTGACCCAGATGACAGAGAGGCCTATGCGTCGATCAATGAACATCACCCCCGGATTATTCAGCCTTGTCTAGCCTTGTTGAGCAGCCAAAGCACCCTCCAACGATTCTGGACGACTGCCGGCACATTCTTGAGTCACCACTATGTTTGGGGTACAATTATGAATAATTATACTCGCCTAAAGCGGTTCTCCCGGTCTTGTCCCACGTCCGACCGCATACGAGAGAGAGAAATCAGCAGTATTTGCAATATCTCCATGCACATATTGAGTGTATTCGCATCGGCCACGGCTGGGGCCACTTGGTCCGCTTCGGAGCGCCCACAACAACAGCCAAGCCGCTTATACCGGCGACTCTCGAAGCCTCCCTGCCGTTTGACAAGCCTTTCAGCCAATCAATCAGTTATTAAGCAGGAGTTAAAGCTATAATGACCGGCAATTATGTGCATAATGTGCATGAGAATAGTGCCCCGTGTCGGCCCCGGAACTCAGCTACTCCGTCTTAATTCCGCTGACGCCGAGTTCCGTGTTACTAGTGCGAGCTCGACCCATGGATTTCCTGGTCCCATTCGGAAAAGAACTTGAAGTTACGCAGTAACTAACATTTCAGATGACCGATATTGTTCACCAAACCGGTTCACCTCCCCTTTCAATGCCTCGGTCCAGATCCGGACCTGATCGAACAGAGACTCTTTCGGCCTTCCTGACTAATTAACTGCCTTGGGACCCGCTGGCTTCGGAAGTGGTGATCCAGGGTGCCTGCCAAGTACAGCATAGCAACAGGAGAAACAAGCTTCGAGGTTGTTTTCTCGTGAGCGGAAGTTTGCGGTGGATTACTATTTGGATCTAAATAAACACCTGATACTTCTCTGGACTTCTCCAGGTACAACTGACTTCTTCTTTAGGGGCCCTGAGGAACGCGGGGAAATTGGTTCCTTTGTCATGACGTCATGCTATCGTTAGCTGGAATCACATAAATCAACCCACCCCCACCTGGCTGCTTTGTTCATTGAGTCCCATTATCCCATAACCTAAAATGAAAACAGCAGACTTGCTACTAGGTTAGTAAGTAGTAGTTAGTCAACTAAGTTAAATCCCTTGCTGCTCTGTAAGCATCAACAGGCCCTGAAACCAATCAAATCATGCTTCACCAACCACGGAGGACCATGAGATATGGCTTACGTCAATGTCCCCCCCTCCATCTCGGTCTAAAATAACTATGTCAATGAGTAGCAATCCAAACCCAACATTGATCCTAAATTACTGGAGTCCACAGATTTAGTGCTTAGTATACTCAGTAGTTTCCATTCAATATGTTTGGGTCGCTTCCTCGCGTCATTCATACCTCCTCCTTGCGGAACAGTATCGATCTCGCGTTGCGCCAGATTCCCAAAGCCTCAGTGTCGACAGCACCTTCGAGATGGTCTTCTTCGACGACGTCCACCAAGAAAGAAGTCACATTGCTTCAGGACAAGAAGAATGGCTTTGGATTTGCACGGTCAAACTCCAGACCATCGAAGCCGAGGACCAGAGGCGTCACTGAAATCAGAGGCCCGTATTATACTGTATGCCGACTGCCGAATCGCAATTTCCAAGGCATACAACGGGATGCCCTGTGCTTCCATCGGGACATTTGATGAGCTGATTCATAGGACAGGTCATGGGGAAACGATACCTAGCCGATGTGCTGGAGACGTGAGCCGCTCGACCAGGTTAATGATAAGGGAATTCTGCTGCTGACAACTGCCTCCGCAAGTATGGGGACTCATGTGGACGGCTTGAAATTTGCCGGAGGTAATGGATTGCAGTTCCCCAGCTTGGTACTGAGAAAAACAAGCTAAGCAACTCACTCATCCAGGGTCATTCTCTTTGTTTCCAGAGAAGCCTCTGAGAGAGCTAATCGACCTCGCACACGACTACGGAGTCTATGTCTCCACAGTAAGTCTGCCGGGCGACAACATATACTTCCTCTGGATGATAAGCTCAAATGAACCAGGGAGGTTGGGCTGAGCACCTACTCACTCATCCCGATGCGAACACCGTTTTCGACAAGTACCTTCGAAAGTGTAAGGACCTTGGGTGCGTATATCTTTCTACGTTGCCAATGGCATACGTCTAATACCTCCCCTCGACTGTAGGTTTGACGTGGTTGAGCTCTCCTCCGGCTTTCTATCTATTCCAGAAGACGACTGGCTTCGCCTTGTTGACAAGGTCCACTCGTACAAGCTGAAAGCGAAGCCCGAATTAGGAATTCAATTCGGTGCCGGTGGCGATACCCCTGCGTCGGGCTTGGAAGCCATGGGTACTTCCGATCCCTCCAAATTGGTGAATCTGGGCCGCAAATTCCTCGACGCTGGCGTTGAGCGGTTAATGATCGAGTCAGAGGGTATCACGGAGAATGTGGAATCCTGGCGGACCGACGTGGTATCGAAGATCATGAAAGAGCTTCCTTCGGAAGGTGTCATGTTCGAGGCAGCAGATCCTAAGGTCTTCAACTGGTACATCCGAGAATTTGGCATTGATGTGAATCTGTTCGTCGACCACAGTCAAATCGTGCAATTGTCATGCTTGCGCCATGGAATTTGGGGCACGGCCGACACCTGGGGAAAGATTGTCTCATTTCGACCCGAGTAGTTGATGTGCGAGGATGATGGCGATTTGATGGGGGGGGGCGGGGTGATGTTCAGTCGTCTAGTGCTTATATCGTTCTTTTGAGGCTTCTGATCATCTGTCTCACGTTCTTGGAGAAGCCACGTGAAGGGCCCGTAAGTTCAATAGTTCCATCTCATAGTATTGATGGATTTGGCGGAGATTTAGAGAATGCATAACAAGTGGATGCGCAAGTAATTACCCAAAGAAGTCAAGTCTGCATGCACTATGCAGCTGAGTCATGCCACCGAAAAGATGCTCCCGTCCCGCTGCTCCTCCTCCGTCCCGTCTTTTGTTTTCTCCGCCCGACCCCAACTTTCCACCGCCATTCGGGGAAAAGGCAGTCAATGCTGCCTGTGCTGTCGATCGTGGTTCCCTGCTATTCCTTTGCGCTTCTAACTGGTGACTTTCAGTCTTGTTCATTGCAGATCGTCCCAAGTCTCGAATGGGAGATGTCGCACGCTATTGTTGGCTAGTTTGGTTCCGGGTTTCCAGCTTGAACCCATCGCTAGCCGGACTAACTAGTTAGGCTGCTGCTTACTCTTAGAGCCAAGGGCACCTGGCTATTTTTTTTTTCCCTATTCGCTTGCCTTGCATCCTCTTCTTAACACTAACTTGCATATCTGCCTGGTATATTCAACTTCTTCCTAAGTACATGCTTCATCATGCCGAGGGCAAGCACGGCCCCCGGTGCTCGCCTGCGGTGCAGGAGAGCTTGCGATAGTTGCAAGCGGCGGAAGCAGAAATGCAATGGAGAACAGCCATGTACGATCTGCGTTCAACGTCGCAAAGAATCCGAATGCCACTTCTCCGACAAACCCGCCCGCTTGCTCAAGCCGAACAATAATCCGAAAGAAACCATGCTACTCAGCGAACGCCTCGTCCCAACCCCGCAGCGGCAGACGGCCATGGACCGACTGCTAAACTCACTCGAAGACCACACTGCGACATTGGAACAACAAGCGACTGATGACAAGGATGGTACAGCACCGGTGCCCAAAGTGGCCAGGCTTCTGCGCGACGGACAGGGGAAATTTATGTATATTGGTGATTCTGCAAGCTTGTCCTTCCTACAAAGTGTCCGTCGGATCGTCTCCTCGTCAATCGGCCGCTGTGAGTTCACAGAAGATAATTCGCGGCACTCAATGCTGGAGGCTTTTCAAAACAGCGCTTCAACACATACGGGGCCCTTGATCGCACCTCCCAGCAACGAGGAGGCTCAGCGGTTGGCGCGTCAATATGTGCTTGCTACCAGCCCGCTCCTGGAGCTGTTCGATCTCAACGAGTTTCACCCACGTCTTGCCAATTGGGTGGGTAACCCTACTGGTGATGAGGACACAGTCAGCTCGATTTTTTATCTAGTCCTCGCGATTGGCGCTCAGGTATCAGACACCAACCAGACTCTAGCGGAGCAATACTTTGTTAGTGGACGCCAATTAGCGTTCTCGGCGTTCACGGAGACCCCCAGTATCTACACTATTCAGTCATACGTACTGATCTCCATGTACATGTTAGGTGCGTGTCGGCGCAACGGCGCCTTCATGAACCTTGGCATCGCGCTTCGGGCGGCGTATGCCGTCGGGATCCATCGGAAAGACGCCAATGCGTTGTTCTGTAGCCGCGAGCGACGGGCCCGCGAACGCGTGTGGAAGAGTCTGCGCATGATGGACCTCTACCTCAGTGCTTCTTTAGGACGACCACCCGCTACCTTGGACTTCGATTACGACCTTCGCGAGGACAGTCTTCCTCCGGCGGATCAACAGCGTCTCGAACCCGAAGAACAGTTGTCGATGACGGTGGTTTCATTGTGCCGAATCTTTGAACGAATTTTGACCGAGGTCTACATGCGGCAGGTGGTGTCCATCACTGTAGCTGACGCCATATCGAATCAGCACCGGGCTTGGGTCCGTAACGTGCCTATGTTCATGCAGATGCAGACAGAACGACTAGATTCGAGAAATCTAGAAGGCACTCTGGCCGCAGCACATGTCTTTGGATCATACTACTGGTCGATAATTCTTCTAACGCGCCCGTTCCTTATCTTCCGAGTTTCGCAGTACGTACGAAGTAAATTGGAATCGACCAGCTCCGACTCCAGAAGCACCAATTCTCGGATTGCACTTTTCGCCGATGCATGCGTCTACTCCGCCTTACGAGGTCTCAACATTGTAGACGACCTTTCTCGGTTTAGCAATCTTCCACGCAGATTACCTTTCTTGATCAACTCTGTGTTCAACTCAGCCGTGGTGCTAGGCGCAGCATTCTTTGCGGACTATGACAACCTCCTCCCACTGGAGGAAGGCATGGAGAAGGCCGAAAGGTTTCTAGGCTTGTTCGTACCGCATGATCCTCACGCATGCCGCTTCTTCCAGATCATCAAGTACCTCCGTGCTGCAGTGGCCGAGTATGTCCGGCGACGAAATCGCCAATGGATGCAACACCGTAGTCGTCAGGTCGACCAGCTCTTCGGCCAAGTCGGCACCTCGGATGAACCCACGGCTGTAACAGATGCTAATACTCCATCAAGCCGACGCGGTGATCCAGCTGCCGTTCTCTCACCACTGTCTCCCGAGAAGGTTGCTGCGGGACCAACTCTACCTCACGCACCCGACATGGCTGCCACTGCCACCACGATCCCAGGTCAGCCAGATAACGACCTCTGGGAGTCCCTGTACGGCACCCAGGGGGCAACCAATCTTCCATACGATACAGCGATTTCCACGCTCACGACAATGGGTATCCCTATTGGGTGTTCCCCAGGAGGAACAATCCCACCTGGCGCTTTACCTTCAGAGGTACCGGGCGGTCATACGCCGCTGTCCGATGTAATTTTGCCTGACAATGGTCTTCTGTATATGGCTGAGGATCTTCCTGTTTTTGGTTTGTGGGAAGATGCCTAGCGAAGCATTTCGCGAACTGCAAGTAGCCTTCTCTCTGGAGTGCACTCTTAGTGCGTACCATACGGCTATATTTTGGAGGTTGCATTCCCCTTGGATGCCCACGGAGCGACTTATTTTACGACACATTCATGCACATAGTACATTCTCCTCATATTCTTGGCTTGCAGTTTTGAGCCTGGTGTTCATACGACAAGCCTGGGGTTGGTTGGTTCCTTGTATATTCCACATCTCCTTGTTTCAGTTTGTACATACATACCCTGGCGCAAGCAGCGAACTTGCGTTTCTTTTTCTTGAACTATCTTTTCATATTCGAACAATCTTGTGAGACCCTTCCATCACCATCACGGTCGACAACCGGCCGCAGCTTAGGAAATTCCAGGGAGCTTCTGGCTCTGATGCCTGGTTCGAATCTGAAGTGTAGCTTGTCCACAAAAGTTCAGGCAGCCCAGCCTGCCAGCTTGAGCTATAAAGCACCGGACAAAGACACAAGTGCTACACACATTTTGTTTTAGAACTCTCCCAGCAAGATACGATAGATACCACCAACCAGACCAGCCTATCCACAAGAAATCAACGAGGCAGCTCATAAGCCTGATCCCGAGGAGGGTCTCCCACCTCCCACTCATCATCGAAAAGAACATACGCTACACTACACTAGCTACCCAGCTACCCAGTTCCCGCCCCCTAGCACCGGGTAACCTCCAGCCCTAGGAGTCCGCGGTGAAGTCATCCGTAGGGAAAACCACGGCGTCCGCATGCCACGTCTTACCACCATCCGAAGACGAGAAGCCGCTACTGCTCATCGACCCGATCATCTCCAGGGTGCCACCAAAGTTCTGATCGGCCTCGCTCAGGGTGATGGTGATGTTATTCCAGCCTATCGCGGGCAAGACCGAAGCGCAAGCAGATAAATCATCAGTCATAGTTCACAAGCGCAGTCTGCTTATTATCCCTTCTACGCGGAAAAGCAGAAGGCCTGAGAGGGGGGCATGGGAAATGGACGCACTATAGCTAGGCAAGGTGCCACAGGTTCCGGACCCGGTGTAGCATTCGTCGGAGGCGTAGAGGTACTGGAGCGGATTGGTGAGGGCGTCGTTTTGCTTGGAGACGACCTTGCCATTCATGGTGACGATTTGATAGACTTTGTTGTCTTGGACGTAGACTGCATTGTTGGGGGGGGGGGGTTTATTCAGTCAGGTAAGGTCAATCTAGGATAGTGCAGGGTAGAGTAAGGTAGGATCGGGTGGGTTGAAATGGCTTACTTTCAAAATCCACCTGCGCATCCTCGGTCACAGGAACATAGGCCTGACCGACTTGTCCGCCTGTGTCATAAGAAAGGGTTGGTTAGTTATCAACCCCAAACAATTCATCTTCCTCCCCCATACAAGACATCTCGATCCAAACTCACTAGAAGTATAAGTACTGGCCGCAACGCACCACTCCTCAGCAGTAGCCGAACAGCCCCTACAAGCAACCAATCCCTCTCAGGTTAGCCCCATCCAGCGCAGCAGAAACTAAACCACCCCCCTTCCCAAAAAAAAACGTACTGAGACTCCTGGTCTGGCGACCAATTGAACAAAGGCTGGTAGAGACTATCGGTGTCACCACTCTCCGTTGCCGAAACGCCGATCCAGATCGAGGTCCAGACCTCGTCGCTGGAATCCTTGACCGTCGCGTTCTGGGGCACGCTGGGGGCGGCGATCGAGTAAGTGGCCTTGGTGATCTGGCCGCTGGCCGGCGGACCCATCCAGAAGCCGTATCCAAAGGTCCACGAGTCGGTGCTGTACGCGGCGGCGTGGAGGGCGAAAGCCAGCGGGGCGGCGGTGTAGGCGTAACGCATCTTGGTTGCAGGATATGTAGTGTTAGAGTTAAGAGGGTGTCAATGAAAGAAAGAGACAGACGGCGAGACCAGTCGCGAAGTAGACTGTAAGTGTAAGTTAAAGGAATGACTTGAAGTGATAATGGGATGATGGATTAAAAGAGTGATTAATGAATGTGAACGTATGTTTGTTGATCAACAACAACTTTCTTTTCTATGACTCGCAAAGAAGCAAAAAAACCGGATGGAGACTGAAGTTAAATGGGGGGGTTTGTAGGGCAAGTCGGCTATACTTATGTATAAACTCAACTCATCACTACTAACGGCGGTAGAGTCATTTTATCATCGCTTTCGTCAAGGACTCTGGGTGGAGTCCACTTAGATTCAAGAAACAATCGTCAAGGATCCTGGCATCTCCACTATCAGCATTAAGTCCTCGTGCTAAGCGTCGCCGGTTGAGACATGCGGACCCCAGAACTTGCCGGTGGCTTGGGTCATTTGTGGGATGTTGATTAATTATCTGCATACTTTGGGACTTTATGATCCCCTAAATACCCCTGACTATGGTGCACACCCAGGCAGTAGGATTAATTATCTATGTAAGTTAAATAGCCTACTTGAACTCGTCGGAACTAATATTGCTGGGAAACTCAGGAGGCCGGACTTTGTCCGAAGGTCAATTAGATGCGTTCATCCGTGCTTCGCGGTACTCTGCAGGAATTGCCCTCCCCTTTTGTCACAATTTAGTGAGGCTATCGTAGAGTTTATGAGACTCGTACGATGAAGCCTTCGACCTCCCATCGTGCAAGGTAGAGCTTACTTCAGAGCTCAGACTCTACTTCCAAGTAAGCGACAAATGTAAGCTACATAGTATGGTCTCCTCAGATCTTGATGATCGAGCAATAATTCTTGTGAATAGGTTCAGTCTTCACAGTTTCAAGCAAATCTCCAACATGAAGCTTCCCAACGACACCCCATCATCCTATGTAAGTTGCCTGTTGCAAATCCGGTAGAAACAATACCACACCATTCTTAATGTGTGACAGATGCTGAACTTCGTAATCTGGTTTATCCAGCTGAAGAGTCGATAGATAATGAACGTGCCAGACGAGGCGATGAGTTGCGAGAACATTCCACGGACAAACTAGGAAGATCCAAAGCAGAGTCCCTGCCTCAACAACCCAGAAACAACGTCAAATTAGAACGCAGTGTTCAACAATCCCACATTGATATCTCCGTTCTCCTTCATGACCATCATCGACAACATCATCGCTCCAGAACCACTGCCTCCCATCATATCCCCGGGGCCAGTACCGTAGATCTGCTCCCCCAACATGCGTAACTGCATCGGAAAAGTGGGATCCCCATAATGTTCGATCACCTCGCTCTTCTCCACGGCACAAGCCAAGGAGCTCCACTCCGACCGCGACTTCAGCCCAAAGGCCACACAGTCCTCCGCCTTGGTTTCAGACCACCATGCGGGCAACACCGACTCGCCTCCCGCGGGACCTCCCTGCGGCTGCTGCCAGGCCCAGAAAGCGCCGGAATCCCTGACGGCTGTCGGGCACCTCGCCGCTGTAGATGGAGTCCGGGTCGACCTCGCCCTGGAACTTGTACTGGTCGTCCATGCGGAGGCGGTAGCAGTCGATGAGGAGCTGGTAGACGTCCGCTTCGTGTCGATTGTGGAGCCAGGTCTTGTTCTGCAGCGCTGTGAAGGGCTTTTCGATAAAGTCGGAAAGGTTCTTGGGTCTGCTGGCTTCAAATTGCGCTAACTGGGCGGTAGAGGAGCTGGCGTGCTGGCCGCAACCCTTCTTGTGTGTCTTCCAGTCGACCTTTTGACAATCGCGAGAGCAGTACCACTGCGTCTTACATCGCGCACCTTCGTGGGATGCTTTCCGAGCACAGACACTGCAGGCAACCTCAGGATCAGCCATGGTATTGTGATGGATGATGTTAGGTGGATGAGCAGGTCTTGAAAGAGATGAAGAGAGTAAAGTGTTAAGAAGAGGGGGCGGGGGTTTGGCGAGCTTTTACGGGGTACATATATTCACTCCCACTCCCAAACCTTCTTTCGGCACAACAAAATTAAACCATGCATAAGAATACCATACACTTCTTCACCTCTTGCGAGGCCGCTGTAGATAGCACGATCTCATCACATCCTATATGCACCGTACATGAAATGCAGAGATGGCAGCATGACAGCGGACCAAACTGCAGGTAGATTATCAATCTAACCACGCAGGTAGTCAGATTGACGCGTGAGGCAGCGAAACCCAGATTGGCATTAGCGAAGACAAATCACAGCAAAGAAAAATAATAACGAAAGTAACACCTCCAGTCAGACAAACAAAGACGCAATCCATAAGACGAGGCCAAATAGCACGATCATGAGAACAGGCGAGAAGAGTAAAGGAAATGATGATATATAGCGAAGGGCGGTTGGTTGGTGGATTGTTCAAGTTCTAGCTTAGTGGACACCCACTGTTCACAATCTAAACAGACATGCCAGATTAAGAGACAGGGGACTGACATCGAGCTTCCAAAATTACGTATAGATCTTGCGCCGGGGTACGAGACAGTAATTCTAAGCAAGCGGCATAATGAAGACGAAGGTCGAAGGCATCGCTTTTGAAACCGTTTGCGCAGATCCGACAGACCAAACCACGACCTGTACGCGTGACAGCGCCAGGGTTCGTAGAAAAGAGGGAATTAGATAGAAAGCGGCATCATCTATGTGCGATGTGCATGCCAATCCCGCCAGCAAGAAAGAGCAGCGTTGTGGTATAAGAGAATGCCGCAGAGTGGATGGAGTTATGTACATATCCGGATCAAAAACCGAACGGGTTCGTGGGTGCTGAAGCTAAGTTAGACAATCTGCATGCGTGCCGGGAGGAATGAAGTTCAACTTACTAGCTTGCGCTAGATTGGCGCGGAGACCTGTCGGCTGAGGAGCCAGCTTCTTAGGGGCATCATGCTTCACACCGAATCGGATGTTGGGGGCAGGACCAGTCTTCTGGGGTTGCAATGGTGTAGCAGTCGGCTGTGGAGGAATAGGCGGCATTGGGGGGGCTGGCCCACTGTAAGGCAAGCTGCTGACACCGTTCATGCCAGTGGGTTGAGGTTGCAAAGGCGGAGGCAGGACCGAATTGATGCCTGTCTGCATCGGTTGCTGCGGTTGTGGCTGGAACCCTCCGAAGCCTGTCGGTTGTGCCGCCAAGCCAGAATAACCAGTTTGCTGCTGCTGGATTCCAAATTGAGACTGCGGCTGGAAGCCTGTTACCTGTGGCATCAGCCCAGTCTGGAATTGAGCTTGCGGCATGAATCCGGTCGGCTGCGGCTGCTGTAGAGAAGGCTGGAAGCGTTGTTGATGTAACTCGGCCAAGCTCTGACCCGGTGGGGCAATTTGCGGGCCCGGAAGAGGAATTCCAGTCAGCTGGGGCTGCAACGCTGGGGTTCCAAAAGAGCTGGGTTGCTGAGGGAAGTTCTGAGGGGCCGAGAGAGGTCGTTGTGGCGGAGGAGGGAGCAATGAGTTGCCTCCCAGTGGAGTTTGTGGTGCTTGAGGACGCTGTCTTGCAGCCGCCTGAAATCCTGTTACCTGGGGAGTGAAGGCTTGAGCAGCCTGTGGCTGTCCGAGCTGGGCGAAGAAGCTGGGCGAGGCCCCTGTCGCCTGCGGCTGCAGCTGAGGCGCAGGCACAGCAGTGGGCTGTGGTTGAATCGTAGGCTGAGGCTGAATCGTGTGCTGAGGTTGGATGGTAGGCTGAGGTTGAATGGTCGGCGGCGCTGCGGGTGGAGACTGGGGAGCGGGAACCGCAGCAGGCGCAGGTGTAGGTTGAAGAGGAGCTTGAAGCAGGGAGAGTTCTGCCATTGCTCCGGTGAGCGGCTGCGTAGCTGGGGGTTGGCTTGTAGTTGGCGAAGATGCAGCGGGGGGAGGGCTTGACGTAGTGGCTGGCGCAGCAGGAGCAGCTGTTGTAGGGGTTTGTTTGGGTTGCTTAACCTCCCATGCATCATCATCGAAGCCCTTTTGCACCGGAGGTTCCGGTGCAGACGACGAAGCAGGCGGGGTTTCACTACGCTCCGCGGGCTTGGAAGCATCCTTCTGCTCAAAGGCCTTGGGATCAACCACATCACTTGCTGGCGTGTTGGGGGCAGGTCTGCCTTTCCGAGTGTTGTTGCGCAGCACTCCGCCAGGTCCAGAGAATAGACCACCAGAACCCTCCTCATCGATGACTTCCTCGCCCCCAAAGCTAACGTTACGTAGCTTGGACTTGGCTCCTGTTCGGCCGAACATGTTATCCAAGTAGCGCATTACCCGCAAGATATCGCCCTCCTTCAAGCCAAGAGTGCGCAGGACTTCAGGGGTAATGTCTGGAAGAATTCCCTCATCCATGGAGTCCTTGATGAAGTTCTGCGAATAGCGTTCACATTGGTGGGGGCCGACACCAGCCTTTAGGAAGAAGTCGAACCAATCGTAGTCGGACTGCTGGAAAGAAGCTCCGTTCTGCTTGCCATCGGACGAGCTCCGAGTCTTCTCGGGCTCAATGCGTTGAGAACGGCGTTTGATGTCAGACAGTGGCTTATCCTCGTCCAAAGAGGCTCCAGTTAACTTCTCGACGTATTCCAGATCCTCCACCGACATCTTCATGATCGGTACGGCGATCTTAATGCCGTTCTGCTTGTGAAGATGAATTTTACCGTCCATCAAACCGATGAACTGAGCCTCGACGGTGAAAGTCTTAGTGCGGTCGGTCCACTGTCTAACCTTGGTAGGATCGGGTTCTACACGAGTTAGCCAAATTTGGGGGCGCTTCAAGTACAGAAAGCAGAACTTACTCGACTTGATAGATTTGCTATCCCTTTTCTGGCGCTGGGTTTTCGTTAGCGTGTCTTGTCCCTGCGACCTGACAACACCTTGGATAGAGAACATACCTCCGGGCTTCGCGGGTCGATCATCGAGTCCGTTTTCGACTTCCGTGACGCTTCCTTTGTGAGACGTGCCTCCTCCATGCGATTCTTCTCCACTGTGGACAGGCCTGGCTCAGAGCCTCCAGGTGGTGGGCTAGTCACGGTTCCCGTGATCTCGATGTAGCTACTCGGCACCACACCCTCCTTGCCGTTCTTGAGACGGCGCACCATCCACCATTCTTCCGACTTGGTGTCATCAAGGATGATAACATCGTCGCCCACGGCCACCGTCACCTCATCGTCACCTTGCGCCATGAAATCGTACAGAATTTGACCCTTCTTCTGGCCTCCACTGGTGCCGGCGGCAATGACTTCCCGGAGTCCTTCGGCGCGGTAGGCACCGGAGATCTCTCCCAGGGCGGAGACAATCTCACGAGCTGTATCTTTGGCTCCAGCATGGAAATCAATGCTCTTGCTGGGGCGGACGAGATCAACGAAGACGTGCTTGCCCTCAATAGAGTAGTGGGTCAGCTTGTCAGCCGTCCATTCCTGCACTGCGCCATCTTCTTCCGGTGAGATGAAGATAGTCCCCGTTGCAACATTGATACCCAGCGTTGTGGGCATTTTCTTTCTCTTGCCCATGACCTCAACCATTTCGTTGATAGTGTAGATGTGGTACCCTGACGGAGAACGCGGGGTAGGGTGACCCACCCTAATGTAGGGCGGAGATTCCTTAACGTGGCTCTCGTTGCGATCTTCTCGGAGCGATGCATGTCGGGGCCGAGGTGGCTCTCGAGGCGACTCTGCGTGCACCGGCGAGGAGAGATATTCCGAAGGGGGACGCTGCGGCAGAGCTGGAGGCGGAGGCGAAGGTTCATTTCGATAGTCTTCTTCAGGCTCATATGTCGGACGCGCTGGCTCGGGTGGCGGAGGCACAGACCGGGTTGGTTCGGACTCGACAGGGGAGGCATGTTGCTGGTGAAGGATGTTGGCGATGGCAGCAGCAGCGGGATTCTGCACGGTGTTGATTGGCGATGGGGCGCGGACCTCATCCACTTCCTCCTCGGTCACTGCCGGTCGCTGCGGAAGCGTGGGAGGTGCGGGTTCCGGCTCAGGCTCCGGCTCATATTCATCCGGCACATGCGGTGAAGCTGCAGGTGCGGCAGTATGGTCTGCATCCTCCACAATCTCGATATAGTTTGCAGGGGCGAAGCCGAAGTCCGAGTTGACCCCCACTAGCGTCCAATCGGGATCGGAGATGTCATACACAATCAAATCCGCATCTTCGGAGAAAGAGACCTCCTCGTCTGTCTGGCGCGTGTAGTCGTAAAGTGCCTTGGCCGTGTGAATAGGTTGAGCCTGTGAATCGGAAATAAGAGCGTCAGCTATTGGTGCGGTTCGTACCGGACAGAGTAGCGTCGCGCCTTTTCACCGCACCCGCTCTACCCCTGAAGGCGAGAACGTCCGGATACGGGGGATCGTTCGCACAGCCGATAAGAAATCTCCAAGTTGATAGGGTAGGGGTGGATGAAGGTTTTGGCAGAAAAGTTCAGTCCAGAAGAGCAGATCTTACCTCCTCAACGTAGTTGTTCGGGACCAGACCTTCGGGCTCATCCTCGTCATCGCGATCGGCCTTCTTCTTGGCTTTCCACCAACTGTCCTCCTCACTTTTTTCTAGGATGCAAAGCAGATCGCCCTCGTGAAGCTCTAGTTCCCCTGCGCCTTGGGGCTCATAGTCATAGATCGCGGTGTAGACGCCGAGGAACCCCATTGTGGGTGTCGTTGGAGTGAGAAGCTTGAATGGAGAGGGGAGGGGGGGCTGGGAGGGGAGGGGGGGGGGGGGGATGTGCTGCGGCCGCAGCGGGCAGCGTCAGACGGAAGGTAAAATTAAGGAGTAAAGGTGTGGAGGGGAGAGAAGATACAAGGAATTGGAGGGAGGAAGAAGAGGAAGCGGAGGAGAAAGGTTGGAGGTAGAACCCAAGGGGGGGAGGATAGATTTGTGGTGGTGGTGGTGGTGGTGGTGGTGATTGTGGAGGTCAGTCGTAGTGGTGGACAGGTACGTAACTGGTCCGAGTGGAGGATCCAGGCTAGCCTTGGCACTACCCATCATGTTCCATTGCTACTCAGTACGGACTCCGTACTGTAACTACTCGGCCTGATGGCCCGAAAGGATAAGGTCACGTTTATACCTACGGAGTTCTTCCACATTCAATCTCAAAGGTCAAGCTGAAGGCCCACCACATCTCGTCAACTTTAGAATATATTTGATCTGCATATTTTACATCATATGCCAGTCCAGGGTGGAATCGGCCAGGACAGATCAGTACTTCAAGCCCAATGATGCCATCATCGCTAGTCAACCCCTGTTTGGGCATGCATCCAGAATTCTTCTTCCAATGACGTCCCCACAATTTATGGAATCCCCTTTACTAGTCACTCTCCTGGCAGCTGTTATGCGCTTTTCTTCAGACACGATTCGGCTGTGGCACAATTTGGGCGGACAGGAATCGCTTGACAGCTTCCTTACTCTCAGATGGAATTATTCTTTTTCGAGGCTAATTATCAACAATGCAGAGAATCTGGATATAGAGCGTAGAAATGTACCCCAGCAACGGCACGTAGGTGCTGCTGGGAGGTCAACAAATAAGCCAAGAAAACAAAAGACCAGACAGGTCTGGGATCAACTCGACAATTTAGAAAAAAATGAAAAAAAAAATCGGACAATCACAACTCGTCTTTATAAACCTCTTCACTCCCTGTTTCAGGCGCGTCTGACTCCGATGGCAGTCGTTCCTCTGACTTTTCGGACTCTCCAGACTGTCCCTTGGCGTTGTCTTTCGATGCGGCAGGGGTTGAGCTTGCGTCCTCATTGTCCGGCTTGTCCAACTTATACTGTTCATGGCTGGGAACAAAAGAGACCAGACGCACTGTCGGCCCTTGATCCTCTTCCACCTGCGGCTCGTCTTGCTCTTCAGGCTCTACCAGGATCACATTCAATTGACGCTCGCCATTGACTGTGATCAATTCTAGCTTCCAGTCCCTACCCTCAGCCATCTCGTCCACGCCCTTTTTGAGATCCTCCAATTTGTCTGGGTCAATGTCGTACTTCGCGAGCTCTTCTGCGGTTCTCTGATACACCTGTCCATTCTCGCGCTTGGCCACGACATCCACCTTTTCTTCGCCAGCCGATGCAACGCGCCCTTTCTCAATCTTCTTGCCGTCCGACCCGACCAGTTTTTGCGCTCCCACCTCAATGTCACCTACAACCGGATAGGGTCCCGGCGTCAAGCCAGCATCCTCGGCGTTTTCCTGTGCGATGAGAGCCTCCCGTAGAGTTTTCCACTCAGAAACCTGGTCCGGTGTGAGAATCTGCCGGCACTCAATCCCGTGGATATCATCCCGTTGAGGTGGGAGAAATGCAACGTCGTTACACAGGCGAGGCGTGTAGATAATCATTAAATACGAGCAGGTCGCCGTTTCCTTGATCCAACCGATCCGGTCCGTTGACTGAGGATGACAGTGGAACTGGACCTCGATCTTCCGACGTCGTCCCGTCAGATCACATCGCGTGCCGCCGTCGAGGCGCTGCACGAGATAGCGGGACCCGCCTTTAGTCTGGAGTTCCGCCAGATCCGTAGTACTAGCGGTCGCCTTCTTGTGCCCCGATTCGCCCTGACGAGAAACATCATCATCATCATCCTCCTCAACTCCGTCCCCTCCATTCAGCGGGAATCGGCCCAAGACAAAAGACTGCGTCGTGGGATCTTCCATGGGTGGGTAATTGGGCACTCCGCTGCCCGAAGGTAGAGCGTGGAACTGCTTGACTTTTTCCTTGTAGCAGAACGAGTAAGACCACCACCCTGACATGTAATACATGCACTTCCCTTCCATCTCACGAAGGAGCTCCAGGCCGCGGTCTGTAGCTCGTGCCAGCTCCTTTTGCTCGTCGGCTTCGGCGGTCCCATTCCCGACCCCGTTGGCCCGCTCATCAACCTGCACTTGAGGGATTTGGCAAAGATATCGCTGGTCTCCAAGTATCATTTCTTCCAAGGTATAGTCTCCAGCATCAAGGCCGGAGGAGGTTTCACCTTGTTGTTCGGAGTCATGGCTGTGCAATCCGAGGTAGACTTGCGGGCGTTTGCGGTCCGAGATTCCATCTTGAGATTTCTCGAACGTGGAAGGACTACTGTGGCTCTGGAGAAGTTCTCGAGCCTGAGGCTCTAGAATATATTCATCGGGGAAGAGAACTTGGTACTGCAGTTCATAACATGGGCGATTAGCAGACACGAGCGAGATTATTAAGGCCGAAAGAGGAGCGGCAAGAGGCGCACCTGGGGAAAGGCTAAGAGATCATCGTGAACACTGAATGTCTTTTTGCTGGCCAATGCGCTTGAGCTGGTACCTGCCAGCACCAGCAGTGAAGTGATGATGCGGCTCTGACGGGACATTTTGGGTTTGTGAAGCTCTAGATGGATGAGTTGGGTGGTTTCGCCCGACTTCCAGAGCGCGGCAAGCGACTATCTGGCCTTATCGGGGATGGGTGGAGATTTGAGGATGGAGGGAGGGCGATAGATCAACAAGCAGCTAATTCATGGAGCATATTTTCCTGGCAAGGGCTATGAGCTCGCAGCATAAGCCGATGATGGTAAGGCTGTCAATTAATCTATCAGTACTGCCATAGCATCAATCGTTGCTTGTGCCCGGTGGTTGGAAGATGGAGCCCCGAAGCCAAGCGACTGGTGGTCTTATCTTATCAGCACGTGTCCTCGGCCGACCGGGACAGGAACAGAATGCAAAGGACGCAAAGGATGCAAAACATAATGTCAAACATTGAACAACTACTCCGTACAAGGCCTCAACTATCACTTCATCAGTTAGAGTCCTCTCAATTTCTTACTGCGTACTCCCTTGTGAGTTGATCTGGAAAAAGCGCTTCCCTAGACTTAAGACCCAAACACATACAACACATACTCTACTCCTGGAGTACATTGGTTAACTAACTAATATCCAGCCCCTGAGTAATACCTGAGTCATCCGCCAAATGCGGGCCTGGAATTGCTGACAGCGATCTTTGTAATGCGCCGCTTATCCATGGTTTTGCTGCTCGTCAATGCTTCAGATCCACTTTTTTCCATACTGTGGTAGAATGTGCATTTGCTTACTCGACCTCGTATAAGAAGTGACTAACGAAACCCATTGCAGCTGATGCTTTGCCAGGAAGATTCCATACTGTTCGCAGTCGTACCAATTAAACTCATATATAAATCTCTTGACACTCCCGCTCCGCCTATGAAGCTCCTACTTTCGTTCCTCATCGGCGTCATTGCAATTCTATACACTGCTATCACCACTTACCACTATAATCACAATAATAATCTCTTTGACTTGATACCCTCTATACTTTCTCGTCACACTTCCACCAACAGTACAACCACCACCATCATCATCCCATCCACACACAAAATGGCCCTTCCGCGAAGCATCCGCCAGGTCTTTCTGGCCATCGAGCAAGCCGAAGGCGCGGGCGCGCGCGTGCGCCGCTCGATCGGCACGCAGAAGTTGCGGCACCTGAGCCCCTTCCTGATGCTGGACCATTTCACCATCGGGAAGGGCGCCGGGTTTCCCGACCATCCGCACCGGGGCCAGGAGACGATCACCTACCTGCTGTCGGGCGGGGTGGACCATGAGGACTTTGCCGGCAACCGGGGGACGATTGGGCCCGGGGACCTTCAGTTCATGACGGCGGGCAAGGGGATCATGCACGCGGAGATGCCGCACGAGAACCCGGACGGGAGCCCCAACGTGGGCATGCAGCTGTGGGTCGACCTCCCCAAGGAGCTCAAATACTGCGAGCCGCGCTACCGGGATCTGCGCAGCGCCGAGATCCCCCTCGCCACGACGGATGAGGGCCGCGTTACGGTCAAGGTCATCTCGGGCCAGTCGCATGGCGTCGACTCCGTGCGCGACCTCGCCTACACCCCGGTCTGGCTGCTGGATGTTTCCATCCAGCCTGGGGGTCGTGTGCGCCAGGCCCTGCCGCTCGGCTGGAACGCCTTCGCCTACACCCTCAAGGGCGCCACGGTTTTTGGCTCCGGCGACCAGACCCGCTCCGTCAAGGAGTTTCACAATGTCGTCTTCGAGCCGCAGGGCGAGTTCGTCGAGGCCTCCGTGCCGGATAACGCCGAGGAGGCGGGCCGCTTCTTGCTCGTGGCGGGTCAGCCGCTCGACCAGAAGGTGGTCCAGTATGGCCCCTTCGTCGTGACGAGTGAGGAGGAGGTTTACCAGGCCATGATGGATTTCCGGACTGCATCGAACGGGTTCGAAAAGTCGCGCGGCTGGGAGAGTGAGATTGGCAAGCGTATGGCTCTTTAGAGCAATTGAATTCTTTCCTCATGTATATAATTGATGACAACTTGGCGCTGGGGGTGTTTTGGTAGCGTTTTAGTAGGATTTGACTGAATTGACTTCACTTCTTTGGATGTGCGCTCTGGAGTGCCGCGGCCCCTTATAAGGCTCGTCGCAATTTAGTATCACAATGTTGACATTTCAGATAGAGGTTATAGTACAGAGCAGTGACTGGATCAATAATAATGATATAGATGGAAGCGCTGGCAGGAGACACACTCAGAAATCTCTCCTTCAGCTCATGATCAAAGCGCACTATATGAGCACAGCCATTCTAAAATATTTCGTACACTCCCCAACACATCTCATCACAAGTGACTACCTACTCTGAATATGCAGAGTCTTCACTTTCAGCGCTGTGCTGACTGCAAGCGCATTTTCATTCTATCTATTTGGCAAAATGGAGGTCATATGCCAGCCACTTGCGGGCCAAGATACCTGGAACATCCAGACCAGGGGTACCGTAGGTCAACGGAGCGAAGAACACGAAGCCATAGATGGTGGCGGCCAGGATTACAAGAGTGGCAGCCCAGGCCGCAATCAGAGACTTGGTTCCAAGGCGCTCAGAAGCAGTCACAAAGTGAGTGATTCGGGCAGTAGCCTTGGACTTGCCCGTCGAATCGTCCTCTAGGGGGACTGATTTTACCACCGAGATCGGCTCCAAGTTGAAGATGAATTCGATGAGGGCACCGGCAACGAGGGCGGAAGCAAGGTGGGCAGGGAGGTAGTGGTGCAAGAAACGCTGGCGACCCATGAGCCAGAAGGGGAAATAATGAGCCGCCCAGCATAGGAACAGGAAGCCAGTGCTGTTATACAGGCGGGAACGGGCACCCACCCCCCAAACTGCGAAATATTAGTACCGGCCTTTGACATGGAGGATGGGGTTACTCACTTTCTTCCACAGCGTCCACGCCACGTCGGAGAGACAATTGATCGGCACCGACGACACCGGCGAAGACGGCCAAGAGACTGCTCGCAATCCACCAGCCAATCGGGTTGCCCAAGAAGTAGATTTGCTCCCGAGTATCGTTCTTGGTCCAGAAGCTGACACCACGAAGAAGGAAGGGCCATTGGAAAGGTTCACTGGCATAAGGATGGCTGGAGGTCAGGGCATTGTTGTGGTGGAACATAGCACGCTGCAGCTCGAAATACTTGCGGAAGAAAGATAGGTGTTTCACTTGGCGCTCTTCCTTCACAAGACGGGGACTTCCCTCTTCAAGAGACTCAATGGAGTCAATATACCAGAGGTTGCTAGTCTGGAGAATGTTCTTGTTGCCGTTGATCTCGGCCTGCTTGAAGGCCCATTCCGGCAAAGGTGTTGTGTGCGTCCACATGGCCACGCGAGTTGGCATGTGAATCAGCTTGAAGTGACTCGAAAGAGTTCGGAACTCTTGTTGAGGTTTCGCGTTCTCAATCTTGATCTCGAAGAGAGTGTCATTGTGCCTCTCACCGTTGGCAAGTTCGTGAGAAACGGTGGTGAATTCCTGGTTGGTCGGATAGTAAGGTGAGGCCACATCGTGGGTCAGCAACACGGTGTCAGTGCCCAAGTGACGAAGCTGGACAACATCACCATTGCGCACGGGGTGTCCGCTGATGTCAGTGACGTCGAAGGGGACCATGGGGACAATCTGCCAGTGGTTATTTGTGTCATTGTAAGGGTAACCAGTAACCTGCTGGCCCTGGCTGGAGATACGTCCATCATCATAGCGAAGCGGGTAGGTCTCCAGGTGGCTGTGCAAGAAAACCTTGGTGTCCTTGTGCCTAATAGTGATGGTGTCATAGTACTGAATGCCTATGGAGTCTGCAGTCAAGGCGTTGTCGCTGAGAGTCTCTTGGAATTCCGGGGTCATGAAGTCATCACCAGGACCAGAGCGGTTCAGAATGGTAAAGTGGACCTGGAACCAGAACAGGTAGAAGAAGAATGGCACAACAACGAGTGCGAAAGCGCGAGCGGCGAAGTGCTGGCTCCAGCGGGCCATGCTCAGAGCACCGCCAGGCCGACGAATATCCAACAAATTCCACAGGTCAACCAAGACCGCAGACCCGATGGTGACGAAAGTGAAGACACCAACGTACTTGGTCGAGATGACACAGCTTAGAGACACACCGGTCAGGAGGAGCCACTTCCACCACTTCCGGCCGAATGGCTGATGACGCAGCTTGTAAAAGCGGACATAGCACAAAACACTCAAAGCCATGGCCAGGACCAGACTAGCATCGAGCAAAATCAGGCGGTCCTCGCCAATGTGCGCGTTGTCGAACAAGACGAGGCCGGCCGACAAGACACAGGCAGGAAGTGAATAGCCGGATTCCCACATGATCAGAAACACCACGGGCACGGTGAGAGCACCGAGGGTAGCCGGCATAGCACGAAGAGCAACATAGGGGACTTTGTGGTCGATGTAAGAATCGCCAATGTTGTCGAACAAAAAGTGGCCATCATAGCCGATCAGCCATCCAACGAAAGCGAAGAGAAGCTTGCCGAACGGGGGGTGGACATCGAAGAAGTACGTGCGCTGGAGGTAATACGAAGCGAACTGAATAACGACAGGTGTCCACTTAGTGAATAGCCCACACATTCAATTCCGCACAAAATGACCTCGACTTACCTTTCCGAAATGCACTTCGTCAAAGACGACTTCGTTGGGGTACGAAATCTTGTAGAACCGGGTGATAAATGCCAGCACAGTCAGAACGGCAATGGCCAGCCAATAGCTCCATTCTGACTGGGGACGAGGCGCTTTGGTAGAAGAGAAAGGAGACGAGAAGTTGTCCGCAGGCACGGGAGTACTCTCCTTCTTGCCGCCCCTCTTGCGAAGAGAGGGCGAAGGGGAAGACATGATTAGAGGAGGATGTGGTGGCTAAGAAGAAAGAAACGAATGAACGAGAGACAGCTCTATACTGGTTAGAGGGAACAGCAGAACGACAAGGTCAGTCAGGACGTCGGAGAAGAGAAGTAGGACAAGGCATCCCAGTGGACGTACTCACAAGGGAGAAATAAAAAGATCAAAAAAAGAGCATGATCGAATTGGCTAACAATCTGTTAATATACCAAGTCGCTTTCAGCCGCTGCATTCGTCGAAGGGAGGGGAGGGGGCGGTTAAGTTGGAGCGATGGGGCTGGATTGCGTGTCTTTCTCATTGTCCGTAACGGAACGGAAGAACCTGAAGCACAGATCCGAAACACTCCCTACACGTAAGCCTTATGGCGTCAGGGTGAGCTCGGCTGGATGTATGTATTTAAGGTTATCTTTATTTGGCTAATTTATTGTAAACCTGTATGTCGCGAAATAACATCAAACCAAAAAAATGAATAAATAAATAAATAGATACAAATAAAAAAGGGGGAAAAGACACAATGTACCCCTGGGATATCCAATGCATATGCAATCAACATGCGCCCTTTACGCTTAAGCAAGACCCAATGCGGAATGTATGTATGTACAGTTTCAGGTCCAAAAGGTTTTCGGAAAGATGAACAAGAAAGAATATCCTGATATATGAGTAGAGAAGATGATTCACTCACCGTCCGATAGATTGAGCAACTCCAGTTCGGTCTTGACCAGGGCTTGGAAATCGCTGCGAGACATACCAGTCGCCTTTGCCAGTCGGAACAAACTCTTAAGATTTGAGCTGATGTGCTGTTTGACTCCGACTTCATAGGCAGACTGGTTCTCTGCTTCCTGTTCTAGTTTGGCCACAGGATCAGAGCTGCCAGATGAGATGGATGAAGGACGAGGGTGATTCAAGGACATGGCATAGTCTCCGTTCATCGCCGCACTTGCGGGGTGTTCGGCCGGGTGTGCAGACGACTCGGCACCCGAGCCGCTGACCTGCCGCTGCAGTAGACGGGCCAGCATATCGCCGTTCAGCGACGATGGCCCAATCTCGGGTTGCTCTTCCTCGGGATCATGGTTGTCCATAGCTGGCTGTACATCGTCGTACTGAGAGTAGTAATCTGCGTCAGACTGCTGCAAAGATGAGACACCTTTGGGCGCGGGCGTCTTCACTCCGGGTGTCCGTCCAGGAGTCGCATCATACTGCGCCCAGTAATCATCGTCGTCCTCCTCCTCTTGTGCTTCCTTGCCGTTGCTCTGTGTGTTCGCTTTGAATGTTTGACTATCGTTTCCCGCTGCTCTCAAGTTACTCTGGTGAACGTTTGCCTCCCCAATGGAGATCGACCAGGCTCCGTCCTCGCCGACACTGCTGTCCTGTGGCAAGACTTCTGCTACCCGCCATGCAGGTCCTCCGCCTTCTTGGTCCTCGGGACACCAGACATAGATGACCTTCAGGCTGTACTCGGGTAGCTGAACTTGGGACTGCAAAGTCTCCTCATCAACTCTTTTGTACCGCACTGGGATTTCGTCCGGCAGGTCGATCTCTCCGGAAACAGGATGGGGCTCAAAGCTGGCACCGTCCACCAACGATTGCAGGCGCTCAGCTGATGCAGAATCCCAGCAGAGCAAGCGAAGCCACGAATCAGTGGGAGAGGCGGAGACGGTCGTGAAGATCTTGACACGCTGGCGAATGATTGGAGACAAGAGCGGTAGTAGCGCAGGCGGTGGCTGTGACGAGACGAAAGCCGTCGGGAGACAGGCGAGCAGTGGTGGAAGCAGATTGCGAGGCTCGAGGGAAGGAATTAACTCGACCATGATGAAATTTTGGTGCAAATAATGGCCGAGCAGTTAATTTGTGGTGAGTGGCTGATGTGCAAGCTGTGGCGATGTATTTTGGAAAAAATCGCGACCGAGTTGGAGAGTGCGGGGAAAGGTAAAGAATTGATTTGCGCAAAGAATTAAGGGGCAACAAGAGGGTAGAAGAAGAGGAAGAGAGGATTTAAAAAAGAAGAACCATGATTTGTTTAAGAAGGCGAACAGAAGTAGCCACAGAGGGATTGTGGGTGAGTGGGAGGGAGGGAGGGAGGAGGGGCTCAAGTGACGATCGACCGATTGAGGTGGGCTCAGATAAGTTCCAAGTTACTGTTTGTGTACTCCGTACGGGGGGGTATATGATAGGAGAGCTCTTCACCTCACTTACTCGCATCCTCGCTAACTCCCTTTCGTCCGGTACGGTCAACCGTGGGTCCCCCCCATCTGCACCTGGGGCGCGGGGAAAACAGTAGCAGCAGCAGCGAGCCATTGAGGCGCGGAGAAATGGAAACATTCCAGATCCAGACTCGGTCCTCGGAGTTAGATTCAACCATTACCTACCTATAATTACTCCGTAATCTCCTCATATAATGCTGTGTGATAAGAGTGGGCAGTACTCCTAAGCTAGGCTCGAAGTAGTGAAGAGGCAATGCAGCCCTGACCCTGCTATTCGTCACCCTGGAAGTTGTGTCTTGGCTTGTATACCACCGTAGGGGCCAACGGACCATGACTTCATTCTCTTACCCTACGGTTGGATTCGGAATCCCATTCCTGGGGTACCTGAAGAAGCTTATCTACGTACCATTACTGTTTTGCTTGAGGGTCCGTGCACGGATCTTGGTGCAAGCAGAGAGTGATGCACCGAAAAGCGATCCTTCAAGCATTGACTGCGGTAGACAACCATTGCCAAACACTTGCAACAAGGCTCTATAACAAACTCTAGTCAAGCCCTTATGAGCTCTATATACTAATAAGTGTATCGAAAGCCGACCTGGAAACAATCATAGGTGTCAGTTGGTATTCCAATCATCCGCATCAGGCAAGCATACCATATTTTGAAGAACCTTCCCTCTCTTCTGTTGTTGATTCAGCCAGTAGAACGAGAGGGTAAAGACGCCAACCAGGACAATCATAAGGGCATGAGAACTAATGGCACAGAGAAAAGGAATGATTTAGCGTTTCCGCTTCTTGGCCAACAGTGGGAATTCAACTTACCCAACGGACACCCAAACGGCAGTTTGATAACGAGGAGCTTCTACATTTCTCACAATATAGCTTCCAGCTACACCACCCAGACCGTTGCACGCCGATACTGCTGCTGCCGTGGTGGCGCGGTTCCACTGGCCCACGACGTTGTTGGCCATGAAGGCGTTCAACGCTGCCCAGTTTGAGACATATGCCCCGGTAGCAAGGAATGTCCCGATATATCGAACAGTGACCTGCGTCGAGGATGGTAGACCAAACATGAGAAATCCAGCTATCAGACAGAGTGCGTTGAAGGCGATGAGCGGTCCACGGATACGATAGGTATCTCCCACGAACGAGGTAAACACGACGGGTAGGACGGACCAATAGTAGGGCTGCATAGTGTGAGCTCGAAGTAAAGAACAAGTGACTTGTTTAGAAAGAGGATAATAGCGACATACCGGTGTTGAGAGAAGAATGGAATCATTGCTTGAGAAGCCCATCCCCGACTCGAGGATAATAGGCAGAAAGTAGTTCAAGGCTGTAGAGACGAGATTCAACAAGAAGTAGAGGCAGGCAAACCCATATAACTTCAGGTCGGTGAAAGACGCCAGAGCTTTGCTCCACGAGAAAGCTTCCAACGTTATATCGTCACGGTCATTTCTGATGCGCTGTGCAGCCACGCGTGCCTCTGCTCTGGTCAGGAAGTGAAAGCTACGGTCAGCGTCCTCTGGAAAGTCGACCATCCACCAGAAAGTTGTAATTCCGATCACGCAACTTATCAAGCCCTGAATAAGGTACATCCAACGCCATCCTTGCATGCCTGCTTTCCCATCGAGCAAGTTCAGGCCATAGTTCACAATATACCCCGTCGCCAGCCCAATCACCTCGCCCGACTGAAGGACAGCGAAGCGTAGCTGTTGTTCCCGCCGCGGGTACCAGGCACTAATAAGATAGGTCAGACCCGGGTAAATTCCCGACATGGACATTCCCAGCAACACCCGCAGCGCAATCATCTGTCGCCAGGTATGGATAAAGGCGGTGCATAACGTAATGAGGCCAAAGGCAAATGTAATGGCGGCGAACCAAACCCGAGGACCGACCCAACGAACTGCGAGAGTAGAGGGTAGTTGGCAGACGATGCTAGTAATTGTGAAGATAAAGATCGAGACAGAGTATCGTGTGCCATGAAGGTCCAAATCGGTGGGCATACTGGTGACGGATGCAGACGATAGGATGCCCGAATCAAGTAGGTTAAGACTGCAGAGAACACCAGCAATGCTACAAAGGCGCAAGTCCGTCTTCCATCGAACTCGCTTCTCTAACAGTTTTAGTTCTTCGGAGTCCAGTTCGGAGAGGTAGAATGCATTTTGCTGGGTTGACTTCTCGTCTAGAGGTAGCTGCAAGTCAACATGCCTCTCAACCACATCGCCATCGGCATATTTTGAGATCATGATTCAATGAGCCCCCGGTAAGGCTCGTGACGATAGCAAAGTGTTGACTTGATTTGGATTCGAGAGCGATCGATCACAGACGATTGAATGCAGCGACATGGCCCAAAGCGGGGGAAGCGTTGCAGAAACTAGTAGAAGACGCTGGCGGCGACGCAGCCGCTTATCTATTGCTACGGGCTTCCGCGATACCTGCATATGCTGGCAATCAATCGATTCTTGGCCTCGCTATTTAGAAGATCCTTGTTCAGCTTACTCATGCAGCCCGAACGAGCTGCGGGATCAGACTGGTTAAGTTGGACTCCCATCGTGATCTCCACTGTTTGTTGACTGACTAGTAGTCAATTGAGCGGCGAAATGCGACTAACGATGGCGGAATCCGAACTAGGGATCAAGTGATCGACGAGTGTCCTTCGCAAAGGTCCCTGTGGATTTATGAGTACTGTACTGTAAATTGCTCACCAATTAGTCTGTCCGTCTCATCAAAGTTGAAGCGAGTAGACTAGAGCCTGGATCTCATATTGAAATCATTCAAGAGGGAGAGACATCTGTGCATATTCTGCGCGGAGTACGTGAGTACTTCGTATCAACAGCGGAGTCCGCGGTCTTTCTGCAGATTATCCCCACTTACCGAATCGAGCAATCGTCAGGGTTCAACTTTCGAATTCCACTTGAACTCGAAGACACACGGGCCGCTCTACCGACTATGCTTCGAGATGCTTCGGTTGATTGTGATACTGATGCTCCACCATGGCACTCGTCAATGAAGACTGCTGATTGATCCTGACCGGCCTCCTCCGCATGGCTCCCAAGATGGAACGCCCGGAAGATAAGCTCCCACATCGCTGGCGGTCTTGACTGACTGGAACACCAAGTTTTTTCAGATTTATGTTCAAGTATTGCCCTCACCTCCAACAACGCCAAACAGCCTGGGTCAATGCCTCCAGACTGCCTTCATATCATGCGTGACTTACTCACTTGATCAGCACACGATGAAAATCACTCCAATTTGAAGCCCATCCTGTTTCCTTCTCCAGTCCTCCTATGAGTCACTCCCGTGAAGTTTTCTTGTACATTAGTTTCCTTCAAAGAAAGGTCACAATTTGCTCGCATACTGCGCTCTATGGAAGTTGTGTAGTATATACAGTGCATCCTTGGCGATACGATACAATTAATGCCAGCTGAAAGCAAACATGGCAAGTGCGAATATGGCATGCGGACCGACAGGTATATCCTCAGAATTGCAGGTTTGCCCGTTTCCTTCTTGGAGATGTTGACTCAACCGCTTGCCGCTCAGTGGAGATCAGAACCAGTGGTGAGTTTGTCTATGGCGTATCAATATGCAAGAGAGTCCTGCTTGATATTGATGCGATTGAAGGCGAAAAAAAATGCACATGCATGCAAAGAGTCAATCTTCGCCCGTGATGAGTCCCGGCGCGTCTATGCCTAAAGGCCGAGCACTCTCCTCGTAAGATAGCCTGGGTTGACTTTCCAGGGCTGACAAGCTCTGCACGCGGTCGCGCTCATGGCTGGCCCGCTCGGGCAAACCCGTCCTCGCTGTTCCCTGCGTCACGGCTACTCGTGTCCCCTTTGAGAGCACGAATCCCAGTCGTCCTTTTGCTCAAGAGTCGCCAAGGCAAGATCCAGCCAACCATTGGCCAGGTCGGTGGCAAGCAAGCGGCTATAATAATGAGTGCCCCTTCCAGAGTAGTCCAGATTCCAAGGTTGATTGATGCCCCTGCGCAGAAAAGGAGGGTCAATAGGATAGGCTGCGTAAGAACTTTGTAGATGACATACACGTAGTAGGGTCAACTGTGGCGCTTTCCTGGGAAAAGTATGTCATGCAGAGAATGCTGGCTACCGTTCCTCTTCATGACAATCGATCAACAATCAATGCGTATCATATCTACTGTTCCGGCGTTCTGTACTTACAATCCCCCAAGGAGAAAGACTCCCGTCAATGCAAGCTTATGACTCCGGGTGGTATGGAATTGCTAAACATAGGGGAATGACATTGTTAGGATCTAAATGTCGGTCCAGATGTTCGGCGGCGATACGTATGGATAGAAAGCCTCTTGATTGAAGCATGATCCGCCTTTGATAGTCTTGTTCCATGTGTATGCGATTGGCCAACATTGGAAGATGGCGGCGAGTAAGACCCCAAGCCCGTGGCCAAAGACAATCAATCAATCCAACTACACAGGCCATGATTCTGAAGTTTTGTTTGCTGAAGATGCGGACGTAAAATACCAGAATGGAGATTTTGGCAGGGGCCACAACGAAGGGGAAGTCCAGTATCTCGTTTGCTAGCAAGCCCTGTATGCCGGTTGGTCAATCTGTCTGTCACAAGTGCCCTGGCTTAAGGCTCCTGAGTGAGTACTACCTTTTCAAGGGCAACCAGCTTCTCCGCTGACTGCTTGACATAGCTGATATGATTATTCAACGCCTGCGACCTCGACCACTACGTCGAAGGGCAGCACCAGACTTTTGCGAGAAGGCCGTGAGACTGTCACATACAACCCACATACAAAACCAATTGTCCCAAGCTGGCAACCTACACAGCACCTATTAGCCGATCAAACAGTATACGGCCAACTAGTTCTTTACCACTGCAATAAATATTAGAATGTCATCAAGCGCGTATGCGTCTCTGGGGTAATCGGGTATAGAATCGAGCTGTCACGACGATCATTTGAATTATTGCCATAGCAATGACCACACCAACAAAGAGCGACCATGGTAAGGGAGGTTGGCCGGGTTGGAACGCTGAAACATTCTTTTCTCGCTATATCTTTCTCATCACTCCTCCAGGCCTACATCAAAGGGGTTGAAAGAGCGATCATGCAGCTGCCTTGGAGAGTGGGAGAAGTAGAGCAGCCTGGCCGAGTGTACCATATCCATTTCAAGCCATCAGGGAAGTCTGAGATATCGTACATTGAGAAAATCGAAGGAGCCATTACACATTAGCGAGATCAGACCCGAGTCGAACCGCCGACCTGTGGATCGCCAGCAACCACAATATGGTTTGTCGCTGTTTCCGACTTTCCGGTTCTCTCCACCGTGCCCGATCCGTGTCATTGCTCGGGATAAGAGTCTTTGCAAGGTACAATAATTGCTCGTGCATACTTCTTGCACTGTCAGACGAAGAAGCTAGTCTTCCGACAGTGATGGTGGAGTGGACCATCGGACCAAGCAAGTTCATGAGCATGCTTTGGTCAATTCCCAGGACAGATTCAATCCTGGTCACTCACTGACTATCAGGCCTACGTACCTTCTGCGCGCTGATAACTCAGAAGCTAGATGCAGTGTTGCTCGCTGCTGTTGTGGCATTTCCTTGACCCGACGCAGAGTGAGGAATTCTCATCCACGTGGTCACCAACATTTCGGACTGAAAGTGAGTGACCAGATAGCAAGAATCAGTGGATGTGCCTCATGGCAGGCCTCGTGATCATCTCGAAAATTTTCTCCAATCTGGAAGGATTGGAAGCCAGATCTGCCAGGAGTCTGCGTGTACACAAAGATTTCTTGGATCGGCTGTGGAACGCCGACGGTTGTGATCGACATTCTGGTCCTCCTCCTATCCTTGCCCATACTTTGGAGATTGCACATGAAGGCCCTACGCAAGTTTCTCTTCACTGGATTGTTCGCCTGCGGATACCTGTCAGTAGAATCTTGGGTAATAGCAAGTCTCAAGTTGACGCTTTACTCACTTTCGAGTGCGGTGGCGATCGCGATAGGACGCTTGATCACGATTGTGCGGGTCAGCCCGCACATAAACAAAAATCCTACATGTAAGTTCTGCTAGATGTGGTAAGAGGAAGGCTCATTCCACGATGTATAGATCATGCTGTGGAACCTTCGATCTGGGGTTAACTTGGAGATTCCTATCTCCATTATCAGTATCTGTCTCCCATCCGAGGCACCGTGTGGGTACATACCTTACTAGCTCTGGCAAGGTGCCCGTGCCCCCACACATGTCATACCATTGAACGATACAGAGTACAGATGACGACGTACCTACAACTCGAGTAATGATCTGGAGCCCATTCAGTATACTTACTACGAAGTAATCACTACTTATTGAACTTAAATTTCAATCAATTCATCTGTTCCGTGCTCAGCTACATGGGCCTGTAGCATAGCAGTAACAGGCCTTCACAGGGAATGGGTGGAAAATGCCCCTTCTACCGAGGACATCTTGCTTGCATCAAATTCCATATCCTTCCTTCGAGCTCGATCTAATGCTTTTATATAAAAGTGCCAGCGCTAAGTCCGCTAAGTCCGAGACTATATCCGGTAGTGGTGCTGCGCTCAACACATCGAAGTCTCTATCAGGATTATGACAGGCAGTAACTATACATTAAAAATCAGATCTCACTCGCCTAGTAGTATGGACATAAATAGCTCCGCAAGCTCACCATGCTCCGTAGAAATCCATCTCAAGCGCAGACCAAACCTCATCGTACTACTACTCACCAGCCTGCTCAGCCCAGCCAGAAAAAGCCAACATGCCTCCTCCATACACCACCCACACCACCACCGCCGACCTCCTCACCGACTACGCTCCTCTCATCAAGGATAAAGTCATTCTCACCACGGGCGTCTCCCCCAATTCGTTGGGCGGCTTCTTTGTCGAACAGCTCGCCAAAGCCCGGCCCGCCTGCCTCATTCTCGCAGCCCGCAACGCCGACCGACTCGCCCAAACCGCCTCCGCCCTGCAGGCCAGCCACCCGAACACCCCGATTCGCACCCTGCAGGTTGACCTGGGCTCCCTCCAGAGCGTCCGCGACGCCGCAGCCCAGGTCAACAGCTGGGACGATTTGCCCGCCATCGATGTCCTGGTCAACAACGCCGGCATAATGGCCGTGTCGGAGTACAGCCTATCCCCGGACGGGTGGGAGGCGCAATGGGCGACGAACCATCTGGGCCCCTTCTTGTTCACCAACCTGCTCATGCCGAAGATTGTGGCCTCGGCGAGTCCCCGGGTAGTCGTGGTGAGTAGTGATGGTCATCGGTTGTGTCCGGTGCGGTTTGACGATTACAATTTCGACAAAGGGAAGACCTATGATCGCTGGCGTGCCTATGGGCAGAGTAAAACGGCCAACATGCTGTTCGCGATCTCTCTGGCTACGAAGCTGGGGATGAAGTATAAGCTGCAGGCTTATAGCTTGCATCCGGGTGTTATCTTCACCAATTTGGGTAGAGATGTGGATTGGAATGTGGGGAGGAAAGAGCTTCGTATGTTGCTGGAATATACCCTCCCCCCCCCCCCCTCTTGCACCATCCCTGATTAGCTCCATTGGTTTCCCTGGGAGTGGGATCGAGACTGTAGTTAAAGACATTTGGCTAATGAATTACCGCACAGAAACTGTCGACCGATCTCTGGGTAATCGGGAAGGTTGGGCGGAGTTTAATCTGAAGGATCTTGCGAGAGGGGCTGCAACTCATATGTATGCGGCCTTTGATCCGAATCTAAAAGGTAAGAAAAGTCATGCTCACTGGTACATGATCATAGTCTCTGACTAGCTGGCAGCTACCAATGGAGCCTACCTGATTGATTGCCATGTAGCCGACCCTTTGGTTGATACCGTCAAGCCATGGGCCACCAGTAGCTTCGAAGCGGAGAGGCTCTGGAGACTGAGTGAGAAGTTGGTCGGCCAAGAATTCCCGTACTGAGGGTGAGTCCGGACGTGAGCGATATGACATGAGCGTGGTTCGAATGAATAAATGCAATTGCTACCTAATGTACACTCTAGAAAGATAATTAGAAAGATAATTCGTCTGTTCGCCAGCCCTAAACATGCCTAGATACATCAACAAGCTGCCCGTGGGGTATATGATAAGCTGAATCAAGGCGCCGCTCGAAATTTGATACATATTGGGTTGAAGAAGATTAGTCCATAGCAAGAGGCCCTTTCAGACCAGTAAGGGTAGTGCTCAGTGTAAAGAACGACGTGCTCATGCTTGATAGTGAGGCACCAAATGTTGCTGAATCAAAGATTCACCAGTCGTTCGGTAGGCCGAAATACAGAAGTCGTCAGGTCATGGACCCAGGACTCGTCAAGCTCAGCTCATACGGTCCTTCTGCTCCCATTGCCCAACAAGCTTCTTAAGTCCTGTCCATTCTTCTGCGCGCACGTCTTCCGGCGTGCCGCCGAGCCCCTTGCCTACTTCAAACACTGTCACCACACCGTCGAGTCCGCCCGTGGCAAGACGTCTACCCTCTCGCTCCTCCCAGGCTACCTTGTTTAGACTCCGCGTTAGAATGCCACCACGGCCCCTAGATGGCGTCGTCTTCACAGCTGGGACTTCCGTGTCTGTATAGAGATCCCAGACCTCGAGGTTGCCAGCACCATCGACAAGAGAGAAGACTCCAGGGCGGTGAGGAGACCATTTGGCATCATACACCACATCTTCACGATTGATTTCGAGGATCGGAGACACGACTTGAGTCGTCGCTATGGCTGAGGTGGCCGGGGCGGTCGTTGCTGGGGGCCGGACACGCCAAAGTTTAACGCTCCAGTCCAGACTCGAGCTAAGCAACAGATCTCCCAGGTCAACAGGGCCTCGCGCCGGGTGGAATGCAGTGGACATGATTGGCGCCGCATGACCACGATACGCCAGACGATGGTCGGTACCAGCCTTAGCCCCTGCGCGGTCGTAACGGTGACATGGATAGATGCCCCCCTCTTCGGTGCCGACAATGAAAAATGTCGGGTCGGATTGGGGGAAGGACATGGTCGTTGGTGCAAGGTCTTCTGTTTTCGAAGGGGGAGGTGTAGATAGCTCTAAATATTCCTGGGGCTGTGAAAGCATATCAACGGTCCACCCACAGACAACGCCATCGGTAGATGCTGTGAGGATATTGTGGGCATTTTGAGTACCGATTATCGAAATGCTGTAGACAGGATGGGTATGTCCGGAGCCGGTCAGTGGCGTCTTCTGAACCGGTGCACCTCCCCCTGCTCGTGACGAACGAGTGTCCCAGAGCAGGACCTGGCCCGAGTATGACCCACCGACGATCAGGTTTGGGTGGAACGGAGAGAACTTGGCGGCTAAAATATCGGAGGTTGAATGGAAAACATACTCTGGGCGAGAGTGCAGGTGTTGGTTCCAGATCTGGACCAGGCCATCGGGTTCATGGGGCGCAGACGGATTTTTGGTATAGGCTGCCAGGACGAGTTCTGGAAACTATAGAAATGATCAGCTCTGAGAGTGGCCCACCCTGATGCGTGTGACAGACCTTTGGAGAGAAGCTCAGATCGCTAATCATACGTTTCTTGCTCCATCGTTCATCCCAGAACTGGCAGACCTCCCGGATGCCTCGTCTCTTTTTGCCATGTTCGTCATCATCGTCCAGCTCACCATCCACACCTCCAAGCTCGTAGTCGGCCAGAACATCATATTCCTCATCCAATGCCCGCTCGATCACTCTTGCCGACCGTTCAACGAAGTCTAAGAAGTCGTCCGAAGAGGTAACAGCCTTGAGTTCATCCTCATCCAGTGTGCGAAGCGGATATCGCATTTTGGTCTTTTCAGATCCAGTTTCATGTTCGGATTTCTGTTGGGCGGTCTGTATTTCCTCCTCAATCTCTTTGCGGAGTTTCTTCAGGATCTCCTCATCAACTTCCCTGGCTTTCTTGCCGAGACGGTTCGTACCACCTTCATCTTCGGAGTCGATAGGTGTCCCATCGGATCCTTTTAGATCATCGGTTTGTACTGCTTTACTGTATGTGACAATCTCAGGTTTAGGCTCAGGGGCTGATTGTGGTTCGGTGGCCGCAGCAAAGAGCTCTGTTCCGACTGTTTGGACTGCGATTGAATGGGAAACGGTTCGCGCAGGAGGACTAAAAGCTTCGGTGTTGTCCCCGCTCAACTGGCTGGCGCTGAGGACAGAATTCGGTCGGCTGCCTTTGCGCGAGTGGCCATCAGCACCGTGGCCGATTGAAGCCGACCCAGGACGGTCGACAAGACGAGAGATAAAGTCATCGAGCTCGGCTCTGCTGTCTGCACGACTGGGTACTGGTGATACGACCTAGGTAAACAAAAGGAATTAAGTCTTGCGGATCGAGTTACGGAGCTTGACTGAAGCTCACAATCTAGCGTGAGGACGCCTTACCTCAGAAGCGTCACCGCTATTAGCGCGGACTTGTGAAAATTCCCTCTGGCGCAATTCCCTCTGGCGCTTGAGTTCGGCGAGTTTGGCTTTCTTAGCAAGAATTTCAGCCTTGCGCTGTTGTACTGACGAGGACATGATGTCAATCAAGTTCGCGCCTAGCAGATCAGAACGGAGAGATTCCGTTCAGACCACGTTCTGGCACAGAATATGGTGGTTGGATCGTGTTTATGCCTTTCCTTCAATCTGGGCCTTCTGGGGGGGGAAGAGGGTGACAAGTAAATAAGAGGGGGCTCCGGTACCCCGTCCCGCTTCCACACTTTGCTAGCCTTCCAGTTCCAGGTAATCTCCCAGAAGAATGTCCGTCCGGGTTGGGTGGTCCTTAGTAAGCGCAACAGGGCCGACGGTCCGGAAAAACTCGCGACAGGAACTTCGCCTTTACAAGCTTCAGTATCCCAGTCCCCATTGCCAGCCATTGACTGTCGATATCCTCCAAACCGGTCGCTCGGAATCCGGCTTCGTTCCTTCTTCTCTCACTAATTCTGTTTGATTGCCGCTCCGGAGGCCCAGGGACTTCTGAACAACATGGCTTCTCAGGGTGTCAACGTGAGTCTCCGCCAGGGCCCGTTCTGATACATACTCCAATCCCAATACAACGCAGCCCAACCAGCACCACACCCACCCCTCATAGTGCACTCGCAATTGTTAATATTATTCCATCACCCTGTAGGTTTTGCGCTACTCGGCTCTCGTTGCCGGTCTCGTCTACGGTTTCTACCACCAGTCCTCTCTCACCTCCGCCGCCAAGCACGCAGAGGCCGAGCGTGAATATGCCCGCCAGGAGCGCCTGATCGAGCAGGCAAAGGCCGAGTGGAAGAAGAAGACGGCGCCTAAGGACTCCAAGGCGAACAGCGGAGGTATGTCTCTTTCTGGTCCCCTCCCACGCTCTTGCACAAGCCGGTTCATCCGCATTCGCGCTTCTCCCTTGAGCGGCCAGATGTCACCCTTTGATAGACGCTGATCGACATGTGTGCAGTGATTACGGATCCCGAGGACAGCCGGTTTGACCTTGAGGCTTTCCTGAAGCTGAAGGCCGGTGAGAACTAGATATGTTTGGAAGTATACAGCGAGAAGATGATTTGCTTTTTATCTCTCCCCCGACTGGAACCTGACAAGGTATCGAGGAGAGGCTCCGGGAAGATCCCGGTTATGTATTATTGTTTGTTGGTCTAATTTCCCAGAGTCGTGTCATTGCGAGCGAAAGGAATGATTTTCTTTTTTCCCCACTATAGACATCATCCCCGCCTCTGTACATACCCTGGGCTGTCGTGCGTGTGTACACTACAGTTGGGCCAGAAGAGCAAGAGATTCAGTTGTATGCTTCGGTTTCACTCTGATCCATCCGTACTGTTTGCATACGCCTGCATGACTCAAAGCCCTTGCGCTTGATGCCACTCTGGAGAGAGCGTTCAGTGGCCGCTTATGGTACTTCATAGAACGATTGCTAGAAGACCATTGATCTGCATGTTTTGTCTGTTCTGTCTCATTCCATCCTTCGGTTTTCATTAGAGGTATTATAATCTTCATGGTCTTATTCGTAAGTAATTGATCTCTTGGTGGTTCACGGTGTCTCAGCCCCGGTGACTGCCGATCAATGCCATTATTTGACTTAGGTCAGTGTATGACCGTGCATCTTTCTGAGAATCATCGGCAATAGGTTTGGGATAAAGTAGTCCAGATTGTTCGTCGCGAGTCCATCCAAGCGCTATGAGCTTTTCTATCGCGGCAGTGTCTCCTCGCGCTGTAGATTCGGGATCGAGGCCGAGATAGCTTGCAGCTGCTGCAGGCCGAATTGCCTCATAGACCCTGCTTACTTCTCTCAATGTCTTATCCTGAAAATATGCTTCGATCATGTCAGTACATGAACGGTTTGAATTATTGTGTGCACTCGCGAGGTATGGCTTCTTACTATCATAACTCTGTACAATCGGCTTAAGCAGATCCGGCCAGGGCGACTCTCGCAATATCTTGTAGACCGACTCGTGTTTGTGCTGCCAGATCGCCCGCAGAAGCGTTACACAATTCTGTAAAGAGTTGTCTGTGTGCAGCAGGTCTTGTGGCATTCGCTTCGTAAGAAAGCGGGCTTCGTAACTAGTTTAAGTGACGAGATATGAGTATCATTTCGAGCGGGACACGATCGATAACTGATTTAAAATGCTTACATCTGGTCTGTGAGTAGATGAGAAAAGAAATATGCCGCGTAGAAGTGGCTCAAGAGCTCGACCGGTCTATCCTCTTGGAAAGATAGAAGATACGCTTCTTCCTCATATGGAGATAGTGTATCATAGAGCTTTGACGGGGTAGCGGCCGAGGAGATCGCGGCAGCAAGCTGCGCTTGCGAGAAATCTGAGGCCTCCATGCCGAGTAGACCCGGTCCTATTACAGTGTGAGTCCTGCAGCAGATCGCAGGCAGTGGGGTAGTATAGTAGAAGAGGGATGGCTGAAATAGCACCTCTCCATGACGATGCGGTGCGGGGAATCGGAGGTCCCAAAACCGCGCGTCTGCTAGCGCCAAGTCCTCCAGTGCCGAAGAGACCACCTTGCGAAGCTCTCGACTCCGTCTCCCCCGGTCTCTCTCCTTTACAACTTCGCTCTGAACAACGACCGCCTGGGCTGGACGAGAGTCACTCGTTTATCACTTTTCCCCAATTGGAAATTTGATCATTACTTCCTGGCCATTATGGCCGAATCACCCCTCAATGTCCTCCTGAAGGGTAACACCGGCAGGAACACTCGCGGTCTACTGCGGATTATCATTCTGGGAACTATTGCCGCCGCCGCTGTGTCCAGTCGATTATTCAGTGTTATTCGTACGTACCAGTGATATTGACAGTGGACACGCTATATCTAATTCAGACATGCTAATTACCTTTTATGTTAGGTTTCGAAAGTATTATCCACGAATGTATGTTGATTCAGCCCTGACCCGTGGATCTATCAGTCGACATCCACCTCGAGCTCGCTCCGCGGCCCGCGATTGCATATCAGTTTTGAACTCTTCGCCTGAGAACTGACGCTGATATGGTTTATTCTTGCAGTCGATCCTTGGTTCAATTTCCGAGCAACGAAATACTTAGTTCAGCATGGCTTCTACAGCTTCTGGGATTGGTTTGACGACAGTAAGTTGCTTCATCATCAGCACTAGCCATTACTCCGAGAGAGAACAATGGCGGACTCCTTGGGCAAATAATCATCGTCAAGACTAACTGCTCTCGAATCGCGCAGGAACCTGGCATCCCCTGGGTCGCGTCACGGGTGGTACACTATACCCTGGTCTGATGGTGACCAGCGGCGTGATTTATCACATTCTTCGATTCCTGACCATCCCTGTTGATATCCGTAACATTTGTGTCTTACTGGCTCCTGGCTTTTCCGGCTTGACAGCTTTGGCCATGTACTTCCTTACCTGTGAGATGTCGACCTCACCATCTGCAGGTCTGCTTGCGGCGGCTTTCATGGGTATCGTCCCTGGCTATATCTCTCGTTCGGTTGCTGGCAGCTATGATAACGAGGCCATCGCTATCTTTCTGCTTGTCTTCACGTTCTTCTTGTGGATCAAGGCTGTCAAGAACGGCTCTATCATGTGGGGCGCGTTGACTGCCCTGTTCTATGGCTACATGGTGTCAGCTTGGGGAGGCTACGTTTTCATCACCAACTTGATTCCTCTGCACGTCTTCGTTCTCCTCTGCATGGGCAGATACAGCTCGCGTATCTATATCAGCTATACCACTTGGTACGCTCTTGGAACTTTGGCAAGCATGCAGATTCCTTTTGTTGGATTTTTGCCGATCCGCAACAGTGACCACATGTCTGCCCTCGGTATCTTTGGCTTGCTTCAACTGGTTGCCTTTGCCGACTTCGTGCGAGGCTTCATTCCCGGCAAGCATTTCCAAAGACTCCTCACTACAATGATCATTGTCGTTTTTGGTGCTGCATTTGTGGGACTCGTTGTCCTCACTGTTTCTGGTGTGATCGCTCCCTGGAGTGGTCGCTTCTACTCATTGTGGGATACTGGCTACGCCAAAATTCATATCCCCATCATTGCCTCGGTGTCGGAGCACCAGCCCACCGCCTGGCCAGCATTCTTCTTCGATTTGAACTTCTTGATTTGGCTTTTCCCAGCCGGTGTCTACATGTGCTTCCGTGATCTCAAGGACGAGCACGTCTTTGTTATCATCTACTCCGTTCTCGCCAGTTACTTTGCTGGTGTCATGGTCCGTCTGATGCTGACACTGACTCCCATTGTTTGTGTCGCTGCTGCCCTGGCTCTCTCTACTATCCTTGATACCTACGTTCTTGCCACCCCGGGTCCCAACCCTAAGGCGAAGGTTGTTGAGGACACCTCATCTGAGCCCCTTCGTTCTGCAAGAAAGCCCGACGTTGGAATCACATCCTATCTTTCCAAGCTTGTTGTTACATCGTCTGTGGTCATTTATCTTCTGCTGTTCGTTGCGCACTGCACCTGGGTCACTTCAAATGCTTACTCATCCCCGTCCGTGGTTCTGGCCAGCCGGATGCCGGATGGCAGCCAACACATTATCGATGACTACCGTGAGGCCTACTACTGGCTTCGTCAGAACACTCCTCACAACGCGAAGGTTATGTCCTGGTGGGATTACGGCTATCAAATCGGTGGTATGGCGGATCGCCCTACTCTCGTTGACAACAACACCTGGAACAACACCCACATTGCCACAGTTGGAAAGGCGATGAGCTCCCGAGAGGAGGTCAGCTACCCCATCCTTCGGCAGCACGATGTCGATTATGTCCTGGTGGTCTTTGGTGGACTGCTAGGCTACTCTGGTGACGATATCAACAAGTTCTTGTGGATGGTACGTATCGCCGAAGGTATCTGGCCCGATGAGGTCAAGGAGCGTGACTTCTTCACTGCTCGGGGCGAGTACCGTGTAGATGATCAAGCCACACCTACCATGCGCAACAGCTTGATGTAAGAATCATTTCCCCACCCACATCTGTGAACGAACACTGATAATGTGATAGGTACAAAATGTCCTACTACAACTACCACACCATGTTCCAGGGCGGTCAGGCCGTCGACCGTGTCCGCGGTGCGAAGCTCCCGGCGGAGGGACCCCAGTTATCCACCCTCGAAGAGGCCTTCACTAGCGAGAACTGGATCATCCGCATCTACAAGGTCAAGGATTTGGACAACCTTAACCGAGACCACGGCAACGCAGTTGCTTTTGACCGCGGTCACAAGCGCAAGCGTGCGACCAAGAAGAAGGGCCCTCGTGTTCTGAGAACCGAGTAGAAGAGGCCATTGCTTGCTGTTCGTGTAGCAGATAGAGAATCCGGGACGTCGAAAGCATCCCTTGTTGTGTTATATGTTTCCATAAATTTATACTTGTGAGACTACAAGAGGCCGAGAAGGCGAGTTGTTGCCAATCTAGTTGAACGTCTTCAATGTAGTATGTAGCGTGAAGCTCGCTTTATCGTAAATAAGTGACTCATCCCATGGCCACTTTCCACAATGAGCGTAAAAGGATATGCCAATTTGCAATTGAGTAATATACACCTTTCAGAAGATAAGCTAAACTTAGAGGGGGAATAGATGAGCAGAGATGACGGTCTGCGAAAGCGCATAATTCTGTAAAGCGCTTCTGCTGTCGAACGTGTCCCTTGGCGGGGAGCGGTCGCTTGATCTGCGAGGTTCCGAGCATTCAACATGGTATCAGGCGGCGAAGCTCGTCAAGCGACCAGAACCTAGATGACGACGGTCTATCAGATGAGGAAGGCGACCAGAATACTTCACGAGCCACGTCCTTAGTATTTCCATTGACCGTGCTTCCAAAAGAACCAACAAGCGACTGTATTCGACCGGATTGCAACAGAAGAAGGAATGAGTCTATTAACCACTGTCTATTGCTTCTGCTGGGGTTTGGCGGGGGTCTCCGGGACCTTGACATCGGAGAACTCATCCTGACCGACAGCGCGGATGGTGTAGGCATCTGAGAAATTGAGAGGTGAGCAGTCAGCTTCCTGAAAAACTACCTCGAAGACGGTGCCCATGCGAGGCTAAGAACTGTGTATAACATACAGACGCCAATTGTGAATCCGACGAGGCACAGGCCGGTGATAGCGTTCTTGACGAGGTAGGGCCGGCGAGCACGGAGGAGCGCGGCTCCGGCGCGGTAGTCCTTGCCGTAGTAGGTGGAGTTAAAGCTATAGTAGGAGGTTTTCAATGTCAGCATCCTTGAATACGCGGTCGAGGCGCAATTTCATTCATTGCGTCCGGGGAGATAGCGACATGGTATGATTGCCGGGTCGGCATGACATGACTAGCGCACTGAGAAAGAGATGAGTGAAACGTACATTCCAGCGGCCATGTTGACGGAATTGAATTGACTCGTCGATTCTCTCGTCGGACGGGTTGAAGGACTGAGGTATGAGAGGATAGAGGAATGAAAGACTGATCGTATGAGGGCCGAGAAGACGGTGTCTGGATCCTTCTCCCGGAAATTGGAAGATAAGATGCCGCCAAGCCCGGCTGGCCGCGCCACGGGAAAATGTTGTATGCACAAATAACTATTACGGAGTATAGTAGAAGTAGACAGGTAACTAACGTCATATCAATGGCTTTCGAGTGAGGTGATACATCACCAGCAGAGCCAGGTGCATCCTACTATTTTGGCAAGTGATCCAGTCTCGTCGAGGTGAAGGAGGTAGAGGGTATTGTGCATTCGATGCTCAATAGCATGCGAAGTATATTAGTACTTTGGATCCTCAAGGATCCAGCTTACACGAAGTGTATGACAGCCTGGTGGTCGTGCTCACTACTGCATATTCTCCACACCCGGCTGGCTGGCTGAGAGTACGAGCAAGCAAACTACCTACATGCATCACACCCACCATCGCGCCAATTACATCAAAAACAAGTCAGTTCTTCCGCAGAAAACGGAGGATCCTGCGTGAGGCGTCGTTCGTTCAACTGGTCAGCCAGTTGCCATGAGTCGGAAGACACCACGTGACTTCCGAGCAGCGTGACTTTGGCTGTCTTTGTCTGGATCTCGGCTTCTCCATACAATCAAATCAGTCCCGCGTCAACCCCATTCTCACCCTCTATCGTCCCCTGCATTCACTTACGATCTAACTGGCAATTCCTGTCTTCAAGCACCTGGTTTTATTTTTTTAAGGCCTCTGTCGGGTGACTCTCTGCGATACCCTCTTCGCCCTGTATGTGCCTCGGGGACAAATAGCCATCGCGGCCGTGTTATAAGCTCCGTGCCGTTGGCACCTAACTTCCCCTGCGTAGACAGCGTCGACCTGGGACAATTTGCACCGGAATTTCCTGCCAGTCCGTTTCGCTCGTTCATCTTTTGCTAGGCCGATACCACCGCCCGTTGAATGGAGTCGTAATGGCTCAATCGGCCGACCACCTCGTCGATCAGATCGCCCAGCTCGACGCTGCCCGCAATCTCGTTCTGGGCGATGCTGCATTCTACCCTCAGATCGTGAATGGCGTCCTTCCTTTAATCGGATCGCGTGCGCGACTGGAATTGCGAAGATGGGGTGCCGAGTTCCTGGCCGAAACCTTCGCCAGTCCAGCGCTGGCCTCAGCACAAAAGGAGCAGCTAGCTGCCAACGTTCTACAGTCACAGCGCGAGATACTGGAGTTACCGGAAGAAGATCCATTGGTCTTGAAACATATAGTGCAGAGTGCTGCCAGTCTGTATCCGCTGGTGTTTAGGCATATGTAGGTCACTGGCGTTTGCTTCGTTTACTGCCCCAGACCTCTCTTCCTTGGAAAAGCTTCCGTAGACGCTCGCATGAAACAGACATCATGCTGTCTAAAGCATATTTCTGCTTGGGCTAGACACGACAACTAACACATCAATGATGCAGTATCAACCATCCCCGAGATGGCGCGATGTGGGAGACTATGACGGCAATCAAAGAAGGTATCCTGCGGCGATGGGACTCGTTTCCGTCGCCGGTCAAGATCTGTTGCATCAAATTCGTCCAGCGCGTTGTTCAAGTTCAGACCCATGGACCGATCGCAGACCCTAGAGTACGTACACAGCATCCTGTCAAAGGGCGGTCGTCCCGGTTTGAAGTTGATTGTTGGGTTCCAATACTTAATCCTTATTCTTTCTCTCGTCTAGAGACCAGACCAGAACGAGACCTCCTTGGCAATTGTGCCTCGCAATCACCCCGTCCTGTCGCTTCCTAACCTGGAAGCGGAAGCCTCTGGTCTGTTGGACAGGCTTTTGTCTGCCCTCCAGGAAGAATCGAGGTACCTGATCCTGCCATCAAGATCGGCGGTACTCGACATTGCTAACTTCTTTCTAGCGACCCTATCCTTGTGAACGCCACGTTGAACTGCCTAGCAGTCTTGATTCGCAGCCGACAATCCATCGGAAACAAAATCATCAATGCTATCATGAACTTCTTCCCTGCTAGACAAGTGCGCCCACCCATAACGCCAGCTGTCCGAGTTGGAGTCAAATCGATGGAGAGGACCGCCAGAGCCGTCCTAGAGCACATAATGAAAAGGTGAGATAGGGATGCAATGGTCACAACTATTCTATTTGCTGAAGGTTGCCTAGAAATACCAATCATCCATTCTTCCGCAAGATGGAACAGCACGCCGATCGCTTGAAAAATTCACGCCTGGAGCTCGTCGACGAAGCAACGAGGAAACGCGGAGCGCCTGCTGAGCCAACGGACGGGCTTGATAAAACGAAACGGACCAAACTCGATGCAGAAACGCCGGCTTTGATCAAGATACCACCGCTTCCTCCAGGACCCACAAGTTACGCGCAGCTCTTCACCCTCACGGAAGATGCAGAAGCTGCACGGTTTGATGTCAAGCAGCTGCCGCCAGATCTCCTGGTCAATATCGTTGTTCCCATTCTCGCTCGCGTAGATCAGTCCGCCTTGACTCAGTCTATCGATGTAGGTTCGTGTGCCAAGAATACAGCAACCACAAACTAATTCAGAAATAGGCCATACGCATGCGCTACGAGACAATTCAGAAGCGGCAGGCCGCACAGCCTCCGACAGCGGCAGCAGCGGCGGCGGCGGCGGCGGCCGACGACGACGACGATTACGAGCCCGAGTACCAGCCAATGGATTTTTCAGAGCCGGCGCATGAGCTGGCGGATGCTGCTCCAGCCGAGGTTGCAGATGTTCAGCCAGACCTCGTCTCATTAGGACCCTTTGTCTTACCTCAACCTCCACCGCTGTCCGAGAACGAGGCCGCAGATGTTGGTCGCAGTGCTGTCGGGAGAGTATTTGGTATGCTGGCGTCTAGCGCAGTCGCCTCTAATCCCGCCAAGGGCAAGAGTCAGCAGCAGCCGGGGTTCGCTAGACTAGCTGGGAGCAATTTTGACAGAGATGCCTGGGTTACGCTACTCACCAGACTCGCCACAAGAGCTCCAGCAGGCCTGGAAACGGGCACGGGAAAGTTTGGACAGGAGGCAGCGGGCCGGGGTAGGGCAACCATTTCCAATTCGATCAGAGAGACTCTGTATCGGTACATTCTCGAGGACTTCCGAGGCCGTGTGAACGTGGGCATCATGTGGTTGAATGAGGAGTGGTACAACGACCGGATACAGATGGAGTTCACTGCCTCGCAGCGGAGATCGGAGGAGGAAGAAGCGACGGTGCCCTTGTTCTATGATCACTGGGTCCAGAGACTCTTGGACGGGTTTTTGCCGTACATTGATTCTCGAGATACCAAAATCTTCATCCGATTCTTGAGTGAGATCCCGGAGGTGACGATTCCCATCACACAGAGGGTCGCTAGTCTTGCCAAAGACCCTGAGCGCGTCAATCTATGCGTTCAGTCATTACTGTAGGTTCACCGCCAGGAATGTTCAGCATCTCTTGTACTGACTCTCACCAGGTATCTAATCATGTTTCGACCACCGGCTCGAGAGATATGTCTCAATGCCCTGGAGCACGTTTACGAGACATGTAAGTCCTATGTCCTTCGCTGTGCCTCTGTTATGAAGCTAATCTCTCTCGATGCAGACGAGGAATCACGACCGGCCGCTGGCAAGGTCTTGGCTAAATGGCGTCCCAAGGTAACGCAGCCACAGCCGCAGGTAGAACAGCAAACGTTGGCGACTCGCGGTGCTGTGGCGGGGAACAGTGCGGCACCTGTTGGCAGTGCTTGAGCCGTTCGATGCAGTCTGTACAGGTTATCGATTATCCCATTATTAGAAGGACGCATGACTTAAAGCCCTCAAATGGGGTATCGTATTGTTTCAATAGACAATCTGTCATCCATGTGATATATAATCGCTACATTTGATGAGTGTAGTGGCGTGCTTGTTAGTGGTCGGACCGAATGGTGATGTCTCTGGTTGTAGCATGAGGCGAAATTATATGAAGTAGTATTCAAGCGACCTTCAACAACTTGTCTCGATGGTGTAGTTGGTTATCACGTGGGTCTCATACGCAGTATGACATGGAAGCATCAACTTCCTTGACATCCCAAGGCCGGGAGTTCGAACCTCCCTCGGGACATTTCTTTTGCTTCTTCTCTTCTGCTCCGCGGAAGGGATTGATGCTTTTGTCTTTTTGTCGTCTCGTCCAACTGTCATCGATGCCTTCAAGAGACAAAGAATAACAGAGCGGCGAAGTCTGGAGTGAATGTCTAGGTGGGGGCGACAGCATTGTATGGTCGCAGCTGGTAACTCAGCGAGTATGATTCCATTCTGATCAACTCACTTGCTATGTAAGTATATATTCCGCTTGTAGCCCGGTAGTTACATGATGCTGTGCCTCTGTCGCAGCAATATCGTACCGTTCATCTCGACCATGTGGACAGGATACTAATCACAGATTATTGATCAGGAGACTCAATACCTGGTTCACTCGCATCCTGTTACCCTAATAGTCATTTATTTTTATTTTTATTTTTCCTTGGGCGGAATTCACAGATTTGAACGAACCATATATGCTCTCTTATAGCCTGGCCCGCAAAAGCTGGACCTGGGGTTTCACGTGTCTTACTCCTCCCCCGCGGAAACTAGCCTATAACATGCTTGATATGGTCTCATCTTCTCCCCTTGAAAGTAGACATCTGATCTGAACAAATCCCTCTATTTTCCGTGCTGGTAGTATCATCCCAGTCTCCAGCATGGGTACCATCGATACGAACGTGCCTAAAGTTGACTCCAGTACGCAAGCCCACCCAACAAGCAGGTCGACATATGGTCAAGGGCATCCATCGTCAAAGCCACCCGGAAGACTGACCTCACAAGCGGAGAACCAGCTGTTCAACCTTGATCTAGTAGTAGTGGATCGAACCACGGACCCCCTCCTACTACTAAAAGAACCAGTCCAATTTCACACGCCGCTGTCATTCGCTTGTCTCCTCGAATAAATCGAATAATTGCAGTGACTGCCCGCTAATACAACTACTAGTACCCTCGAATGAAATCACCACTAAAAGATGTAGCCTACGACCAGCAGAAGAGAAAAATCGCTCACCACTATGACTCCGAGGGACTAGCACCAAGGACCAGCTCGACTAAGATAGAGGCCTAGGAGGAGGAGGAGGAGGAGGAGGAGGAACAGACTCGCCCTAACTACTGAACCAGAACCCACTGCACCATGTAGCCGAGTTAAGCTTCCCCCCTCCCCCCATCTACCCGCTTTGGCATCTGGGATTCGATAGTTAGCGCGTACCAGATTAGTAGGTATGGAGAAGGGCGAGAGGGGGGGTGGTCGTCCCGGGTGGTTCGGCGATGTCAGCATACCCGGTTGGATTTGAGAATAGGATAGATGGGGTGGGTGCATCCTGACTGTGCTGGAGATTGAGCTACTCAATAGCCTAGAAAGGTCGGAGCCAGAGGTCGTGCCTTGTGCCGATGGGTGCTGAGATACTATGCTAGCTTCCCAGGATGATCCTCGGTTGCTATTGCAGTTGTACCTATTGGGGATGTTGCTTTGAGATGAGATTCATAGTTGAGGGACTACCTCAGTCCGGCTGGCGGCTAGATAGGATCGGAATGCTGATTACAGGCTCCCACCACCAACTCGAGAAAGAAGCGCAGGTGAGCCCACGAGTAGGAGGACACTTGTGCCACTTGTGCCACTTGTGGTAACTAAATGGAGTGGAAGAGTAGGAGGAACGAGCTGGATACAGTTTAGACTGCGGTTTGGATATCAATCGGAAGGCAAGGAAGCCTCGGAGATAGATACCTTTTCCGGTCAACAGAATCCAGATGAATTGGAATCGCGTCTCCGGAGTAAAACACATATCTCTCTCTTTCAAATCAATCTTCTCCTGCTGCTCTAACTTATTGCCAAAGTTACCATGATCGCTACTATCATCACCTCATCTCACACAGTAAGGAAGTAGATATCATACTCGTACATGAATGATTGGAGACAGTTACGCTACATAACTGATACGCCAAGACTAAGTATGTAATAATATATCACCTACAGACTTCAATACAGTACGGTCCACCAGGTCAACCTCCCTCAGCCCCTTCCGCCGGGCCCGAGAGCCGCTTTAATTTCCGGTTCGAGTCCCACCGACCACTCAGATACTTTTGTATCTTCTCCGTATGGAGTGGTCGCGTAGTAGTTCTGAAGACTCCCCTCGGGCGTCCACCAATCTGTTGACTGCCGACTTTCTAATGTCTCCGCTGAGCTCTTGGTTTTTATTTTTAATTTGAGGTCTATTTGAGGTCTAATTTTACCTGACATTTCTCTTGATTTTCGGTGGGTTTGTTATTTCGGGTTGAGATGGAGATTTGGCATACGAAAGAACCACAACGCCAGAGAGGTCTGCTGATGCGGGTGATCTGGTCGCGGACCTCAGCTTACATAGCTAGCCCGTTGACTAACTCGAGACGATATGAAGTAATCTCGCGAGATGCTTAATTATCTGATATGCAGTGATTGGTGGAGAATCGGCACGCGATGCAGGTACAGTACATACACCGCATGTCAACCCCCCGGCAGATCGCGGCACGACACCGTCCCGAGGTATCCTGCCTGTCACATTCAAATTCCTGGCACTTGCCAAAGCCTCCCGCCAACATCCCTCGTGGCAGCCGGTGCCTGAACGTGCTTATCCGGAAACAAGACAAATTGTCATTCATTATAGTATCCATATCAACATCCTCATACCATACAAATCGACGTGCAGCACCATTAGCTCCGACCATCCGGAGCTCAACCTGGTAGTAATAATTGTGAAATGAAAAAATACCACAGCGTCAACCACATGTAAGGAGCCTCGATGACTCGAGAAACCCACGACAATGACGTCAAGCCGCAGAGAAATAGTTGTGGGTAAGAAAGAACAAGGGTGTAAGAAGTGAAAATGGTGAAGCGTAAAAGAAGGCGCTCAAAAGCTATGTACCAGAAGTGAAAAAGGGTCATATATAAGTCAACCATGATGTCTCATGGTAGTCAGCCACCATCTAGACCAGAGCGATAGCGGCAACAAGCAGCGCAAACATGCCCATGGATGCCCGGTTGACGACGCCGGCGTTGGCGGCCAAAAAGGTGCTGGAGGCACTGGCAGCGGTAGTGCCCGAAGCACTGGACGATCCAGACGAGGAAGAGGCGGAGGAAGTCTTCGAAGCAATGGCAGCAGTGGAGTTGGAACCGGAAGCAGTCGAAGAGACAACGCCAGTGCTAGTCACGGTGGACATAGTGGTGGCGGTACCGGTGGTGGTGGTACCGGTGGTGGTGGTGGTGGTGGTGGTGGTGGTGCTCTTGCTCGACGAGGAGGAAGTGGTCGAGGAGCTGGAAGTCGTGGACTTGACAGTCGAAGTGGAGACAGTGCCAGTAACACCGGCAATGGAGAAACGAGGAGTGTAGTTGACATCCTCAGTGTCTACATCATTGATGATTTCAATTGCGTAATCGGATCTGCTGACCAGACTGGCAGACGGAGTCCAGGTGAAGCTACCCGAGTTGGCAATGCCCGCTAGACAGAAGTCAGTCTCGGTTGTAGAGAGAAGAAGGGGTCATAAGGCGGGGCAAGTACGCACCAGCAAGGCTGTCCCCATCTTTGGTGGTGAAGACAGTTCCCCACTGGAGTCTCAGGCTGACGGTGCCGTTGGAGGTGGCATCCCAAGTCAGAGTCGTTGGGGTTCCAGCGGTGAAGGAATAACCCCCACTGGGGACGTTGAAGGGGTTGCTGGCAGCATTGGCGAGAGTGGCAATGGCGCCGAGCGCAAGGCAGAGCATGGAACGCATGTTGATGGATGTATACAAGGTGGGAGGTGAAGTATTCCAATAAACAATTGAATCAGATATAACCCGATTGGGAAATATGTATCGATGGCAAGTGTGGGAGAGAAAGAGTGAAATTAAGATGCGACTTTGAATCAGATGGTCAAAAATGAGTGAACCAAGGTGAGTGATAGACACGAGCTGATTGAAAAGCAAAAAAGGGAGAGGGGAACGAGAAGTTAGCTGTCGCACAAGGAAGGGGAAAAAAAAGAAGGAGAGAGACAGGCGAGCGATGGGGGGGGGAGATCAGGGACTAATAAACAGGCACGAGGAGGAGGAGGATGAGTACGAGCAGTTCAGTGAGTGGTACCCTTCTTCAACTAGACTGTATTGGGAGGCGCCTGCTCTCAATAGAGAGAGCGAGAGAGCGAGAGAGGCTTGTGGCAATGCAAAAGTGGAAAGTCAAATGTTCAATAGATCGAGAGTCCGCCATGGTTGGTTCCAGTTCTCTTGTCCTCATGGAGTTTAGACTCGTAGACTCTGACCCTCTCTCTCTCTCTCCCTCTATCTTTCCTCCTCTATCCTAAGGATAGCGTGAGGCCATGAGCCCGAAAACCCTGAGCTGGAGTACTGTCTTTTGAAAAGGATCTAGACGAAATAGACAGACCGGACTCAGTGGACCCTTGGTGTTCCGTCGGTAAGATTACCTCCTCCGCTGCTGATTCCCCACTTTTAGGCGCAAGGTTTGTTAGTCTCCATCAAATGCAATCAATGCATCCCATCTATTGGGCGGTACCTGGGACTGTACCTTACTTACTTACTTCTCGGATACGAAGTATTACTGTACGTACTTCGGAGTTCCCGGTACCTTGACGAAATCTCCAGGAATTCGCCATCCCCAGCTGATTCTGTACTGGGAGGGTAGGTAGGGTGTCTCGTACCTGATCTAACTTACTATTTTAACTATGGCCGATCTTGTAAACGATATATAGTACTTATATGAAAATGTTGGGGTCGGACCAGCTACGGAGCCTAGCCCTCGACAACCCTGAATTAAGAGTGAAACATGATGGTCGAGTCACTCTCCAATCTCATCACCAGTACGCAGTACTAAAACTCCTTTTCTCCTCAAAAAGGGTCGCTTGCGCTCTTGGTCCCCTAATCCCTACTACTAACCATTAACTATAATCCCGAAACTGGCAAAGGATCGACCGACCTTCCAACGGTCAATCAATCACTGCAGTTGCCCTACCAACCCCTATTTGAATCTACCTATTCGAAATCAAGGGTTTTTTTCGCTCTCCCCCTGCAAGATCGCTCTCATGTCAAAAATGCGGGTCCTAGCCACGGTCTACTACCACCACAAGACACACACCAGACTTATAAACTCCAGCATCGTATTGATCTTGCAAACACTTGAAGGCCTAGCCTCCCTAAAGAAACAGCCACCTGGTGATATCTCCACCGCGGGCACACCGGTAGGGCAATTGCAAACTTTTCTCGACGCTTGCTCATCTGCGGGGAAGATGCGATGAGCGACGACTAAAAATATTTTACAAGGGATGTTGTATTGTAGCTATGAGGTGTGTATGGATGTATATACAATGCATTGCCGCTACAATGATGCTGGAGAACGTTTAACTATATGTTATGCAGTCATCTATGCGGTCGTGGCAGCAGCGGTATCAGACCCCTGTCAGGGCTCCGTGCCCTCGGACACCATCGCCTCCTCCTGCCGGTCTTCGTGTTCCGGATCAGCCTTCACTTCCTCTCTTCCAGAGGTCGCACCGTTGCTGTTCCCGGATTCTCTCGATTCATCAAGCATGCCGTTTTCTCCCAGCCAGACGATGGCTTCCATCACCTTACGATCATCCTCGGTCCTTTGACGGTCCAAAAGCTGGGTGCCAGTTAGTTCGAAATGCAGTTCTAGAAAATAGGCAAGGAAGACTTACTGCTTGGAAAAGCCCCTTTCGTCCCTTTGGCTCAGCGGCCTTTGTTTTGCCTCCTCGCTCGGGCACTTCGTGCGAAAATTTGCACTTATTTCCATGCATACAACGACCAGTTCGGGCAAAATGCCGGCAGACCTTCTTCTTCGGTTCGCGAACCGGAGGCGGCACTCGCTCCGGTCCTTCGCGTTTGGAGGTGGCTTGGTCCGGCGCAGCATCATCGTCACTGTCACCAGAATCCTCCGAAGAAGAGTCAAATCCGCTCGAAGACGTCCAGTCGCTGCTGTCGGAGTCTTTTGGAGAGGATACGCTGGTTCCCTCATCGGCTGGAGCTCCCGCGGCCGGTATGGTTGCATCAGTCGTCGCAAGGTTCTCCTCGACGTCCAGGCCGCCGGCTGCGGTTGCAGCAGGCGCTGGCAGCTCAATCTGAGCATCTGATGCCGTTTCAGCTCGAGGACCAGACTGGACCTGCTCGTTGGATGTGCCTGTGGAGCTTCTCTGGAGTTCCTCCACTCTCATACGTGCCCTCTCAGCATCGGCTTCTGCTTTGGCAACCCTCTTCTCTTCCCTCATCAGTTTTCGCCGTAGCTTATCAGCTTTCAGCTTGGCCTTTGCAGCAATATCAATGGGATCACTGGAATCTTTCTGCTCATCCTTGTAGTTGTGCTGCTCGCGCTCTTTCTGGTTCTTTGAATCCTTCTGCGGGTGTTTCTGCTCATGTCGCTGCTGCTTCTTCTGCCGCAGCGCCTCGTCTCGGGCCTTTTTGGCTTCCTCCATCGCCTTCTTCTTCTCTTCAACTCTTGCTTGAGTGGGGAACCGCTTCTTACGCTCCTCAATCCAAGCTTTGATATCATCCGGCGTCTGTAGCGTTGAAGTGCGTCCTCTGTAGGTGAACTGCAGAGGCGCGGAAGCGCTCGCCGCTGCGGTTGCTCCCTCCGCAGCCAGCCGTGCCTCCTCGTCCACGTCGTCTTCCTCTTCACTAGACTCGTGATCCTCCGTTTTCGGTGTCAACCCAAGCTGGTTATGCTTCCTTTTCTTTTTCTTAGGCTTGCGGGTGGCGTCAGCTGGCAAAGGAGGTTTGGAGGGTAGCAGGGGGTTTCCGAAACTAGGAACTGGTGGTGGTGCGGCAACTCGAGGCGCACTCGCCTGTGGCGGACGACCAAAGGCCGAGTTATGGTCTCGCTTGTTGCCGTGATTCATGGGCTTGTCCGATGGGGCATTGTAATTGCTAAACGGCCGTCCGCCTCGCTGGTGACCGCGCTGGCCACCTGGGAAGGAACTTGTTTGTCCCTGGTTGTCAAACCCCCAGCGCATCGGCGGCCCCATCATTGGGGGTTGAACCGGTTGCGTGACATAGTTGTGAGAAGGCACAGCGGGCGGATATGTAGGAGCGGGTTGAGCAGCGGCCGTAGGGTATTTCGATTGGGCTTGGTAGGGCGTCGGCACATGTGCTACGGGGGCTGGAACGTAGGATTGGGAGGGATTGAATGAGGGTGCATTTGAAGAGCGATGCTGAAAGTTCGGGGACCGGGTGGGCGCGAACTGAGGGGTCGGAATCGCTTGTGGAGTGGCAGAAAGAGGTTGAGGCGTATATCCCGCATAATTCATAGGTGTGTATCCGCCGACAGACCCAGGCCCGGTGGCGGCGACGGTGGCAGTCGGATATCCCCGGTTCACATTGACATCGGGTGTCATGTAGTGACCGCCACGTCCACCACCACCACCTCCTCCTCCTCCACCGCCGCCACGGTGAGGATTTCCGTAACCTCCTCTCCCGCGCCCTCGGTGATGTGCACCGGAGGCGCGTCCGCCGCGTTGTTGACCGTGATAGCCTGCATTGTACTGAGATGCATAGGCGGCCGCGTTGTGGCCATGGTGGTACTGTTGCTGCGGGTGCGGATGCTGCTGGTGTGGCGGCTGGTGCGATTGATGCTGTTGCTGGGAGGAAGAAGGAGGAGGGGGAGGAGGCGGAGGAAAAGAGAAGCCCTGCGGATTGTTGTTCATGGCGAGAGGACCGCAATAGATCTTCCAGAAGAGACAGTGAAGGCCAGCATGCACGCCATTCTCTTCCTCTTCAGAATCTAAGGGCGGCGAGGTCGAGTTTCGGCGCTAAGTCTTATAACAAAATGGGCGGCGGCTGGATGGGACCTTCGCTGCAGCTGGACGCCGAGATTCTTCCGTTCCGAGGACCTCTTGGTTAACTACCAAGAGGTAATCACGTGAGATGATCTCGGCCTCGGAGAAAGGGAATGCTGGCCTCAGGCAAATAACCATCCAATGACAAGCAGCATCTTATCGCATGCTGTAATCGGATATTGTCAAGTTGCGACTATTCAATGTTCTGACATGGCGTCGGAAGGGTGATTTTGCTTAAAGTCAGTGCTAAGACTATTGAAAGCAAAGCGAGTCATACAGGACATGGAATGGGGATTCGTCTTCCATTGAGGTTCAATTATACTCGTCCGGCTCATTGCTTTACTGCTGCTCGATAAGACCAGAAAAAAAAAAAATTCCCGGGCTCCGTCACTGGCAACGCCGTGTGCATCGCCGCCCAGCATGTTCATCCTTGTCAGTTATCCTGATAGTACCCAGACGTTCGCTTCCTTACTTGCAGTAAACGTGCTTGTCGTCTATAAAAGTAATGGGAACTGACCGGAATCTCCCAGACTACTGTGTCCGATCTGATCCAGATCTCCCCCGAGGATTTCTCCAAGTACAGCGCTGTGGCCCTCGAAGATAATATCAACGAGAAGTACGCCAACAAAGTAAGCTCTCACCCTTTCAGGGCTCCTTTGTCCGGTCGCTACTTGTAATGATTTAAAGGCTTAATTCTTCATGGGACAGGTAATTCAAAAGATCGGCCTCTGCATCGGGTTTTACGATTTGCTTGAATCCTCGGACGGTCTTATCGGCCATGGAACCGGGCTAGTCAATGTAAATGGTAAGAGCGTCCCTGATGCCAGCCGACATTTCAATAACATCTTACTAACTCGAATTCTAGTCAAATTCCGGCTTATTGTCTTCCGTCCGTTCAAGGGAGAGATCATGCTGGGAAAGATATCCAGCGCCACGGAGCACGGAATCAAAAGTGAGTTCCCTCCTTTGCTTCCGTCTCCCCGGTCATCGTCCTGAACAAACGACATTTCCTAGTCGGCGTAGAATTCTTCAATGACATCCTCGTCCCGCCCGATCTTCTCCTCGATGGAGCCAGGTTGTAAGTTCTCCCTCGGAGTGCTTCACTCAACTCCACCGCAGACTGACCCGAAGCCCAACAGCGACTACGCGGATCAAGTCTGGATCTGGGAAAACGAAGATGGCTCGACCTTCTATTTCGACGTCGGCGAGGTCGTCCGTTTCCGCGTGGAGATGGAGGAGTGGCATGATCAAATTCCCAATGCCCCTGATCTAGGCGATGGCGCCGCCGTGATCGAGCGGAAACCGCCATATTCAATCATTGTAAGTCCAATAACCCCATCAAGCCCACGAACCGCCCACGGAACAACTTGGGTGTGTGGGTGCTTTGAGGTTTCAAATCTCAGCACTAACGGGCGAACAGGGTTCGATGCAAATGGCTGGCTTGGGTCCAATCTCTTGGTGGTGATCATCTTTTACGGTAATTATCATATCTCTGTTCTTTTCGTTCTTTTCTTCTTTCCTTTCTCGCCCATGGGCAGAACTACTCTTCATGTTATGTTTCTGGCGTATATGATTGTTTGACCACAATGATGGATTTGGACATCGGATAGAACAGTTTCTTCCACCTGAGTTATGCCCTGAAGGTGTTGGCTACGGTTTCTTTCGCTTTATATACCAGGAGCTGCCTCAACGTAGGGATTTAAAGGGCTGGCTGCGGATTGGGCACGGGCATAGATTGCCACTCTCAAGTATAAATGACTGTAGCATGGATGTGGATGCTTTCGTCCGTGTACCTGACATGCATGGTCAAAAACTCATTAAAGACATCCATCATGGCCACCAAATCACAGAGCTCTTGCAAAGGATGTATCTGAGAAGTATGTGTGAGCAGAGAAAGTGCTACGCTCACTCTTGACACCGACCTCTAACTATGGCGAGGATGGGATGCACCAAAGACCCACGTGCTTGAGGTTACTGGAAGGGCTGAGATCACCTTCAAAGTGATGCTTATTCAAAGTAGGACATAAGAAATAGTTCCAGGACGCAATGAGCGTCTGATACTACAGTTACTATACTGGTCGTGCCTCGGCAAGCTCGGCGTAGGAATTTGCATACTATTATTCGTTATGATGCCAGATCAGCAACAGCAATTAGCCGAGAGCCTGCCAGAGGTAACGGCTATTTCAACCAGGCATTAGGGTCAAAAACACGCTCATGATAGGGAATTTCCTATGAGCCCATCCATCTAGGAGGCTGCCCACAGCGGAGTTACCCGCTTGACGTATTTCATAAACTTGAAGAACCCGACGGCATGCTCAACATTGCCGTATGGATCAACAACTCGCTCCGGGAATGCAATGCCAGCGCCATAAAGACCCCGAACAATCCGGCCATTGGCATCGTAAAAGCCGCCCGAGACTGAGTCAAAGTCGAGCTCCAATGGACGGCCATTGATCGATAGTTCTGGAAGCGGGTCGCGCGTAAAGCCCACGGCTTGAACTATATGTGAGCAAGATGGCAACACCCGCTGATATTGTGCAGCTTCCTGGCCGCCTCCGCAGTCTACCTTGTTGATGAAGCGGCCGGCCTCGGATTGGGGTAACTTATCATCCTCCAGTTGCTGGCGGGCGAAGTCGGCAGCAAGACCTTTGAGTCCAGTGTTATCACGGAGGATCCAGCCGTCCATGAACTCTGCATAACGTAGCGGATGTCGCGTGAACCATTTTATGCGAAGCGCAGGGTGGGAGCTCCGGGCCAGTTCCACCAGGTTGAGTAGGGCTAGAATTGCGCTGTGAGACGCCCCTACCACGGCAATATCCAGAGGCTTATTGTGAGGAAGATGTGTGATCAGTTCACTAGGTTTCAACACCAGGTCAAGGTCAAGCCTCTCGATGTGGGGTTCGGAAATAGGAATGGTAACTTCCGTCGGGGATGATCCCGTGCAGAGGACAAGCCGGGGTGTTATCACATCTACCTCGTCTTGAGAGTCCTGCAATTTAATTCGAACTGTCCAAATAGATGTCTATGCGAAGTCAGCAATGCGAGGAACTATCTACGGGAGTGCCGCTGGACTGACTTGCTCGGACAGATTGGCAGCGGTGACTGTGCCCCGGCATGCCAGGACACTATCCATTTTTGTAATCCCTTCTGTGAGTGCGCAAACCACATCCGCAGCGTGATGCAGATGACAGGTTTTATCCTGGTCAAGCTTGGCCATGGTTGTGAAAGGGTTGGGCATGCGGGTGTTGGCAATGACGGATCGGAATGGCTGCACAGCGGTGGCATACGCTTGGAAGAACGACACTTTGGTGTTACTGAAATGGTAGTGTCAGCAATATTGCCCTCCGATTGATCTTCTAATCTGCGCGCTCTCACTACTCACCTGGGGACTTCGCGGTATTTCCTGTTGACTCGACCACCTTGAAAGTATGGATCCACCCAGGCGATTTTACCACCCAGCTGCTTTTCCAGTAGACTTCCAACAACTGCCAAACCAGCAGGGCCTGCTCCCACTACAATAGCGGCACATCTTTGGGGTTGTGTCATTTTGTGAGTGTCTGCAACTGTGGGGTGCTAAGCAGCGAGAAATCGTCTCAGCAACCGATCTTCTCGAGAGAAATACAGTATGTGAAGACTGCTGGACACCAGAGCAACTGGAGTGTCTTCAGGGAGAGAACGAGAAAACGAGCAATTTATGGGTGAAGATCCATGGCGGTTGAAATGCATTTCCGGAGTAATTCTCGGCGAAATACTCAAATCAGAACCTTTTCGGGGATAGAAGATGAGTAGACTGATCATGGTTGCTATGAGAAGATCCCTGGCTGTACACAGATAGCAAGGAGGGCCATAGTTGAGGCAGAGAGTCCATGTGGTTTGTTCAGTCGGCGAACCAAATCAATCGGCGATTGAGCACGCAGGCTGCCCGCCCCCGAAAGAGACCGACGGCAGGCGTGTCACTCCCCGGACGGGTCAGATCATGCATCGCACACATGTTTAGATTCAGGCGGTCAACTGATTGATGGTTGGGGGCATTGCGCAATCAACTCAACTTAACGCGGCATGCCCCACCGGAACTGCTGCGTCGCTTTCCGTCCGCTGCCATGGCGTATACATTATTGTACGTATCCCATCCTGTTCACGGGAGGTCATCAGGGGTATGCGAAAGAGATAGACGGTGATGCCAGTGTAGGAGAAGGAGCAAGATCAACCCTCTCAAGGGTCATTGACTGCCTTTCACATCATTATGCTTCTTCTTCTTCCAAACATCATTGCGACAAAGGGACAGTATGGCTGGCCATGAGGAAACTTGGGTGCCCTTATATTCAGCTGCCAGCTAAGATGAATGGGGCATTTGGCACAATGACGTGATTCTCTACACGTATGAGGTGATAACCTCTCAAGGTCAACTTTAGGCTGTCAAACTTATCTAAGGACTAGTTAGCTTAATAAATAGCGCTATGACCCCTTCGTCGGGGATCCGGGGTACGTTCAAGCTGGTGGCGCTGGATGACAGATGAATGCAATGCCCTCTCTTGCTGGAGTGTTGCCTTCAAGTTAGACAATACTCCATATGACTTGAAACATAATACTTTCAAGTCGGCTTTGTATGCATGGCTGGCCACCGAAAATCCAAGGTATAGCTGCTCTCTGGTGTCATCCCAAGAAGTTGATGACATTTCTCTGGCGTGCTGATTACAACCACTTGCTCGGAACCCTACAGCAACTGATTCTAACGCATGCTCATAATGAGCTACTCGAGTGAATTGACCTTCTCATCTCATCTTGATTACACGGCCCAGAACACTCGCACCGACACTCGCTGGACATGATTGATCCATCCTCCAAACCGGGCTCTCCCCCAGACCTGGATTGCATCACCCACCTCTAAAGAACGAACTTGACTGCCATCCAAGGTTGCACGTCCACGGCCCGTGCTATTCTCGATATCTTCTGCTTCGCTTGATTCGCTGGGGACATCATCAAGATAATGCCAAGTGATTCGATGTAGTTGGGGATTTTTGTCCGCTGTCCGGTTTGACTGCAGCTTATGAGGGCTCGGAAGTAGAAGGGGATTGCCCGATTCAAAGTGGACGTGCTGCACTCCTTGAGTTGCTTCCTCACTACATGGAGGCGGTTTCTGAGCGGAGTGAATGATCTGGGTGTCGAACCATGTATAAGACCCGTCGTAAGGGCCCTTATTGCGGGCACCGCCACCCCACCCTTGATCATGTGCTAAAATACTGAATATGATCTTGCGGCAAGGGTGGACAGTGCGATGGGGAAGCATTTGGGGAGAATCAGAATCCAGTGTCTATACAAATGATCAGTTCGGGTACATCCATGCCAATGCCAGAGCTGCCCTGAGTGTGCTGCATGCGAGACTGGTGGTAATGGAGATGGCATGTACATACATTTACGTCATAGCACAGCGGTACAGTTGTCAAGAGCGCTTGATCCTGATCTTTTCGAATGATAGTCTCTCCTTCCAGGCCAGACTCACTGGTGGCCCAGTACTCAGCCGCATCCACGATCATGTCCACGAGCTCAACAGGGAACAGCTCTTCCGAGTTTCTCTTCCATTTCCAGATATGCTGCAGCAGGTACCTAACCTTTAGCACATCGTAGCAGCTCGGATAGTATGCATCGTCATTCGATTTCTTCATATCATCCTGTGATAATTCACCACCACCGTTTCCACTGTTATTGCCCGGGGGGTCTGAGGGCCTTCTAATTCCGCGAAGTCGATGGACAAATGGAAGCATCATGATGAGTCACATAAATTCGCCTGATGGTCAAGTAACACACGGAATGACGAGAAACTGTCCGCTTGTAATGATGAGTCTATTCGGCAGGAATTTCTATCTCGTCAGACTTGGCGGCGCATCAGACTGCTAGTTGCGAACAAGACGCAGGGCTGATCCACATGGATCTCGAAAGTCGCAATAAAGCCTGAACTGTCTCAGGCAATTACCTTAGGAGTTTCTGTGCTTATGGTCTGGATCAGGGCGGAGGCACGCTTGATCATGCACGCTTTAGACGACAACAATCGAGGCAGGGTGGATATTCCTCCAAGTGAGTCAAGCTTGCGAAGACCTGAACTCAGGCATTCATTTAGGGGAAGAGAGTTTCGATCTGGTTTCTAGAAAAGGGGTGGGGGGTGTGAGCGGATAATTAAACGGGATGCGGAGGATCATACGGGGTAGTTAGCAAGCAGTAAGTTAACTAATCGATAAGGTTGATGGTTATTGCGGGAAGGTGGGAGGCGTCTACGAAATGACGTCACCGCTCTGAACTTACTACCTAGTATGTATCCGTAGTTGGGCGTCGCGCGGAACCCCATGAAACCGATGAAATGGGCATGATACTCTTGTTACCTAGAAACCATTAACGGTGGAATAGTACAAGCGATAAAGAGATGTAGAACTTGTGGATTTGAAATTGGTCTCCACATCCAATTGTGCTTTTACGCAACTCCTGAATTCCTCGTGGCCATCCGGTGAATGGTAAATTACATACATGAAACGCGCCTTACACTAAACCCCCAGTTCCTCGGCATCTACTGGCCCATCTTGCCTTTCTTGCCGCCAGCAGCCTTATATGCTGCAGCACGCTTGCTACTCCGACTGTTGCGCTTGGCCTTCGATCCGCGACTCTTCGTCTTGACTCGGATGCGCGATGCTCCTTCCGTGGCTCGCTGTCCTTCAAAGACCAACGAATTCTGCGAGATGGAGGTCTTTCCCGCAGCCTTAACCTTGGCTGCACCGGCTCTACCGAAGAGCTTTCCGGCACGACCCTGAAGTGTCTTGTCCGCGACTCCCAGAGCCTGCCCTTGCTTGCTGCCGCCCTCATCGCGCTTCTTCATGACCTTCTTGGCTCGAGACACACGGAGCTTTCGTGGGAGCATGGGTGGGTATTGTTTCCCTTCCAACAAAAGGGCTTCCTCGACGCAGTTTTGATCATAGAACTGAACATAAGCGAAGCCTTTGCCGACACGCGTGGCAGAGTCGCGGACGACTCGAACCGACTCAACGCTGCCTTTGCCTGAACCATCTTTCTTCGAACCACCAGTGTGAGCATTGAACACCCTCCAAAGACCCTCTTCCACATCTGCGGGAGCCCGCTTCTTCTTTTTCTTCTCATCGTCAGGTTTGGCCTCATTATCAATGAAGTCCAGGTTACCAACGAAAACACACCGCTTGTTGTCGATCTTCGCGGGATGCGCGACGCTGTCGACACGCAGATGCCGATCGAGAACAATTGTACCGTTCAATGCAGCCGGTGCTTTTCGTGCAGCCTGCACCGTTGAGTACACAGCATAGGCGTTGGTGCATGGCGTCGTATCATCTAGAACCTCCTTGTTTGCAAATGCAGCTCGCTTTGGTACCTTGGCACCACTGGCAAAAGCTGTCGAGCGAAAGCGAACTGATTCCACTTTGTGAGGTCCAGTTGACTCTGGAAGCGACTCGAGGAATGATCCAAGGTGTTTGAGAAGAATTTTCTTGGCAGACTTGGACTTGATAGCCTCATTCGAGACATTACCAAGAAACACAGTGCGGTTGGACTTATCCAGCTCTGCGTTCTCAGCGGCTCCAGTGAGACTTTCGTGCTTCAACATCGCCGTCTCCTCGTTCTCGTTTTCGGTGTCGCTTTGACTGTCGCTTTCATCGGTCTGATCCGAGTCGCCTTCGATTTTACCCTCTTCAACCTTTTGTCGCTTGGCCTTTTCTTCAAGACGCTTAGATTCCTCCTTCTGCTGCTCCTTTTCTATGCGACGCATGTACGAGTCCTCGACTTCTTCTGCCGGCGCCCTCTTTCGCTTTCGACTAGCACTCTCGGAGGCTTTCACCGCTGGCACACTTCCAGATTCACTTTCAGCTCCTGGGGCCTCTTCCATTTCTTCATCCTCCGCCTCGGAAATCTCATCTTCGCTGTTATCATCTTGTTGATTTTCCGGAGCGCGGTTCTCTGCTGGCTTGCGGATTACTGGAGCTTTGACTGGACCAGCCTGTTGATGATTTATATTAGCTCAAAATGCTCCATGACTTGACGAGAAGCCCGAACGTACACTAGTAGCGAACAAGGAAGCCAGAGAAGGATCTATGGGAGCACTTGTGCCCAGAAGGGGGACAGAGGTTTCTGCCTTAGCCATAGCGGCGAGACTTTTCTGTAATATCACAGAATCTTTCTCGGAAATAAGCCCGTCACGTCAATGAGAGGCAGTGATTGCTTTCGTTGCTGGGGAATCTTGAAACGAGTGTTCCTGTTTCCGTATTTCGGCCAACTTTTTTTTCTCTTTCTTTTTTGGGAGGCGGCGACGGAAAGCCGGGGCAGATCACGTGTGGTCGGCTGTCAGTCTATCTCTTTGGCCAATTGTGGGACACTATTATATTGAAGCTCTGCTCGCACTGCCCGCACTGCTCAGGCTAGAGCAATAACGTAGTCACGGCCAATGCAATTGACTGCTTTTGGATTCAATATAAGTGTTGAGAAACAGCATATGTAGGAATTGGTCAGTGTTCTTCCCAGACAGTAGTGCGAATGCGCCGACTGAACCACGCCAGGCGGTGAGCACCCCATCCGGCGAATGGAATATACAGCCGGCAGAACGCAATACAGGCGGAATACAGCAGGGTGATGCCGGCTCTGATTAGTGAGTAGTGAGGATGATTGCTGCTTGCTGCTGCTGCTGCTGCCGCACTTCTTCTCCCTCCTCCTCTTCCCGCGCCATTCAAGCTGCCATCTCGATCCTGCGCTCCAGACCTGGTGGTTTTATAACTCAATCTAGTTCCTTTCCATCCTTCTCTTGCCTACCTCTCTCTGACTACGTTCACCTGTACGGCCGGTTACGCTTCCCTCTTCCATGCCGCCTAGTCTTCCGCTACGCTGCACTCCTCGTCCTGCCCGCTTCTCGAGAGCCGACGCCCACCACAACCTCTTCCCCATAATTTCCCCCGCTTTCCGTGGCTAGGACTTTGTCTGCGCATTTTCAGAGAGTGCTATAATACCTGGTTTCAGAGTCGCAGCTGTGGAAACGGGTGGATAGGTCTACCTTCCCTGGGTTCTTCTCCGCGACCGCGGTGGTTCAGGGGATCCTGCTCGGTCGCGGCAGCTGAAACACCACGGATTTCTCTGTCGGCGCATTGCCGAACGGTACGTTTTCCATTGCTTATTGAGTCAGTGCAAGGCTGGATATGAATCAAAAGCGATGCCTTCAGCGCTGCAGAGAATTTGAGCAAGAGCTCTGTGCCCTGTATGTAGGGCTGGCGCAGCCCTCAAAGCCCAAGCCGGGAGCGAGTGTGACTTTCGCTCCATCTGGGGTGTGATCAAATCTCCGCACCGCCTTTGGAACTCTGATGCCCCCCCTCTTCCTTGTACCTTGTCATTCAAACTCGCTTAAATGTGGCTCTGGCTACATTGTACTGTTGTCTTATTGAGATGTCTGTTGATACTTTGTCTAACTTTTCTGGCTATCATCGACCTAGACCCACGAATTCGACCCTCACGTCAAGCTCCCTCCAGCCTTCCTCTTTCCCCCCTCCCCCTCCCCAAAGGTTGCCGACCATAAACCCCGATTTTGTTCCTCCTCAACCATTCATCAATTACATTCCGTTTCTTCAATCAAAGATTGTGATCGCCGCACAAGAACATGGAAGTCGCCGAAAGTACAGAGCCCGTGGCGGTGGGTGCGCCACCTGGGGTGGACACTACCATCGCCAATGGCGAGCAGAGCCTTCTCCTAGACGACTCAATCATGGATGACGACCGATCGAGTAGTCTTAGCGAGATCGATGATGTATCCGAAAACATACCATCTGATTATGAGTCTCCCAGGCCCGAGCCCGAGAAAGTGGCACCGGAGAATGACTCGGAAGCTGAAACAGAGCGCATTGAGGACTCCCCAAATTTCCGGTCCAAGACAAACATAATCGTCAGTGCAGCTGGCTATGAGCCGAGTCCCAGCAAGTTGGCTCAGTCGACGACGTATGATGAGGTGGAAGACGAAGAGGAGCATGTCGCAGACGACTCACCCAGCAAGCCTCGCGCAAGACTCACCCGTATCACTGATGTGGTGGATGAGACTTCTGGACCAGAGGACTCTACTTTATCCATGGAAGGTGCTGGAAAAAAACGCAAACGCTTGGAGTCCGGCGCCGAGTTAGGTACCGAAATCGACGACGATGACCTACCGTCACAGAAGCGTCGTGGCTCAGTGAAGAGTGATTTGAGCGATCCCCCTCCGGATTTTAGCGCGTTAAGCCCCGAGCCCATGGAAGATCCTTCCAAAATCATTGAAGAAGATACCCCGGCAGACGAGACACCTGAGTTAACCTCGCATGCTGCTCCGACAAAACTCAAAAGGGCAAAGAAGGGTAAGCGGAAAGGACGGAAAGCCAGAGATGCAGATGAAGATTTGGAGAATGGCACCGGTGATTTAGGCGTGGAAGCGGACGATAACATTGGAGATGATGACACTGCTGAGCGCGGTGACGATGTGGATGACGGTGAAGCTGCCGCTAAAATGGAAGAGGAGTGTAAGTCGTCATCTGGTGCATGCTCGATCATGGTCATACATTGTCACATTACTAACCTACGATGCCTAGCAGCAAAGCGAATGGCTGCCATGGATTCATTGGCAATATTAGAACGAGAATTCGCAACTTTGCGCGACAAGTAAGTTGGCTGCCATGGTTGTTGCATTTGGCGCCTTAACTGACGCATGCGACTCAACTAGAATATATGACGAGAGAATTTCTAAATTGAACCGGGAATTAGAAATGTTGGATGGTCCCAATCCAACCCACCCTGAATTTCTGCGACAGCTCGACTGTCTTGCCCGCTACAGAGACTCCAAGATCAAATATGAGCACACCCTGTTCCAATATCGAAATGAGGCGCTGCTTAACAAGAGCCTGGCTGAACGAGCGCAAGCACACAGTACATATTTCCAGCGGGCTCGGGACATTCGCGAAAAGCATTCTAGTATGATCAGCAAACAATTTTACTCTATACAGCACGATCGATTCAAGACAGACGACGTCAGTCCACAGCACAATATTCCTTTCCCGACGCGGCGATCACAGCAAATTGCGCACCAAACAGCGTATAATCATGAGATTTCGATCATGGCTGGAATTGCGAAATACGTTGGTTTTCCGGCAGCGCCTGCGTTGTCTGCGGCGCGACCTTCAGAGCTGGAACAAGATCTGGAAAAGATGGGCGTGAGTTTCAATCGTGCTCCAATCTATCAGAATCTCCACTAACTGGTTCATGCTCAGATCTCTATCGAGACGAAACCTCCAGTCATTCAACAGCAGACCACGCTACCCCGTGGAACTATGCCAGCCATGCCATTGAGCGTCTTCCGTACTTCTGCAGAAGAGGCTTTCTTGGAACAGACTCCGTGGGCTAACCCGCAACATCCTATTCATCAACACCAGCAACTGTCACAGAGACCCCAGAACCGAATTCATGAGAACCCCCGGGCTCCTGCATACACCACCCCTGCAGCTCAAAAACGAGTGGTTGATATTCACGCACCCAACGGCTCGGCCTCCACTATAGCGGAGAATTCATCGGCTAATAACACTCCGTTCGACCAGGAACAAGCTCCATCGAATCTTGGTCATTTCGTCAACCCCGATTACGATGCAGACCGGAGGTCTGGATTCCGGTCTTTGAGCTCCTCCCCGCTCGACGTGCGAAAACCGCACCCCGCCTCCTACAATGCTTATGATCACCGTTCTCCTCAAGGCACCTCTCATCATCCTGTCTACTCTCCTCCGTCGGCCCGGCTGGGCCTATTCCAGTCGGCCTCGTCCAAACGCGAACCATCCCCCACTCTGTCCTCCCGAGCCGTCAATTCTATACATCAATCGGCAAGTATTCTAGGCGGCTCTGGCTCTAATCAGATGGTCGCTCGATGAAATAATACCTGTACACGCACTTCATTCATCTTATGTCAATGGTCAATGGGATCGCATTTAGGGCTGGGCAGTTTCTGCGATGTATAGGAGTTTCTCTTGAGGGGTTTTAGAGAAGTCTTTCTTCATGTATGTACGGATCTGGGATGTATGACTGGAAATTCACCGGGACGAATCGAAACCTGTCACCTATCTCTGTTTCTCCTACCTGCTTTGGTCTGGGTCCGTTCTGGGACCATGTAAATAATGGAGGGATGGCGCTTGCTTACTGTTTTCATGTGGGTTTGAGGGTGAACAATCTCCAAAATGAGCTCCTTATGATGTGTTCAAGCAGAGTACCATGATTGCTGTGCTCATTTGTGTCTGGCGTCACCAGATACCTTTTGTCTTCACCTTGTATCCATATAATTTTATGAATATGATGATGATTATTCTTGCTTAACAAGGACGGGAAAACCAAAGAACATTCTACAAAACTTGGTGCGATATGGATACATGCTCCCGTCAGCGCAAACTGGATGTGACGGGAGATACTGGTGCTAATTAATATGTGAATATAAGATAATCAGTTCCGACGCTTGTCCGACAACTCCGACTGGCAGCGGGCGGCTAGTGGCGGCAATTGAGATAATAATCAATTGTGGAACAAGTCGAAGGTTGAATGGAAGGCGGAGTGGGGATTTTGCCCGCCGCTTCGTCCTATCGATCCAAGGGATCTTCAGTCGGCAACGTAAAAGAAACTGGAATCCACCTTACATTCATTCATCTCCTGGGAGTTTGTGGTTCGATTTTTATTTTTTTTTTTCCTTTTCACCATTTTTGAATTTTTCTCTTTCCTCTTTGCTGGGAGTTCAGTCCTTTCTACGCTCGTGGGAGTCTTGGCAGGTTCGCATTTGCATTCCGGCAAAATCATATTAGTTAATTCATTCCTTTCGAGGGGTTCTGCTTCTTATTACAAATCTGTCTACAAATCTGTCAGCCCAGCCTGAAAATACTACCTACATTATCTCAAAGCTATTACTCTCTATAAGAAATAGTCCTTTGTCCATCGCAAACGGTCGGGATCGAGAAATCACATCATTTCTTTGTGGAATTGGTTCACTTGCATAGACATACTATATAATCGAGCCTTTTGCCCTTCGTTTGTCACTCTAATCCTCTCAGCGCGTCTTTCCGCATTCAACCACCACATTTCGTCACAATGGTCGCTCAAAACGGAGATTCCGCTTCTCAGGAACGCCGCTTCGGGACTCTGGCAGTGCATGCCGGTGCTCCCCATGATCCTACTACCGGCGCGGTCATTGCTCCGGTAAGTGCGCGCTTTCTTGCATGAATGTTCATATCCTGCAGCAGCGCAGTACTTACCACAAGAACTAGATTTCCTTGTCCACCACCTTTGCTCAGACCAGTGTTGGATCCCCAGTCGGTCTTTACGAGTACACTCGCAGTTCGAACCCCAACCGGTTAGTGGAATTGACGGTCCCTGAGCAACGAATTGGTCGGACACTGACCACTGGCTAGTGACAACTTTGAAGAGGCTATTGCTGCCGTCGAGCACGGTAAATATGCTCTGGCCTTCTCCTCCGGATCTGCCACCACTGCCGTGATCCTGCAATCTCTCGCAGCCGGCTCTCACATCGTCTCCGTCTCCGACGTGTATGGGGGCACCCACCGCTACTTCACTAAGGTCGCCTCCGCCCATGGAGTTGAGGTGACGTTTACGCCTAGCATCGAGGGGAACGTCGAGGAGTTGATTCGTCCCAACGAGACTAAGCTAGTCTGGATCGAGACCCCTTCAAATCCCACCCTCGGATTGGTCGACATTGAGAAGGTTGCTGCCATTGCTCACAAGTATGGCATCATCGTTGTCGTTGACAACACCTTCATGAGCCCCTATGTGCAGAATCCTCTGGATCATGGTGCCGACATTGTCGTGCACTCCGTCACCAAGTACATCAACGGTCACTCAGTAAGCTTGAATCTAATCTTCTGGTTGGTGAAAAGGATCAGCTAACGCTAGAAACAGGATGTCCTCATGGGTGTTGCGGCTTTTAACTCCGACAGCCTGAAGGAGCGCCTTACATTCCTCCAGAACGCTATCGGTGCTGTCCCTTCGCCCTTTGACTGCTGGCTCGCTCACCGTGGCCTGAAGACTCTTCACCTGCGTGCACGTGAGGCGACCACCAATGCCACGGCTGTCGCCAAGGCCCTTGAGGCCTCCCCCCATGTCATCTCTGTCAACTACCCCGGTATCGACTCTCACCCTCAGCGCGCTATCGCTGTCAAGCAGCACCGTCAAGGCATGGGTGGTGGTATGCTGAGCTTCCGTATCAAGGGTGGTCAGCAGGCTGCTCACTTATTCTGCAAGTACACCAAGGTCTTCACCTTGGCCGAGAGCTTGGGTGGTGTTGAGAGTCTTTGCGAGGTCCCCGCTGCTATGACTCATGCTGGTATCCCCAAGGCCGAGCGTGAGATTGCAGGTGTCTATGACGACCTCGTTCGTATCTCTTGCGGTGTTGAAGATGTCGAAGATTTGACGGCCGATGTTCTTCAGGCTCTCAAGAAAGCCGTGGCTGCTAGCCACTCGGTGGAGAACGGCAGCGCTTAGTGGAATGTTTATGAATGATTGAGAGCCCTTATTGCGATAGAAGATAGACTTCTTCGTGGGCTAGATCAGCCCCTTCGACTCAAGACCCCAAGTGGAGCCTCATCACACTTGACCAGGTCATGAATTAATAATGCATGGTGAGATGCTTGCATGTAATCTCATCTCCCTAGAAAGAATCACGCATCTCCTTGTGAAGTTATCTGAGCGCAGCATATCGTATCGATAATGCATGTATCCATTCAATGACTAAAGACTTCGTGAAGTGTTGCAACCAGGTTTCTGGTTTTTCATCTGCCATGTCACTTGGTTCTAGAAAATAATCAAAAGAAATTATTTTTAAAATTACTCAAGCAAAGTTTATCTTAGCGAGTCTCAATTCGTCAGAGAGAGCTCGTTGGCTTCCAATTGTACAAAATTTCTGTGGTGATAGATAAACGATTAGTCATCCTTACAATGCGCTGCAGGAAAATTTAGATGAGCAAGCTCTCTTCAAGCTGGGCTTGACCACGCATGGCTATTATAGCGCTGACATCTCACGGGCACCCTATACTGTCATCTTACGTGATATAGCTCAAAGCTCTGGGTTCTGGGCTTATACACCGTGGCTGAAGGCCCCAAGCCTATTTGTACATCAGTGGTAATTATACAGGACAACCCACCACCAACCAAAAGAGACCAGAATCCTCCCCCCTCCTCGCTGCATTGCTGAAAAAAAAAAAAAAAAAAAAAAAAAAAAAAAAAGACGGGGGAAAGGCAAAGAGGAAAGCCGTAGATTAAAAGTTGACAACAATCGAGCTGCGAAATTGCCTTGATCATGACATCCACATTCAGCTTTGGGTTTGCGGGTGATGACATTGATATCGACGATACCGAAGTCAGCGACGTCAATCAAGCCGACTTCACTTTTCGAAGAGGCGTCAGCGATGCACTACCCGAATTGGTGCCAGCCAGGCGTCATCATATGTCGGAATGGGTAAGTTTTCCCCGTAATGCTTGGACTGGAAGACGAGATTGTTGCTCGACGACGAAAGAGCTTGCAATACTGTGACAAGGTGTAACCGTGCTGCAGATAACCTCACTTCCCTCACAAATATCGTACAACGAAGTTGCTATCCCCACCTCTCAGCAGGGAGGCGCAGGCAAGCCAGTGACGCTTGCACGCCGGGATGTATATGACATTCGGACCCAATTGATGGCAGAGGACACTGCCGAAGATAGCGAAGAGAACTACGAGCTTATCGCTGGGCTTGAAAAGGGCGACATCAAACCCAACTTTTACGAGGGTGGTTTTAAGACCTGGGAATGTGCTCTGGACCTGGCGAAGTTGCTTCTGGACACCAATGCGCTGACGGAGACGTCTGGTGCTCGGCATTTCATTGAGGTAGGTCACTGCCAGACGATGGCGGGTTCTTTAAATTCTCTTCGCAAGGTTTGCCCATGCTGACGTCTTCAAACTGCTAGCTTGGGGCAGGTACTGCCGTGCCATCATTAGCCCTGTTCGCACAGCTGCTATCAATGGAACCCAATCCTCAGCGAAGAGTGCATTTTACGTTCGGGGACTACAACGCCGCAGTCCTTCGTCTGGTGACTTTCCCCAACCTGCTTCTGACATGGAACCACATCGTCTCCAATGTGGAGGGGACGCCGTGTAAAGAGGAAGCCACCGAAGATGAACTGCTGGACATCAGTACCGAGCTTGTCGAGAGATTCCAGAGGGACCTGGAAAGGCGAGGTATCACGGTGGACTTCGTCTCTGGCGCTTGGTCGCCTGAATTCGTCAATCTGGTGTTCTCTTCTGATAAAGAGAGCAGAAGTGATGCCTTGGTTCTCGCCAGCGAGACAATCTACTCCCCTGCCTCACTGCAAGCATTCTCGGATACATTGCTTGCTTTATTGCGTCGTCCAGTGCAGGAGGGAGTGTCAAGCAAGGCCCTGATCGCAGCGAAGAAGGTCTATTTTGGAGTGGGTGGTGGGGTGGATGAGTTCCTCGCCGTGATGGGAGATATCAGCGGTAGCAATCTGACAGTGCAAGAGCGAGTGGATATCAAATCTGAGGGAGTAGGAAGGGTTATTCTGGAAATTATTCTTGCATAGTATGAGATAGTACCTAGGTAGTCAGTTATGGTGCTGTTGTGAAGTGTACTGGACTAGATTGAGGTGCTTAGCGGAGCTTAGATAAACATGCATTCTCATTGGCGCGGACATGGAAGCGGAACATGATTATTGACGTTGCTAAGTGTAGGCCGGGACAGTGCTGGAGTTTGTTGAGACGGAGGGAGATGTAAAGACCCGCAATGCGGAACTCATTCTATAACAATCTAGGATAATTCAAGGGTAGGCTGTCGAAACCTCCACCTGTCTAAAAGAATAGGAAAAACATTGAGACCTTGTGAATCTGTCCTAGTATATGTACAATGTGTCGTGCTTCCCAGGTCTACCGACGGAATCTTGCGACCAAACAATTTGAGTCAATTCAGCTTAACTATTCATAGAGAGAAACAACCTTGCCATCCTTCATGCGGGCAACGCGAGCCTCCTCGATGGCCTGGTTCTGGCGCTCGTAGTGAGCGACCACCTGGCTAATGTCCGCATCACCGCCGGCGACAAGGTTGTAAGGCTGAACGGCGTGGAAGCTGACCCTGCAAGAAAAGAGAATTGGTTAGTGCCTGCATTCAACAAGGTAGGAAGACCTATGACAGGGTCGTACTCGGGCTGCATCAATCCATAAGTTTCACTGGGACCTTGACTGGCGAACAAGTGGCGGTCGCGAGCAGCCTTCTCCATTGCCACCGTTCGGATGGCATTTCTCTGCTCAAAGACCTGCTCCGAGGGAGTCCACTTCTGAATGAGATTGGAGATCCAAGACTGGGAGCCAGACTCCTCAGTGGCCTTGTGAATGCGGTAGATAACGTAGCAAGAAGCGAAGCTGCCGACGGTGACGTAGAAACTCCGCTGTTGAGATTGGTCGATCTCAGAATTAGCCCAGGACTCGATTGAAAAGCAGGAACAATGCGATCTTGCAGCGTAGGGTCCTAGCAACCCTTGTGGGCACAGCAGATGGGATCCGGTCCCATTGGAGGGGACCGTTAGGTAGGGGAACGTACGCCGAAGCTCTCGTTCACGGGGGCAGCGTGGTGAGCTGCATGAGAGCCAAATCGATGAGGCTGCTGATTCCGCAGCAGTAGCCGCGCCGAAGCTACCGATCGCCGAGCGAAGAACATGGTGTGGAAGAAGACAATTGGCAGCGCCGTACATTCACGATACCGTCGCTGGACATTCTGGTGAGGTTGAAAGCGCAGAAGGGCGGCTCAAGGCGAGTATCACGTGATTTTCTCTAGATTGGGCTTAGTGCCGCCAGGTAGAGTGATTACCACAGTAGGCTTAGCGTCAGCTGTACCTTATGTAAGTAAGGCATCTTGCGGGCGAGCATCGGGTTGTAGTTGTTGTTGTCAAAGCATCACTCATGTCAGTCTCTGACAGCCTAACAAGCTGCATGTCGGTCAAGCGTGACTCTCGGACCCTTCGTCTTGCCTGCAGCAACAACCCCCCCCCTCATTTCTTCTCTACTGCGAACGGATCAGGGAACCTTCGCCTCAAAATCCTTAAAGGGCTGTCGAAGCACTGACTGGCTGGGGCTTCCACTACGTGCATGGGCCGACGACTTGCGGGTCGCGCTGTGTTGGCTTCCATGTCAGTGAGCGAATCTACACCGCACCCCAGGGTGGTGGCTCTGATGCATGGCTAACTGCCTCACTTCACCATGGCGCTCCCCACTGCTGGCTCTTAGCGCGATGTCAATTGGGTTTCATCTTTTTCGCCAAATCATGTGGACTCCGCAGCCTTTGGTTATCAAGGGCGACATGTCATCGATCTATAGTTAGCGTTGTCCACACCCCACCCACATACTACCTCCCCCCCCGCGGCGGTGTCTGAAGATTTCAGGCTATCGAGGCTTTGAACCGCAATTCGTTCTTGCTCACTTGGTTTCGCCGGCCCTCATCTAATTCATCCGGCCACCGCGAGTATCGCGTCTTTTGATGCCCAATGCGCTACGTGATTGGGTCTGGGCCAAGTCGGATCTTCAATGCTCTGGTCCAGCTCTCTGACTCCTTTCTGTTCCCTCTCCCAGAGGTGTGCATGCTTGCCTCGTGCGCCTAGTTGGCCTCCGTATCCTCGACCGACGATGGGTATCAATCGTCCTCTAAGGTTCGGTCCGTTTGACGCCTTGCCCAGCCCCCCTGAGGCTGGATGGAGTGACTCTTCCACCATGCAATTCTTCCTTGTTTGGGCGATTTGTAGAACCGGTTAATAGCTGTCCGAAATTCCCTCCATGTCTCTCCTCTCTTTGGTTCCCAACCCTCAGCATCCCAACTATTTTAAGAGCCAACGTGTGGAAAGCCATCCTGGCGTTCCGAAGTTGTCTGCCCGCCGGCGAAGCTGCCATCTGACACCCGGTAGTTGTCTTCGTGTATGGCACTCATTTGTGCCCACTCCCTGCATATTCTCTGATTCCTCTTTACTTCTCCTATTTTCCTAATACTTTTTTCTCCCCTTCTTACCATTTTGCCACCGAGAACTCTGCCTGATCGTGTGATCGCCCACATCTCCACACTGACCAATTTCGGTTCCTTGCAGTCGCTCTGTACCTCTACTGTGTCGGAAAATAACTTGACACCGCCGAACGCGCCTGCAAATGTACATTGTTAAACCCACGCCCACCCAATCGAGTCTCTACTGATAGAATCAAATTTCTAGCTTACTGGGAACACGTCTGTCAGCCTTACTTTTCAAACTTGGGCACGCACCACTATCAATCATGGCCCCCAAGAAAAGCAAGGGGAATAAGCAACCAAAGAATAAGAAGGGCAAGAGTCAAGAGGCCTCTGGTACCCAGACACCTCAGCCCGAGCCTGCCGCTATCGAACAAGATGAACAACAACTAGATCAACAAGAGACACCTCAACCTGAGCTATCTCTCGAAGAACAACAAGATCAGCCAGCGACCCCCAGTCAGGAACAAGAACCGCAAGAAATAGACTGGCAAGACCAACAACCAAAGACACCTCAACCAGAGCTTTCAGAACAACAACAAGCACAGCACGACACACAATTACAAGAAGAACAGCAGCAGCAGCAGCAGCACGGGCAAGAACATCCACAGCACGAAGCTGCTGCCGAATCGCAAGTAGCAGAGACAGAGCCCGTATCTGAAACCGCAGCAGACCCTGCGTTGAAACCAGAGTCGGTGCCACATCAAGAACCGGAACTGGAGCAACCACCGGTTGTTGTCGAGGAACAGTCAACTGTTCCTCAAACCGAGTCTCAAGCTCAGCCGTCAGTGACGGACGAGGGCTGGTCTGATCAGCCAGTCATCTCGGAGCTTGCTGCTAGCCAAGAGCCAGACGTGAACGATGCACCGAAAAGTCTCGAACAACCACAAGAGTCAGCCTGGGAGGCAATAGACTCGTCGGAACCCCCGGTGGCAAGGATAGAAGAGACTTACGAGAACAGTCAATCTTTGGCTGAACCCAGTGGCACTGCAGCACCCACGGAGGAGAACCCAGTGACAGCACCACAAACACCTTTAGAGCGCACATTTGTCCCAACATCTGCAGAGCCCCTAGAGTCTCCTGCGCAAACGGAGGATCAGTTCGTGGCAGCCCCTGCCTACGCTGACGCCGTGGGACCTGTCGATTTGCACAACCCTGCAATGTCTGAGCCCTTCTCCGAAGCAGAGTTCGCTCAACCCATGCCCGAGACCGACTCCCTTCCCAAGCAAACAACTCCACCTGCTTCCAAGCCCGCTTCTCCTGTTCCCCAAACAGCTTCACCCATTCCGCCCACTGCATCACCGTCCTTCAAATCCGTTTCGCCTGCTCCGCAGAGTGCTGCTGCTACACCACGTGCCCTTTCGCCCGTCGCGCAAGTGGCTCCGCCTGAACAACAGTATCCCTCACCGATGGCGGAAGTGTTGCCAGAGGAGGAGCATGCTTCTCTGGCACAGCAGGATGCTTTTCCTACACCGCCAGCAGAGTCTCCAGTATTTCAACCATCCTCACCCATGGCGCAAACGATGTCTCCAGGGTATAGGACAGCGTCTCCCGTGGCAAAAACAATTTCTCCCTCTCAGAAGCACATTTCCCCGGTCGCCAAACCCGCATCTCCCGTTGCAAAGGTTAGCAGTCCGCTAGCACGGGGGCACATGTCGCCCGTCATGTCTCCTCAGTCGGCCCCGCCGCCAATGGGGCAGAGAGTGCCGTTGCAGGCCATGCCACCCTATCCGCCATCATATCATTCGCCTATGATGAGTGCCAACGGCTACTTGCCTCAATATGCCTACTTTCAACCGTCTCCTAATGTGCATCCCACACCTCGAGGCTCCATAGACCCAGGCTCAGCAGCATCTTTCCAGATGTTGCGCGACCTGGGCTTTGCTAATGGGCATGGTCTCAATGGCAAAGGAGGCACCATCTCTCCTCCCGAGCATGAAGAACCAATCGAGCTTCTTCAGAGAATTCAGGACGCTATCCCTGATATCGGCCGACTGCTATCAAGTTACAAGAACACCAAGGGTAAGCTCCAGGCCAGGGAAGCTGAATTCAAGCAGATGGAGTCTCAACATGAGCAAGCTTTGATGCACAAGGAATTCTACATTGAGGCGCTCCAGAATCAGATGCGGAAAAACGCGAATGAGAGTGCCGAAGAGTCCACCAGGCTCAAGAACACAATCAACGAGCTGCGGATGGAGCTGGGGAACCTCGATGAGAAGCAGAAAGACCTTGAAGAGAAGCTGCTTGAGTTTGAGAACTCTAACAAGGAGCTCACCCAATCCAAGGCCGAGCTTGAGGATAAGGTTGAATCGCTCGACACTAGTCTGAAGGAGGCATACGAGACGTATGAGCGAGACATGGACAAAGCCAAGGAGGAGAAAGCGGAAGCCCTTGCAACCCAAAAGCAAGAGTTGACCGAGCTGTTCGAAGAGATCAAGGCCGAGGATGAGAAAGCAGCAGCAGAAGCCTTGGCGGCACGCGAACGAGAATTACTCGATCAACAAGAGGCAATGAAGAATGAATACGAAAACCAGAAGCAACAGATGCAGGAAGCACATGACACTCTGCAGGCTGACTTCGACTCTAAGGTGACTGAGTTGACCTCCACCAAAGAGGAACTGGAGACCAGGACCACCGAGCTCGCCGATAAGCAGAAGGAACTGGAGGATACATGTGAACGACATGCTCAAGAGCTGGATGCTACCAACCAGGCGCATGCTAGCGAAGTCGAGTCTCTTAACAATAGCCACGCAGAGAAAGTGGCAGAGTTGGAGAAGGACTTTGCGGATCAGCAGCAGCAATGGGCGGATGAGAAGTCTTCCCTCGAGCAACAAATCGCGGAGAAGACGGAAGCCATCGAGAACCTCGAGCGCGAGAACAAGAAACTGGAAGAGGATGTTGCTGTCAAGGAGAAGCAGCTTCAGCACGCTGTGGAGAATATGCGCCTGACAATTGACAATTTAGACAAAGATTGCGACAGACTGAGAAAGACCCTGCACAGCCTTGGCGAAGCCACTGACCTCAAGAGCACGAAGGGTGATTCTTTCTTGTAAGTGACCAAGTGCATTGAGAACCTGTTTTAGTACCCGACTTTCGTTCAGAAAATGTTTTCCTGTGTTTACTTTTTTCTATTTCCTATGGGTATACAAGTCCCTTATTCAACCCAAATACTTGCATCCGACCTTCCATGACATGCTTGCATCTTTGATTCTTTTGCCTTCTCTTCCTGCATGAACAAGATCGACCCACAATCGTTTGTTTCTCTTCTTCCCTATGTTACTGCATTTTCTATAGACTGATGATGATGATGATGATGCCATGTTGATAACGCTATAAATGTACGTGCTCTGATAAATATTCCGGCTTCTAGTTTGGACTGCTTCGGCCAACTCTCTCGTCTTATTGTCTCCCTGTCCAAGGAGCACTTCTCGTACCTTCCAATTGATCCTCCCAAGGACATCCTATCCAAGCTTCCACCAGAGCTGCCATCGTTTCTTGATAATACCCCGGCCTCGCGTGAATTACGATCCGCTTATGTTCAACATGTTGTGTCTAAGACGCTCACTTATCGGATCTTCCAACCCTTCCTCTTTACCCTCGGCAGACGTTATGATAAGGCGGACACTTTCTTCCAGATGCTCTCTATGGACATCCGACGCAAATCCGTGCGACGCGAAGCGTTCTGGAGGCAGCAAACGCTGAAGGCAGCCTACACTACATCGGATGCGAAGCAATCTATTAATGTGGTCGCTGCGGTCATTGTCGACGAGATCATTGATCAATTAAAGCACTTCGCAGACCCCCGGAATTTGGACGCACTCCTGGTTGGCGTGAGGAAAATCGTAAAATTGGCAGCTGAAACGTGGAGACTGGCCCGGGTCGAGCGAGAGCTCATCTTAGCATCGCTGCCAGCGCCCGACGCTGACATTGTTCCAAATGACGATTGGGAGGAATATGGAATGCCCAAGGAAGGCACCCTTAGTTTCAAACACGATCCGACACGTCATGTTATCCTCCGAACATTCCCCCGGATCACTCGCGAAGCAGCTCATGAAGATTTTATCGGAGAGGAGGAGAAGTCCCAACCCTGCACCTATTCGCAGGGATGCGTCCTATACTCTGACTCTCCTGTGGTGATGGCCCGGCTGCAGGAGCTGGCCAAAAAGTCCACCGACGCCTTAGCTAGTGGGGACGAATCCTCCCGCCGTGGCTCGCGGGAGTCTATCCGTCGTGAAGGGGATTTGTCTTACCCGAAGAAGAGCAAGGCAAGCAGAGAGGACATCAAAGGCACACCCGAGAACATCACAGTATGAACGTGCTGATCGTGATCTGCTGTTAACTGGGATGTGAGTTTCATCTAACATATGTGTTAAATTATTATTATGTTGTTTGGTTTGCTTTCTACCTCCTCTTCTTCATCTTGGCTGTCTTTGCCCATCATCCTCCCATCGAATTTTGTCCTTGTTTCTTTGGAGATGGTGCTAGAGCTCCCAGAAGCTTCCAGTGGCCCTTTACACTCGCTTAATAGGATCTGTGTTTCCTTTATTCACCATATATGATCCCAGTCATGTGCATCGATGATTAACTTTGCCCTGCGGAGATTTCATTGCATGTTGGTCTTTTCTTCTCTCGATTGTATTCTCATTATCTTATTACCTTGTGTATCGCATATTCCTTGTTGCACCTTCTCACTCTCTTTGCGCTTATTGTTGGTTCTTGTGGTCTGTCTGGTTGAATCCGATGCATATTTAGCGATCTGTGTGACGGTTGTTGAGATGATATGATATGTACCATTCATTGCTCTGGGGAGTACCCGGGAATTACAAGACATCTGCCGATTCCTTGTGTATTGTTAGACTGTTTTCATTATCATGTACCTGGAATAGCTGGCAAAAATCAGTTGAGTCAACCCACCTTCTTCTATGCTGATGGTTTGAGGCATGTTGAAATTTATGAGAGGGAATCTTGCGGCGGAGAATGCAGAATATCATATTGCAAGCACAGCTACAGACATGATGTCAGTTTAATTCATAAGTCCGGGCGTCTCGGCGCAGGAAAGTGAGATTAGTATACCCATGGCTTGGACGATCTTCATGCATACTACACATTTTAGGCAATAGTGGAGGAAATTGGCCCCTATCCAGGTTGAGGTTCTGGTGGTCTGGTGTGCAGGGCCCTTGGTGATTGACAGGGCTGAGAAATGGGGCTTGGAACGAGGCTGAGTCGTTCCGAGGCCACTGCCATCAGAACGACAATGATGATGATGATGATGATGATGACGACGGAGTATTAGTGGGAATGCAGGCTACGTGGTAGTGATGATGGTCATTTTAAGTCCTGGAATAGATGATGATGATGATGGTATTTGAAGCAGTTTTTGGTGGCCAGCCTGAGGAGTGAGGACTACCATCATAGTACATTTACAAGGGACTCGGGAGTAAACAATGCATGGATGAAGAATCGCCGGACCCTCTTGTTCAAGTGGGGCCGACGATAAGCCCTGGAGCTTCCCACTTCCTCCCACGGTTCGTTTCAAGTGTAGGTTGACCAACTTGAAGGAAACAGCTATTGAACTTAGTATACACATTGACACTGTACATACTAACTTGTAGTACACCGGCGTATACTCCTTGTAAAATATCTATAACTGATTGATGGTAATTACTAACACAGTCACTGGTAGTTAAGCAGTAAGTAAGTCAACTTAACTTGCTGACTGGCCCCAATTGTGCAAGGAAAAGGAATAAATATCAGCTTTGAATCAGCAGTTTGAGGCTTACCCCATCCCACTCACCCCCCTTTTTTCTTTTCTTTTCTCTTCTCCCATCTTCACTAAAACTGTGGCTCAGTCATTGAATCTCCTTCCTCCTAAGTTCCTAGCAGGATCGTGACATCAACTTTATTTGAGCTTTAAAACTTCTCTGCCTCCCCCTCCCCCCCCACCTCCTCCTCTTTTTCTTTTCTTTGTCTCGTTGTTGGTTCTACCAGTTCGTCCGACTGCGTTGCGAAGAGCCGCTTGTCGCTCGGCTTCAAATTAGCGCCTTACATTAACTATCAGTTATATTATCCTCCATCTTTCCTTTCCCTCCACCAAACTCCCCCTCTCTCTTCTTACTTTCGAGTTCTGAAGGAGCTATACCCGTTGTATAACTTCTTGTCTGACTACTCCTCTGTACGCTTTCTCTTAATCCCCTCCCAGCCACTGTACATCCCACCGCCCACCCGAAACCATCCATCTCCGATCGCACGCGCCTTCTTATGGTGACCCGTGTTCCTGGCGCCTTTCTACTTTCTTTTACTGCTTGCTGGGTGCAAGCTGATGCACATTCCCCCGGATCCGATCCTTATCAGCTGTCTCGCGTGACACATTCTATGCGAAGACTGTCCTCTACCTACTCTCTCTGTGCTTGATCACAATATCTTCCCACCCTGGTTTTTATAGAAATGCTATCGAGGAAATTACTCTGCATCTAGTACAGTTCATCTAAGCCCATCCTGGTTCGGGGAACGCAGAAACCACTTTGCTATAATTCTACACCACTCTCAAACTCGGACCAACTCGATAAAAGCTCAGGGACAACTACCAACAATAACAATTGTTCCATGCGGTAAACTTTTCTATACGACAAAATAGTCTGTCTGTCACGGCTGTGGCTACAAACATGTCCACGCTGTCACCCCAGCTTGTTCAGGACGACTCGTCCACTGCAATGAGCTTTCATGATGCCAATCTCTCTGACCCCTATCTGTGCGCCCCTGTGGATCCTGACGAAGCTTCTTTCAAGTTGTCCGCCATAAGGTTGACACCCACCAACGGGGAAGACCATGACACCACGTTTTCCACCTCTCCTGCGCTTGCACAACCTTACGCTGAAGAACCCGAGAGTCTCAATGATAGCCAGGAGGCATTCTACCCAGACTTTCTCAGTCCCACAGAGAATTTTACCAGCGATCTGAGTGTCCATACATCTCCAAGTGCAGATATCATGTCCAACACTCTGGCTGCGGACGGAACTGTAGAGCCTAACGCCTGGCAGCACGATGGTATTGTGGACCGGAGTGTATGGGGCCATGTATCTCCAGTCAATGGTGTGATCTCACAAATCAATACAGAGCCATCGCAGATCATGGCGGTCAATACCAGGAGCGATCAATCAAAGGACCCCAGCGATCAGGATCAGACAAGGCTGGAAAAGACTCCGCGCACACCGCAGTCTCGCTCACTCAACACCAACGCAATAAATGACAACTTGAGCGTTCCGGTAGGGCCTGACTCAGACCGAGCCCAAAGCCCCATTGTTAAGATCGAGAGTTACTCTCGAGGGGATTCGCCAGTCAGATATGACTCTCTGACTGAACGCCGGCGGAGTCTGTCGTTCACACACTTGGCACCTAACGGACTGACCACCGACTTAGTAGTCAATGAGCTTGAGGAGACTAACGGGGGCCTAAGTCCGGGTTGCTCAACGATCTCCCGAACGCACAATGGGTCATGGATAACAAACACAGTGACAGGCCAGGCGGGTGTGGAACCATCAGCTCGAGTGGATATTTATATATCCAGTCCGAACGAATTGGAGGCCCGGCGGCGGCTGGAAGAAAAGAATGCTGATATCCAGTCATGGTCAGCTTCCGTGAGTGCTGCGAACAGTGATGCAGAGGATGAATTTACTCCCATCCGGGGTCGGAAGCGTTATCTCGGCGCTCGACGCAGGGCGAAAAGTGCCGGCCATCCTTCTCTGCCACAGGACTACTTTAATCTCAAGTCCCGCTTTTTAGAGCCGGTGGTCCCAGGACCTGGTATTCTTCTTCACGAGAGCAGTGACGAGGAGCTGAGTGATTATCGATCAAACGACGATAGCAATTCGGACTCACCTGCAGTCAATGCGTATGGAGCAGTGTGGGCTGGGGAAGGCCTAGAGACCGTTCCTAGCGCCGAGCAGGACAGGCTTGAGGACGGGGAGCCATCACCTCATCAATTCTTGAGAGCGCCGCCGTGGCAGGACGTTGATTGTGACTCGGATCCTCAACAAACTCGTGTCCAGCCTCAAAGCTCCAGCGAAGCGATGATGGAATACCAGCGACGAGTAAAGGACCTCGACAATGCATCTCGTGCGGCTACCTGGGGCACACGACATTTGAACGATGCCGAGGTCAACGGTATCATAGGTACTGGCGGCTTCTTCGAGAACTTAACTATCAGCGATGGTAAGGATAAGAAGCATGAAAGGAAAAATAGCCTTCTGAAGTATCTGCCGCGAAACCGTTCTCAGCAACTTAAGAGACGACTATCGGAATTATCCATCATTCCTCTGAGCGTCGACACTGCTGGTAAGGGAGTTGAGTTAACAAGCCCTCCCGTGAGAAAAGACCATTTCCCTAATCGAAAATTGAGTCTCGGTCGCTCTAAGTCTCCTAGCCTGAGTACCAGTGGTGCTTTTATTGCAATCGCCGGTCAAATGGCTGCCATTGGAGGCAAAGATTCGCTTCGTGCTGCCTCCCCGAATTCGACACTGAGCCCGTGGTCAAATTTGAAAGGACGTGGGCGAAGCAGAAGCGAGCTGCCAAGAGCGTCGTCACCTGGGTTGATCGACTTGATGACGAGTCATGGTGGGCCTCCTGTTCCCAACCTCGCATACTCAACTCGAATGATTGACCACAGTGTGCACCTGCAAGGGGCGTCTCAAGGTCATGCTAACGGCGACGATGAGGATGATGACCGGCCAGACGTGAAGGGCTTGGTGATGCATTTCCCGGTGCAGTCCCGGCTACCAGTTCCGACACTGGATGGCTTCAAGTCCCAGATCACCGAATTGAATCCCCGGCTACCTTCAGCGTTAGTTGAGCGGTTCGCCCACGAACAGCTTCGCCGATATCGCAAGTTAGTCGATGCTAAACAGAAACATCGCCTTGATTTAGATGCGCAGAAATGCACATCAGGCTCATTCTGCTTCGCACAAGGTGGTCAAGCCAAGCTTCTTGCATCCTGCGCTGCCCTTCACGATTCGGACGTAACGAACACGCAATCCAATACTTCGAGTTTTGATAAGACTGGCGATGACACTCAGAGACTAGGAGAAAGCGCAGTGACTGCAGCACAATTTCCTTCAGGCGTGCCTTTGCCACCAGTCCACAGACTGCCCGCCGAATTCGAGTGCCCTATCTGTTTCCAAGTGAAGAAATTTCAGAAGCCTTCTGACTGGACCAAGCATGTTCACGAAGATGTCCAGCCATTTACCTGCACCTTTCCTCATTGCACAGAACCCAAGTCATTTAAACGCAAGGCCGACTGGGTCCGACATGAGAGCGAGCGACATCGCAAATTAGAGTGGTGGACATGTACAGTACCGGATTGCCATCATACTTGCTATCGGAAGGATAACTTCGTGCAGCACCTCGTTCGAGAGCACAAGATGCCGGAGCCAAAAATGAAAAAGCCAAAGAGCGCAGCCCCCAGTAGAAAACCAAATGACCCAGCAAATCTCACGACGGATGCACGAGAAGACGACACCCGCGGACAAGAGGTTGAGCAGCTTTGGGAGCTTGTGGAAAGGTGCCGACATGATACCCGCAGGGGCCCGAAGGATGAACCATGCCGTTTCTGTGGGAATGTCTGTAGTAGTTGGAAGAAGCTCACAGTACACCTGGGCAAACACATGGAACAGATCGCAATGCCTATTTTGGGTCTCGTAACCCAAAGAGAAGTGTCGCTCAATGGCAGTGTTAGTGCCAACAGCATGTTAGATACTCATGCGCCGACTTCAATGTTGATCGCGCACGCACCAGCCTCTTTCCTCTCGCAGTCGAATGCCATAGACACAGCGAGCTCAGACGGGGCATTAAGCCACGCACAGGCACCAGGTGCCAGCCGGATTGCCGATGGGCAGGATTCTGTAGAGCCTACGATGGCTCTGAGTGCGGCATGTTCGGCCAACCCGCCGACCATGTCGGGCGGATGGATTTCTGCCGAGCCTGAGTCAATGGACGCGCATCATGACTTATCGACATCAGGTTACCTTTCAAGCCTGCCAGGGGAAACTGCAGATCAGTCCCCGTTCATGGCCACGCATCAGAATTCGGTTACGTATCCACCCCCCTTTAACGCCGGCCCCCGGGTAAGGGTGGTCAATCCTGAAATGAATGTGCTGCAGGATTCATATGTATTAAGCATGTCGCCCACTGAAATGCAGCCCACCTTTACTGCGCAGGCCCCAATGAATCTGTCATCGTCTGGGGAGGATCGGCATGGCTTGCCGGGATTTGTACCTCCGACGATTCCTTTTGTTGCTGGAGGTTACGGCGAGGGACTCTGATGGCGAAAAGGCAGGTATCATAGGAAAACCCTCAAAACATCTTTGCGTACAACTCTGGTGTCATTTAATTGGTGGGAATAACGGAGATACCCCCACACATTGATTCTTATTTCTGTTTATTTGGAATTCTTTCAATTAATTTCGGATGTTGACTGTCAATTTGATCTATCTGGATAACTTGTATAAAGTGAATACACGGACAATCTGTGTTTCCTCTAATCTACCTTCAATCTAGGATTCAGTGAAGCGAAGGCTGAGGCAAAATCTTGCCTCCCTTTTTTTTTTCTTCCAAGGTTCATGTTTCCTTCGGTTCGAGCCGACAGTGAGCAACTTGAAAGCATAAAGGTTAAAATGCCAACAACAATGGCTATGTGACGCGCCATTTTATGGGCAATCCCCCGGAGCACCAGGAACTCCGTGCGCATTTATCCGGCAGCTCTGGTCCAGACAGGGATGCTTGGCATCTGGTATGTGAGCTGCAAGTATGGGCCGAAATTGTCAATCGGTCACCTTGCTGTGATTGGACCGAATGGAGAGATGCACGTCGCAAGCCAGCCGATGTTGCGGCGCACTGCAGCGGGCGGTTTGACTAAAAAGTAGGCAACAAGAAGAAAAGAGGGTAGAGAAACAAGAAAATAAGATGAAATTCAAGTAAAATGAGAGAGATTGAAAGGGAGGAAGAGAGGGAGAGGGAGAGTCGGAGAGACACCCCGGGGGACCCCGGGGGTGGGTGGGTGGGTGAGGGAAGATCTACTTGGCTTAGTTAAGTATGTACTCCGTATTTCGTGTCTACCTCCCAAGAGGCTGTCCCACCGACCTGTCAACGTCGGGCTGGTCCAGGGGGGCAGAAAAAGAAAAGAAAAAAATATCGGAAGGAAAAAAAAAACAAACAAGAAGAGAACTTGCATGTGTGTACTCCGTACATCGGAGTAGTACACAGTTTAAGTGCGTTGAAACTTGAATCACCGATCTGCTCCACCAAGCTTGGCAGATGCACTCCCGCCGGGCCAGGGCTGTCCGGAAACTCAAGATTGCAGCTCTCTTCTTTGGATGACCGGTTTCAGCTCATCGAATTCAAGATTAGGCCTCCCCCTTCCCCCTCCCCCAGTCGAAGCTTGACTGGACAGCACAAGAATGAAGTGGTTGCACGACATCCGATTTCTCGCCTGAAATTGACATTTTAGGTCATCAACGCCGACTCGAACAGAGACCGATGATGCAATCATCAAGCGATTAACTCACGCACCATCCCGACTTAATTTCAAAGATGATTGTGTTCAGGACTATGGAATGTGCTATACGAGAGTGGCAATGGGCAGTGTGAGCTTACAAGGACACGGAACAGCTGCTGCTGCTGCTGCTGCTGCACCAACACTGCTACCGGTATAGATATCTACACGATACGCGCAATCAGCTTAACTACAGGCGTTAGATCGCCGGCCAGTACTACCTGAAGGTCATGCAGGAGTTTGTCTCTCGAGATATAGATAGGCCCGGGCCGAGTGGTTTGGCGATCCTTCAGATGGGGATCATAGGATATCTATCGGTTGCTGCTCGTCGTAATCAGGGTTCTTGGGCTGCTTAAGGCTGTCGCGTGAAAGGATGCAGTGCTGGAGCAATGCGCCTGTCAGAGAGAAGGAGGAGGAGGAGGAGGAGGAGGTGGTGGTGGTGGTGGTGGTGGTGGTGGAGGTAACGAAGGGTGGTGAAAGAGGTCATCTCTGTGCATCTTTGCTCCTTACTTACAGGCACACAGCCACCTCTAGCCAGCCAGTCCCAATGAGGGCTCACGGCTGGTATGGGAGATGTTGTGGTTCACCCTGTCGGCATGGCCCGCCTATCCCCGCGTGATAATCCCTTACATATTCCCTTCTTCTGCTTCTCAGGCTGCTGAGAGGCAGACACATGGGAGCCGACCTATCCGGCCGCGTCTCATTGATGCCCGGATTGCGTCGCCGTTCCTCGCTTAAGTCTCAGCCCCCCCTTTCGGAGTATACCGACCACTGCAGTCCACGATAGAGAGAGAGAGAGAGAAAGAGAGAGAAAGAGAGAGCGCGAGAGAGAGATAGCAGAGGCGTGAACAGGTGCTGCCTTCAATCCGACCCTCTAGACACCCTCTGATGATGTTTATTGGATGATCATTGCTGCAGGAGTTAAGAGCTAAACCGATTCCGAGTGAGGTCTGGAGATCATCTACGGCGGCCGAAATTTGGCTTTGTGATCGAGACCTTAACGGATGACTATTATCATAAGTGGGACTCGAGAACGAACATGTATAGGACCATGCATATTTTGGTACTTTGGTCGGATCTCGTGGGCAAAAGCAAAAAAAAAAAAAAAAAAAAAAAAAAAAAAAAAAAAAAAAAAGTTTCCACCAGAAAAGTCAGCCATAAGAAAATAAGATAAGGAAAATATACCCTACTACCTACGCAATCCAGAATCCAAGACGAGGCTAAAAGGAAGACTAGGTATGGGATAAACTACCTATGATTAGTTATGCCAGTGAGGAGAGGAGGGAATCTTCAACTAGTAGTACATTAGGTATGGAGTACGCGGGCTTCAGCTGTCGTACTCGCTCTCGCTCGCCTATCATGCAGCTCAACTATTCTGCCCTTGGACTGAATCGGGAAGATGGTCTCTGACAGGTCTTCTGCCGGTCAACGGAGGGAATCCGTCTTTTGACTCTCCCAATGAATGTGAATAATGCCCATTCATTTATGTATGTATGTTGAGAGCCAGCAACTTAACGACGATCTGAACCCAGAGCGGGCGCCACTGGTCTGACAGGCTTGGAATATCTGGACACAGTCGAAAACATGCCAACCCATACGGAATTGTCTCCAAGCCTCTGAACACGTTATCGCGCGTGGGGTTGGCGATGCGATGAGAAAAGGCTGCTGTCGCTGCTGAACTGAAAATCACTCAATTGCCCTCATTGCTTTTTTTTTTTTTCTTCTTCTTTCTTTTTTCTAGCGTCCCTCTTCCCCCCTCTCTGTCTCTCTCTCTCGCTTCTCATCTTTCGATTTCACCTTCATCCCTTCTTATCTCAACAAGCTTTTCTCGGAGTCATTGTTTCATCACTATCAAGGATAGTTATAAGTCCGGTTGAGCACTCATCCTACCGGTTTTTGCTTCTGCTCATCCATCCTGTGCACCCCTCCTTCTTATTGGCTACCCCCCCCCAAAGTATCTTTCTTCTCACCTTTGCAAATCTTTTCTTCTCCTGGCAAAATCGTGAATTATTCTCAGGCAAATCTTCGAGCCGCTTGTTCAAATGCGACAACCTTTGACTACTGCCCCAAAGTTGTTCTCGGCTTGCCCGCATTGCACCTCGTTTCAAGCATCGGCTACCAGCACTCATCTGGCTCACGCTCCGTTCTAGCTAAGCATAGACAAACAAGAGTGAAGCGGGAAATGTCTATGTGCTGCCCTACTGGCCCCTAATAACCTAACAAGAAGCCAATCAGCTTCGTTGCGCAAAGACACAGTCTTCTTTGATCTACTATATAAACCGTCCCGTCATCACCGATTACTTTGCCGTCCAAGTTTGTCCTCTGTGCAATCATCCTAATCATTTAAGTCACCGTCAGAAAGAGCCTGTGAAGTCGATCAATATTCATCAATCTCGAGAGGCAGCATGATGAGGGTATGGCCACCTTTAGCCTTGTCGTGATTGAAAAAGTTGACGCCATTGGGAAATCACAGACTAACAGTTCACCTCAAAGACCTCCGAACAGGATGCCCTCTGGGAAGACTCCGACGATATCCTTCGAGGCATTAATGGCTCACGAGCCATGCCAAGGTCGTCACATAAAGGTGCCTTTTCATGCAACGGGCCGACACTGCCAGAGATATGCCTCGATGATTCAGCATCGTTCACGGGGGTCTCATTCGACTCTAAGTCTGCACTTCACCAACACAATCCAAGCCCGATGTTCGACCCATGCTTTGCAGTTAGCAATCCGGCATTATCTCCCTCGGCCCAGGATATCGATTTTTCACAATACTCACTGGCCCGGTTCTCAGCAGACCAAGATGCTTGGACACCGCTCAAATTGACTGGCCTAACGGCTAATGTTGGGACCCTCATGTGTCCACCCATGGGAACGAGCCACTATTGGTCGGGGTTGGATCGCAGACTGTCCACAGGTCACTATAGCACGCCGTCTGAGGCTGACAGCCAGCAGACTAGCCTTCATCCATCCGAGTCTGGGTACAGCACACAGAGTGGCGCCACTCGGTCGGTTGCTACACCTTATCCAGTCGACTCAGCTTGTAGTCCTTACTCTGGACCATTTGAGCTAGAACAAGATGAGGGAATCTCCGTGCTGGACCTCAACACTGGTCCAAACGACAATTCAATCGATGCATTGGAGCGAATGCAATCTCCATCGCTCATTTGTCCCGAGGCAATCAGGTGCGACTATTCAGACTGCCGGTGGACTGGGAAATGTCCCTCTGATAAGCGGTATGATACTTTAATACCTTGCGTGCACGCGAATCTGGTTGATTGACATTTAACAGCAAGCATGAAGCAAGGCACAGAAAGTCGTTCAAATGTGATGAGCCGAATTGTACTCGAAAGGATGGATTCGGTACCATCAATGATCTGGCGCGTCATAAGAAGTGTGTTCACAAGCAAGAACCAGAGCGTGGGCCCAAAGTGTTGTACATGTGCTTTGGAACAAAGTGTCCTCGCAAGGACAAGAGATGGCCTCGATTGGATAACTTCCGGCAGCACCTTGCTCGGATGCACCACGACGAGGATGCTGAGGAGCTTCTGAGAAAGTAAATTCGGGTCTCACCCAAACGATGGATGATGATGACGACGCTAACTCGCTTACAAGGTCCCATGAGTGGTACGACGACTGTGTCAAGCCGCAAGTAATAGCATCTTCGTACGCCGATTGTCTCTCGGAAGCCAGCAGTCCACAGATGCCGGAAGCAGCTGATGAGCCACAGAGCAGCGCAAGAGATTATCGAACAGCACCCTCTTTTTCTCCTGCAAAGGCTCGGATGGAGCTGGTTATGAAGACTTCTGGCTCGGTCGGAGATGAACAACGGCGCTCAAGTATCAGCCATGCAACCTCCAAGCCTGAAATATCAGGTTCACAGACTGTCAAACTGCCGGTCCTGAACGGTCTCAGCTTGGACGGGCCAATAAACCCTGAAGTGTCTCTTACGGCCCGACTAGACACTCCTCGTGACGAGAAGAAGGATGATATGGTAGCCGAAGCGGCCAGTAACCTGATTAATGCCATGACCAAATCCATGAACATCTCGCAACGACGCCAAGGGCAGCGAGCTAACGACACTGACATTGATATGGAGCCGGAGGTCGATCTGACCGAACCCAAGCGGGAAATATTGCAAATGATCTTAACGGCCGCCTTGGAGATTCTCAATCAGAGCTCGGAACCATGTTCATCACATCCTCCACTTGACAAGGAGAGTTCATCTGTGCGGTCTGGTCAGAGAAAGTGGATCCAGTGTGACTTTTGCAGCAAGAAGACGCGATTGCGCTGCGAGATGAAGTATGTTTCGGGCTCTGCAAAAGTTGAGATCGCCCGGTAGCTAATCTGGCGACACTAGGAAACATCAGAAGCGCCATGAACGCCCATATAGCTGCACATTCCCTCAATGTAGCAAAACATTTGGAAGCAAAAATGACTGGAAGAGACATGAAAACTCACAGCACTTTCATTCCAAAAGCTGGGGTTGTACACTACCTGACGCCACGCAAGAGGGCGTGACGTGTGACCGCCTTTTCTATCGCCAGGAGACTTACGTCCAACATCTCAAGAAACTGCACATGCTCGTCAAAGAGGAGGAGATTCGCTCAGCTGTTTCCGACAACCGTATCTGTCACGACGGACGGACATCGTTCTGGTGCGGCTTCTGCCGGGACGATGTGCCCCTGAGCCAGGGCTTCGAGGCATGGAATGAGCGCTTCACCCATATTGATTCGGAGCATTATAAGAGAGGCGAGCGAATTGAAAACTGGGTTTTGCCTTCCTATCAACTGAGTGGAGACGGGGAGCAAGACGAAGGAAAACCATTCATCCGGACTAAAACTGGTTGCGAAAGTGAGCCTAACATGGACGGGAATAGCGAGGGCAATTGTCCGCATAACGATGCTCAATTGAAGGACGGAACAGCATTTTCGCATGAGGATCAAATCATGCTAGATGACTACGAGCTGCTTCGAGACCGAGTCCCAGAACAGCGTAGGAATGCCTTCTCACTCGCTTCGTCACAACCAAACTCTTCAGAACGGCCCACAAATACAAGGAAGAGAAAACACTCGATCATTCATTCCGACGTGAATTCTGGCTCGTCGCTGCCTGTTCAGTCCGAAAATTACACCTCGGAAATCCGATGTGTCTCTGGAAATCTGGGAGAGTGTGGCATGAATCCACAGTCTCAAGCAAAGCATACCCCATTGCAAGCTGGATGGAATCATCCTATGGTCGATGACATGTACACAGCATTTTCCAGTCCACAAAGCGGAGATATGCAGTGGACCGACCATTGTTGTTAGCTATTTCTATGCAATAAGTATCTGAGCAGATTACAAATGCGCCGCGCCAATTGATGATGGGTTTGTCACAACGGGAGGGGTAATATTTATGTTGATACCACATGAGTTATGTGCTCCATGATATGTTTTGTTGTCTATGGACTTTTCTCTTGAGCCTTATACAGAGATATATATGGTGGGGTTATAGTGCAGAGTTCTATACAGCCATGGTGATCCGAACCGTAGGGAATTGCAAACATGCAAATACTATACACATTTCCCTTAAGGGAACGAATCTGATATATGGGGTATATACAAAACAGCAGACGTAGGCAGATAGAGTCCAATCAATGAGATATAGTCGAACATGAGCTTACTGAAGGTACCGGTAGAGCCAGTCAGCCATCGGTAACTCAGGCACATAAGCGTTCAGACCTTTTTCTGTGTGCCGGTCAATTCCCTTGCCTTTTCCTCCAGCGCAGCGACTTCCTCTAGTGGGAGTTAGCCAAATGTCTATAATGGTATACAACAGAAATATGACAGAATAATGACAACGTAGTTTGGACTTACTGTTTTTTTCGTACTTTGAGTCGTCCATCTCAAGTTTCAGCCACGTCCAGTGGAGAACTTGGAAGGTAAAGACAGCACCAAGGAAGACTTTGGCAAAGGGGCTGACAAAGAGCTTGTAGCGGGAGACCTGCAACTTCGTGAGTGACTGTAAGCAAGGTGAGGAGGGCGAGACAGATCGCTCGCACCAGCCGTTACTTACACCGTCCTTGTAGGCACTCGATGTATCCTTTGGTGCATGCAATTTGGTGCGGGTAGTGGTAAAGGCTCTTCGGGTGACGGACGGGATTGCCGTACTCCGGATTGGACTGCGAAGAAGCCGAGCAAGGATGGATTGAGTCGACATCTCTACGGTAGTTGCAGGGGTGATTCAGATAGACCCAATCACTGGTTGGTTGAACAATATAGATGTGCTGAGCTCTGATAACAACTACTAGATTGGTTACTGAAAGGTAAGTAGGTTTGTGAATGATTCAGCATCCGAATGGGGCTTAGCAGGTCAGTCAGCGGCCAACAATGACTCAGCAGTCACATGATATCAAGCGAGGGCGGCAACCTGGACCGAATCAGTTAGGCGAGAGCGAACAGGCGGGGAAGAGTCAAAAGGCGATAAGCTTTGCGGGCCTGGGGGGAAAGCAAAAGCTCGTTCCTGATCTGTGAGTTCCTTCTCCTTCCCATATTCTCTCCTCTCTACCAGGCCGAAGGGGGCCGGCGAGAAGTCCTTGAAAACCGGTGAAATCTTGTCGAAAATACGCTCAACCTACTCTAAACCCATCAATCCATGGAGGCTACAATACTATGGAGGCCGTTTCGAAGTGAAATAGGTGGGTTGGCAGGGGAGCAAGATGGCCGTCTGAGGAAGCCAAAAGTCGGGTTTTGTTGTTGAATTTTGGGGTGGTGGGTTGCAAGGCCGGCCGCTTCGCGGTCCGCCAATTCGGTGATTGCGGATGGGCTGGATGGCACGTGCCCTATGCCCATTAGGCCAAAAAGGGTCTAGTGATGGCGTTTGTCTCGCTGTGGCGCGGGTGAATGAGCAGTTGTGGCTGGTGAGTCAACTACCGGTTATGTTGCCTGCTGCGGTGTTGCTGCTGCTGCCGCCCGCGCCCTTCGATCTTCGCCCGTATGTCTGTCTGTCTCTCAATCTTGTCTCTCCGCCCACTTCCATTATACCCACCACCCCCCCCCCTCCTCCCCCCCCCCCCCCGGTCAGATTAAGTCACTTCACCGGTAGCGCTGCTGCTCATTGATTTCTTTCCTTCTTCTTCTCGCTATCATTCGTCATGCTGTCGCTTGGTGTCCTTGCTGATACGGAATAACTTGCCCATTTCTCTCTGTTTACGACAAGGATTTGTTTGCGGAGGAGGTGGTCTTCACAGTCTTAGCTGCTCCATTCTTTTGGTTCTGTTTTCTTTTCCCATTCATCAATCTCTGGATTCTCTCGACCTCTTACCTCTCTCTAGCGATTGCATGCGACGCGTTTTTACCTCTTTGGTGTCTTAACCACTCCTCACTCCATTCTTTGGCCTTGCCTTCTCTCGCCGCGCCGGACTGATACAATATTCGCGCTTCACTATCGCCTCTCCTCTGCGTCATATATATACAATTTGCCTCGGTCCTCGCGGGTGCAGTACGGCATCCCCCGGTCTTTATCTCGAACCAGTGGCCGTTCAGAGTCGATTCCATCTGCTTGGCAACACCGGAAGACAAGTGCTTGTTGTTGTTGTAGTAGCTATTCATGAGCTTGCGAACTTCGCCTTCTCATTGATTGTATGGTGCTGGTCTGGGTTGATTGTACTCTACACCACCCATTGATAGACAGGTCTCATTGAACAGTCTCAGACAACCGTGTTCTGCTGAGTGAGTGCCATTCAGCCCTGTTTATTCACTGAGTACTCGCATTACTCTCCCAAGAATTCGGCGCACTGACACAAGCAATGCACGCAGGAAACATAATTCAAGCACATCATCATGCCTCGTGCCAAGCGCTCCATCGAGGAGATGGCAAACAAGTCGGACTCGGATGACGACGATTACAGTGATCATCCGCTGCGATCGGCTCGACGCTCCGTTTCCCGGTCGAAGTCGAAGAAGAAATCCAAACCTGCGAAGAAGCGAGCTCGTCGCGGCTCGGATGACGATATCCTCTCTGATGACGACGACATTTTCAGCGAAGACGAAGTCTCCTTTAAGGAAACGGACGAGGAAGAGGATGATGCAAATGCTCAACGAAATGCCAGAGGTCTAGTCGCTAGACGAGCTGCCACGAACCGACCGGTCTACAACGAAGGCGATACTAGCAGCATCGAAGATGATACTCAGGATGATGATGAAGTCGATGCCCCGACTAACCCGAAGAAGCGCAGAAGTACTGTTGTCAAGCTGAAGGTTGGCAACGCACTCAAACGACAAGCGCAGGCGCCCTTGGAAAATTTCCAGGGAACTCGCCGGGTAACAAGACGTACGCGGGACCCATCGGAGGACATCTATGCCTTGACCAACTCCGGCCGTCATATGGAAACCATCGAGCGTGGAACTCACAGCCCGGAAATGGAAAGTCGGCTTCGACGAGGTTCTCGGGCCTCAAAATGCGTACCCGTGCTGGAGGAGGAAGAACAGGGCGATTTTCAACCGAAGCAGGAGGAAGAAGAGGTAATTGATGAGACGACTACCGAAATAAAAGGCTCGCAGATTGAGATCTTGGAGAGTGATGTTCAGATCAGTTTTGAGGGAGCCGTACCAAACCCTACACAAGGCAACGACGATGCGGAAGGCGAGGATGAAGGTTTCGTGCCTGAATCGGAGAACGGAGATGCAAAGGCAGGCATTGAAGATGGTGATGGAAATGACGACGATGATGACGAAGGTCCAATCACGAGGAGGAGACTGAGGCCAAATCGGGGTCCACCGGCGGAAGAAGAAACCGAACAGCCCCAAGAAAATCAGGAGGAGCCACGTCGATCTAGTCGCAAGAAGCCAAACAACTATCAACGCAAGCGCCGAGAAGAAGAAAGTGATTTTGAACCTGAGGAAGACTCGAATGACGACGATGAGATTTCCCATTCTGGCAAGTCGAATGCTTCTCCGCGCAAAGCCAGCCAAGCCCGCGATGATGACGATGACTACAGCACTACTGGTCGTCGTCCTGGCCTGCGCAAAAGGGCGTCTCGATCACGTGGTCAATCGGAGGTAAGAGTTGATATCGCCGAGGAGCTGGCCGAGGAATTGGAGGACTTACGAGGAAGTCGTTCTCGGCGTCGAGTACAGCCGGAGATAGTCTACGAGAAACCTCGACGCAGTCGGAAAGATGTCGACTACCGTATCATCCGCCCGGATCTCATCTTGCCCATTGAAGAGGCCGAGAACGAGGTCAACGAATCCCCTTCGCGTCGTGGCCGAGGAGGAGGTGCCAGCAGTTGGCAGCGTACACTATTCCCCACTTACGGGCCTTTCGGAGGTGGGGGGCCATCTGCAATCCTGGGTCCTCCCGGGGCACCTGCTGCAACGGGGGGCGTGGACAGCGATAGCAGTGACGATGAAGTCATGCAGCATCCAAAACCTGGGATCAGTGGTTCGTTCTCAGTACCTGGGCTTCTCGGAGCTGGTCCTGTTGGTCAAACTCATGGCAACGACGCGGCGCAGGGCCTTTCAGGCACGCCTGCAAACCTCGGAAAAGTCAAAGATAAACAGACTCTGGCCGATGCAGATCCTCTGGGCGTGGATATGCACGTCAACTTCGATAGTGTGGGAGGCCTACAAGGACACATTGACCAATTGAAAGAGATGGTGTCTCTGCCCCTATTGTATCCGGAGATCTTTCAGCGTTTCCATATTGTGCCACCTCGTGGTGTCCTTTTTCATGGACCGCCTGGCACAGGTAAAACCTTACTGGCAAGAGCTCTCGCTAATAGCGTCAGCTCCAATGGCCGCAAGGTCACTTTTTATATGAGGAAGGGAGCCGATGCTTTAAGCAAATGGGTGGGCGAGGCAGAGCGCCAGCTTCGGCTTCTCTTTGAGGAGGCTCGCAAGACACAACCCAGTATCATCTTCTTCGATGAAATTGATGGTGGGTCAATTTGCCATTGTTGAGCGCAGCCGTGTAACTTTTGATCTAACCGGTTTCTTATTTAGGTCTCGCACCTGTTAGGTCCAGTAAGCAGGAACAAATCCATGCCTCAATTGTTTCTACACTGCTGGCGTTAATGGATGGCATGGATGGTCGTGGTCAAGTGATTGTTATCGGAGCAACGAATCGTCCGGACTCTATCGATCCTGCGCTTCGCCGTCCGGGTCGATTCGATCGCGAATTCTACTTTCCCTTGCCTAATAAAGAAGGACGCCGCTCCATCCTGGATATTCACACAAAAGGCTGGGAACCACCGCTTCCCGCGGACATCAAGGACGAGCTTGCAGAGATCACCAAGGGCTACGGAGGTGCTGATCTACGAGCCCTTTGCACAGAAGCCGCTCTAAATGCAGTGCAGAGACGGTACCCTCAGATTTACAAGTCCAACCAGAAGCTTGTCATTGACCCAAAAGCTATTGATGTCACACCGAAAGATTTCATGTTGGCTATTAAAAAAATGGTACCCTCATCGGAGCGATCAACATCCTCGGGCGCATCACCTCTGCCCAAGGCTGTTGAGCCTCTACTCCGTGCGCCACTTGCTGAAATTGAGAGCTTAGTGTCTGAGATCTTGCCGCAGAGGAAGCGGCTCACTGCGTTGGAAGAGGCCCAATTCGAGGAGCCCGCTGGAGGTGGCTTCCAGCGCGAACAAATGCAGCAGGAATTCGATCGGTCGCGGGTATTCAGGCCTAGACTACTGCTTCGCGGTCCGCTGGGCATGGGCCAGCAATACTTGGCAGGAGCTCTGCTGCACCATTTCGAAGGTCTTCATGTCCAGGCGTTTGACCTTCCAACGCTTCTCAGCGATTCCACTCGGTCTCCCGAGGCTGCCATTATACAACTATTCGCCGAAGTGAAGAGACATAAGCCGAGTGTGATCTACATTCCGAACATTCACGTTTGGTCTGAGACTGTTGGACAAGCTGTAATTGCCACTTTCTTGGGGCTTCTTCGTTCAGTTCCACCCACCGATCCTGTGTTGCTGTTAGGCGTTCAAGAGTCGAGTGGCGACGAATTGGACAATGGACTGATGAGAAACCTATTCGGATTCTCCAAGAAGAATTTCTTTGACATCAGGGCGCCGGGCAATGAAGCCCGTTATGAGTACTTCACCAAGGTTATTGAATACATCAAAACGTCTCCGGCGCACTTTCCCGACCCTGAGAACCGCAAGCGTCGGGAGCTTGAGACGTTAGAGATCGCGCCTCCGCCTCCGCCTAAGGCTATCACGCCGCCAAGCAAGGAGCAGCTCAAGGCTCAGAAGAAGAAAGACTATCAGACCCTTAATCTCCTGAAGATCCGGATCCAGCCCATCATGGATCAGATAAAAAAATATAAGAGATTCAGGACGGGAGTGATTGACGAGTCCCAAATCCGATACCTCTGGGAGGAAGAAAATCCGAATATCGTTACCAGTGATCTACCAATTGAACAACGGACTACCTTCCGGCCGTTCGAGAAGGCCTTCGACAAGCATGGTGTCCCCGGACTCCGCGAAACAGTATCAGGCAAATTCTTCTACAACCTGGAGATCGTTACCATCGAGAAACGTCTCTCCAATGGTTACTACAAACGGCCAAAGGACTTCTTGGCGGACATCAAACGGTTGGCGAAGGATGCGCGGCAATTAGGTGAACAGGAGAGGCTACTCAGAGCTAATGAGCTCTTGTCCAATGTCGAGGTTGATATTGCCACCATTGAGCAGGCTGAACCCGCCCTTGTTGCGGAATGCGAGGGCGTCTATGTCCGGGAACTGGAGAGGGAAAAGATTGCGTTGGAAAGAGCCCGAAAGGCAGCAGAAGAAGAGGAAAGAGGCTTCATCGGACGGCTAGCGGCTAATCTGATTCCACACGGAAACACTGATTCTGGTCCATCAAGTGGCCCCGTTGTTCTCGGTGAATCGTTCCCTGACCTCGGCCCCAAAGAGATGGAAAGGCCGGTAACGCCTACACAGCCATCAACAGTAAGCTTTACGAACGGGTTTCACCACGGTGGTGGCTCAGATCTGAATGATCTGAGTACCCAAGCAGTCACAAGTAACGGCTCCCATGACTATCAGGCGGATGGCGATGGGGACACATATATGACGACCTCTGATCAATCGGCCGGTCGCGAAACGCAGACTAGCTCATTCGGACCCTCTGCACAGCCCAAACCACCATACTCCCATACAGCACCTTCACAGCAAATCCGGCGTGAATCTGGTATCTCCAGCTTCTCTCAAAAAGGGCCCGTCACCCCGCTGGCGCCTGGGTCACAGCCCCATGACTACACGAATGAGGCTTCTACCACGCAGACGACGTCTGATAAGAAGTCATCAGAGCAGTCTTCTGTCCCGCAACACCACTTACAGAGTCCTGTGACTGCTCAAGGAATGCGACATGAGTTTCCGGACCTCACACAATATCCGGACCGTGTGTCCCAGGAAGAGCATCTGCCAGATACGCAACAAGGTGACAGTAGTCAGCCCTCACCACGCCTTCAAGCTGGTTACCCCGACTTGGTACATATTGACAATGGAGGGCCATCCCAGCAGCGGGCCCAGCCCCCAGTTCCCCTCTTCGAGAATGGAGGCAAAAGTTCCGGTCATGTGCCGGTAAACCTACAATCCTTGCTAAACAATGAAGACCTTTCACCTAAATTAATTCTGGATTACGAGTATGTCCAGAATCTACACGATCAGCTCGCCCAGCGGACAAGCGGCTGCAGCGTGGAGCAGCTGGAACAAATCAACACGAGTCTGATGGACTATCTCTGGCAAACGCGGGGAGAATGGAATCGCAGCCGAGTAGCTGCTGGCATCCGCGACACATTCAACGATGTCTTGGAAGATATGTTGGCTATGCAAGAGATTGGACCTATCAGTCAGAAGACGAAAGAACTGTTGGGTGAGTCGGCATATCACTCGTAGGCTCTATTCTCTGGAAGCGGGGCTTTTTTTTTCTTTTTTTTTCTTCCTTATTGAATCGGTTCGATCTTTCGTTGTCTTTCTCTAGCTTATTTTCGTCTTATCGTGGGTTGGTTCTAAAGATACCTCTTGAAGTGACAAATGGACTTTATGGTGATGGGCTGTGGGGGGCAGATGCGCCGACAGCTTTTTCAGTGGCTTACAAGCTATGTTTCTTTTGCAAGGTTGAATCATGATTGGCGTAAACTACTTGGTACTTGCGCCCAATGCTATATGTACTATGTATGTATATACTCGGTAGTACTCCGTAGTCAGGGGCGGCTCTTATCGATAAAAGGTCCAGGCATGTGACACGGCCAAGACACCAGCCTGGCCTTTGTCCTGCCTTGGTCCTTATTCATTAATAGCCATCCAGCTTTCCGCTGAGCCTCCCCAAAAAAGCAGCACCACCCCCCCCCCCCCCACCCATCCTCCTCTCAAAGCATTTACCTACCATCACCACACCACCACTCATTATTTATCCTCAAGATGGTGGATTGGATCTCCCTCACTGTGCCGTTTGCCTACTTGGGCGTCTTACTTGGCTCCCTCGCAACATTCTCCTCACTCTATCGCAAGCGCAAAGCCAGTACGTCCTGAGTTCTAACTTGTCCCCAATCCCCTCGTCCCTCCCTCTCCGCTCCTTTCGAGCTCTGCACCTTGCACAAGAGCAAAGAAGCCCTTAACGACGCACGCGCGCGGGGCCCTTGCTGACCGTCGAGGTCGCTGAACCTAACAGGAAAGGCATTCTCGCTCGAGCCATGGTTTCCCGCCCACGTGCAGCGCGACATCTACTTTAACCTTCTACACCTCGATCCCCCGAAAGACAGCAAGGAGAAGAAGAGCCCCGCAGTTCCAGAGTCGGTGCTCAAGGCTGCGCTGCTGCGCCGTGCGATCGAAGATATCAAGCGCGTGATGCAATTGAGGGCGCAGAAGCAGGCCCTGGCCATGTTGTTGCAGCGCGGCAGTGTAGGGGATGATCTCTGGCAGCGATTTACGAGGGCGGAGAAGGAGATGGAGGAGGAGGTGCGGGATGTTGTCGCTGAGGTTTGTCATACCTTTCTTTATGTCTTTCCCACCGTGGGCGCCTTTGAGAGGGGGGAGGGGAGGGGGCAGGATGAAAAGGCGTCTTGATGACTTGAGGGGAGTTCACTGAGGACTTCTTTCTCGTTCCGATTATCCTTGGTCGAGAATGGTCCTTTCCAAAGCAAAACCTTGCTAATACCGCGGGGGAAAAACCAGGCCAATGCGTATGTTCCTGGCTGGGGTCAGACGATCTTTCAATCCGCAAATGAGATGTTGAACAACGACCTCTATCGGGAACGCATGGAAAAAGAGCAGGCTAAGCTTGAGGAGGAGCGCAAGTGGTGGGAGAAGAAGAAGGCCGATTCTCAGGAAGAGCTGATGAAAGAGTTGGATGCCGGGGCTGTGAATGCGAACCCTTCGAGGAAACAGTCGGAATCAACTACCGCCGCCTCCGCCGCTACCCCTACGACCCCTACCGCTACGAGTGGTGTCGCCACGCCAAATTCGTCTACCCCTGCGACCAAAACCCCTGAATCGTCTTCGGGAGCGCCGCCCTCGGTGGCAGGAAGCAGTGATGATGACGCAGTGTTGGTCGAGGCAGATGAGCAGGGAAAGAAATGAGCGGGCGCATGAGTCTATGGAATCGGTCTGTTTGGGTGATCTTTTCTTGAAGTTTACATTTTCGGGGTGTGGTTGATATCGATGCTGTTTTGCGCAAGATTATGACCCTTTTTTTTTCTCTTATTCCATTCAAAAATCATCAGTCGTGCTGTATACCCCATTTACTGGGAAGAAATTCTTTATATCAGGATAAAACCTTGAGAAGAGGAATTATTCTCCGTTTGAAAGAAAGAAATAACTGGACCGTTCTGTTTATGTATATACATAATCCCGATATGATCACCCAAGACGCCGTCTATAACGCTGCAAAACATATCCCAACGTAAGCGCCGAACAGCCCAGAGACACGCTCTTCAAGACAAGCTCAAAATAATTGGCTATCGCCGTCGAGTGCCGACCCTAGGTCAATCCCAGATACTGCCATCTCCTCAGCCACCGTCACAATGTCCGCCTCAACGCGAGTCGGATGTTGAGCGGTTCGATTCATGACCGCACGCAGCAATTCGGCCATGATTTCCAGCAGAAACTGCTCTTGTTCATCGGGCTCAAGCCCCTCCAAATTTTGACCCCGAGCCTCCAGCGCAGCGTTCTTGCGGTCGGTGAGCATTTGTACCAATCTTTGTACATGCGCAACATTATCCTTGCTCCTCGGAGTGCTGGAAAGACGTCGAAGACGGCGCTTAGGCGTGTTAGCCGGTACGCCGGCCATCCGGGCCACCTGAAGAACAATCGCACGGACGGTGGTTGCATCAGGGGCAAAGCCAAACATGGCACGCAACGCATGAAGAGCAACGAGCGTTCCATGAAGGTCCTTGGAAAGACAGAAGCAACGGATGATTTGATCGTAGAACTCCTTAGAGAACTCTTCCCGAGCGAGCGATTGGCCGCGATTCGGCAGCTGAGCGAACCATCGCATCATTTCCGAGAAAAGACCGCGCGCGCTGGGAAAGTCGGCCACAAAGGCAGTCCGGCTGCGGTCGTACTGAAGCTTGCCACAGTCCCACAAGCACGCAAATGTTTCAAGGTCCGGTTGAGTCACAGTGGACAGTGATTTGTATTTCCGCCACAAGGCCTGTATGTTTTCTTTCCTAAGCTCCGCGTAGAGAAGGTGGTTCATGAAGTACGAGTTGGGCTGAAGGCGCGCATCGCCCAAGCATTTGATCAGGTATTTGACCATGTCCTCGTCACTCCTACGGGTGTAGTGAAGGAGAAGGATCGAAAAGGTCTCAATGGTAGCGCTGGGCATAGAACGCTGCATGAACTTCGGCATGCGAGCGCGATCCATGTCCTGCTTCTGATTGATATCAACCTTGGGTGCTTCCCCCACTACCATGATCCGTGCCCAGGCTGAGTCAATCCGTCGCTGAACCATCGCCCACCCAAGGCGTTCGGCCTTCTCTCGTGATACAGCGTCACCGTCCCGCAACCATGCGGCAACAATACCATTGAGGTGTTTGGTATCCGGAGTGATGCCTCTTTCGTACATCAACTCCACGACCAGTGCTGCGGAGTCTACCTCACCCATGCCGATAAGTTTCTTCATCCAGCTGGCGTAGAAGAACCGATTCTGAAATCGTCGGGGCAGAAGAGTTAGGGTTGATAATGAAACCCTATTGACGTCTTGCTCTGAGACGCTGGAGGCTTGAAGATTGCCAGCCAGGCCGAGGGCCGCTTTGTAAAGTGCGGTTGAGTCGTGTGCCGGATCACGGCCGGTCACCATCATGTCTTTGAACACAGCTATCGCCAGGTCCAGCTTGCCGGCTTTTAGCAGACCGATGCTGATGGTGTCGTAGTCATTCATTGTCATTTGGTGATCACGAAAGGCTCTGAGTTGGAGGTACAACGCCCACGCCTTGGTCTCTGCCTCCTTCCCGGGCTGCTCGGCCCATGCTGTTATGATAGGGATGAGAATACGAGGCTCACGGGATGAATCGTTCGCGAGGAATGCTAAGGCAATGTCCTGCGCTCGCTGAGGATTACCTTCCGCGGAGAAGAGTTGTACTCCCAATATCCAATACGCTTCCAGGTCTTCCTTCGTTTGACAAAGTCCTGCCTGGTGGGCTTCCCACTTCTCCAGGGCAATGCCCACTCTCCCCATTACATGAAGGGCCTCGATATAAGAAATAATTCGTCGTGTCGAGAGCGGAAAACCAATAGAGGTAGCATCTTCAGCAAGGGTTTTGATGTGCGTCGCAACTTGAGCCCCCGGTAAGCTTTCTTGAGCCTGCGAGTCCCACAAAAGCGTCCAGGCGTCTGCCGGTATCGAGCGCAAAAACCCAGGGATAATACGTTTGCAGCGGCGATACCACTTCCAAACTTCCTGTGCCCGCGCCTCATCCGACGTTCCATTTGCTATAAACCTCAAATTCTCATTGAACTTTTCGACATAAGGGCGATGTTCTGTCTCGGCCGGTGTGATCTCGTAGGATTTCCTAGGAACCTTTCTGCGTGAATCTTTATTGTCCACATTCTTGTACCAATTTTCTCCCTCTTCGGCCATCCCTCGAAATTCTTCCTCCAGCATGGTATCAAGGTCATCGCCGAACACGTCGTCCAACTTTAGTTTGGATTTGCGAGAGCCATGCTCGGCCTCATGTTTTCGAATGACTTCGAGTGCAATGGCTCGCTCCTTCTCCGGCAACCCGCGGATGAACGGACTATTAGGACCGAAAGGACCCTCTTGCAGGATTTCCAAATCTTTGTTTATCTTGGCCAACTCAGCCTCCACTTCTTCTAGCTCGGCGCGGTCCTCGGCCTCGGGATCGATTTGCCTGATATGCTTACTCCCCGGCGTTGTCTTTTCGAAGAAGTTGATTTTGTCTTTCATACCACCATAGTGAAGGAATCGTGGCGCTACCAGGGCGAAAGCCCTAGAGCCTCTGCGGGCCACATGCTGATACTTCCGAGCTCCTCGGACGGCCTGGCGGAGCATAAGTTTGATTGTTTAGCGCATCGGACGAGAACCTGAGTTTTGTAGATTGGGGGCGCGGATGCAATGCGCGCGGTAGAGAGCGGATTGCAGGTATGTAGAAGAGGGGAAAGCAATAGGGAGCGGTGGCGGAATGAAAAGCGGAGGAAGATCAAAAGCTCCGCAGCGGAAAACCATTACCGGCTTGATCGGGTTTAGCGCAAAACGCGAGCTCGATTCCGTTCTCCAACTATCATTATTCCTCCGTCCTTCCTTCTTTCTTGTATAGTGCTGTCCCTGCCGAACCTACGGTCTCCTAGTTGAACCGGTGATGGATGCAGATCTGCTAGAAGCAGACGTGGGAGGCGCCCCGAGAGACGGTTCTCACAGTCAGGTACTTTACATATACTGTCTCCCGTTGGAGCGCTTGTCCTTCTTTCCCCAGCCTGTCCGCTAATTGGAAATTCGAAAGGGTGTTTATATTTATCGTCCAACGAACCAGTCTAAGAGTTTCGCTGAAAGACCCACGAAACGGCGCAAAGTCGTACGACCAAACGTTATCAAGGCTGCAAAATCCCATCCCTTTGTGTCCCTGTTGAACGGCGATGAAGACGCAAATTCCATTGAACTGCGATACCGCACTTATCAACAACTATGGTCGGCTCAGGAAGCCAAAATCAAGGTTCGTAAGTGCAGGGCTTTCCACTTGACAAACGGATCAATAACGGCATGCTACAGGAAATCCTAGATGATATCGACTCCGAGGTTCTTACCAACGTACTATCTTTCACTAGATCGACCTCGCCCCAAACGTAAGATTGCTTCAACACCGATGGAGCCACCCGATTCCTAATTGAAGGCAGTTACGATGGCTGTATACCTGCCGCGCTGGTTACGGTTGGCTCCAACGTCTCGTCTCTTGGCCGATTGCTTTCTAGACTAAACGATCAATTGACAACAACCGGAGAAGGTGGGGTGATCGTCCTGGAGTCTGGTGATGCACCGAACCTCAAGACAACTCTGAAGAATATAATCCGCTTTGCTATCACGAACACGGAAGGAAATGATGGGTACCAGAGTTTTGTGACTGACCGAGAGGTATCTGCCGGTTACTCCTTCATCTTTCAAACGGGTGAGCGCTAATTGGAATCAAAGGGTCCGAGAGTCCTGGGTTATGATCTTGATTTACTAGCGGATTACGTCAAACGGAAGGACGTCAGGAAACTGGTTATCGCTTTTCGCGACAGCGAAGCGTTTGATCCGGGCATTCTTGCTGACCTCTTGTCGCTTTTGAGGTGGGTTACCTAGTACAGTCGCAAGTCCGGTCTTTATCACAGCCATTACTCACGATTTCTAGCTCTTGGCTTGATCGGATCCCTTTGACACTTATGTTCGGTATCTCGACATCCGTGGACCTTTTCGAAGGGAGACTACCTCGGTCTTCGGTGGCTTTGCTACGAGGACGGTTTTTCGAGATTCACGAAGCGAGTAATTGCGTAGATCGCATTTACGGCAGGCTTCAGGCCGAGCAGGACGGGACTTTTTGGCTAGGTCGCAACATCACAAGCGTACTATTCGAGAAGTCAAGCGACTCCTTCCAGACCCCGGAAGCTTTCAGCCGAACGGTTAAGGTACTTCTCCTAGAGAGCATGTCCTGTCCTTGATGGCCTACTCTAACTATTTCAGTACGCTTATATGTCACATTTCTTTGCCAACCCTTTGAGCGCGCTCCTTGCAGATGGCCCTGCCACCACGAAACGAAGCGACCAAGTCTGCGAGGCTCTAAGAAATGTTTCGTCTTTTCGGACGTGAGTGTCTCATATTTAGTTGACCAGTCACTGAGTCTAAAACAAGAAATAGTTATTGCGAAGAGTTGCTCGAAGAAGGCTCCGCTGGACAAGTTCGCAAGTTATTGGAGGATGATGCTTTTCTGCTCGAGCAAAGCACCCGGTGGGTGAAGCTGGGTCAGCAGAAAATGCGCGACATTTTCCAATGTGTGAAAATGGTACACAGAACTTTGAAGCACTTTAAGGTCGTCAAGAAACCCAGTCTCTCTGACATATCGATCCGGGCACTTGCTGGGGAGCTGCAAAGCTCTGCGTTCTACGAGGACTTTCTTCGATCAATCAAGACACTTGATTCCAATCAACTGAAAGAACTTATAGCTATGTTGCCGGCCACACTTACAGATAGCCCGGTCTTTGGACAGATTCAAGCAGACTTTGATACTTTGCTGCAGACTTATCAAGGAACCGAACCACTCAAGAGTGGCTATGACAAGCAACACTCAGTTGTTGCTACCACTATTATTCAGCAGCGGGTGAAACTTAGCAAGTCTAAGGCTAGACTGCCCAAGGAGAATGCAGATTTCACGAACATCATTCATCGCGTTTATACTTTATTGGAGGCATTTTTCGAGGATACTTCGATAAGACCCAAAGAATTGATCTTGCATGAGGTCTTCCTTTTTGATATGAGAAACCCTATTAAGGAAGTCTTTTCTCCACGGCCACGTTTTGCCGTCGAACGGGCGCTGTCCAGTCCTTTCGACTACCTCATTTCACCGTCGGGAGACTTGACAGTCAGCATCTCGGCACATCAGCCAGCAGCGGCCATCTTGTACCAGTTATACCTAGAGTCGGGGTCCCTAGTTAACGTTCATGACTTATGGCAGGCATTTTATGCCGTGTTCGAAAGCGAGCAAGGGGATAGCTGTGATGAAAGGTCCATCATGGCTTGGTTTTATAGAGCTTTATCGGACTTGAAGGCGCTTGGTATGGTGAAAAGTAGCCGAAAGAAAGCTGACCATGTCTCCAAAACCTCGTGGATGGGTCTGTAAAAATAGCATAGCATTTGCCATATTTTTGCTGTGTGACATATGTCATCTGAGGTTTACAGGGGTATCATTAGTATAATCCTAAGAATGCAGCATAGTCCTTACCACTCCCAACACCTTGTGCTTCAGAGTATCATTGCGTCACGGGTATTTGTATAATGTCTTCACTGCCCAGAGCACGGCCTCCTTCACTCAGTACCATCGCCTCCCGCCTACGTCGTCTAATGGCTTGTTCCTCGACGGTTCTTTGCTGTATCCGCGGACCTGACACTCGCCAGGACCCAGCAGTGTCTTCCCCATCGACCATCCATACGTCGCTGTCATATTCATCCTGGTCATTTTCCTCCAGCATACTGCCCATAAGCCCAAATTTGCGTAATTGTTTTGCACCATCCATGTGTGAGGACAAGGTACCGAATATCGCACTCATCACCGCATCGTCAGACCACCATGTTTTCATCAAAATCACAACATCCTGACGCCGTGAATGTGCTCCAGTGGCGCACGGAAACGGGTATCTGGTCAGCCAGCGACTGACAATACCGGCCTCTAGCGCAGCAGGCACATTTTCTTGCAGAACAATATTGAGAATTTTCAGCGCTTTCTTCTCGCCCAATGGCCTGGTTTTTGGAAGAATCGGTGACACGGTTGATGACGTTTCCTCCGTATGCTCATCAAGGAAGTTGCAAAGACAGTTGATTAGTGCGGTATAGGCTGGAAGGTCTCTCAGTCGGGAGCAGATAGAGGTGCGAGAGACTGATATTATGAGTTAGCAGCAACTGGGTGATCAAGTGGTACGGTGGTAGGACTCCATACGAGCACGGTTTGATACAAGGAAGTACAATGCATTGAGCGCCTTATCTCGTCGCGATTTGTCCCTGCTCACCAAGTCTTGCAGAAGCATATCCCGAGTTTCGCCTTTGGTCGATCGTTCGGCAATAATGCGCAATGCGCTAGAGGTCCCTTTAGTTGGTATTCTGTCCAAGCGGGAGGAGTGCATCGTACGCTGCTCTGAGATCATGGCTAGTACTCTCCGAGAGTTTCTGTAATGTGTCTAGGTTGAGTGCTAAGGAGGGTTCAGCTCTAGGACTTGCTAATTTACAAATGCACGCTGAAGCCTACCTTCTTCTGTGCCCTCAGTAATCATCCTCTCTTCTCTTTTGACATGTTTGATCTCCGTCAACTCGCGTACTTGGCGGAGGTCCTTGACGATCCCGTGAACGGCAAAGAACAGCGAGACGCCTAGATTATGTCAGTGACTGTAGCATACACAAAGATTCAGAGCATTACCTAGACAAAGCCATAGCAAATTATCACTCATGCGATCCGCCATGGTTCACTTTGAATCTGCTATATCAAAGGTGTGCTGGGGACAAAGACAGTCGATCTACGAGCCGTGTCGGTAACTAGACCAAATGGAAGCGAGCGGGGAAAGTGTTACTGCCGGCAAAACAGTGCCAAGAGTGGCGGTGAGGCATCTTTTTTTCCCGGGCGAATTTCCTATCGCCGCCGGCCTGCCCAAAAATTTCGGTGGAGTTTCCCAACTCCGAACAGAGAGCGGGTTCAACAATTTTCTCTCATACCCTCTAAGATGCCACCATCGCAGCTGAAGCAGCTCAAGGCCTCTCTCCGAGATGGCGGGCTGCTGGGTCCTCAGCAATCCAAGAAGCAAAAGCAGCAGAATGCGAGATCCGGTGTCGCTGCGCAGAACCGCATCCAGCGCAACACCGCCCTGCAATCCATTCGCGACCGGTTCAATCCGTTCGAAATCAAGACTACTTCGCGACCCAAATTTGACGTGACCACTCGCGATGTGTCCAAGAAGACGTCCGGTCAAGCAAGACCTGGCGTGACCAAGTCTTATGGTGAAGAGAAGGTGGGTCCGACCTCGCTACCTGCAGAGTCCCAAGATTGGCGCTGATGCTAAAATCTGAGTTCTTATAGAGGCGTCAAACCCTGCTCCAGGAGATGAACAGGCGAAACAAGGTTGGAGGTATTCTCGATCGTCGTTTCGGTGAGGACGACCCGACGATGACGCCGGAGGAGAGAGCGGCCGAGCGTTTTGCTAGACAAAGCCAGAAGAAGCTGAGGAAGGAATCGATGTTCAATCTTGAGGATGATGACGAGGAATTTCAGCTTACCCACAAAGGAGAGACTCTTTCTTTCGGAGAAGGTTTCAATTTGGATGATTTCCAGGAGGGCGACCTTGGGGCGGAGGAAGAAGACGATGATTCAGAATTCCCCAGAAAGAGAAAGCGGGTGCTGGAAGATGACGATGTTGATTTGGCGGACATGACGTTCGATGACGACGCAGGAGAAGAACAGCCGGAGCGAAAGAAGTCAAAAAATGAGGTTATGAAGGAAGTTATTGCCAAGTCAAAGTTCTACAAGCTCGAGCGACAGAAGGCCAAGGAAGATGACGATGACCTCAGAGAAGAGCTTGACAAAGGTCTTCCGGATCTCTTTGACTTGTTGAGAGGCGTCAAGGCTCCACCCAAACCAGAGCCTCCCAAGGATGACCTCGCAACAATGAACCCCGAGCGGGCGGCGCTATTGCAAGGCAAAACTCCTGATGATACCGAGAAGGAGTACGACCAGCGTCTGAAGCAATTGACCTTTGACAAGCGTTCCGCACCAACGGACCGTACAAAGACTGCGGAGGAAAAGGCTGAAGAGGAGGCTCAGCGCTTGAAGACTCTAGAAGAAGAGCGACTTCGACGCATGCGTGGCGAAGAACTGACCGATTCTGAAGCCGAGGTGGAGGAATATGATGAGCACGATGAAGAGGATGGCGAGGAATCGGATGAGGAATCGGTTTTTGACGATGCGAAGGCTTTTGGATTGCAACAGCCTGCTGAGACGAGCACCCGTCCTGAGCTTGGGGTCGAAGATGAAGATGATTTTATTATCGATGACGATCTTGTGGAGACGAGGTCTGATGTGAGTCTGTCGTTTGACGAGGACGAGGACATGCAGTCGGGAGAAGGCTCAGAGGTAGAAGAGGACGAAGATGAGCCCGATGACGAGCTTATCAACGGATTATCGATTCCTGAATTCGAGTCTGGAGATGCTGCAGCTGCGACCAACGGCGCGGACGAGGTCAACGATGGATTGGCTTTCACATATCCATGCCCCGGTAGCCATGAAGAATTTATCGAGATCATCAAAGATGTTCCGATGCAAGATCTTCCAACTGTCGTTCAAAGGATTCGAGCCCTGCATCACCCCCGTCTTCACAGCGATAATAAGACCAAACTTGGCCGCTTTGTTGGCATTCTCCTCCAACACGTCGCATACATGGCTGAGCAGTCGGATCATCCTCCGTTTTCAGTCCTGGAGAACACACTTCGTCATATTCACTCCATGGCCAAGAGCCACCCTGAGAGCGTTTGTCAGGCATATAGAACCCACTTGCGCGAGATTGCGAATGATCGTCCCCTCAACCTCCGCCCTGGGGACTTGGTCATCCTAACCGGCATCGCGACGACTTTTCCTACCTCTGACCATTTTCATGCTATCGCAACGCCCGCCCATCTTTGTATTGCCAGGTACTTGAGCCAAGGTTCTGTCAATACTCTTACAGACTTCGCAACTGGCGCCTACGCAGCCAGCCTCTGCCTGCAATACCAATCCATATCCAAGCGCTACATGCCTGAATTCGTCAATTATTCCTTGAACATCCTTTCCCATCTCAGTCCTAGGGAGCTCCCGGACGCATCTGCCTTGGGATTCTTCCCCTCACGGAGTCCATTCGCGTCTCTTCGACTGAATCTTGCTTCCAAGCCCATCCCTTCCCGCAGACTTCGATTCTGGGATATGACTGACGCGCCTGAAGAAGAGGAGCAACTCAAAATCTCCATCATCACCACTATAGTGAACCTACTTTCTGTTGCTTCCGACCTCTGGTCTGGCAAATCCGCCTATACCGAGATTTTCGCCCCAGTGAAGGAAGTCCTTGCACATTTCATCCAAGCTCTTGAAACCAGCTCCACGTCTACGAAGGGCAAGAACAAGTCCAGCAAGAGTCCCGTCGACCCCATTGTACTCGGTACTTTCAAAGCGACCCTCGATAAAATCATCGCGCAACTTTCCCAAGCCCGGCATTCCCGTCGACCCCTGCTACTTCACAATCATCGTCCTCTCGCCATCAAGACTGCCATCCCCAAATTTGAGGAGTCCTTCAACCCCGACAAGCACTACGATCCCGACCGCGAGCGTGCCGAGGCCAACCGTCTCAAGGCGGAATACAAGCGTGAGCGCAAGGGTGCCATGCGTGAACTCCGCAAGGATGCCAATTTCATCGCACGCGAGAAGCTGCGCGAGAAGAAGGAACGCGATGCTGAGTACGAGCGTAAATACAAGCGGCTTGTGGCTGAGGTGCAGAATGAGGAGGGCAGGGAGGCGAATGCTTACGAGAGGGTCAAGAGGATGCGGCAGGGCAAGCGGTAATCAAGGCGATCATCAATTCATTTTTCTTCCCACGTCATATCGTGGCTGCCTCTTTCGCTTGGCTGGTCCCGTCTTCAAACTGGCTGTTGCAAGCGGTTTGGGCGTACGTGGATGGAAGAATAGCTTTGGGGCTCTTGGGTCTTGGGCTTCTGCATCTCGTATAATCTTTTGCAGTATGCTTTGGCACTTGCATGTATATATCCACCTTGTTCTATATCTACTAGGTTTTCTCGACGGAGTTGGGCCAATACAAAAGACTTATTCATCTTCCTGAACCCAAGAAAGGCCCCTAATAAATTTATTCAAGTCCTCACATGTGGCTTTGACAGCTTAGGGGCAAGGGGAATTTATAGACATGCGGGAAGGGGGCTACTAAGTAACAATGCTCAGAGAATTGACCAAGTATGACTGTTGATAACAACTCATTGCTGCAAAGCAATCCCAATGCTGATCAGGTAGTCGCATCTTGCCCTCTGATTCAATGGCACTGTTTCCATTTTGGTATCACCAGTCCTAATAAAAAGCCGGCGGAAGCTGTCACCGTCACCACTCCAGGTCTTCCATTCAGGGCTATCAGGGTACCGATGAGGATTTGGATCGAAACTTTTGATAAAGCTTGTCCAGTAAGCCTGCATTATCGGAATGATAGGTGCGTTCGAAGTGAAGTACGAAGGCGGGGGTGTTCCAGTCACATACTGCGGGCCCCAGATGGCATTCAATTCCACCACGTGATATACACCCTCGCCGGAGGCTTCAGAGCTCGGGTCTTGGACTGCATAGTGGTAGTTCCAGCTCTTCATCCCTGCGTTGGAGAACGCCGTGGACATGGCAATACCGGGACAGTTGTAGCGTAGCTCGCCGTATGCGTTGCTGGTCGGCCGCCAGTATAGGCCGGCATCAGGAAAAGACATAGTCTGGTTTTGATTGAGATATAAGCGGTTAATCCTGGCGAGTTGATCTAGTTGGATCGCTGGAAATTGGCTCTGTATGAAAGTATCGGCTTCGCCCACACTTGAGATACTCTTGGGGACAAACGTTGTGCCTTCATTTGTCACGTCACCAAAAATGACAGGGACCTTGATGAACTGCCCTTGAGAAAACAACCGATAGGTGTAATCAAGAATCAGCTCTCCATCGATAGTAGGCGCATAAAAATAGAGAGGCGGCTTCTGTGCGTCAGGAAGCGGGGTGCCAATGTTTTGTCGCTGTAAAGTGGCTGTGTCCAAATTGCGCAGGCATGATAGGGTATCGTCCTCGCTTGCACAACCAGTGCGAATCACGAGATTGTTATATGCAAACTGGGATTCATTGATAGTTAGCATAGTGGCGAAGCTTTGCGACTCCGCGGCAGCAGCATGGAAAAGACCTAAATCTTCTCCGCCATAGGCCGAGAGAAGAAGAGTGATTGAGGCTGCTCCCGCGCTGTCACCTCCAATGACCACATGTTTAGGGTCACCGCCAAACTGGAGCGGCGAAGGTCAGTCCAAAATCATACCCATCGCGGAGGAAACTATCCTACTTTGCTTATGTGAGTTTGGACCCACTGCAGAACCTTGAGCTGATCCTTAAGCCCATTGTTCACACTCCCGCCCTTCAGCACTTCAGACCCTGACAAAAATCCAAAGGGACCGACTCGATAGTTGAAATTAACCACCACGATACCAGTCTTGGACGCCTGAATTAGTCCGGTTCCGTTGAAGTTGGCGTTTGAGTCTGCATTGAAGCCTCCTCCCTGGATAAAAACAAAGACGGGCAGCTTCGATGCATTCCTTGCTCGAATTGGAGCGTACACATCGAGGAATAAACAGTCCTCAGATGTCCCAGCAGGGATGGGGTACTGGTCGGTAGGTATACACAAGCAACCATGCTAAAGCGGAAATGTCAGCGTCCACTCAAGAGTAGCAACTGTTTACGACAGCGTCCAGGGAAGGCATCATAACAATACCTGGAAAGCAGTCTGAACTCCTTCCTTCCTCTCCGGATCCTGAGGCGCGGCAAATCGTAACGATCCCACGGGAGGAGCAGCATAGCGTATGCCCAACCACTGCACAATTCCATTGGAAAGTTCTTGGCCTCGGTATTGCGAGTAGCCCAGATTGACCGTCACATTTTGAAAGCATTCCACATACTTTGCAAGGCAGATGACCAGTATTTGGAAAGGACGTCTCATGATGATGATAATGATGTCAAGCAGCAGCCATGAATGGCTTGCTGCAGATCCCAGGTCTGCTTACGCTATGCTTCCATGCTGTGCGAGCAGAGCACCCCTTTTGAATGACATATGAGCCCGAGTCGAGACCCTTGAAGATATGTTTCGAGGGATGCGATGAATCTGCCCCCTTTCCAAGAGGGCTCTCCTTGCATCATCACATGATGGATGTGAGCCGTCATCCCAGGCTTCTCGGCAATGATCGACGCAGAGAATAGTATGCTGCGGTATTCGAAGATCCAATTGAAGCCTGCCAGCGAAGAAGGGCGGTCTAAGCAGTCAACTCTGGCCATACTCCGTACTTGTACATTATTTGAGTGACGGGATGACTGTGCTGGTTGTTTAGATAAAGGTGGGGAGAGAGATGTGGCGGAGACCCGAATAGGAAGCAAGACCAGACCGGGCGGGCGGCTTGAGGGAAAATTCCGCCCCTCCGCACCTGCTCAACTGCTTCCCCGCAGCGATCTTCCCTGCTTGTTCCATCTTCCCCATCCTCCTCCTTTTCCTCTATCAATCCGGCTGATTCGCTCTGAATGTGTGTTTGTTACTCCATCTGACGTGGTTAGCGTCTTTCTAGTCAACCGAGGCGTGATCTCGAATCGGACGTTTTTGATTTAACGACACCTAGTCCGTAGTTCTGGCCCCGATCCTGTCCTGTCGCCGGGAGTTGGCCCTCCCCCGCACGCGCAATGCTTGAGCCAGACGGAGAAGAAGATGATTACATGTCCATGGTGATTGAGGAACCACAGCAAAAGGAAACCTTTACACAAAAGAAGCGTCGACAACAACGTGAAGTGAGTCTGGAGTTCAGATTCGAAATTTACCCCGACTAGATGATGCCAGAGGTACTGACAAGTCCTTACCGGATTAGGCTGAAGCGCGCGCCAAAGTACCTTCGAAAGCCGAACGCGCCGCAGACGAGGCAGCCCGTCGCGATGCAGCCCTTGCTACTAGTGCACTGAATCCTTCTAATAAAGGCTTCCAGATGATGGCCAAATTGGGCTTCAAACCTGGACAGAGCTTAGGAAAGCCTGTATCGTCCCAGAAAACGGATTTGGATGATCCCAAGATTGGACTCCAAACTGAGCCCCTTAATCTAGTGATCAAAGAGGATAGAGGCGGAATTGGGCTAGATAGTGAACGGAAGCGCAAATTCCTTGAAGAAGCTGGGCATATTGCCAAGAAAGTGAAAGAGGATGAGGGTGAATATCGCGATCGGGTACGGCTTGAGCGGGAGACGCGCCGGATAGAGGCGCAGGTGCATGCTGCGCAAAAGGTTGCTGAGCGTTTGGATGTCGAGACGGAGACAGCTGAGGAGTCTCCCTCCAGCGCAACAAAAGGGATGTCGCCCAGCACACAGACTGTTGATGGGGAAAGGGATGGATCACCGTGGGATGACACGCTCAACCAGCCTGTAACAAGAAAATCCAAGATTAGAGTCAAGCCCACTACTCAGATCAATGTTCTCTATCGCGGGCTGATTCGTGAACGTGAGGAAAAAGAACGCGATCTTCAGGCGCGTCATATGCTTCAGACATCACTCCCATCGTCATTTTTCCCCAACCCACGCTTACCGGGCCACAATGATTCGACACTGGATCGAGACGAGGAAGCCGTCGGGGGGCAACGAGAACTATCAATGGTTCTCGAACAAGAACTTGAAGAAGAGGATCCCGAGCTGGATGATTTCAATGCGCTCAGTCCAAGCGAACAGCTGTCTCGACTAGTACACTATTTACGCGACCAACATCACTACTGTTTCTGGTGCAAGTATCGATACGAAAATGCCAAAATGGAAGGATGTCCCGGAGTGATAGAAGAGGACCACGATTAATGACAGAGAACTAAGCTATACATAAAGGATATATCAATGTCCTTGCCCTGTACTTGGTGGTTAAGCATTATAATTATTCATTGGATCGTATCCGTCGATTTAGAATTGGCCCGTCATGCCTGACTTATAGTTTAACAAGCGATGCACTCGTAAAAAGCCCAAATCATCATGATTAGGACCAACCTTATCCATATCACGCGCAACAGAAAATAGCAACTGGAGGGGAATCTTGTTTCATGCGAATGCATAAATGGAAGAGAAATGAGACACGGTCGAGGTATATAGAGAGAAGACAACAGATATTCAGGAGAGGGCCGAGGATAAGAACGACGTGTTCGATCGACCATACTCTTTCCTTAATCGTAAGCGGAGCAAAGAGCTGCCATGCAAACGTCGTTGGGATCATGATTGAGATGCGGGAAGGGATCTCATCAGTTGCGCCAATGAGCGGTTAGGGCATTTCTGCAAGGCCTGGTAGCAGCCTCCACAAATGCGCAAACAGCAGAAGACACACCTATGCCGTACTTCGTGATCAAATTTCTGGCATGTCATACATGGCAGCGCATACCAGGCATTGTTGGCCGGAGGCATTGACCGGTGGTCTTGGTAGCAAGCATAGTGTAGCTTATTCAATGGCGCAGCTACCGGCTCGTAGTCTGCAGGCGTCCACGGACCCCTATCCTCTTCACTGGACGCAGAATCGACAGGAGCCTCGGATTCACGGTCGGCTTCAGGAAGGCAATTGCCTCCTACGCTGGTGTGTTTGGGGTCCGATTCTAAGTCTTCTTCGCTAGACGGCGGGGTGGGTTGCGGCGCGATAGGCGGCCGGTAAGCCCGAAACACTGGAGGTTCCGGGAGAGGACCATCCGGTGGGCTATAAGGCGGGCGCTGGCTGTGGCCATTGATTAGAGATGCTGGGGCAGCAGAGGTTTGCACAGAAGGAGGAGCAGAGAATTCGTCGACCTCTTGCTCTTGCGATCGGAATAGCGGAGGTGCCGGGATGGAATCGGATCGTGGGGGAGTCGGCTGAATGGGGTCGGATTCCTTGGTAGGTAAAGAATCAGAGGTCTTCTGCCTGAAGCCTTTTTTGGCAAATGACGGCACTCGCAGGCCGCGGGATCGGTTTTCTTTGTCAAGAATAGCCATAGTGCCTCGTTGGCGCAAACTGATTGTAGTAGCAATGCAATAGATCGAGGACGACGACAGAAAAAAAAAAGAATGCGGACCGAAGAAGGTTTTAAATGCCTTGGGAGATAAATACGGGGTATGATGTATGATCGGGGTCTTTGTCGGACAAACAAAAACAAGAGATTAAGATAAGTAGATAGATCGGGGAAATAAATCAAAGAGAATATAGAAAAATAGAGAGAGAAAGAAAGAGAGAGAGAGAGAGAGAGATAGAGGGGAGGAGGAAAGAAAAGGAGGGGGGCAGAAGGAGAGTGGGACCTCTTTTTTCCCTTTCTTTTTTCCCTCTTCTTGTTTAGTTATTCGAATGATTGTCATATCTCGAACAGACTACTGGTAGTAAATAGCAATTGACCAATGCGATGGAGACCAAAGCAAAAGTGGATTGAATCCGGATTTTAAGCCAGGAACGCGCAAGATCGGAAGGTAAGTGAGTTCGTAACAGGGAAAAACAACAGAGCTGAACCACGGATCCACCGAGTCCTCAGTCCTGACAGACAGAATCCAAGGCAGACAGACTGGCAGAGAGATGATGACAGGCTCTTCATGCGTGCATAGCTGTTATCGTGTCAGTTCGTCGCAAGGACTAGTGGATGATAGCGTCATTTCGACCCCTTTGGGTGAACTGGGTCATTCCAGCCATCAATAAGAATTCGCGCACCCTCTGCTTGTCTTGAAGAGTCATACTATAAATTGATAAGTACAGTATAACTATACTTGTAAGTGTACACAGAGTCACAGGATGACAGTCTGAGATTAAATTGCAGTGTCGATCAGCCACTGTTAGTCTAGATGCCCTACCCCTGTTTTATACTACTACTCGTAGTCTGAGACTCGGGAAGAAGAACAAGACCAGGATCCGTGCCCTGATTCGATGGCACTAGAACAAATGAAGCTCAGGAATGGATGGTGGACCCTGATCTGGCGGCAGGCGTGCGCGCGCCCAACCTGTCGTTGAGTCGAGGGTTCAAGGTAAATTGCAGCAAGGCGACACTCACTAAAAAAGTAAATACTAAGTAAATACAACCAGTTAACTATAGTTAGGTAGTTACACTGTACTGTACCTCCATGATCTTACAGAGTACACTTCTTCCCTGCCGAGACAAAGTTCCCGATACGAGTCAAGGGACTCAATCGAAACACGTGGGAATGCCCCGACTTATGGATAGACTGATGTACCTGCCTGTCAATTGGTAGGTCACTTGTCACCCGAATACATTACGGAGTACTACAAAGTAAGTACGGAGAATCATGGATAACTACGGAGTATTACTACATACAACTTCTGTCTGTGACCGTGGTGGTGTCGAATGATTGAACAATATGTACTCCGTACGTCCCAATTAATTTTCCGGTGGAGCCTTCATTGCATGGGCTGAAACGAGTTCAAGATCCCGAGACTATTACAGGATCGCCCTCCACTTCCATTTTTACTTCGAAGTACACACCCTTCAGCTCAGATCACCAGCCATGGAACTCGGATGACATTCGCATCAAGTACAGTAAAATTAAGTGAACTTGAGTATTTCAAACTGGTATTACATCCGTCCACCTTCAAGCTGGAGGCGCCTTTTCCCTCCTTCAAAGAGCCCGCATAAGCATCGGTAAAAGCAAATTATCGGCAAGCGGGAGTCAATCTATGCGATTGGGGAAGGGAAGGTTGAGGGGAAACCCACAATAGAAGACGGGTGCCGATTCTATGCAAAGGTACCAGGTACCTTACTACAGGCACCTATATAGAAAGAGGACAGGGGGCCAATTACAAAAGAGAAGATTCAAGCCAACCATGCGCATACTAAACAAGCAGTACTCCGTCAGGTGCAGCAGTAACAGCAAAAACAATAAGAGCGTATCGCCAGCATTCGTTCGCCCACTCCAAACAAGCCTCTCGCGCGAGTGTAGGCATCACCGTATACTATCCCCAACCGGAGATGAGCGCAGGTTCGAAGCAGAAGCAGTGGGCAACAGATTTAGCATCAAACAAATTCCATCCTGCAAGATATGTTGGACTAGGAGGCAGTTTCTGCATCTCTGGTATTTCCTGTAATCTCAACTGAGCGAGATTCCAACTCTTTTGGGATAAACCCTTCGTCCCTAGACATCTCTAGAAGGGCAGGAGCCGGTTCGGCCATCGTTTGACCGGTTTTCACTACTTCATCGTTGGCTACAGCAGAGTGTGCGGTCGATGCTGCGCTCGGCGCATCGGGTTTTGAGTATGTATCCTCCACGTGCTCCAGTCCTTCAGCGCCTTTGTCTTCATCTCCAATCACTGCAGCCAGGCTGCGGAAATTGAACAGAGGCTCCGCGGAAGAGCTCGCACCATCGGCGGACGTATGGAGACCAGTGTGGCCCTCGTTCATCGATTCTACGAGAGATGAGAACGAGGAGGATGCACTAGAGACATGACGTAAGTGTGATGGTCGGGCGAGCGACGGGGTTGGCACAGGTAGAGCATGGTCAGCCAGCGTTTTGGACACAGAAGGTGAGGTCAATGCGCCTTCGAGGCTAGAAACAGCATCGGTAGCGACCGCAACTTGTCCAGGTGGCGCACGATCTACTTCCTTGCCCTTGCTGATAGAAGGAGCATCTTCGCCAGTGACCGAGGAAGAGCTGCTGATGACTCTGCCTAAGCTGGAATCACCAAGCACATCCAGGGCGGGATTGCTGGCATTGTCACTTGATAGACCTGTCCTGCGAGCAACCTTCTCCGCCTTTTTGGCTTCTTTCTCTTTTCTTTTCGCTTCCTTCCTTGCCTCCTTTTCCTCCTTCTTGCGCCGCTCCTCTTCACTGGCTAAACTCAGCCGAATGGCCTCCATCATCATCATCTCTTCTAAGTCGTCGATACGATTCCTTCTTGATCGGCTGCGTGGCGGAGCCAAGCTATTTGAGGCATCTTCCACGGTATCAGTTTCTTGGCCGGCGGAACGGCGGTCTGTCAAGAAGGCAAGGGCTTGCAGCGCAGGTGAGCCAGTCCGCGAAGAAGTATTCTGACTCTCCGACCCCCCATTCCGTCGCATGACGCTCCTTCTACCAAGACCAAAATTTCGGGAATCGCTACCAGAACCGTTGTTGTGCATGAGATATGCTGCAGTATGGAGCGCGGTTGCTGCGGCGGATCGTCGGGCAGCATGTGCCCGGGCGTTTGCTAGCTTCTGTGCCCAATCAGGTCGTACCCTGTCAGTTGTAATTACCGTTGGGTCATTGGCAGATAATGACGTCGCGCGACGACGGCCAGTCACAGGGCTCGTGCTAGAAGACAGAGATGAGCTAGAGGATAACGGAGAGATAATATTTGATCGTGCACCAATGTCGCTTGCGTAAGCCAGCCCCCGGCGAAATGGTGGGGGTGCATAGGTAACTCCAAATTCGGGCTGGACGCAAAACGGACATGCCGCCGGCTCCGATACCAGTTGACCATCCTCGTTCTCCGCGCGCTCACCATCAGTCGCCGGCTGCGCATTTGAATCGGCCTCGCCATGCTCCGGGGGGTGGGGATCAGGTCGTTTGATCTGCACGAAGCACTCAGAACAAATCGGTTGGTCGCAACACCTTGTCCGGTTGAGATAAGGTGGATAATACAAGAAGCAAATCGGACATTCGGTAGCGGCTTTGTACAAATATGCCTCGATTGGTTGTCCATTGACGAATGGGTCATGGGAGAGTTGGATTTCTCGAGACGTTGTGTCAGATTGGATGCCATGCTTGGAGGTGGAGAGGGAAGCAAGTGTCTTTGCGCGAGTTCGAAACACAGGTGAGCTGGAAATGCCGGATGCAATAGGAGATGCCGGTGAAGGGAGTGAGTGGACTGGTGTAGAAGACTGAGAGGCATCCGAGCCGTATGAGTGAGACCTGGAAGTGATAGGAACCATCAAGTGTTGGACCAGGTTTGTGTCTACCGCCTCCCGGGCATCTTCCCCAGATTTGGGCGGATTTTTGTATTCCAGCTCCGGGGGGATCTCATCGGGAGGGGGTATTGGCATGCCACGCGCTGCTGCCATTAGCTGATGTTCTGTCCATGAATCTGAGAAGTCGTTGAGGCCTCTCCAAAATGGTGCAAGTCGTCGTTCCACCTACACACGCTTGAGTCAGATCCGAAAATATTAGCCGAGTCAAGATAAATGTAAGCTTACCATCAATTGGCGCACGACAACCTTGTTGAAATCTTCTGTTCCAGTGTATACACCTTGCGTTACCAGGTAACCGCCATCAACATGCTCTTCTTTCATACTACGCTCTCGTTCTTTGATGCGAGCTTGTCGTTCCTTCTCGAGCCGACGAGCTTCTCTTTCCTGTCTAGTTTCTCGCCGATGCTCAAGTGATGCCACATCTCGTTCTGAATGTGTATTGATACCGAGGATAGATAAATCTGGTCTGCTGCCTCGAGTCGACCGAGAGCCCTCCGCGTGGTGGCGATCACCATACGGACCATGATGATGGCTCCTGCGGCCTGGCGCAGCAAGAGAGGGTCTGCTTTCTTTCGTCTGCGAATTACCCATCTCTAACAGGAATTCGAAATCTAACAGCAGAGTAATTGGATACCAACGGGCAGGAGGTGAGAGCCCGGTTGGAGATTCCCGGATTGGCAAGCGGAGAGATGGCGAATTCCCCCGGCCGGCACTACCGACGGAAGAGGAGGTTTGAAAACAGTTCAGATGATGCGCAATAATGGGAATGGTTTTTTAGCCGCGCGACGCTAGTCGACACAAAGAGAAGACAGGTTAAAGCATAGGTTAGAATATTGTCAGTTGGTTTGAAAAGAATGAAGACGACATGCGGAGGAACCCGACGTGGCCATGTGCGCGGACGAGGATGAAGCTGGAAGCGGCGATGAGATCAGAAGCGCGGGCTCGAACTAACTAACCGCGGGACCATAGATAGCCTGGGGCTGAATAAAGGGGAGGAGGCGAGGGGGGGGTGGGTTGGAGGGAAAATGGAGACGAAAATGGAGACTCAAAACAACATGAGAAAGCCACCTAGGCCTCAAAGAAACATGGATGATTTAGTCGTTGTCAAGGTAGGGGACTAACTTATGCAAGAAAGAAGGAACAGGAAATGGAGGAGGAGAGAAAAGAGACGACGGAGTGATGGATACTAGGTAGTTAATGAATGCAGTGTCAACTAGTTGATTGAGTTAGGTGACAGACAGCGAGGCCGAGGAGCGGATTAGATTACGCCGGAGAACGGATACGGTATGTTACGAGGTCTTTCTATTTGGGGGGTGGGGATTCTCTCTCTAGTTACTATGTGTTCGTAATCGATGACTTCACCAAATTGGGTTCAATACTGGTGGTCATTGTTCGGCCGGTTGAGTTCAGATTACACTTAGATACTACTAACACGTTACAGTATGGAAAACTGTGGCGGTGAGCATTGCAGTGACTGCTTCGGCTTACTGTTATCGTCTGCGGTGCATAAGTACAGAGTGAACGAGATGGAAGATTCCAACGATGGTCGATATCAGGTCTAGAGACAGGCACCAGAGGCTTGGATTGAACTGAATTGTGCTTTGACCCGATCATACTCCCGTACACATCGAAGTAAGTCAGCGCGAGGCACGAGTAGATTATACGTTGAATTACGGACTGCGCCACATGTCCTGCCTGTGCGGACCGGAAAATCCATTGTCCAGACTGCTGGCCCGCTATCAGTTTCGGCTTCCTTTATATTTTTTTTTTCTTGATGTGGCTGTAGTGAACTTATCTGGGCAGCTATTCTTTTGCAGATACTCACGACTTCCTGGCACATTTATCGACGCCTATATATCTATATTGATTGGTTACTGATAAGTCGTGATCCGGCCATTTCGACTTTTTGTCCTCCTAGAAAAGCAAGCCATCCAGATGCGCTTCTGATCTCTCTCCGCCACATCTCTTAACTCGCGATCTCATCCAGACGGGCTTGACGCCGCAAATGACGGACTCAGCGCCCGAGACCAAACGACTTCACATCACTCCTTTTAACCCAGAACTTCTCCCTTCCGTCCTGCCACCGACTATTCGGCTTCTAGCCACGGAGATCTCCTTCCATTGTGTTCCAACTTTTCCCGAGAACAATTACGGTTACGTGACGCTGCCGACGATGGAGGCGGAAAAGATCAAGAAGAAACTTAATGGCTCAATCTTAAAAGGTCGCAAATTCAAGGTGGACACGGCTCGTCCCTTAAAACGGCAACGGACTGATGATGAAACGGTCGACAAACCCGCTGCAAATCCTTCTTCGGATAAGAAGGCTAAGAAGCGAAGGGCAGCGGAAGAAATACTGGAAGGATTTGAAATTCCAGCTGATCGTAAGGTCAAGCGAGGCTGGACGGAGTCGGCAGACGCCAAGCAGGACAGGCGAAAGGAAGAGAAGAGGCATAAGAAGACGAAAGATGGGAAGAATGAGAAGTCGGCCAAAACACAGGCGAGATCCAAGTATACCGAGAAGGAAGAGTGCCTATTTCGTACCAAACTTCCCCTTAATCGGGTGCCTTCCGCTGACGAGAAGCAAGAGAAGCAGTCCAAGAAAAAACAAGCTGCGCATGAGACAATTGTCCATGAATTCTCTAAAACGGTCAAGCACCCCAGCTTTTTGCGGTCTGGACGTGATGATTCAGTGGACAGTATGACATTCGTTGATGGCAAGGGTTGGATGGATAGAACTGGAAATGTGAAAGAGCCTGTCAGTGATCGGATAAGGACAGACCAGTATAGACCAGGGTGCGTTCCAGGGGCCAAGGAGAAGCCACGATTTTTTGAAAAGAACATATCCTCAATTGCTCGCAAGCCCACGGCCGAAGACGTAAGCAACACGGATGAAGCAAGTTCGACTAACGAGTCAGAAGATTGGACTTCCTCCAGCGGTGCAAGCTCGTCCGAAGAAGATTCCTCGTCTGACGGGAATCCTGAAGAATCAGAGAGCGATGACTCTAGCTCATCCCGGTCTTCTGGTCAACCAGAAGAATCAAACTTCGATGAAGAGCAAGAGTCATTGTCAGGAAAGCAAGGGGGAACGAAAGCGACTGTGGCAGCGTCACACTCGCCAGATCATCAACGTCTTCCGTCATTTGAGAAGTATCAGGCAGCGCTCGGCCCAGAAGTCCATCCGTTAGAGGCTTTATTCAAAAGGCCCGCGCCTGACGCATGCAACGAAGACTCTAAATCGGAGGAGAGACCTCAGTTCAGCTTTTTTGGAGGACAAAACGACATTGACATGGAAGAAGAGACGGAAGGTCAATCCACCGCACCACTCACGCCTTTCACAAAGAGGGATTTACGGGATCGGGAGTTAAGAAGCGCGGCTCCAACACCTGATACGGGGGTAGTTGTTCGAACTATCGATTGGAATAAGCAGGGCCAACATCAATCTTTGAACATAGATGAAGATGAGTACGCGACCACTCCCATCTCAAAGGCTGCCTTCGGGTCCAAAGAGGACTCTGATTTCGTTAAATGGTTCTGGGAAAACCGAGGAGACAATAACCGTGCTTGGAAGAGGAGACGTCGCGAAGCTGCCAAAGAGCAGCGACAGCGTGAGAATCGGAGCAAGGGCATGAAAGGCAAATCTTAGAATTTTCGCACTTCAACTAGGTATTAATTGAGGTCTGACCCAATACTTCTCGTGGTGGTTGTTACGGGAAGGAATTGTATTTGTACCGTAACCATCTTTGTCACTTCGTGGCCAGAATTGCTCCTTAGTACTCCGTAGGTAAACCACAAATGAGAATCACAGGGCTTGCCGTCACGTGCTGCCAAGGAACCGCAGTGACAATCGGCGAAGTTGAGGTCAGCCAACTATCGACAAACAGCCATGGAGTCTGATACTATTACCAAAGATAGAAGGGCATCGTCGCTCCAGTTATCCTGAATAGCCGCATAATGCAGCGAGCTGGCAGAATGCGCGACCTTTTGTGTTTTTGCCTCGTTTTTATTGCCTGCGCATCAATCACAGTGGCTTCCTGTAAGCCTAGGCACGACTTGTTCCCTCCTGTCCAGCACAAATATGCTAATGAGATAACCGTTGGTCACAGCTCCTGCATCATTCTGCAAGTGTACCTGTTTTTCCAATAGCACTATAATCCCTCTTGACCCCGACAAACCCAATTCCGTGTCTACACAAGGCGGTGTCTTTCACCTTCGAAGTCGCGACGATGCCTCAACTTTATTGACTGGGCGAGCAAAGAATTACCGATCTCTGAGTTGTAATGACTGCAATCGGAAGTTCTGTTTGGATTATGACTTGCCCACCTGCAAAGGAGCAAAGGAGGAGGATGTCTTTACCACCTGTTTTCGTACGGATCACCTGGCTTCTGCATCCCTCCAAGACCGCGCTGATATATTTGAAACCGCGCAGAACGAGACTCTAGAAAAGATCAAGCCATTGTGTTCATATTCATCATTGCAACGGGTAGTCTTCTGGCCTGGGCAATTATGAAACCTTGGGTAGGGAAGTGGTTGGAGGTATGTGTTACAGTCTACCTGTTGAGTGCTTCATGGAGTCTGCTGATCCTGATAAGTATTGTAGATTGCAAGAGAGCGAAGATCATATTTACCTGTGTCGGGTAACGAAGGTCGCTAGCTGGCTCGGTGTCGCCCGCCTGCACCAGGTGATCGGGCGTTTCACATTGGGCGCCAAGCATGTTACCATAACATCCTACAAGGTTCGCGCCAACCGGATAGTCTCTCACTGTGACATAGGATAGCACACTACCTTGGGGATCGCTACGCAAAGTCTTCTTGGCTGATTGGCTGCGCTTTTGCTATCTAATTACCATTCACAGATGCTTCGACAGGAAGTCAAGTAGCAACGGCGCAAAAATGGAGCCTTGGCGCTTCTGCCCTCTCGTAAGTATACAGTCCACCTTAACTTTGTACCCTGAGTAGAATGAATCAGTGTCAATCACTAAGCTGGCATCGCCACCAGGCCTGGGCTTTTCTGGAGCTTACCAAAGCCACATTACCAGGACGTTCGCGGTATTGATTAGATCCTATGTAAATGTATGGCTCTAAACTCGACAGCGTGTAAAGCTCAGTACCTTGAAATAGCTTTTAGACACAAAAAAGGATGTATTTTCCAGGCTTCCTCGGTAGCTTGAAAGATACCATAAGCGATGCCATGCAGGCCATGTGGAATCCTCCCAACTCGAAACTGTGAGCGGTGAAAGTAGATATAGAACGGATGAAGCATCGGTCAAGAACTTTTGTTGAGCTTGAGCTAGGTAAGTAGGTAGGGTGTTGGGTGCAACATATCAATGCCTCGATCGTCCACTTCCAGGGTTGCACCGTCCAAAATAGGATGTGTGGTTGTCCGGGGATAGTATCGAGCAAAGATTATTGGTTGAACAAGATTTTGAGATGTGGGGCTGGTGGATTACCGCCCTAGCCGGCTACTACCGGTATACTTAATTCGATGTCAAGTGCCATGCGTGCCATGAAGTAAGTAAAATCTATAATACTTACTGAAGTACGAAATATTACTCGCAAAGCAGGGCAACAAGACATCATGGATGTCACAGAGTAAGTTCTTTCAAACACAATAGAAGGACAGGGACTCGAAGGGGGGTGCATTGCCACCTTCACGGCAAAATTTATTGACCCAGAAATGCTTATACAATTCATGTAAGTATCAGCAGCATAAACTGTCCTACAGGTCAGCATGACCTCAGACCTGCAGGCGGCACGGAAGTCGGGTTTTGGCTGCTGATCTTCCAGTAGTTATACCAGGGGCAACTATACTCCGAGCTATCTCTACATGACTAACCAGAATGAACAATAGATGGCGCTGTGCGGTTGAACTTGCTAATTGTGACAATTTAAAGGAAAGGTTATGGAGGGGTGAGAAATTTGATAACTGCTGTTCTGCCCAGCCCTCTGCTTGAAAAATTTGCACAAGATCTGAGTCTGGTTGGACAGATCAAGGTTGCCGGCAGACCGGGTAGTTCCATGGATGTAGGTGCTGTACGACAGTAAGCAAATCCCTGTTAACTAAGGCTGTAGGTATGCTCTGGAAACTTGCAGCCCTGTCCGTCTGTTCCATACTTGTACATCAGCTGGGTTCCACTTTTGCACCAAACTCGCCTCTTCACGTTCCTTTTTCTTCTTCTCCACCCTGCCTCTGTCCCTTCGCTCTCCCTCTTCGCTCTCCCTCCTCGCTCTCCTTTCCCCCTCTCTCCCTTCACGTTCTCTGTTCCTTTCCAACACACTCTTACTTGGAAACTCACGTTTCCTTCTGCATAAATCATTCAGAGACTTGCTCATCATTCTCGACTTTCGTGATACCCCTTCTACATCCACCCTGGGTTTTAAATTGGAAGTTCCACTATAGCATCAATACAGAAAACAACATCATCAGTGGAGGGTTGCATGCTTTAATCAGATATTCCGGCTCAGACCAACTTGACTCAGAACTGAAGAACAAGACAGACACACACAGACAAGAATCTTATCATACAACATCAAACGAACCACTTACTACTGGGATCCGTTGTCTCGCGGAGGGCCTGCCGTAAGAGTCTTGCTTGATACATCAGAAGATGGTATTGACACAGCAGAGAAGAACAACTCCCTCCAACGACAAATTTCCCACCACTCAACTTTTTCTTTTAGGTATGGAGTTGTTACTTAGAGACATTGACGCGGTTCCACTAACTTTATCACTTCTCAGCGATATGTCGCATCGCCGAGCCCATCGCCCTCACATCCATCTTCCCGTATTCATGGGTCATGGTTAGAGACTTCGACGTGGCCGATGAGAACAATGCATCATTTTATGCCGGCATTCTTGTATCTACCTTCTCACTATGTGAAGCTCTTACGGGCATGTTCTGGGGAAGCCTTTCGGACCGGGTTGGCCGCAAGCCCGTTCTCATTTCTGGTTGTTTCGGTACCATGGCATCCCTTCTCATGGTTGGATTTGCAACCAATTTCTGGGTTGCTTTATTTGGTCGAGCTCTAGGCGGCATACTCAACGGTAATATTGGAGTCATCCAGACTATGGTCGGCGAGTTGGTCACGAATCCTGAACACGAACGTAAGCACTTATTGATGAGCTTATACTCATGTGTCGAGACTGTTACTGATGATCCTCTTGAAGCGCGAGCCTATGCTATAATGCCATTCTTCTGGTCGATTGGAACTATAATCGGTCCAGGTAAGTACAACTGTCGTCCACTGCTTCGAAGGAGAGCCTTAAGCTCATTATCTATTGCAGCTATCGGAGGATTACTTGCGAAGCCTGCCGAAGGTTATCCTTACCTTTTCTCTCAGATCGGTCTTTTTGGCAAGTTTCCTTTCCTGTTGCCCAACCTTGTCTGCTCTGCTCTACTTTTGTGCAGCATCATCTTCAGTTGGTTCCTTCTGAAAGAGACCCACCCCGATATGCATGTTCGAAGTGGTGCAGACAATATCGATAGCACGTCTGTCATACATCCTCTCCTGGCAACCTCAGGGTCAAGCACAACTGCGGGTGCTGATCTCCGAGCCGAATCTTATGGAACATTCAACCATGTGCACCTCCATGACGATCAGGATTGGCATGTGCGCTCTGATGGCTCTCTGTATATTAGTTCTCAACGAAAGGTGGTTTTCACCTGGCGAGTGATCATGCTTGTTGTCGCCTTGGCAATTTTCACCTACCACTCGATGACATACGACCATCTGCTACCTATCTTCCTGCAAGATAAGAGTGCTGTTGATGTCAATACAGTGGCTACCTCATTTCTTCGGTTTCCCGGTGGCGTCGGACTTTCGACTCAATCAGTTGGCTTGATCATGTCATGCGACGGCCTTATTGCCTTGTTCATTCAAAGCCTTGTATTCCCAGCTCTAGCTCATTGTTTGGGGGTGTGGCGATTATTCATCTTTGTCACCATCATGCATCCTCTTGCTTATTTCATGGTTCCCTTTTTGCTCTATGTTCCTCGCCATTTCATTTTCACGGGCATTTTTTCGTGTTTGATTGTGCGAAACGTTCTATCGATCATCGATTATCCTGTCCTTCTGATCCTCATCAAGCAAGCTAGTCCTTCAGATTCAGTCTTGGGCAAGATCAACGGGCTTGCGGCCTCTGCGGGTGCTCTTTCGCGCACCATGGCTCCGCCAATTGCCGGATTTCTTTACAGCACCGGGATCAAGATGGAGTGCACGGCCCTTGCATGGTGGGGAAGTACTCTCGTTGCCATTATTGGGGCTGTGCAGCTGTCTCTTATCCGACAAAAGAAGCACGGCTCTGTCGTAGTGCAGCCTGCGGCCCATTGTCGTTACGCACCAGATGCAAACTCGTGGAAACAGGAATCGGTTCATATTATTGTGACTGAAGCTGAAGACAGCATTGACCATGAGACTCAGAGAAACCCGGCATGACGGAAGAAGTTCACAATGAGGCTTAGTCTATGTCAGTTTACTGTTCCTTAGCATAGACTAGCTTGTTCTGTGTCATTCCCTGTTCAATTTGTGGCACTTAGCAGACTCTACCATACATTGAAGTACACAATACACAGATGGAAAAGCTGGGCAGTCTGTTCTCGCGTGATTGAAACTTGGCTCGATGTTATTAAGTGAACATGTACGTAGGGCTTTCCAGTCATACTAGCAGGGTGTCCGTTACAGCTTCCGCAATCATATTCTTGTGGCGCGAATAGTGAATAATTACCTATCTACGGATTCTGTAGTCGATCTATGTACTCCGTGAGCCCGTACGCACTGTGCAGTACGGAGTACACTGAAAACAAATGGACGAAGCGCTCAAAGTATTAATAGACCTAGTCAGAAGGCGGTGAGATATGATCCATGATCTGCCATCCCACACCGCCGCATGTACTTGGTGCTAGCTTCGTTTAGGACTAGTTTTGTTTATCGCTTATCCTGGCAACAGAGGGAAAATCATAATAAACGCCCACCTGACACTGATCCAGAACGTCAACACCAACCCCATTGCGTGTATGCACTGAACCAGGGATTGCTTGTTTACCTTATCGTTGCGGGTGCCGTAGTGCCTCCTGCAAACAACCAACAGAACATACTATCCATTACTTCTAATTGACCATTCCCACCTGGTGCCATGTCCACCCCCCTATCGCCGCTGACGTCCTCGCGCCAGAACTCTCGCGTCCTCTCCTCGCTATCTGATGATGCATTAGAGGGTAAAGGTGCGGCGACGGGCTTGGACATCAATGAGGGACAGGAAAACATCTTCTCAAGCCCTTCCGAGCCGCGTGACGAAGTCTCGATACCACTTCAAGCCGATGAAGGTCAGGACATCGGCCATGGACCACCAGATTCTAGGGATGATAACGCAGATTCAGAGTTCTTTCAGGTTGCCCCTAGCTCACCATTCCAGATCGAGGGACGGGACGAAACAGTTGACTTTGCGAGATTACGCGCCATGAGCCGACAGCCATTAGAGAGCATTAAGGAGCATTCCTCAACGCCCAGAAAGCGCTCGTATGAGCAGGTTCCTGGCTGTCAGGAAACAGACTACGAGTTGGAGGAAAGGTATAAAAAGGTCGCCAGTCGGAGAGAAGCTTCGGGAATGGGCATACTTCCCGATGACAATGTTGAGCCTATTGGCCACCAGCAGAGCAGAGCAGATATGAAGGATGAAGAAATTGTCCATAGCGCGGCCGAGGATAAGAGCAGGGAGGGCCTGGCAGCTCCGCTTCATGAGACCGAACATAGTGACGATGAATTAGACCATGATGAACTTACCGACATACACGAAACCAACGACCCTATGAATGACGACTCTCATGACTCCATAGATGATACTCGACTCAGTACCTTCTCTGCTGTGCCAGATATGACCACTTTTGCCCAATTACGAAGTGACTCTCCATATAAACTAAAGCGATCCCTCCCAGAAAGCCCGGGACAGCATGATGAGTGTCAACGCCAAACCGCGGAACCGACTACACCTACGACTGCACGCAAATCGCCTGGGAAAACAGCGTTGGTAGAAGCGGGTACACCATCGCCCTTTATTACACCGAGAAAGCGAGAGCTCAAAGATACAGGCTCGACTCCCAATTTGCTCGATCTCGGTGACCAGCCTGGTTTCTTCTCGCGCGCACGGCATAACATACAAAATGAGCGATACTCGCCACTACGACGATCGCCTCTGAGGACTGCTCGAGAGGCAGTAAAGTCACCTGCCAAAGCTTCCCTGTTAGACTTCGACATACCCAGCATTCCAACTCCTCGATCGATCCCCACGATCACCCCGCGGGAGCTAGAGTCCTTGAAATCTGGCTTTCTTAGTGAGATTTCGTCTCTGAAAGCCACACTCAGCGGCAAAGAGGCGGAGGTTGCCAGTCTCAAAAGAGCAATTGCAGATGCGGAGCGGCGTGTCGGCGAGGCATTGGAAGAGGTCCGCAACGAATCAGCGCGCCGGGAAGCATTGGAAATTGAACAAGCCGAGTGGCATCAGAGAGGTCAAGACTTGGAAGCCGTCTTACGTGATGTGAAAGCTGAAATTGTCGAAGGCGAAAAGGAAAAGGGACGACTCGTCAAGAAAGTCGACGATGCCGAAAAAGCCAAGGAGCGACTGGAGGGAAAAGTAGTAAAGCTGCAAAGTCAATTGAGCGCTGCCCGCAAGTCTTTCTCGCAAGATGATTTACTACCTATGAGCTCCTCCGGGGTTAGAACAGCCGAGGAGACTGCGAAGGAAGTCCAAGACGCCGTCAAGAAAGTTGCACAAGAGCTTCACAGCGCTTACCAAAAGAAGCATGAGACAAAAGTTGCTGCATTGAAGAAGAGCTACGAGGCCCGTTGGGAGGAGAGAGTTCGTGAGGCCGAGAAAAAGTTGAAGGCTGCCATTGAAGAGAATGAACATCTGAAGAAAGAGCGGGCTACCGTCCATTTGAATGCTCCACGCGACGATCCAAGTCTCAGTTCCGATGAGAAGGAAGAGACCGGGGCAGAAAAACGTGAACTCGAGGCAAGAGTCAGGGACCTACAGCAGGATGTGGTTATTCTCAGGGAAGAAACCGAACGGTTGCATGCTGAGCTGAAGATCGAACGAGCGGAAAAGGGAGAGCTTGTTGCTGCTGTTGATGAGTGGTTGTCCATTCAACCAAATCAATTAAGCGAACCAAGCCTCCCCCAGTCTCCCCATGCACAGATACATCAGCCGCCGGAGCCGTTGCCAACCACAATTGAATTGACAAACGAGAGTGTTCAGCGGAGTGTGAGCCAAGGTAGTTCCACCAGCGGCATCCGTCCTCCCAGCGCAGGGGTTGTCCATGAGCGAGAAAGGAAAATTCCAAAGATCGGCGTGCCAGTCAATCGACCAGGTCGCGGAAATAGCAGTAGTAAATCGGGGATTGCAGTTTTCACCCCTGGGCGCAGTGGTATCATGGGCTCGATCGAACGTATGGGCCGCGGCGGTGCCTAGGGATCCATCTTAATTCTCTTGCTTGTCTTTTCTTTTCTTTTCTTTACTTTTTGCATTGAGATATCCTAAGGAGGCGTTTTGTTCCACCATGACATTCAGGACCTATGTGGTATGAGAAGGACGATAAGGTAGTTATGTAATGGTTGATGCAATGATGCGTTGTAGTGATATAAATCGGAATATCAAGATAGCTGGCGTAAGTTACTGCTGCTGCCGTTACTCTTCATGTACAGGCAATTGTCTCTTTAGTAACACGGACCCTTGAATTCCCGGAGCCGTGGCGTATCATGCAGGATATGACTTTGTCCTTGCCCTCGAAGGGCCCCCCTCCTTCCAGTGTCTCAAGTAGCAGGCAGTTGCGCGTATGAGCTGAGCCTAGCCGGCGACTTGGCGTTTTTTGCTACGGGCTGGGGAGATTGCGAACACGGATTGTTCAACTTAACTAACCAGTCATGGCCTTAGGTAGTAATATCATCATGACTAACAAACTACGGAGCACGTACGGAGTACAAATAGCGAGGCCAGGCCAGTAAATAACTTGGAACAGTATAACTATTGTCTGTGTAGGTACGGAGTACAGTAAGTATTAACAATCGCTCAACATAAATAATACCAGATCGTTTATTGGCAACCTCTCTCTTAGGCGTCCCACATCGGCGACCCGCCAGCCGTGTCTGTTTGGAGTCTTGACTGAGCGACGTGGGGAAACGGAACTAATTCTTCAACGAATATCCCTCGTGATCCCCGGAGTTGTCGACTTGCCCAATGGCCTTCTGACTCTCCGAGATGCCATTACATTGTAGCAAGGTCGCAAAGTGTGTCAGAGCTCAGACAGCAAATGCTTCTTAGGGACACTTTCTGTACTATATCAAGTAGAACGTGTTGGAAATGGCTGCAAGGGCACAACACGACAGTTACAACATTTCTGGAGCCAAGAGGATCAAAGCAAACCCCCTGGCTGGCACTGGGCCAGACTCCTGATCAAAATGTGGGGTAAGTTCCGCCCGCGGAATTTCGAGTTTCCTCCGATTATCGCCACTTACCAGACCGCTCGACCTTCCGTCTGTTCCGTCATGATCCGCTGGCCTCTGAACCTGCTTGTCAAAGGGCTGGTGAACGCAATTGATTTACCCATTCATTCCTGTTATATGAGATGGGGTGCCCTGCAGGTTATGTGCCGCTGGTCGGCACTATGACGCGTGACCTCGACCACACATGGGTCAAAATCTCGAAGCATCACGTGCGAGAGCTTGTTTCGTGGTCCCCAACAGGTTTCAAGGTTGCTCGTTTTCAAAAAGGTCATTACTCCGGAGTGTGTGGACCATGTTCGTGTAGCTCTCAAATCTCAAGCTGCCCCCCAAAATGTCTCGCTCGTCTCTTACAGGCTGGTTGTATATACTACTACAGAGTATATCATCATTAGTACTCGAGAATGCTTTCCTTCGGCCTGCGGGATCGGGTATAACTCAACATCAGGCAGCTGACGGGGTTGTGGGTGAAAATGGTGGGCCTTGCCGCTTCTTCCAGCTTCGGCCCTTTTAGTGCGGAGATCAGATAGACCATTTACATACTACGTATGTGATATGTATGAGTGCAGCCTAGACAGTACGGAGTAGTTCGCAGTCAATAAGCAGCTACAGTTCACGAAAGCAAGGAACAATCACAGCCATGATCGTTACGCTAAGCTGAAACAGTCCTCACTGAGCTGGATTGGCGCATGCTTCTTACTGGTTGTTGACTGTCTCTCGGTATAATGCTTCCCGCACTTAATCCCTCCCTAGGGACGCAAGAGTTCCATGACAGCTAAGAGTACTAGGTATATGTGCATATGATCCTGACACAGCACGAAGCCCCAGCAATGAATTGCCGTCATAGCAGCTGCGCGCCGAGATCCCTGGGCATCGTAGGCAAAGCTGAATTGGGATTTCCGTCCTTGTGCAACAGAAAATATAGGAATGCATGATTACGTTCCGAAATCCATTCCCCTAAGCAAGAAATAGGGCCGCTCGGCACTTTCTCACGGGTTTGGACCATCATGATGTTTAAAGCAAGCCGACGGAAGCGACCCCGAATCCATAAAACCAACCCAGAAGACCCATACAATTTTCCTTCACAGCCAGTAACCGGCCCGGAATCTTTTCCGACGCAGTATGACGCAGCTGCTTAAGAAGAAAGGTTTCGCTGACTGTTCATCCACATTGGGCAATTCTGAGCGACTTTTTTCACCACCGTCAATTCCGTATACTCCGATGGATGCACTCTCCGTCCGATCATGACTATGAGTTCAATCCATTCTTGGTTTTTGTGGCAGTCGGAACAAGTAACGTGACCGGGCCGATGGGGGTTAAGGGGGCCCCTTGATCGGAGAGAACGAGTTGGGAAAGCTTCGAATTCTGGAGCGGTTAAGCAGTTCAACAGCCACTCACCATTCCTTTCTCATCACTGACTTGGCCTCGTTTCGGATGGAAAAGGATGGGTGGATCCATAAAACGCAAGTTGAAGAAGGAAACCGGCTACAGCAGCTGGGGTCGGAGAGGAGCGAGAGGACCGCCCGCCTTTTCATTTCCCTTTTCATAATCTATTTGGGGGTGGTGTTTGTGGGCGGGGATTTCGGCGATTGGGTGACTGAGCGATTGGACAAGTGGAAAAGTGATGGATACTCCCATCCAAGTGGGGATAAATTTCACTCACTCTGGGGCATGCCGCTCCAGACTCGGAGGGAAGAGAAGAAGAGAGGGGTATACCCGGGTAAGACTAAGAGAAAGGCAAAGTGGGGAGGCAAAAAGGGGAATTTGTCGTCGAGAAATGCGGATGTCGGATGGATACGGCGCTCGTACAGTAAAGCAGCAGCAGCGACTGGCTTGTGATCAGTAAGACTTCTGATCTCCACCTCAAGTCACCCGATTTGCACTAGTCGACATTTTGTTCGACGCCCGATATCGAGTTGTTATTGGGGCCTGTTTCTGGTCTCCCTTCTTTTTTCTTTTTTTTGGGGGGGGCGGGGCGGGGGGCAAGCGTGACTTGCTGACTATTTCGTGGTTGACTAATTACCGGTGCCTACTCCGGAGTACACACTGGATTTTTGGGTGGTGCATCCACGGTTTTGGTCTGGGGGAGGCAAACCTCAGTACTCACTACTCCGTAGACTGGCAGTGCCGCAGTACTACTCCGTGACTACTAAAAAGTGGATCTGGGGCTCCCCCAACGCTAACCAAGTCCGAGTGTGGACTTTCCTCACCTCTGGCTGGATTGAAATGTCACTTTTTTGGGGGTGAGGCTTTTTCCTCTTCCCTCCCCCAATTTACCAATTCCCTATTTAAACATTATTCTCCCCGGGCCCCCGGGTCTTATCTCGACTTTCGTCCCTTTGGACGAAAGAAAATCAAAAAGATTTAAATCTGGTCCGGTGATCCTCATCCTCGATTTCCCCGGAATTCCATACCCACCCAGGATTTCACTTTATGTAACGCCCTTCTTCCTCTACATCTATCACAAGTGTCTTAAGAAGGCTCAATCAATTCAGAAAAAAAATTGACATCTCCACTCTTCCGTCATTGGTCCCTTGTTTCAGTCATTTTAACTGTTGGCACAACTATCATAATCCTTCCTTTTGACTGCTGTCGACATATTACCTGTGTTATTCACTCAGAAAAAAAGAACAACCTTCCAATTGCGGCCAACTATCTTATGGAATCCAAATTCTCAGTCCGTGCTTCTTCTTAACAATGAACAACTCCGCAGCATCACCATCATCGACATCCAATGCTCCCATGGAGATTGATCCCAAGAGCAAACGCAAGGCCTCTACAGCGGGCCTGCCTGCCAATTCTCGTCCTGTGAAACGGCGGGCTTCCAAGGCGTGCTGCTGTTGTCGGGCTCGTAAGGTGCGTTGTGATGTGGTTGAGAATGGGTCACCATGCACCAATTGTCGCCTTGATCAAGTCGAGTGTATTGTCACTGAGAGCAAGAGGAGAAAGTTCGTCCATGTCGAATCTGTCTCCCATTTGATTTGGTAGTTAAAGAACTTCCGGCTAACCTCAAGCGCTCTATATTGCCACTATGCAGGAAATCACGTGTGGAAAGTGACAATGTCAGCTCACAGCCGCACGTCCAGTCACCTGCTGAGGGTGCTGAGGATACTTCCAATTTTTTGCGCAGAATGAGCGAGTCTCACGGCCTACCAGATGTCGCTCCGGCATCTCCATCCCAGCGTTCATTGGATTTGGACCAAGGACAGCATATTCCTCATCTTTTGTGTACGTATTGAGTCTCCGGTCATTTACGTGGTGGACCTGCGATCACGCCCAGCATCCGCTGACTTCGAGTTCGAAACAGATCAAAGTCAAGTCAACAGGGCTGGTTCTGGAGATCGTTTTCGACGAAGGATGGCTCCGAATCCGGCTGTTCCGGCGACTCTGCCTTTGCATCATGTCACATCACAAATCCAGCAATTATTGGACCCCTCTTTCGCAAACGCAAGAACTGGGGGGGTAATCCTACCCGATTACATCCGGGGCCTACCACCTCGTCTCCAAAAGGAAGACATTGACTACCTGTATCAGAAAGGGGCGTTGACCGTCCCCGACGTGGGTCTACGCAACGAGTTGCTCAAAAGCTATATCCACTACGTACATACGTATATGCCCCTTCTTGATCTGGAAGAATTCCTGCAAACCATTGTTCAGAATGACGGTATTCGTCGAATGAGTCTGTTACTCTTCCAGGCCGTTATGTTTGCCGGCACGGCCTTTATTGACCTCAAGCACCTCCATGCGGCGGGGTATGCTTCACGAAAAGTGGCTCGCAAAGCCTTCTTCCAGCGAGCTAGGCTGCTCTATGATTTCGATTACGAGGTGGACCGGATTTCTCTCGTGCAATCTTTGCTTTTGATGACCTATTGGTATGAGACACCCGATGACCAGAAGGATACCTGGCATTGGATGGGTGTCAGTTTATCTCTTGCACACACGATTGGCCTACATCGGGATCCGGGCAACTCTCGCATGGACATTCGGCGTCAGCGAATGTGGAAACGGATTTGGTGGAGCACATATACACGCGATCGCCTAATTGCGCTGGGTATGAGACGTCCCATGCGTGTGAAAGACGATGACTGCGATGTTCCTATGTTGACACTGGATGATTTTGAGTTCCAACCGTTTTCGCCCGAGATCGTCAGCATGGTGGGATATTCGGAAATTTTACAAAATCCGAACCATCAGCGCGAGTTGGCCCTAATGTTCATTGAAAAGGCAAAGCTCTGCCTATGTGTTAGCCATGTGCTGTCAGCGCAGTATTCAGTCCTGAGCCATAAATTCGGCGGGACTATGGAAACCACCATGATGCTGGTACCCAAGAAGTCGGCAGCAGAAACCTTTGAGGTTCGCCGTTGTGATCAAGAGTTGGAAGACTGGCTGGCCCACCTTCCCACCGAGATTCAGTACGCCCCTGCGGCACCTGCAAAATTAGGCGAGGCCCAAGAGGTGCTCCATTCTCATCGCGCTCTGCTGAAAATGGTCTACCTGACCACATCCAGCGCCCTACACCGTCCACAAGTCCTCCCCGCTATTCCGTTTCCATCCACAGATGCGGAATTGCAGGAGATCTCAAGGAACAAGGTTAGGTATGCTGCTATTGAGATCACAAACATCGCCCAGGACCTACACAGTCTAGATTTGACTCGTTACTTCCCTACAACCGGTGTTACTGTTCTCCTTCCCGCCGTTATCATCCATCTTCTCGATATCAAGTCTAGCGATCCGACGATCCGAATGACCAGCCTCCAGCGGTTCTATCAATGCATGCGGATTCTCCAGCGGCTTAGAGAGATTTACGCATCTGCTGACTTTGCAACGTCGTTTTTGGAGGCTGCGATCCGGAAAGCCGGCATTCAGCTTACAGTGACACCACAGGACGTGCAGTCGTCACGGTCCAGCAGTACGCTAGACGCGACCCCTCGGGTTAATGCTTTGACTCCACCCCCAGATTCTCTGGCACAAAAAGTCCCCGATCTTACTTATCCGAAGTCTGATGCGACCGCGCTGGTTGAAAAGTTTGCTGCGGATAATGGGCCTACCTTTGCCTCGACGCCGCCACCTTCTGACGGCAGCGAGAATGGCAGTACTAGTAACATCAACCCTAGCTACCATCAGGACGCTTTTAATATCCCAAATTTAGATTCGGAACTCAGTCTAAGCCAGCTCATGGACTTGGCGAATGACGCAGAGGTCACGCAGAATGATTTCGATGCTTTGATCAATTTCGACGACACAGGGGCCGATTTCCTCGGTGTCGAAGAAAGCCTCAATTCCACCGGACTCGCTAGCGGGAGAGGCTACGGTATTGGGCTAAGTGCCTTGGACAACTTGCCTGACATGGCCAAACTCCATCCCGCAGGCAAAAGTCTCGGCCTTGTGGGTCTGGAAGACGGACAAGTCTCTGACGATCACGCCCCAGGGTTAGGGCAGGTCGGGATGAATATCATCTCAACCGACCTTGATGCCGAGCTCGGATTGAATCTCTAAGCATAACCTGTGACGCTCCTCGGTGATCACCAGGTGCAATGTCACGTGTGTCTTATGACATCGTCTTATGTGTATCTTGTAATGATGTTAATGTTGATGACATTCGTATGTCTTGCGCCTTGGCGCACAAGCACCCAGCGCACTTATGCGCAAGAGCGTCGGTGCAGGGGGCTCGGAAGTTTGTTTTGCTTCTCAGTGGGATCTCTCTAATGTCTCCTTTTGTGTTATGGCGGAGCGCATTGTCATGTGCCAGTGTCGACATCTCTAGCCGCCAAGGAACCATGTATATAATCCGCACGGTCAGGCGCATGTCATTTGACGAATATACATAAAAATGCATATGATGATCTAGTGCAATCAATATGCTATGCGCGAGAGCAGTCCCGGCACTTCTGTAATAGATCAACATCTCTAGTCTCGTGATAACATACATGGAGCTGGGCGGGTGAGTCAGGGCCTTTTGTCGGATCTCACCCGCCCAGCTCCAGGTTCTCAGACCTGCTAAGCATGGAGAAACAGCGACTCGAAACTCTACCTTTACTTGCGATAATAGTGTGTGCTATGTTTCGAGCCCTTAAGAAGCATGAGCATCGGGTCGTGCACGAGTTAAGACAGGAATGACAAAGTTGTATCTTATCTATTGTATCCTATTTATGCTCCTCCGCAAGCATGGTGGCCTTTTCAACCCGGCACCTACTCATAACTCACACCAGGCCCAGAGCCAGTGAAGAAATAAGGACTGAAGAAATAAGGAGCTTATTTCTTCACTGGCTCTGGGCCTGGTGTGAGTTATGCGTGCTAATTTGTCAAGGCGAAATAGGAAAAGCAACCATGAAATATTCACAAATTCGTCTGGTGGTGGTCTATCTAGCATTGCAAACTATGTAGTCTGATCTCAAAAACATCGAATAAAAAAACCTCAAAAGGATGGTCAGTCAGACGAAATGCTTGAGCACTCGAATAATTAAATGAACAGGGTAATGGTGATGGAAATATGTCATTAAGAGCTCCCATCCCTGAGTCCGGGAACAGTGAAAGTATGAGATATGAAGATTAAAAAAAATTGTAGAATCAGCAACCTAGTGCAAGCTGGTTCGTGGCTTCGGCATTGCTCCATGTTAACAGGTTGCCTCCCGTCATGGACATCTGACTCTTTCGTAGAGAAAATACTCAACTGAGAGAGACGCGCTTCTCATCCTGCTTTTCCATGGTTTGTTGCTCCTCCAAGGGTACGGCCACTCCAACTTCTTGAGCAGTCTCGTCTGAGAAGCGCAGATCAGCCTCCATATCTGCGTGCTCCTTGATCTTGAGAAACACTACAGGTGAGGCAATCACGATACTGCCAGCAAGAAGAGCCCAGCAGGTAGCAAACTCTGTCATGAAGGGAGTATCCTCCGCATCCAACCTGTTTTTTGTGTGTCCATTAGTGGGGATTGATATTGTGAAAACCGTGGGCAATAGAGCAAAATGCTTACCGCCACATGCCAGCTGCACCTGCGGACTGAATACCCTTGTAAAACCCAGCAAAATTGGCCAGCTTGCGAGCATTGTTTGTCAGAGAGCCCATGAACCTAGTATGGAAATTGTCAGTCCAGTCGGTTCACCATACGACCTACCGATTGTTGTTGAGTGATGTATTGAACTCACCAGTATGCACAAGTCTGGAAAGCAGCGTCATAAAATCCGTAGAACATATACAGGAACATTGGACCCACGAAGCCGCTGCTGGTCCAGTCGGTGTCTGCTTTGACTGTTTCGCGGGTGTACGTCTTTTGGAACGCAAACCCACCACCCCAGATGCCCATGGTGAGAATCAATAGGATGCAAAGATTGAGCTTGGCTCGGGTCGGCCGGGACAGGAACTTCAAGTCTAGCAATTGACCAAAGACAAATGCCCCGAGCATTTGCATCAGCCAGTAAAGCAGATTGTTGAGGGCACGTGTACGGATGGTAAAGTATGCGCCATTTACGCTGTTGAACTGATATGCCGTGAACCAGTTACTTGTCAAAAACATGGGGAAGAGGAGAAGAATGTAGTAGTCGGTTCGGAGAGTATCATAGAGACCCATAAACTCGGATTTCCAGGTAGGGTTCTTCATGACAATAACGTGAGAGCCATCTTTGCGCTTGACATACTTTGAATCAGCTAGACCCCAGGCTAGGACAAATCCAATGGCCATGAGCACCATGAATGCAATGTAGGTTCCATCGTTTACTTGACCCGCCACCGAATGCAAATTTTGACCCAGAGGCACCTAGATGGAAACTTATTAGCTTTTACATGAACCATGGAGATCAAGGAATAGATACCAAACTGCCGATGACGCCACCAAGGTTGAAGATCACCCAAAAGATGGCAATGAATTTACCCTTCTCCTTTTCATTTGGATAGCTCATCATGACAGCGCCCTGAGCGCACCATAGTAGGCCAGCACAGGCACCCAAAAGTGCACCAGCAAAGATCAGGAACCCGGAATTTTGATTATGGTTGTAGGACAACAGCGATGCAACATAAAGAAAGTAGCCAAAACCACCAATCGAGAGGGTCAAACGCAAACCGATGCGGTTCGCAACGGAGCCTGCGAAAAATCCAACAACTCCAAATGTACTGTAAAGGGCGGTGTTGGCGTTGTTGACATCTTTAAAGCCTAGCTGGCCACCTCCTCCGAGGCCGCTGACGGCATTGAACATTCCTGGACAGAGGAAGCAGACAAAGGAGACCAAAAGAAGTTGCGCGTCGGGCGAGGCAAAGTACGGCAAAGTCCAGGGGCCAATCTTGAACGACTTGTACATCCAGGACTTGCCCGTAGGCGGGCGGTCTTGGCCCGCTTCAGAGTCGACAGTAACAGCCTGCACCGCTTTTTCGGGCTGCTGACCCTCTGGGCCGCTAGTTGAGGTCACCATTGTCTTCAAGTCCTTCGAGTTGAGCAATCACCTAGGTGCTTTATGGTCGGTCTGAAGGAACGACCGGGGACTATTCCGCCAACCGCTTGATTGAACAGGGCACGATGTCAGCTCTCTGAGTCTTGCACGGCGCCGTATAATCTATGCTTGCAAGGCAAAGTGCGACGACGACAAAGGATGATATGCGTATAGAGCTCGGACAAAACTGCAGTGCAGGATTAAGATATATGCAGATGCAACATAACAAGATCCAGGAAAGAGACTAAGACAGGGACTATGAGATCGGGGCTTGAGCAGAGATGGTAGGTGAGGAGAACGAATTGGAAAGATAACTATTCAGCGGAGTGAGTAAACAAGACCACGAGAAGTCAGAAAAAGACAGACATGAAGGCGAGAATGACGACAAAACATAGAAATATGTAGGGTTTCCGGGGAATCGAGGACACAGAGACACAAAAGGCTAGCGATGGGGAAAATATTCTTTCAAACCAAGGCTTGACAAGGGATGGGGGATTGTTTGGAGGGCGATCCGGGGTAAGAATGAATGTAGGGGTGGGCACGAAAACAAATACAGAAGACTGTGGGTGTGATGGAACTTACTATTACCGACTGTTAGTTAGTACGGGTAGTAACCGAGAACTGAAGCTATCTTTTCAAACCCTAGTGATGCTGATGTTGATATCGATTAAGTTTGTTCAGTGAAGATGGTGAATATTACCCTAGAATAAATGGAGAATGAGGCTTTTTTTTTATATAAAAAAAAAAAAGAAAAAAGAAAAGAAAAGAAAAAGAAAGTATTGCCTCAGGGAGGCTAAGATGCGACAACAGGATAACCTTTCGAGTGAATAATGAGTAGAGGATCACGAGACAAGCAAATACTCAAGTTCTCTGTTGTAGTAGTAGTACTGTGCCTGTTTAATTGCCCCTTGAGCATCGAATCAGCAGCTGCAGCGGTAGGGTTACTAGTCGATCGCCGTCCACATGGGATGATCCACCCCACTGCAGGTAAAGAGAGATTCGGGGAGGGAGGGAGGGAGGGATAGAGAAGACAGAAAAGAGAGGAGAGAGAGAGAGAGAGATTTCAATCTCGGAACAACTACTAAATGGTCAGTACTACACACCCGACATTATATAGACCATGATCTACCCGGTCATTCCTAAATTACCCTGGTGAACTATCGATGATTCAACGATTGATGATTTCAGGCCTACTAGAAATGGTAACTCAACGTGATGCAGACAGAGCCACTGCCGGCTGGTCTGGGGCGAGCGGGTTCATCTCCGCATACATGACCTGTCGGTAGATAGGTGGTGGCGAGGGTGATAATTAGTCGCTGAACAGTAATTCTGTCAATGTAGTGATGCACACTGCTACACTATGCGGAAAAGGCCAGACCACTGGAACAATTAAATCATATCGTTCAAGTCTGCGACGGTAACATCAAGCTTAGCCGAATGCGGGGTGCGTAGTCAGGTCTGTCCCAAGTCCGTAACTACCACCGTAGCATTCGCCCTTTATCATTTGTGGGGCTCCGGGCGACTGTTGGTTGATTGGTAATTAACGAGTTAGGTACTAGTAAGGTAGGTACTGTAATCAATTCTAGCCTACTAACATATGTAGTTGCTCAGTTAGTCCTGTTGAAGTTCAAAGCTCAGGTACATTTGATCTTAATTTCAAGTCAATAGGTAATGTTTGAGTGAGTGACTGATTCTCCTTCTGCATGTAGATAGATATATAGGGCGCCCAGTCCGGAATGAAGCAGGGTTGTAATCCATATGCCGGCCCTTACGGGTCTCAAGGAACAGGTCGCGATCTACGTACGGAGTATTCCGTCCGTACTTCTGTTTCTACTTCAGAGACTTCCTCGGTACAAATTGACCTATTTACTTATCATCAGGTGGCCTTTTAAGGCAACTGGAGAATACAGTGGTTGATTCCGGTTGCAGAAAATTATCTTAGTACCTACTAGTCATCGGTCTCGAGTCTAGACAAATCAAGCTATTTAGTAAATACCTGTACTGACCGTGGGAGGTGTACTGTACCAGCCATTATAAAATACCAACTCCCGTCACCAGTCGGGCTGATAGATTCCGTCGTCATCAACCAGCTGTATATCTGGCTAAAACAGCTTACCTGTATGATGATCTCACACTCAACCGAGGCATGTGGATGAGGATGCTTGATGATGTCGTTGGAATTTCAATCTTATGCCATTCCAGTTGCTGACGAGTCGCCGGGACACAATGATAAGCTAAATATAGCAGAAGAAATATAGCTTATTTTCGATATCAATGTCTTGCTATGACTCGTTAAAGCCCTATGTAACGAATTCTAAATTCAGCGTGATACCGCTTCTAATATACAAAGAATATTGATACAACAAGTAATAGCACATTACTTTGATCTTGGATAAAGAAACCCCTCCCCAGTTCTGATTCGCACCTTCGCCAAAAATCATCACTCGTAAATCATAGATCTAAGGACCAACAATACCAGCCGCACGCATATGGGCGATCTATCGCTTGACTCAAGACCAGAAGCGAAGTCTATGCGCTGGTAGAACGCATGAGCCACTTACTATCCATTTTTTTTTTGTAAAACTTTCCTCCGAGACAGGTAATGTCGAAACCAAGACAAAAGCGCGCAGCACATCGCACTTTATGTGATATCTACAGACGAGGCTGCTCTCGTTTCCACCCAGCCTCTTCCGCAATCAATTCAGCCGCACGCTCACCGATGGCCAGCACGGTTAACATGGGGTTGATGGTCGGCATCTCCGGGAAGACACCCGCGTCAGCGATACGCACATTCTTCAGGCCTCGGACTTTCAGCTGAGGGTCGACAACAGCCATAGCGTCGCGGGCCAGGTTACCCATTTTAGTGGTACCGGCAGGGTGGTAAACGGTGTGTGCTACACGGCGGCCGTACTCAGAGAGTTCTTCGTCCGTCTGAACCTTGGGACCGGGTGCCACTTCACGCTTGATCCATTCTTTGAAGGGCGACTGCTGAGCAATCTCGCGGGCCGCCTTGAAACCAGCGACAATAGTGGCGGCATCGTAACCCTCCGGGTCAGTGAAGTACCGGAAGTCCAAGGCGGGTTTGACGCTTGGATCAGCAGAGGTCAAAAATAGGCGGCCACGGGAGCGGGGCCGGGGGATATTAGGGGTCATGCAGAAGGCATCCACCGGGGTGTCGTAGCCGAGGCGGGCGGTGTTCAGGCAGAAGGGGATCTGGTAACAGTGCATCATGAGGTCGGCGGCACGGCCATCAAATCCGTGAGCATTGGGCAGCTCGCGTCGCAGAAAGATTCCGGCGTCAGAGTCCATGGTGGTCTGATTGGGAGGCACAGGACGGTTGAGCTCCCAAATGATGATACTCTCGGGGTGATCCAGGAGGTTCTCACCAACACCGGGGATATCCTTTACAACAGGGATACCAAGAGAGCTTAGCTGCTCGCGTGGACCCAAACCAGAGAGCAGCATCAAGCGAGGAGTATCGACGGCTCCTGCGCACAAGATGGTTTCCTTCTTGGCCCGCAAAGTACGTTTAGCACCAGACTGTAGAGTCACATCAACACCAGTGACTGTGTCAGTCTCCACGTTAATACGTGACACCCACGCATTGGTCAGGATGGTCAAATTAGGACGCTTCTCTTCACCACGGAGAATGGGATGGATATAAGCAACGCTGGCGCTGCTGCGGCGGCCATCGTCAGGATTGTACGAGACAGAGAAGAAGCCGACACCCTCAGTCAATTCGCCCTTAGAGCGAATTTCTTTATTGAAATCAGAGATAACGGGAATGTTCATAGCGCTGGAGCAAGCCTGAACCCAGTCTTTGCACAGCTGGTTGCGATGACGGCTGTGAACAGGCTGAACAGTATTGCGCAAGTTGTCAAGAACACGGGTGAATGTCTCAAACGACCAGCCTGTGCAGCCAGCCTGCTCCCATCTCTTGCAATCATACTCAAAGGGGCGGAAAGAGATCAAGGTGTTATGACTGGAACAACCGCCCAGCACCTTAGCGCGAGAGTGACGGATATGACTGTTGCCTGTGAGTCTCGAGTCAGTACCAGGCCTAGAACTCCACGTGAAAATGGCTGATTATCGTTTGAGGCCTTCACATACCCATTGGTTGTTCTGTTGTACCGTAGTCATAATCCAACTCGCCTCCCAACAGGCTCAACCACTCACGCAGATTGAGCACGCGATCGTCCATGAAATCACTGGGACCGCCCTCAATCACCAAGATGCGCTTGTTAGGCAAGTACTCGGCCAATCGACTGGCAATTACACAGCCTGCTGTGCCACCTCCCACGATGACATAGTCATAACTGTTGACGTCGCCGGCAGGAAAATCGTTGGTGGTAGCCATTCTGGAAAGGATGAGATCAAACCCGACCCCAGTTAAGGGAGCTTAGAATAGAGGGAAAGATAAAGGATGACAAAGAGAATGGCGGGGGAGAAAATGAGGAGGACAGGTCAAGGGAAAAAGATACAAAATGGCGGGGAGGGGGCAATGAATGAATTTAAGTTGAGTAACAATGCGGCGATTCTGTAGAAACCCAGAAACCATCAGGCCATGTTTTGACCCCTAGAGCTTGCGATTCCCTTCATTTCCACTTCATGTTCGCTCTCGCACAACTTTTTTCCTCTCTCTTTTTCGCCTTTTTTTTTTTTTTTTTCTTTCTTTTCCCTGGTAGGTTCAGGTTCAATTGGTTTCTTGGACTGGGAGAGAGATCCCCACTACCTACAGAATAAGGCACCGGCTCCGGATCACCCAATTGTAGCCATTGTATGGCGGGAAGAGCGCCGCAGTGGGGGGGAGGCTGACTCAGCCTCGGCGGTGTGCCCAGTGGGAAGGATTGGGAGATTCTTCTTACCGTTCTTCCCGGCCAGAGAAGGCCAGGAAGTTCTATCCAAACACCGGTGCTTACTACCAGTATATGGTAGGACCTTTTTGTCATCCCGCCCTTCTATGCCCAGTGAATGATGTCCGTCTACAGCTTATATTCACCTTCCTGTACAAGTACAGTATCTGGGACAAGAGGGACTTCATGATCAACGTACACAGTACGTTTGGAGGCACATTGGTCCTCAACTTCTTGTTCGCTTTCCTGCGGTCCGTTTGTCTCCTACGACGTCAAGACTCCACACGAGTCCCGACACTAGGCCGCGCCACGATCCCGCAAATGGGGCACTAGTCAAGGACGCACTCCATCGGAGATGCAGGGCCGAAGACAATTCGGGATCGCATTGCCTGCTTAGGCCCTAGGGTCGAGTGTGACTAGGCGGGCGGCAGCACAGGTATACCGAATTAGGTAGGATAATGATGGGTAACGAGATGAGATGGCTGCCACGTTTCTTATCTTCTCTTAGGTATTTGCATGCCCTTCGGTTTACGGAGTACTACTACCCAGCTAGGTGATAAGCATTTCCATGCAGGAAGTAATCTTCGCACGCGGTTGTGAAACTCTGCCGTTTCACCACTGCGGCTGGGGTGGGACGTTGGATGGGCCGAGTAAGATTGGGTTGGCGGTGAAGACTATGGTTCTTTTCAGGAATAGCGCCACCGCCACTAATGAGTCCAATGATGAACCTCGGGGCAATGCTTTTATTTTCATAACAACTTAGATAAGATCCTCCTGTCGAGGGGTACAGTGTCAGTAACAATCGCGGTTTTCTTTTCCCTCACTTATTCTCCCCTTTTCTAAAGACCGTGCATACTTCAACCAATAGGGCTTAAATCCAGTATCAGCGCCATGTCTTCCTTCGATATCGAAACTCGCGAATTGTATTATGATGGCAAGGCCCAGCCTGCCTCTTCAGGCAGAACCTTCCAATCTATCAACCCCTCAAACGCCACGCCCTTGGCTGAGATTCAGGTTGCCTCGCATTCAGATATAGATGCAGCCATCGCTGCCGCCGATCGGGCTTTTCCTTCATGGTCTCAAACCCCCCCAATTGCGCGTGCCCGCATCCTTCAGAAAGCCGCCACCTTGCTCCGCGAGCGCAATGACGATATCGCTCGCGTCGAAACTCTTGACTCGGGCAAGGCATATAGTGAAACAAGCACTGTCGACGTCGTCACTGGAGCCGATGTACTTGAATACTATGCGAATCTGGTCGGCGGCGGTGGGCTCAACGGCGAGACCACGCAGTTGAGAGAAGATGCCTGGGTGTACACCAAGAAGGCCCCGCTAGGGGTCTGCGTGGGAATTGGGGCTTGGAATTATCCCATCCAAATGTAAGTTCGCGCTTCTCCTCACTCACTGGTCAAGTCGAGTATCCTCAGTGAAGTTATATCTAAGACTGTGCGCAGTGCTCTCTGGAAATCAGCTCCGTGTCTGGCTGCGGGAAACACCATGGTCTACAAGCCAAGTGAGTTCACCCCACTGCATGCACAGACTCTGGCCGAAATCTACACGGAAGCCGGTCTCCCTGCCGGTGTATTCAATGTCGTCTATGGTGCCGGCGACGTTGGGGCGTATTTGACTGCTCATCCAACCATTGCCAAGGTCTCTTTCACAGGTCAAGTTTCTACAGGTATGAAAGTGGCCGGATCTGCTGCTGGTAACATGAAATATGTAACCATGGAACTGGGCGGCAAGAGCCCCCTTATCATTCTGCCGGACGCGGAGCTCGAAAATGCCGTAGATGGGGCAATGATGGCCAATTTCTACAGCACTGGTCAGGTATGCACCAACGGCACTCGCGTGTTCGTTCCTGCTAGCATGAAGACTGCGTTCGAGCGGCGCCTTCTGGAGAAGATGCAGTACATACGTCCCGGGCTCCTCTTTGACGACTCGACCAATTTCGGCCCATTGAGCTCAGCTCTTCACTTAGAGAAGGTTCTATCTTACATTCGCCATGGTATCGAGACGGACAAGGCCACGCTACTCTCAGGCGGGTTGGACAAGCCCAGTGTCCCGCAAGAGCTGGAATCCGGTTTCTGGGTGCGCCCGACAGTGTTCACCGACTGTACAGATGACATGCGCATTGTCCAAGAAGAAATTTTTGGCCCTGTGATGTCTATCTTAACATATGAAACGGTAGAAGAAGCGGTCAGACGAGCAAATACCACTGAGCTCGGCCTCGCTGCAGGGGTCTTCACTAAAGACCTGAACATGGCCCATCGCATTATCGATCAGTTACAGGCTGGTATCACCTGGATTAACAGCTGGGGTGAGAGCCCTGCCGAAATGTCCGTTGGCGGCTGGAAAAAGAGCGGGGTGGGAGTTGAGAATGGACGCAAGGGTATCGAGGCTTGGGTCAAAAATAAGAGCACCCTTGTGGATATGAATGGCGCGGTGGCCACCGTCTTCGCCAAGTTATAGTCATGTGACCCTCAAACTTTGTATAGAACAATTTCTCGATGTACAGCACATCAAGAACCAGCCCTTTTCAGACAGCCAGTAAGTGGATGGGTGCGCCTCCACTCCGTTTTTGATGGGATGGGATCTAAGTCTTGCTATTCCTAGTGCTAGTACAGGACCCCGTGTCAATGCTCTTGTTGTGTCAATGTTCCCATTCTGATCTACGTCCAGACGAAGCACTTTGTTATGCCCAGCATGTCCACCAGCCAAATCTACTGTGGCAGACCACATTATAATATTCTATACCCTTTGGAAGATACCAATTTGCAGCATCTCTTGCTCGGACATATCAACTTACTGTGTACGAAGTGATGGACCCATTGTGAATGACATTCAATTATTTGAACCATGTAAAAACAGTAACACCCAATTTCTATCGCGAGGCTCATAAGGTTTCTTTTCCCAGCTCTGAGATGATATGACAATATTTCGGAGCTTATTTTTCATGAACCACGTCCGCATTGAAAGTACAAAGCCAACTTGGTGATAATGTCAAGCAAAAGTGTGAGGTCACTCTCCCGGGACGGTTTTTAGCTCGACCCAGCCACCTCTCAACACGAACCCCGAGTTGTTTCTAAGGCCGAGCTTATGCGAATGGGCGAAATTCAAGAAATAACCCTCGCTCCCATGCTGTCAAAGAACAGATCCCCCTTCAATGCCGAATCCAGCCCACCGATTGCTGAGTCCACCATCCGTGAGGACATACTGTCCGGCGTCAGTTCGTCATCCTCCATCGACCGACTCAATTCCGTGTTAATTCTCAAATCTTTAGGGACTTTAAGTGGAGTGGTTTGGGGTGTAAGCTCCGGGGGCGTGTTGGTCAGGCCTACTGGGGCAGGAACGTGCGTCCGAGGTCGATAGGCGAGAGGCGGGCCTTGGGTGCGCGCGTCTGTACCAGACTGTTCGATAGATTCAAAATAACGCACTGTTTTGACTTTCAATTCCAAGGTTGCGTCTCGATCACAGACAATCAATGGGTGTGGATGCAGTTGCAGTGCTGAAAGCGTCCACATGTGGTTCACGCCTCCTTCAAGGCCTTTCTCCACTGCAAGAGCCTTGTGAGCACCGGTAGCGACTATTACCACCTCTCGTGCCTCCATAATAGTTTGGATGCCAACAGTCAGTGCATGTCGCGGTACCCGATCTACATCATTGCCGAAGAACCGTGAATTGGCTAAAATCGTGTCATATGCCAGAGTCTTGACTCGCGTACGACTGCTCAATGAAGAGCCTGGCTCGTTGAAAGCAATGTGTCCATCGGGGCCGACACCACCTAGGAATAGTTCAATCCCGCCATACCGATTGATTCGGGCTTCAAAGGAAGCACACTCGACTGCGAGATCCGGGGCGTTGCCGTCAAGAATGTTGACGTTCTGGGGTGGGATGTCCACATGGGAAAAGAAATTCCTATACATGAAGCTGTGGTAGGATTCTGGATGGTCCCGAGGTAATCCGACATACTCGTCCTACACAGGTCAACAAACGCTTTGCATCCTCGTGGGAAGAAGTGAGTTCATATACCATATTGAAAGTTACGACATTCTTGAAGGATATCTCCCCCTTTCTGTGCCGGCTTACCAAAGTCTTGTAGATGATTTCCGGGCTACTTCCTGTTGGTAAGCCGAGCACAAATGGCTGACTTTCGGTTGGTCGGAATGACTTAATGCGGCCTTGAAGAGAAGACAGGTTATATCGAGTTAGATTTACTCCAGCAAAGCTACATCATCTTCGGAGCATGTAGACTAAGACAGTTATTCACTTACTGATAATATAATCCGCAATGTATTCTGAGGCCTCTAGGGCCGTGTCGCGAATTATCACTCGCCTGTTCGAAACTATGATCAGCCTATATTCACAGGTTGGAAGGGATAAGGTGGCCTACATGGTGGAAAATTTCGCGTGATGTGAGGGAAGAAACCTTGATCGATACCTAAGAATAGGAAAGTGGAGATGAGTTCGACTCAACCTTGCAAAGTTGAAGCTAACCAACAGACAAATAGTTTTAAGTTGCGAGGCAGTGGAGAGGGAAGAGAATAGGAGAGACGAGGCAGACTCTTTGAGCGCGAAGTGGGCAGTAGTACTGAACACGAATTTAAAATTGAGGCTTCCGGTTGGGAGAGAAATGAAAGGGATTTTGGAGTTTGTAAGTACTTAGAAGCAGATAGGAAGCGTGGCTACTAGCCTTCTGTCAAACCATGGCTCTGTAGCAGTTCCAATATGGACGGTGGAAGGAAGTGTGACAAAATGATGCTACTTTGATCCGGGAGGTTTTTATAAGTGATGCTCGCCGGGGTCATTTCGGCTTCCCTTTTAGACTGATGACAGTGTACTACAGGGTCCTGTACATACCTACGGAATTTTCTTACACACTGATCCTTTGGAGTTCCAGTCATATGGGAGTATTAGACTGAATTCAGAGCGAACGATGACGCAGTGGCCATACCATACCACCCAAAGATTGCCGCTGCATGTGTCCCAATCGTCACCGTGCTATAGGATGAATATGTAGGAGAGAATCACTAGTGGACATGCAAGAAAGCCTTTGTTACGAATAGCATGACTGGAAACCTGAACATGATAGATAACGTTGCAGATAGAGGTGGCATAGGACTGTAGGCTCGTCCGTCGTCATCCGCCATCGTCATCTCTAGGTAGCTAGCTAGCTTCATCCTCGATAAGTAACTCTACGTCGATGGTTGGGTGATTACTCAGAAAAAGACTAGGTATGTTTAGTAAAAGTCAAGAGCACAGCACTAATGATAACTAAGTAACCAGGCTGTCAAAACGCTGCTGTTGCATTCGGGTCTTCGTGGCAAGCTGGAGCTCAAAGTTTATAAAAACGGGAGTGTTTCATTCCACTGATCCATTCCAATCCATGCAACCCCTCGTTTGGGAAGGGTTTAGGGAAGAGAGAGAGAGAGAGAGGTGTAAAGTATTGTATGGTAACAGACTGGCTAAGTACCAACAGTTACATGTAACCGTACATACACGTCGATAACTAGCTCCCTGTGTTTGTTGTATTATCCTTATCATGTGACTCCTGCTCTCATGCCGAGGACGGCGATATTGGGTCGGGGTCACTCCTCGATCTCTCTTTGCACCAACTCTCGGTCAAACAAAGATCCAGTCATGCCGTCTGTCACTTAACCCTGCTGCTTCGACTCGGAAATCCGGCCCCGATATGGACAAAGCACATTGGAACGAGTCAAATCAATGAATAAATGAAAGTGAATGGAACGAGTAAAGGAACAAACCAAAAATTAACTCAATCTATCAAACTGCCAGCTGTTGACTTTTCTAATCTGTCTGTCTAATATTCTACGTCTCACGCGCGTGTGCTCTGTGTGTGTGTGTGTGTTTGCGTGCGCATCTCCCGTTTTTGTCTTTCATAATCCCGACTATTGCTAGAATTGTTTATGGCACCCTTCTGGATCGAGCCTGGATTTGACCAAATTAGGAGAAAGAAAAAAGCCTGACCTTGGAAGCAAGGTTGCCTGCCTGTCTCGTGTTTCGACTCACCCCTTGCCGGAACATTTCCACCAAGCTTCCGTTGACGTCTGCAGCCCATCATTATCGTTTCACCTTGCCTCTCTACCTACCGAGCCTCGCTCCGGTGTCAGTGGAGAGAGAGGAAATACTAGTTGTTCCAGGCCGGGTCTTCATGGGCCCCAAAGAGATGCTGCCTCCTGGCTGGGAGGACCTAGACAGGTAGGTTAAACCTTGGTCTTGGCAAGTTCGTTCTCTATTCATTCTGTATCCATTTGGATGTCCCCTAAATGTCCTTGATGATTGTACGGTTCTCGGTCTATTCATTTCATCCTTCCTGTCTCTCTGGATACATACCTGAACCGAATGGGATTTCTTATACTCCTCTAACGGAGCTTTTTCGCGCGGCCCCTTCACCCCCGCCCTCCCTCCAACAACCGGCGAGATCTTATTTGGTGGGTAAGCGGTTCACTGCTAACAGTTGCGGTACTTGCCATGGCGCTTGGGCAGGCAGATGGGCCAACTCTTCATGATGGGCTTTGATGGAACATCTGTCAGTCCCCAGATTCGCTCGCTCATCGAGAACTACCACCTCGGCTCGGTTCTACTGTCTGCAAAGAACCTTAAATGTATCCACGTACCCCATTTCTTCTGCTCTCTTCATTCGAGCCTCAAATGGCTTCTCCCCGAAGACCGCGCCCCTTTGTTGTTGTAAACAAGCACTGATGTACGTACAGCTGCAGAAGATGCTACGCGACTGGTTCTTGAGTTGCAGACAATCGCACGGGATGCTGGTCACCCCGTGCCTTTGCTAATTGCCTTGGACCAGGAAAATGGAGGGGTGAACAGTCTGTACGATGATATCTATATCCGGCAGTATCCCAGTGCTATGGGTATCGCTGCAACAGGATCAAAGGGCTTAGCTCATGAAGTTGCGGTGGCAACGGCACAAGAGCTCAAGGCCGTTGGAGTCAATTGGATTTTGGGTCCTGTTCTCGACGTGCTGACCAATGTGCGGAATCAGCCTTTGGGTGTCCGTACCACAGGAGACGACCCACAAGAGGTATCACAATACGGCATCGAGTTCCTGAAAGGCTATCAGAAGGCAGGTCTCGTAACTTGCGGCAAGCATTTTCCCTCATACGGTAACTTGGAGTTTCTCGGGTCTCAGACGGACGTACCGATCATTACTGAGTCCCTAGAGCAGCTTAGTTTAACTGCGTTGGTGCCCTTCCGTAATGCGATTCTTCAAGGATTGGACTCGATGATGGTTGGAGGTGTTTCAATGTCATCCGCCGGAGTCAATGTGATGCACGCTTGTCTCAGCGAGCAGGTTGTTGATGACTTACTACGGAAAGACCTGCAGTTCAAAGGCGTGGTTGTTTCCGAATGCCTAGAAATGGAGGCCCTCACTCACAATATCGGCGTCGGTGGAGGAACAGTAATGGCTAAGAATGCCGGTTGCGATATCATCCTTCTTTGTCGCTCGTTTCAAGTTCAGCAGGAAGCCATCAGCGGTTTGAAGCTCGGTGTGGAGAACGGTATCATTGGGCGCGGACGTATTGAACAGTCCCTTCGCAGAGTGTTGAGCCTCAAAGCAAAATGCACATCTTGGGAACAGGCTCTCAACCCGCCTGGTCTTACTTCACTCACCCAGATGCAACCATCTCATACCAGCCTTTCTACACGAGCATACAACAGTTCCATCTCAGTTGTCCGAGATAAGCAGAATCTGATACCCTTGACCAACATTCTTGAACAGAACGAGGAATTGCTCCTGTTGACACCTTTGGTAAAGCCATTGCCTGCTTCTGCCGTATCGCGCTCCGTGACTGAGCATCTGAATGTATCTCTTGACCCGAGTGCATGGGACCGAACAGCATCTGTTCTGAGTGGCGAAAGTGTTTTCAAAGAGCTTGGCAGATCACTTTCCCGACATCGCAGTGGTCGTGTTCTGCATACATCCTACACGGCCAACGGCGTACGTCCGATCCATGAGAGTCTCATAGATCGAGCGAGCGCAGTCATCGTCGTCACCGCAGACGCTAATCGGAACCTGTACCAGCATGGTTTTACCAGGCATGTGTCTATGATCTGTAGGTCCCAGTTTACGCCGTCAGGCGAGCCTCGGGAGAAACCACTGATCGTGGTCGCGGTAAGCTCACCATATGACTTTGCGATGGACTTGTCCATTGGAAGTTATGTTTGCACATATGACTTCACCGAAACAGCCCTAGAGGCTTTGGTAAAAGTACTCTACGGAGAGTTGACCCCCATGGGATCACTTCCAGGCTCTATAAGTCGCAGTCAAAAACTTCACCAGGCGAGACAACACTGGTTAGTAGAAAGCTGGAACGAAGATAGAGACGCCCACGCCTTGGACTACCTAATAAGTGCTGTTCGGGACGATTGTGTGCAAGGACAACGTTCGGAGTTGCTCGGTGTAACATCTAGCAGCTTCTTACTCCGCATGGAAGAGATCGAGGAGGCACACTTCGTGGTTCGCAACAGCAGCACCCAGGCCTTATACGGATTCTGTTCCACATACTACTTCCGATCTACGGGCACGGGCGTCATTGGGTCTTTAATCGTCCATCCTGCAAGACGGCAGCTATCGATTGGAAACTCCCTCCACAACCGTGCCATCCGAACACTTCTGCAAAGAAAAGGCATGAAGCGATTCCAACTGGGATCTCGCCTTCCGGGTATTTATCTAGGCATTCCGTCAGCAAACCCGGTGGGCCGTAAAAGGCTTCGCCAATGGTTTGCGAACTTAGGATGGAACACGGCCCTTTCGCGGCCGGTTTGTAGCGCTGTAATGCGCAACCTATCTTCTTGGGCGCCAACGGAAGGCTTGCTTCACGGCATCCAGAATGCGGACGTGACTTATGATCTCGTTTATGGCAGGGACTATGCAGAGCCGATTTTGGATCACATCAAAACAAGCTCTAGGCAAGGAGTTCTAGATATATACAAAGTGGCTTTGAGAGGTTCACCACACTGTGGGATCATCCGTGCCACCCGACCCCGCGATGGGGCTATTCTGGGCAGCATCGTCGTTTACAGTGGACGAGCAGCTCTGGCGGAGCACATGCCGGTCCTGAGATCTCTTCAGGTCGCCGCTGGGGGCATTTCGTCTCCTGTCATTTCTCCATCGGTTGGTGAGTACGCCACGGTCATGCAGGGTCTGATCTTACTGGGCATAAAGCAAATTCGCAAACAAGGCGCTGAAGCTGTGATAATGGATTGCGTGAGTCGCTTACTTTTCATGCCCATACATTGTGCAATGAGCGTTGGTCATTGACGATTTTTGCTTTAGGTTGATGGTGACAGCAATCTTGATTGCCTCTCCGGCATGGGCTTCAGTACCCTGCATAGCTTCGAAGAAGTCAATTGCGATGCCGCAACATGGAGTATGACACCGACCTAGTGGGAGAATTCTTTAGTGGTGAGGTTCAGCTGCAAGGTCTTTGGTTTTACACTGTAGATGACCTTTTAACCCTGACATACTGGTGGTCTCATGGCTGTAAATATGAGTCAATAGAGAGAAGGGTGGGGCGGGAGATTTCTCAAGGTGTCATTTCCATTTCTCTCTAGAATTCATCTTTCTTTAGTCCCGTTTAGTTAGTCCTCAAGGCCAAACCTAACTAGATCTTGCTCACTGACTCTCCTACATCTGCTACCACTATCTAATATCTATAACTATCAGTATCCATAGATCCCTTAAGAGGGATTCCTTTTTTTAGGACTTGAGTCGAAAGCTTGTAAAGTTCCGGAAACAGCAAGGGAGAAAGACGTACTGAGCCTGGAGACTGGGCGGGCGGGGACGGACGCCTGCTGTGAAAGGGAGGACTGTTTGTTAATCACCAATTGGCGAATCTCGATTGGCTTCGGCTCCACCAGGCAATCTGGCTGTAAACTTTAATTAATAGAAATTGTTCCCCACGCAGGTTTCTCTGTCCGTCTCCGGCAGTGCTTTATTCTTGCCAATATCATGTGTAATTTAGTAGGAGGAGGAGTCTGTGCAAGCCTACTAGTTAGTTGTTAGTAGCTACTAGAGCATGGACACGAATACTAGGTAATAGGTAACTACTGTGTACTACTGTGTACTATGTATGCCTATTGTATACTCCGTATGTACACCATAACAATAAACTTGAAGTCACCTGGGCGCCGAGGGGTCAAACTTATCTGAATGTGGATTAGTCTTGTTTGTCCCACTCACCTGCAATTGCATTCGCCTGTTGCTCCCGGGTCTCCTTCTCCTCCTCTTGTCGCCAATACTTCTCCAGTCTCCAGTCTCCAGCAACTACTTACTACTCCGTACTCCGTAGGTACTTACATACACCGTCTTCGGTCTCGAGGCTCCGATTCGTTCGAGTGGCTGCTGACCTCGGGGGAATGAGATCCACTCTGACCTCGGAATCTGGAGTCTCACGCTTTCATCTCACGCTTCTGTTATGCTCTCGGCCTGATCTTAATTACTTCATCCTTCTGCAGAGCTGAGCTCGCTCCTATCTCCATATCTGTCTGTACCTGCTGCTTTCCATTGTTGCTGGGGTCTTCTTCCCTACCAACTCCAACCACCCATCCCCCTCCCTCCCCTCTCCTTCTCTCTGCCGCGTGCGCTTCTTCAACCCCATCCATCCCCTCATCTCTATCCATTATTCACTATGAGAACGGGAACGATTGCGGAACTATCACTGCAACCGGGTGTCTAATCCATTGTTCAAGTTGCCTTCCTGATTCGTTGCGAACCTGCCACTAATTCGGCATCCTTGACTCAATTCAATTCTTCTTTGAGTTCCCACTCATATCACATCAGCCCTATCAGGTCACTCCTGTCCTTATGTTCCTTCTCTTCAGCTTCCTCCCAAGGCCGCGCTCGTAGTGACAACAATCCCCTCCCGCCGGAATCAATTTGGCTTTCCACCTCTCTACCTGCCACACTCCGTTCACCCTTCACTCCGCTCTCCGCCCTCTCACACCCTCTACCCTTCTGCCACTTCTTGTCTTGCTCCTTCTGTTTCTCCTTCCTTCCCTCTCGCTCCTCCTCCTCCTTTCTCCGCCGCCGCCGCCCGCCCGCCCGCCCACCTCGAGCTCCCTCATCTTCTCCTCCCGTGTCCATCGCCTTCACGTCCTTCATTCCAAGTCTCTTCATCTCCTTCTTCTCCCTAGTTTGCGCCCTTTGACGTTTTGTTGCCACTTTCTGGCGACTGATCACCTTCTCTGTTGGTCTACTTGGTAGGTGAGGCCTCCAAGGGCCAATTTCGCAGCATGGAGGGCTTTGACACTATAGCTATGCCGTACCTGGCAAGCCCACTGTCCTTGAGCAATCTTCAAGGGACCGACTACCTTCATTCGATGTCTGGTATGGACATGCCTGACCAGCGCTCAACTTTTGAGGCGGAAACCTTCGTTAGGTGAGTATTATATGGATATAATCACCCATCCGATTTGCAATCTTGCCGCAGCTAATCATCATCTCGGGCTAGCGGCGATGACATTGCGTTTGCTCAACATGGTGTACCACCCACAGGCTTGAAACGGTTTCCGTCAGATTACCAAGACCCATTCACAGACATAGTGCCATCCTTTGACCCCGCCCCTCCAGAGCAATCTTCAGACTCGTCTATCGACCACAACAACAAACTCTTGAGCTTTTCTCTTCCGGCGTACAGTTTTACTCTGCTCGATTACTCACTGCGGCGCACCTCGGTCTCGCTTGCAGCCCAGCTGCATGGCATGTTCTTTCTGGCGGAGTCGCCCTGGACTACTTCGCCAATGGACAATGCCCCGCCCCAGCAAGGTGCGGAGCTGACATGCTATCGGCGGAACCTCTTTCAGATCACGGGGTCGGTAACACTGCCGCGAAGCTTGAGATATATCATGACGGAGCAAGGCGACCGAATACCCATCCTTGCCCAAGAGTTGACTGTTTCTGCCACCGAGTCCGTTGAGGGCAACTCAGTCAAGATTATCTCGGTGCCTTGGAAAACACCTGCGGCAAGTCAGAATCAGTCGGCAGACGACAGCAATGCCCCAGCAAATGGCGTTAGTATCACTCAGAGCACCACCAACCCTAAAGTCGAGAAAGAGCCGCCTCCGATTCCATTGGACATTATGGCTGGCCAGGACCTGGATACCGACTATGCTACCTTCCCAATTGCGTGGAAGCGGCTACAATTTCGAGTCGCAACCGCCAACAATGGTCGCAGAAAAGAGCTCCAACAACACTTTGTCGTCCGATTGAAGGTCATCGCGACCCTATCCACCGGCGCCAGGGTCCCAATCTGCGAGATACAGTCAGGACCTGTCATTGTTCGAGGTCGTAGTCCGCGCAACTTTCAATCCCGCAAAGACCTACCTCTGAGCGGCAGCGCTGCTGCTTCTCGAAAAAATACCCAGTCTGCCCAATCCGCTACTGTAAATCGAACACCGACCAGTGATTCGGCCCCGGCCTCCAACTTAACACCAGCCAAAGCTAAGGCGACGGTGAAAAGTAGCTCACCTGAGACCACGGTCTCCCAAGGCGGTATGGTTCCGCCACCGGCTAACGCTGATTGGACGCAGATCTCGCCTGCTGTGGGGGAAACTGTTCACTCCACACCACTGCCTCACTCGACTGTATATGCCCAATCGAGTCCAGAGTTTCCGCGGCCTACGGATACACAAAGGCAACATAATAATATCTCAGCTCCTATCAATCTGTCTCTTTTTGACGAGGAAGAGGGTGGGGAAAGCATCAATGTTCACGACTCAGCTAGATCAGCTTCGTCGTATGGAAATGATGTTCCCCAACGGAATTCCACAGCAGACGGCACTGCGCCCCCGGCAAAGATGCGGAAACTGTCCCATGGTCTGCCCCAAGCGCTATCTCGATCTGAATGCTCATCACTACCCTTCTTGAGTAGTACAAACATGCAGCAACCGTTTGCCTCTACGCTTCCCTTTCCGAATGAGAGTGCCGATTTATTGTACGAGTACTTCCCATTGGGATTGGATGATTGGCAGGCGCCCGTTGATGCTGTATATCGACCGCATGTAGTACATCACACCAATCTACCGGAGGTCAAATTTGTGGCCGCACGAGGAAGAAGCAAACGATACTTTGCTGCAGAAGACGTCTTCTGAAAGGACATAGTCAATGATCGCGGATTATCTACCGTTTACGGGATTTAAATCGGAAAAAAAATCTCTCCTTCCAAAGCATACAGGTTTTGGTCGAGTTTTATACGGAGGTGGTCGAGCTATACGGATGGAGACACTTTCAGTATTGTGCCTCTGTTCGGGCATGTCGTGCTCGACACGCTTTCAACCGCTACTTCATTGGCAATCTGCCGTAATGTGCAAGCTGTCTGGTTAATTTATTCTTCACTAAACCCACTGACGCATGGCTCCCGCAGAGATATATCGGTCTTCGGATATAGGAATGGATCGACAACGATGGGCGGGCTGGGGCGTGCTGGAGTTCTGCTTGTCAGGGCAGTGGCGTTAGCGGTTCTTGATTGTCGTATTTTTCCTGTCGTCCTGGTTTTTCTGTTTGTCTGGTTTTTCTTTTCCTCACTTCTCTTCTTTTCTTCCGCCACTACCTTCCGCTTATGTTCTTTCTTTTGCCCTCTCATCCGGTCGCAGTTACGGAGTTGTTAAGTTCATTACCATGCCTAATTATTGTGATGCTACTACGGTGTTCCTATTGGCGCGCAGTCACCGGTCAAGTTTGATCCCAAGTCGAGCTTGCATTGCATTGTATAGTTTCGATCCGCAATAAGTGGGATTAATAGCCAGCCTTGCCCCATTTGCTTTGCAATCTGGGCACAAGTCAATTGATTCTGCACTTAGCCCTGAATCTGCCACAGACCGAATAAGTACATGCACTGCGTATGCCTCATTCAGCTTCACGGAATGGAGGAATAGGTCGCAAACACCCCGCGCCATTGCGAGTCAGGAAGATGCTGCTTGTTCAGCAAAGAGGCCGGCGTAGCGCTGAGAGGTCCGCATCACATCAATCTGTTTGTATGAATGATGAGGTTTAAACCCATGTCAGAGGTAGCCAAGCCCATCACCCCCTATGCTTTCCAAGTGAGCATTAATCTCCCATTCATTTGCGCCCACCCGACTTGCTATCTCGGTCTTACGCTGTGAACTCAGGCTGAGCCACTGGAACAACAGATTACCGTCCAGCATCCCTCTTCCCGCAGTACCATCACTCTCGACAGCGCGGAACGCGCGAGGATTCAGACCGCAAGGATGCTCAAGAGTGTTTGTCAATTGAGACTGCAGAGCCGACAGACGGCGGTACGCCTCTTCCGAAATGCAGGTGATCAAGCCAAAAGACCCGTTTTGCGACGTTAGGAGAGACTGGTAGAGCGGCGCTTGGTGATCCCGATCCATGTCATTCAATTGAGAATGTAACAGCTCGGATGAGACCATCGTACGTGGAAGCAGGGTTAAGGTAGAGACAAAGTTACCGGTATGAAAGCTACTGCGACTGAGTAGCCTGTCGCCATTTGAGGATTTGGGGTCTGCATTGAGTCAGTCAAAGGTTGCAACGACGCCAACCATAATAACGCTCACCTTCGGGATCATATTGCAATATGTGAATATTACAGTCACTGTCGGCCACGACAATGAATAACCTTTTGCCATCGGGAAGGAAGTCTGCGGCTGCTACCTCCAAATAGTCTAGGTCTTTTGCGAAAAGACTCATTTTATATGGTTCCTCCTAGAAACGCATAAATTTCGTCAGGTTGATCACAATACCCTACAGTGAAGTCATCTAGGGTAACGTACCGAATAGCCAGCAAACCACAATCCTTTCGTAGCGTCTCCAATGATACACATACCAGTGCCTTTCAGCTCCTTAACAACACTAACATAGCATTGCAAATCCATGAAGGCAACTGGAAGTAGGCTGCCGTCCTCTTTGAGACCTCTGACCATACATTTCTGCCCTTGGGAAACAATGATGAAACCCTGGCCACCAATTTCAGATAGTGCAGTTACAGCACCCTTCACCAGTTCCTTGCCGACAAGTTTCAATTTGCGATCCATTACCGGGTTCTCAGGGTCCGGAACCACTTTGACGACCTCAAAAACATATATGCAACCTCGCGATGGTATATCTTCACCGCGCGCAATCGCCGTTCCGACAACTATCATCTCCCTACGTTCATGGGTGTTTTCTGATACCTCGAGACTGATATTCTTCATAGCCATGACGTACTCGCCTGCACCTAGACAATGACTAGGCGTCGAAGAGACGTTAGTACTATATGGACTGGATCTTCCATTGCCACCTCTCACCTTTCTATGATTGACCATGTCTTGGGGCTGATGATTTTAAGAGAGCTTCTATGCACTTGAGGCAGAAATGAAACAACTGATGATATTTAGCACGTATACTTAAAACACAGATAGAGCCAGACCTTCATTGCGCCATTCAGGATGTAATTCGTCATCTTCAGGCAGTCGAAATCGAGTCCTCTCGCAAGTACCAAGCACATACGTTCCTGACGAGGCAGAGTAAGTTAAGTGATCGACTTGTTCACCCAGTGGTACCTTCCGCAGAGGCCATTTATGGTCAAAAAGCATGCCGAAGGGCATTTGGCACAGACGAATGGTGTTCTGGTTGCATTAGCTTATCAACCCTGGGCATAATCGTTGCACCGCTTTGCAACGGGGAGATGAGGCTTACATTCGAGTCAAGAAAGACAAATCTGCTCGTTGGTGCCAGAGATCCAAGAATGCTTACGCCTCGTGGATGATGTCCTCTTAAGCGTACAAAATGCGGTAAGCTAGTGGAAGTCCGGACGATAAAGCCAGCTGAAGCCCCAGGTACGAATACGGTAAGAAGCCCTGCGACATCGGGAAGTATCCGCAAGGGTTGCGCTTTACGTCTTCCTTTGTCAGTCGATTCTGAGCCTAAATGAGGTTGTACTCGTGGAAGAATTGTAGTAGCCTCCTTCGAGAAGCGCAGGGTAAGCTTTCTATCAACTGCGCCAGTTGTGGCAAATGGTTTGTATATGTTGATCTCGTCAGTTTGGGACCGCAACTATTGAAATGGGAAGGAGTATCAGTAAGCAACATTTTGAAGTGTACACGAAAGTATTTGAGCGTACAATCAAGTATGGCAAAGCACAGGCGCGATCCCCAAGATCGGCAACAAGGGCCTCGGTCAACGGCTCCCGTGTTCCAGTTCTTTTTGGAACTTCGGAGGATAACACTGGCGGCAGCCCAGCTACTCCTTCAATGATAGTTACCAGGGTTTGATCAGGAAAGTAGTAAACCTGGGCATGAAGTAAGTATAAGATTGGTTGTACATACAACCACTCCATTCAGGAAGCTCAAGCTCACACCCTGCGCGGGGCACTTACGTGGAGTCTGTAATCCTGGTCTAGCAGGAACAGATAGAGGCTACCATCAAGCTGTCCTTTGAAGACTGGGTTGACGCAAGCAAATGTGTCAGTCTTGTCATTGTACAGACTACAGGAGATCCAAGTCTTTGCTGCGAGTTGCTCATGTAGAGTAATCTCGTCCAGATCTCCGCTATCATCGACTTGAAGAAACAATAACGTGGAATCGTCCCGGAGAATTACAAGGCAGGGATCCGCAAAGCTGGCACTGACGGCCATCCGTTCATCGATGGTGTCATCGTCCCAAATGGGATAAATTTGAGTTAAACCCAGGTCTTCTTGGTCAGCAAAATCATGTCAGCAAAGTTTCGTTCAAAGGCTTACCGCTGTCATAGGTTCGAACCTCATTTGTTAGAACTTGCACTATCCGTTTGTTGCTCATCAATGTGTTGATATCAATGGTCGTACCCTCATTTGGATTGAACTCTGGAGCTTTGAACGGTGTCAAAACACCGGCGTCTTCCAAGTAGACAAGATTCTCTTCCTTATCGTTGCCTTTACTTCTGGAAGCAATGACAAAACAGCGCATTTGTGGTTGATTGCCATCTGGGGCACTTGTCACCGCATCTGTTCCCTGAACTACGGTGACTGTCCAGAGACTTTCCGCAGAATCAATACCAACAGAGTGTATCACATCAGGATCGAGCTCGCGTCTCAACACCACCAAACCCCCACCACTATCAGAGCCTTGAGCTGCGACCAGCTCCAACCCAGCAGGATCATATTCGGAGCGGTCGTCATTTGCGCTTGCAAACACTGAGCGCCTGCCTAGAGCGATGTCTCTCACAGGGGCGATATTGATGAGTTTGTCGATGAGATGAAAGTAACGTACTCCAGAAGACAGCTCAGCCACTGAGGCATTTCCAATTGGTGCTGTTCCTGGTGATGTAGAGTATAGATCGTCTTCGTAAACATCAATATCGCTCTGGTCATCATCGATGCCTGCCGACTCACCCACCGCTTGTCTCGACAGAGGCTTAGATTTCTTAGAGCTTGATGATGTCAGAGAGCAGTTAAGGAGGACGGAGTCCGAGCCTTCGCTGCCTACAAATAGCCTACCTTCACCAATATGTGCTGATGAGGAAGCAGCAGAGTTCAGACAGATAAAGCCGGCCTGAGCAGGTAAGAGGTGCACGGATATTCCAGAGACCGACCTGCCATCGAGCCTAAATCTTAGGACGACGAAAGCTCCTGTTGATAGCACTAGAAGCAGGTCCCCACTACCATCGCCCAGAGTTTCAACGACGCAGTTTTCCAGGCGCAGAGCCAATTCGGATTGATCTGACATAGAAAATGCCGAGACAGATCTGGAAAACTCATTGACCCCAACGGCGTTGGTCTTACCAGCCTGGTCAACATGCACCAGCTCATTAGACCCAATTAACAAAGCACCACCAACCGGAGGCGGGAGTGCTACCACTCTAAAAAGATCGCTTGGTAGCCTGGTTACTGAAAGCAATGTGGTGGATGCTCGCTGTTCCAGGTCGAGAGTGAACACGGAATAGAACACAATGTCCTTTCTCTCCTGCAGAAGCGCACTCGATGTCGCAACCTGTGAATACAATATTCCAAACGTCGGTTCCCTATATTCGTATAGAAATGCGAAACTTATGGGATGCTGAATTGATGGATCCAATGCACTCAGTGGTAAAACGAAGGATGGAGCATACGGGGTTTGATGAATCAAGCCCTGCTTAACCTTTTCGCGATCGCCGACCTCCCCAAGACTTTGAATCTCCGCACTTCGGCCCTCTAAGTCCGAATCGTAGTCATCCATCACTAAGTCATCCCCAGGCTGATGAAAGGGGATGATCGCGAAATTGCGAATCCCAAAATTGAAGATCGCACACCTACTGCTTGGGTCCACACTGAGAATGCTGCCACAACTGTCCAAATCAGGGACCCAGGGACTACGGGTCAGATCATCTCGCTCATAATAATGAATCGAGATTGTGGAAATGCCACGACGCTCCGGATCCCATTCAATCAGGCTGAGTTTAGCATTGCGGAAGGCGATGAGAATGGCATCTCCCCCACTTTTGGATTTCAAAATCTTGACCCGACACAGATTAGTTACTGTGCCGGCCAAAGGGTACTCTCGCTCCAGAACCAGTTTCGTAGTTTGTGCGCTGGATTGCGCTTCCACCCTTTGGATGCCAAGAGGTTTTTGTAATGAGAAAATTTGGAGAAGAGAGGTCTTCACGACAATAAGATTGTTGCATTTTTCGGTCAGGAAGGGTATTGCCAATGAGTGAGTGATCCCAGTAGGGGACACCAAATCGGTATAGCACTGCATCTGCGATAGTGGGGAGAGATTTGCGTTTGTGTTGTTGGAAGAGAAAGGATCTCCCCGGCCGGCCGGCTTTAACTTAACTGCCTTGCCGTTTTCTCAACATTGGGTGCTTCTGAGTAGGAGGAATGAGGGACGTAGGATAGGCCGGCGACGCAACAACAAACAGTACGTATACAATGGAATGAGAGTTGCGTCGAGCGGCAGACAAAAAACCAAAGCTTGGAACCGATTGGATGGTATATTCACGTGACAGACTCCGTAGATGACGTAAGATGTAACAGACAGTCGCTAGGTAGCTAGGTAGTTCAGGCTTTTCTAACTCCGCTCGACATACATGCTACTATGTGCAGGGTAGGAGTACCTGATGTGTCAAGTCTCTCACCTCAGCTATCTCATATCCAGTCTTCCACTCCATGTGAGCCTTTGTTCATATTAGATGGCTTCTCTGCAAGTGTCCCTGATATGGTTCATATATGGCACTGTGATAGCCGTTGCGAGCTTGATAGCTTGGTGCCTAGTACATTTCTATCAAACCCCTCGAGATCGATCGCAGGTTGTGACCTTAACGTGTATTCTTACTATCGCGAGTCTTCTTGCGACCGTACTTTTACTGCCGGTTGACGTCGCTTTGGTCTCTTCAGCCACCTCCTCGACGCTGGGCAAGAGGGAAAGTTGGGCCACCCAGAATGTTGTCGACAAGGACCTGTCTCTTTTGACCGGTATATACTACTTACTCTATTCTCTCGACGCCATCCTATGCCTCCTGGTTATTCCCTTTGTTTACTTCTGGTATGAAGAATATGATGAGGTGGCTAGTGAGGCAGGTGAACAAACCCCGGTACAACGACTCTGGGCTGCCTTCAAGTATGCTATTCCGTTTGTTGCAATCGTCGCAGTGCTACTTCTGGTCGGCGCTCTCGCTCCTTTATCCAAAGCCGAGTATGACAATGAAGGTGTATATTCTACTTACTCGTTGGTTGACAACCGTATGCCTCCGCCTTTTCCTGAGCCTCATTTGTCCTTAGTCAGGTACAAGCTGATGACTCTGTCCTGACTCGGTATCGTCATGAAGCTGACTTTTGTCTATATATTATGTAGGAGGCCGACGAGCCCTAGCATTCACTATTGGGGTACTAATGACGATCGGAGTGCCTTCTTACATCTTGTACACTTCCGCCGGTCTCGCACTCCTTCCTATACAGGCATTGAAGGCTCTATCGGCCTCGAACGATACATGGAAAGCCGCCAATGCCGTGCAACTTGAGTCAAACAGAGAGCGTCAACGCCAGTTGGATCGCCGCTGTGGAGGAAACTCGGGACTTTTGTCCTCCAAAGATCGTAGAGAACTGGATACACTTGTTCGAGAGGAGAGGACATTAATCCGGCGCCAACGCCTTGCAGAGGAAGCTCACGCAGAGGGTCGAAACTGGGTGGTTAAATTATGTCTAAAAGCCAATGCTACATGCCGCCCACTGAGGGTTATTGGCGGTATCACCTTATTTCTAATCGCGTCGCTTATATCGATATCTATGCTATTGACAGCTATCGATCAGACCAGCAGCTCACTCTGCAAGCACCATTGTGGGTACCTCAGCAAAAACCTGCACATATTCAATCCGATGGATCAAATCTTTGTTCAATCTGCGAAGATCTTCCCACTCGACTACCTTATGTTCACCATAATCACTCTACTACTATTCTGCAGCTCAGTATTTGGAATTGCTACAATAGGCATCCGGTTCATTTGGGTGAGAATATATCAGGTCAGAAGTGGCCATACATCTCCACAGGCTCTTCTGCTTTTGTCAGCAGTCCTGATGCTGACAATTTTGTCAATGAATTACTCACTGTGTATGAGTGTGGTCTCACAATACGCAACATTTGGCTCACAAACATTCTGCGACCGCCTGCCAAGTCTCGAAGGACAATCGAGTTGCTCGGATCAAAAGCATCTCATCAAGCGATGTTCTGACACAGCCAACAATATAGCTGCAAAGCGAAATTGCACGCCTAGTGTCACTAGCACATTTGTTAATCAAATCGCAACACAGTTTCCTGTCTTCGGTGTGATACTTTTCTGGTCTCAATACATTTTTATAGGTACAAAATTCCGCAAACTCTCGTACATTAGGAAAGGCCATATCGTTGACAAATTTTTACCCCAGGGGTTTACGCTCTCGTCCTTGTCATGTCAATCGTTCGACCTCTCAAACATGACGAAAGTTCACTTGATGAAGAAGCCGAGGAAGCCGAAGAGGAGAATCTCCTAGCAAGCACCAGAGGACGCAGCGACGCCGGATTGAACAATGTTATTCGAAGGATGGACATGCACAATGATAGCAGAAGTGTGAGATTATAATATCGAGTGTCTCGCTCCAAGTAGGACATAATTCAAGTCCTTCGAATTCTGAGCAGCACTGACAGTCATTCATAGGCACAGTTCACATGCTCTGATATAAGTGGATCGCGCACAGCATGAAACCGCCTGCAGCGAAGATCCCTGCAAAGGAGCCTGGAATGAGCGTGAAACTAGATGATCTATGTTCGGCCTACTGATCATAAGAATGACTAAACGCGGTCGTCCAATAATGCGAGAGCATTCTCGAATGCCCTGACAACATCGATATCTGAGCCTATGATTAGCAGGTTCTCCGGTCTGAAAGTTTGGTGTCTCGAAGATTGGTATACAGTGTTTCTTCTTATTCTTCAAGCTTTCTTCGGAATGCTGGACATGTTGCATCTGAGTCTTGAATCTATAGTCTCCGCATGAGTTACGTCCTTCTCAGATGGAGCCGGGGTGAAAGCGAACCTTTTCAAGGCTCTCGTTTCGTCTCGCCTAATCGTCGTTTGAGACCATACCATAAAAATCTAGGCGGAAATTAGAATGAGAATCGCGCTCGAAGAAAAACAAGGGCAACCTCGAGAAGTTCAGAAGTATGATTTTGGAGAACAACTTCTGCTTCTTTGTGCTTTTCCATAGCCCTGTAGTATTTATTCTCGAGTTCGTCCCAGTCATGCGCATTCAAGCCGTCGGCGGACAAACATTCCATTTGCACAGCTTCAGAACATGCGGCTGCTGAGCGGCCACCCGCCCTCTGATGAGACATTCTCGGTCAAATCCGCTTCTGTGCTTAGAGATTCTATAGTGACAGGTAACATGAAAGCTTGACAACACGACTCCGTCCGCAAGGGGTTGAAAATGGAATACCCGACAAAAAGAGCACTTGAGTTACAGGATCGAGCGGGAAAAGGTTAACGTAATCGTACAGCCAACCGGCGCGACAGCGAACCGTTATTTTCTTATATAACTACCACTATAAAAATCATAACTCTATTATTTTATTTAGAATAGATAAATCAAATAAGATATACAGTTCTTTATATATAAGTCTTATAAGTTATAGATAAAACTATAATAATATATATCTTAAATATATGATTTATAGATATTTTAGATATATTATACTTTAAATATACTGGCTATAGTCTAGTAAAGCTATATAAATCAAGAAATAATACTATATTTTATACTATATTCTAAGATAATATAGCTGAAATTCTCTTTATAATAAATCTTATCTAGCTTTATATTATAATTTACTATATTACTTTTACTAATATTCTTATAGTTAAAAATATAAAGTTGCTATTTTTATAGTGGTAGTTATATAGGGAACGACGGTTCGGTGTCGCGCCGGTTGGGTGTCCGATTACGTTAAGAGGAAATAAAAGAAACAGAACTAAAATAGCGGAGTAGCGGTCAATGCCAAAGTATAGACAGGCATACATTACTGAAATTTACACTGACCTACGTGTTCCCTTCTGTGGCTCACGAAGAGTATCTGTGAGCAGGATAAAGATATAAGGTCCACTGACTTGTTCCATGTGTACGAGTAGTTGATCATCCCAGTTCAGCTTTCTACTGGACCCAAAACAGTGTTTATGCAGGGTAACGTTCGTCTCCATAAGATATGTACGGTAACATTGAGATTGCACTGAGCCAAACAACAAGTAGTCATTAGTTGGTCAATTAGTTAACCACTGTGTAGGGGAGAGGTGACGTAAGCAGCGACCCGTTTTCCTGCAGCATGCTGAGGATTATTAGTCGCTGCCTTTGCGGCTATATTTAATTGCCACTTTGACAAATTATGAGAGACCCTCCCTCCTCCAAGAGCGGCAGATATAGCTACCAGATAAGACAGCCTGACAAGAGCCAGCTTTTTATGGGCTCTCGCACTACGAAACCACGCCAGTGTCACCCCAATGCTTAGCCAACCTGAAGGTCGAATTAGTTGAAATGAGCTGTCACGTATGTTTCCGTGGTTCGGGCTTAAATCTACGTTGTATTTGTCCTATGTGTGCTCGCAATCAACTGTACCAGCTGCGGATCGAAAATGCCACGCTGCTACTAGAGAAAGAGTCTCTAAAGCGAGAAATCGATGCTACGGTGTTGTCAAGGCAGCGTAGCGCCGACCTGCCAGAAAACAAGAACATTTCACCTGGAGACGATGACGGAGTACCTTCCACTTGGATCTCACGGATCATTGTTCATGAGGGAATTGAATCATCTACGAAAACAACAGTCCTTACGCGCCACATTGAGGGGTTGGTAAGCGAAGTTCGAGAAAAAAGGCTCGAAATTTCCCGGCGCAGAGTATCATTAGCACAAAGACAATCAGACTCAGAATCCGCAAAGTATCAGCTCTTGGAGCGCGAAACAGCAATCCTAGCCAGCATCCAGAACAATATAAAGAGGACTGACCATCTGTGGCACTCCCTTCACAGCAAGACTACAGAAGCACGGATATTTCTCTGCCGAGAAGCAGCTAACCTCTACGAGCTACGGCAAGAGTTGAGAATGATTGATGGTGTAATGCAAGAGACCTATGTAATCGGCGGTATGCACTTGGTCGATCTCAGACATCTGAATGGAAAGTATGCCTCGGAAAATTCGGCTTGGTATGTTTGGGGTATTAATCGTCTGAGCAGGCACCTCGCCCGCGCACATATCAACGTCGTTCTCATATGTCGCCCAGCTGCTGGCTCTTGTCTCTCACTATTTATCTCTGAGACTCCCCGCAGAAATCACACTTCCTCACCGGAATTATCCTTTGCCAACTATCTTCACGCCCTCTGCATCGTATGTCTCCAGAAACACTGACTCGCGGCTGCCGGCTTCACAACAATTCGGACCTACTCCGGCGGAAAATTCGCGATTTGACTCAAACCGTCTCTCTCGGCCAAGGCCCTTAACTATCGACAAAAGTCTTCCTAGGTTGGCGAAGGAGGATCCCGCCACCTACGCCCTTTTCCTCGAAGGAGCGACATTACTAGCTTGGGACGTTGCCTGGCTTTGCCACACTCAGGGGCTCAATCCTGTATCGGATTCGTGGGAGCATATCTGCGACATGGGGAAAAATTTATGGCAATTACTTGTTGCACCTCCTGCACAGCCATCAACCCTAACGAGAGCATTTGCTGGTCGAGATATTCACGTAAAGACGAAGACAACTAAAATCCTACCCAAGACTAGTATTCATCGAACCGTGTCATTCCCCATGCTAGGACATTATTCGCACGGCACCGCGCATTCATTTCTGGGTGCTGCCGAGAGTGCAGAGTTCATGCGCACGTGGAGGCTTCCACCTCCGATCCGGGTCATAGACAACCTGAAATCGACATTGATGGGGGAGCTGGCGAGTGCAGAATGGGAACTGCTCGAAAGACGCGAATGGGACGACATGACTCTTGAACGAAGCCGTTCTGTGTCTCAGTGCTCTCTCGTGGCTCCTGCTACTGCTTGCGATTCGGGGTCTATTGATGCAGATGCAATCTCGGAATCATACCGTCCGGATTTATCGACTGTACGCAGCGATTTTTCTCGTGTAAAAGGTGTGAGTGGCTGGACCAAATTGAGAAATAGATAGCACATTGGAAGACTAAGCATGCAGACTCCACGTACTGTACTGATGTCATCTATTGCAAAAAAAATCTTTGAAGAAAAAAGGACCAAGCATAGAGCAGTGGTTTGAGCAATGCGGCTGGCAATTGTCTACCCTGCTTTCTTCGTATAGTACGAGCGTTTATTCCGTTTGAAAAACCTACTATAGGTAGTAATCTGCCAGACTGTATTAACCACATTATACCTGAATTAGTTGACGGCAGGACAGTCAGTACTTATGTGTTGACTAAAAAGGGGGTTTTAAACTAGTTAATAACTAATTAATTAGAGTTATCCATGGCTAGCCCAGGGTGCATTATCATCCACTGCTGCTGTTAATCGACATGTGGTTCTGTTCTAGATACCAATTGGAGCTACTCCAGCGGTATGTCAGGTCTTTGCCGAAGGTATTTTGAATAGATAAAGTATACCCTAACCATAAGTAGTCTGAGGATGGAATAAAGAACTGCTTATTTATTTTTGCTAATCGATTTGTAATCACAACAACCAGGATGATGATGATGATGAGGGAAAAGAGACGGGACAGGCCACCGCTTTCGCAGTGAGGAAGGCGCATTCTCGTAACTTACTACTAACTTAGTACGGAGTACGGAATACTGTTACCTTACTAAGCATTTAGTGTATTACATAAGCAGGGTAAGATAAGATTATCAGCGATTCGACGCGTGTCCATCGAGTGAGTCCAAGAACAATCCTATGCATTTGCCTGCGATAAAAGATCATGACACAAACTACAAATTCTTCTTGCTAGGCTAGTCATTCAGAGGCACACTCAAGTATCTGAGTGATAGTATCTGTGGCAGTTTGTTCCCCCCACTTTTGTCTTGAGATTGTTCTCCTTTAACTCAAGGAGCAGAGGCCGCGCCCAAAGCCTACTACCAGGTCATGAATAGAGCGGAAGTCCTAAATATCCACGGGCCCCTAAACAAGAATGAACAGAACTTCATTATGGGAGCAGGCTAATATTAGCTGTATTGGTGAGTCATAGTACAGCCAAGAGCAAGTAGACGTTGATTGTGCACTACAAACGTATTCTCTTTGCATGTTCTTGCGCTCCCTGGGTAGCACCATTTAGAAACTTGCTAATGTCACAGGCTTCGAAAATACCAACATGTTTGTTTCGAGTATTCCGGATACTCTTCTTCGAGCTGAGATAACACGGCGAAACTCAAACGACCATGCCGCAACCTGTGGTTCAAAAGAAAGAGGTGTTTACAATACCAAAATACACGTCCTAGCTCTTTTTCTTATACTTGTGCTGAGCACTCTTGGTATGTCTCAGCTCCTGTTGTACCTTACATAGTCTCCAGAATCTAATACCATAGGTGCAAGCATGTTCATTCCCTGTACTTGCCCGTCGATTTCCCCGGTTACCCGTACCGCGCCGATTTCTTTTTCTATCTAGGCATTTTGGAACAGGCGTGTTGATTGCTACTGCCTTTGTCCATCTGCTGCCTACCGCATTTGTTTCATTGACTGATCCTTGTCTCCCTCGCTTCTGGAGTGAAACGTATCGTGCCATGGCTGGATTCGTCGCCATGATATCAGTCTTCGTCGTCGTGCTTGTGGAAATGTTCTTTGCCCTGAAAGGGGCTGGTCATCTTCATGGGAGCGAATATGATCAGCTGATAAATGATGCTAGTGTAGATTTGCCAACGTTGGACCTGCATGATGACTTAGAGGACGAACAAGAGCCTGCACATAGTGTCAATCCTGGTAGGCTTGGAGCATATCATAGAGCAGATGCGATTCCAACATTGTCGGATCCTTCTCTTAGCAGCTCGACTGATGGGCCGGCTCTGTCTAACTCTAGGAATCACGGCATGCCGACTGACTGTATAAACCTCGCAAGGCCACACTACCACAATACATTTGACAGGAAGAGCGATCGCATTCATCGACGCTCGTCCTCTAGCGATCGACATTCTCATGCCGATATGCACCAAAGGACGAATATGGAGTCACCGAGACACAATCCACAGCGACAATTACTGCAATGCCTGCTGCTGGAGGCAGGTATCCTGTTCCACAGCATCTTTATTGGGATGGCCCTCAGTGTTGCCACGGGCACATCCTTCATCGTCCTTCTTGTCGCCATCTGTTTTCATCAGACGTTTGAAGGGTTTGCTTTGGGTTCAAGGATTGCGTCGCTGATCCCTGACCTATTTGCTCCATCCTCCATGAGACCATGGCTGATGTCGCTCGCTTACGGAACCACCACCCCTATTGGACAGGCCATTGGCCTGATATTGCATAATTTCTATGATCCAGCCAGCACTACGGGACTACTGATGGTTGGTATCACAAATGCCATCAGCAGTGGTCTTTTATTGTTCGCAGGGCTTGTTGAACTTTTGGCAGAAGACTTTTTGAGTGAACCGAGTTATGCAACACTTAGAGGTCGCAGGCGCGTTGAAGCATGTGTCGCAGTCATGGCTGGAGCTCTTCTAATGGCATTCGTTGGGGCTTTCGCTTGACTGGCTAAGATCCATCCTAATTTCTTGTCATATCAGTCTCAAGTACATAGCGCTTTCGTTCAAGGATATCTAAGATGCAGTTCATAATTCCCTCTCCATTCAATCATCTGGGACTTACCGACCAACCAATGCAAGTAGCGAATATCAATTTCAGCCTTTACCTTGGCAAGCCTCACTCGACCAGAACCTGTTTTGGTGGACAATTCCGATCTTGATACCTTAATTGTTGAGATTTGAATCTTCGCCTCCAGTAATACTCATCTAGTGGAATGAACATGCACTTTGCGTCCGTCTTACGATCCGAGGGACTATTTTCCATGCAAGAGCGTGTTGTGCTACTTCCGTGTCGATATGTCGCGAACGCGTTGACTCGGATATATACTGTACGTTCGGGCTTAGCTGAGCGAGCCTGGTGTTTCGGGTACCCGTGAGCCGATACGAAGCCAATGATACTATAAGTACGGCAATGTCACATGAATGACTAGTCAAAGATGTAGCAACCCAAGCAAACCCTTGTAAAGCAGGAAAAAAACCTGCAAATGAATTGACAGTTGAGGTCAAGCACGGCGCAAATCGGGCGTTATCTCCTGATAGATACATAGTGCTATGTGATATCTTTTATCCTCATCAAGATATGTGACTGGAGCATGCATTGTGAGCATGTCCGCGCGGGTGTTTCTGATGAATCTCCTTTTGAACAAAGATTATCATGAGCTTCAGAATCACTAGCCCTAGATTTTCAAGCATTAGATAAGTGATTCGACGACCATGGCGCTCGCACCACCCCCTCCGTTGCAAATTCCCACACATCCAATCTTGGCTTTCTGAGCTTTGAGAACACCAAGCAAGGTGGTCAAAATACGAGCACCACTAGCACCAATAGGATGACCAATTGCAACAGCACCGCCGTGGATATTAACCTTCTCTTCGGGGATGTTGAGCAGTTTCATATTAGCAAGGGCAACCACGCTGAATGCCTCATTGATCTCGAATACATCCACAGAATCTTGAGTAACGCCTGCATGTGCAAGTGCCTTGGGGATCGCGAGAGCTGGGGCAGTAGTGAATTTGCTTGGCTGGTGAGCAGCATCTCCCCATCCAAGAATTTTAGCGATGGGCTTGAGGTTAAGCTCTTTCACCTTCGCCTCTGACACCAGAACGATAGCTGCAGCCCCGTCATTCAAAGGGGAAGAGTTAGGAGCTGTGACAGTTCCAGAACCTGGGATAAAAGCAGGCTTGATGGCCCGAAGCTTCTCGGGATTGAGCTAAAAGGGAAACGGTGAGCGATGGGGCCTGCGTGTCTGCGACAAATGTACCGCGAGAACTCACATTCTTCGGCTCCTCGTCCTGAGACACAGTGACACCTGGCTTGCCTCTGAATCCAGGCAGTTCAACGGGTGCAATCTCATCATCAAAAAGACCCGCTTTCTGTGCAGCCTGGGCTTTTTGATAAGTACGGATAGCATATTCATCTTGCTGTTCCCTACTCAAATCATGGTCCTGTGCACATTCTTCAGCTTGAAGCCCCATAAGCTCTTGCTTGCCCGCATCAGTCAGGCCGTCTTTCATTATACCATCCACCAAGTTTTGATGACCATATTTGGCACCAGTGCGAAGATTTGGGAGGTAGTGCGGGGCGTTCGACATGGACTCAGCGCCACCGGCCACAACAATATCAGCGTTACCGGTCATAATGGTTTGGGCTCCAAGGATGACTGCTTTTAGACCGGAAGCGCAAACCTTGTTGACCGTGGTACACACCGTCGACTCTTCGAGCCCAGCCCCAAGAGCACATTGCCGAGCGGGATTCTGGCCAACACTATGAGGGTCGTGTCAGAGACAACCTGTAATAAATACGATCCAACCGGGAGGTGTCTCACTTCGCAGAGAGGACATTGCCAAAAAATACTTCCTGAACATCCGATGGCTTGATGCCATCGGCTTTGCTGAGGGCAGCTAATCAGAAGTCTCATTAGATCTTGCATCTCAAGCGGAACAGTTGGTAATCAAACCTTTGATCGCATGAGAGCCTAGCTGCGGGGCAGTCTGGCTTGAGAGGGAGCTGCACGAACAGTCAGAGTGCGTTAATTCAGCTCAAACCCGTCTACATCATTCTCACCCCTATCAAAACTCACCCTAAGAATGAGCCCACAGGAGTCCGGGCCGCTGAAACAATGTAGACAGGAGGAAGCGAGGACATGATGCACAGTTTGGCCAGTAAATCTGTGTTTCAGATATAGTATAATATGAGAGAAACTGAACGTCACAGTAGGACTGTGAAATACCAGGTCTATGTTCACTTGACTGCTAAAGGGAAGCGAAAGAGATGAGTCGGCACGGAGGGTAAAGTAGGAATTGTCACGCGGGATCGGTGAAACAAACAGAACTGTTCGTGCTGTCCCCCACTAACTACTGCTAGAAACTGCTGACTCTACGCCCCAAACGAGGGGGCCAGCATCGGCTGGCTTTCTGGAGGGGCGGGGCAACGGACGGACAAACGTACTACTTACGGAGGGAACTCAACGGAGCGAAACAAGACGCCAAGCTCGGGCCGGGGTGATGTGATTTGCCTCGTAAGTATCCGGGCACAACCTCAACAGCTCCACAGCAGGGAAAAAGCATAAGGACGAAGAGGCATTCCCTGGCAAGGGCAGCATAAGTCGCAAAAAAGAAGGAAAGAGAAAAAACAAAGAAGATAGGGTCACTATCACCGTCAATTCGGCAAGCAATTGAGGTCAGACAACGAGGGTCTGGCTGATCATTCTTAAGAACGACCCCCTCCAGAAAAAAGAGATGCTCTGTCGGCTCCAGCCTTGGTAAGTTTTGTGTGAGCCGCCCAATATACTTAGTGTTCAAGCTACTATCTTCACACGTCGCGATGGACGATCTCTACGACGAGTAAGTCCCCTCTCTCTGCCTCGTCTGGATCCGTAGCTGACAGATAGCTTGCTTAGATTCGGCAACTATATTGGCGAGGTGGGAGAATCGGATGAAGAATCTGCTCACCATCGCGGTGATGAGCCCCAATCATCTGCTTTCGACGAAGCTTTCACGGGAGATGAAGATGATACAGCCAGTGAGCATCAATTGATGGAAGTGGACGGTACGTATTGATTCGACTTCGGCCTTTGTTTAAGCGTATACGACTAAGCCATCTTATAGAAGGTCCGTCGAATGCCGTTATTCTTCATGAAGACAAACAGTATTATCCAAGTGCTCAGCAAGTGTACGGGGAAGATGTCGAAACTCTTGTCCAAGAGGAGGACGCGCAACCTCTTTCGGAGCCTATGATTGCGCCAGTGCAACAAAAGAAATTCGCAATTGAAGAAGCAGAGCTGCCGCGAGTTTATTACTCACGTGAATTTATGATGGACTTGCTCAGTTTTCCTGAGCAGATAAGGAATATAGCAATTGTCGGTCATCTACATCACGGCAAGACGGCTTTTATGGACATGCTTGTTACGCAGACCCATGATTTAACTGATCGCTTGGAGAAGCGAGCCGGTAAACGAAAAGAGGAGCAACTTCGTTATACTGATGTTCACTTCTTAGAAAGGGAAAGGGGACTTTCTATCAAGACGGCTCCAATGAGCTTGGTCCTTCAAGGCACGAGAGGCAAATCCCATCTTTTCAATATTCTTGATACTCCGGGACATGTCAATTTCGTCGATGAAGTGGCGGCTGCATGTCGGCTAGCTGACGGTGTCGTGCTGATCGTCGACGTTGTCGAAGGCGTGCAAGCCAACACTGAGCAGATCATCAAGCACGCTATACTTGAAGACCTCCCACTCACGCTTGTTCTAAACAAGATGGATCGCTTGATTTTGGAACTCAAGATACCACCAAACGACGCTTACTTCAAGTTGAAGCACGTGGTTGAGGAGGTCAACACTATTATCGAGAATGTCATACCAGGTCAGGGTGAGAAGAAACGACTCAGCCCAGAACGGGGCAATGTTTCCTTTGCATGCGCGTCCATGGGATGGTGCTTCACCTTGGAATCGTTTGCCAAGATGTATGCAGAATCCCATCCTCAGATTGAGCCCGTCGAGTTCGGTCGACGTCTATGGGGCGACATCTTCTACAATCCTAGGAGTCGAAAGTTCACACGCAAGGGATTGGAGGATCAATCAAAGAGGACATTTATAAAGTTTGTTCTGGAGCCTATTTACAAACTTTACTCGCACACTTTGAGCGAAAGTCCAGAAGACCTCAAAGACACGCTGTCCAGCATTGGTATTGATCTCAAACCGTCGCAGCTGAGGGCTGACGCAAAAGCCCTAATTCACCTGGTTTGTGATCAATTCTTCGGTCCTGCAACAGGATTCGTGGATATGGTGCTTCAGCACGTACCCTCCCCAGCAGCTGGTGCACAAAGGAAACTGGAGCGGCATTACACAGGGCCTTTGGATACAAGGGTCGCAGCGGCAATGGCTGTGTGCGACCCTGATGGCCCACTCGTGGTACATGTTACAAAGCTCTTTGCCAGTACGGACGCTTCTAAATTTCACTCATTCGGAAGAATCATGAGTGGCACGGTCAGGCCTGGTCAACAGGTCCGTGTACTTGGTGAAGGCTATACCCCCGAAGACGAGGAGGATATGGTTATTGCAACAATCTCTGACGCATGGATTGCGGAAACCGCCTACAGCATTCCAACGACCGGAGTTCCTGCTGGCAATCTTGTTCTTCTCGGGGGCGTAGACAATTCTATTGTGAAGACAGCAACTATTGTGCCACTCCAGCTTGATCAAAATGAGGACGCCTACGTTTTCAATTCGATCCGGCATATGAGTGAATCTGTGTTTAAGGTTGCTGTCGAGCCCGTCAACCCTTCTGAATTGCCCAAGATGCTTGATGGTCTTCGTAAGGTGAACAAAAGCTATCCCTTGGTTTCGACCAAAGTAGAGGAATCAGGTGAGCACGTGCTTCTGGGGACCGGTGAGCTCTATGTGGACTGCGTGCTTCACGATCTTCGGAGATTATTTTCCGAAATGGAGATCAAAGTCTCGGATCCTGTTACCCGCTTTTGCGAGACTGTTGTTGAGACATCAGCCATCATGTGCTATTCCATCACTCCCAACAAAAAGAACAAGATTACCATGATTGCGGAACCTTTAGATGATGGTATTGCTGAGGATATTGAGAGCGGCAGAGTGAGCATCAAAGACCCAATCCGCAAAGTGGCTCGCTTCTTCGAAGAAAAATATGAATGGGATAAGCTGGCGGCGCGAAGTATCTGGGCATTTGGTCCCGATGAGATGAGTCCCAATATCCTGCAGGACGATACCCTGCCTTCCCAGGTCGACAAAAAGCTTCTCGGCAGCGTCAGGGATTCCATCACCCAAGGTTTCAGCTGGGGCACGAGGGAAGGACCTTTATGTGAAGAACGTAAGTTATCGTCTGTTCTTGCAGGTCCGCATCTGCGGGTCCGAGATGGAAGAAATTATTGTTTCGAACCAGCTAACTGGAATCACAGCGATCCGTAACGCACGTTTCAGGCTCACAGACGTCTCGCTTGCTGATCAAGCCATCTACAGAGGAGGTGGGCAGATCATCCCCACCTCCCGACGGGCTATCTACTCTTCTTTTTTGATGGCATCTCCGCGTTTAATGGAACCCATTTACGCCTGTACAATGACAGGGCCTGCAGATGCGGTCGCATCGGTGTATACTGTCCTTTCTCGGAGACGAGGCCACGTACTTTCCGATGGGCCTATCGCCGGCACGCCACTTTACACTGTCCGCGGCTTGGTACCAGTGATAGACTCCTTCGGGTTCGAGACAGACCTCAGAATTCATACGCAAGGTCAGGCAGCTGTGAGTCTCGTTTTTGACAAGTGGAGCGTCGTCCCAGGGGACCCACTCGATCGTGAAGTCAAGGTAAAGCCGTTGGAAATGGCTCCTGCAATGGCCACCGCTCGCGACTTTGTCCTCAAGACTCGAAGGCGCAAGGGTCTGGCAGAGGATGTAACTGTGAGCAAGTTCTTGGAGCCGGAACTGTGGAAGGGATTAAAGGAAAGCGGTGTTCTAGACTCATGAAAAACTTGGCCATGGTGGTGACTATATGATCTATTTGTTACAAGTTGTACTTGATGAAACGTTGTAAGATCATGATCATATGCAGGATTACTTCTTTGTTATCATCCATGGTGCAAAGTCGAGAGCAACTTGGATGAAACAAAAGTCAACAACTGTAAGATCTAGCAAAATCACCGGCAGCTTTCGAGCATTTTTGCAATAACTCCCATAAGTGTTCCATTTTCCAACGCAGCAGCCACTCTTTCTTTATCGGCTAGCTGTTTATTGACCTCTTCAGCTGTACTATGAGAGCCTTCTTTGATCCGCACATCCACACGAAACCGTGGCGGGAGCGACTGCTCAAGCCGAACACGTACGCCAAGGCCTATCACTGTAGCAAGGCTGCAGTGAGTGATTGTCGGTGTTATAAGGACAGATATTGTTCGAAGGTCTGAACCTAGAACATCTGGAAGGGTTGGCTTTATGGCAATGTCCGGAAGCGACACAACGGCCAATGCACCCAGTGAGATCGGATGTTCTGGATCCGATATTGACGATATGAGATCTGACAACCACAATTGATTCTTTTATTAAGGACACTGTCCGGTACATACAGAAATCGGACGGGCGAAAACATACCATATATCTCTTGCTCATCTATCGGCTCTTCTATCACGTCTTCGTCACTAGAATCTGACGATAAATTCAAGCCTGTGGGCCAGTCAATTGAGTATGCGGACGTTGAGAATATTGAAGCAAGAGCCCCAGTGCTGCCCGTTCCTGCTTTGCTCGCTGCCGCCGAACTCAGTCGAGTGGGGAGATCGGCGACGTTAAGTATAGTCGGATTCGAGTTTTGTACCTCAGACGCCATGTTTTCTTGACTCTGGATCCTTGAAGATTGAAGCCAAAAATCCCGTGCGGAGTTGGGTCTCTCCGGGAGGGGTAATCACGTCAACAAGCTGTGGAACAACGATGGTCCGGGTATCTGAGCCAATTTTGAAAAGCAGCTTCTGGCTGAGTGTACCCAGTTTCTCGGATGTGCAATTATCATATTACTGGTAAGTCATTTATCCCTTAGTGAACAAGGAATGATCCTCAATGCAGAGAAATTTAATGAAATACCGTTTTGCTATCAGCTACACAAAGTCTCCAAGATGAAATACCGCTTTGCTATCAGCTACACGAAGTGTCCAAGCCTGTGGTAACACGATTCTTGCTGTGGCATACAGCAGGATGCGGAGTCTTTCTTTTTCCGTGCGCTGGTATCACTAGCCAAAATGTGCAGAGTTTAGAGTATCAGTATCACAACACGCTTATCGAGCTATAGGAGAGCCATACAAGATATTTTGGTTTATGTTCAGACCACCTTGAGATGTGTGCAGTGCTATTGTACAGAGCTGATGATGGTCCTTCATCAGAACCATGAAGGCATTATCTGATTTTAGCACATGCAATTCCATCTATGTACTCTTGTCCGATCATCGGGCAATCAATGGCCACAGTAACAGTCAGAAGTTTAGGACTAAAAGAGTAATTACACATGACTAGCGTACTATGTTAGTGATGCCTGTAGGTGATAAGCAGACCAACAGTGATTCTCACACTCGTGGAAAAATGGCCTAACTGAACTGTGCCGCTCAGAAGACCGCGGCGACAAAACAGCGTGATGACCTAACCAGGGTGGTCGGCAACTTAGCATCAGTGGATTGTTCCCGCGACTCCTCCAGCTCAGCCCAGCCCAGAAGTGTTCCTGTGGCTTATTTGCGAGACATTGCCTCGAGGAGCCTCTTTCAATGCACTTAGACTCAGGGCTTTCATCATATATTCTACATTTTCTAGTGATCAGCCTCTACCTCCGTGGTTTAGCTAGGCCAGTTATCATTAGTCCGATTCAACCTCAAAACCTTGGTCTGCGCCATGCTCGCCTTTTAGAGTGAATCTAGATGGTGACCGCCAAATCAAGTTGTGATGTGCCAATACGACTGGTTTCCTTGTCTAATCAAATATTCATCGGAGATTCACAATATCTACTGGTAGTGCACACTACAATGCAGACTGGTTAATCCTGCACCCTCATCAAATATTGAGTATAAACCCTCGTCTCTCTAAACCCCCACACTCCATCCATCTCCCCGTTTCCCCCCCTCTCGCGCCCTTTCCCCCCCTCTACTTGGTGGCTATTATCAGAGCCTTGTGTCTACTCACATGCTCAATTCTTACCATTCGAATTTTCCCGAGCATTTTTGCACACTTTGTATGTATTGACAGCGAGTAATTCTGCTTGCTCTATCCCCTCCTGCTTCATGTCTCCTGTCGGTCATTATGTTCTTTACTGAGTCGCGCATGTCTCAAAAACAACTGACAAGTCATAGTCACGAATGCAGCTTTCTTCGAAACGTCTATATTTCTCTGGTTATTCGCGTCTGAAGTCGACATATAATCGTTCGAATCTTCATATCTCCTAAAATTCATACTTGCGCGGTAATTTCCTGGTGTCCATTCCAGGCAGTCATTTGGGTCAGAATACATTGTGAAACGACTGTGGCCTTTTTCCGCAAGTCACTATTACGTTCTGGAAAACGGATGTTTGAGCGAATGCACGATCCGACCCGTCTAACGTCTTCGTCAACGGAGTTCACCATAGGCTTACTGCCCCTCTCCAGACTTACCTACGCCGCTTTTCCATGGCAAATCGTCCACAGCCGTAAATAGACCACTCCGACTACAATTTCTCAAGTCTAGAACGACACAATCAGCTTCGCTTCGCTTTGCTTCATTGCTGCCTCTGGCGCTCTTACTTTGCTGCATTGCCACACCATTCGAGTGATCCGACCAAGGCAGGCCTTACGGACTTACTCTGGAAGATCTCTTGGCGAACGTGCCCTATCTATGCTGCCCACGAGTTGGCACTGGCTTCTTTCTTAACCACGTCGGTGATCCACCACCTGTTAGATATGCAGAGCTATTCATTTGCAGCACCAGTCGGTGCTCCCAGAGAAGGGCAGAAAAGTAAGGTCTCCCATACTTCACAAATTCGGAAACCTCGGCACATCACTGACTGAGAAACTCCCCTTTCGATATCTTCTTTCCAGTTGTTAATAACTTATATAGATTATGTTTTTGTCGATGAACATAACCGGCACAAACGACTTAAAGGTATGTCACGAAATCATTCTGTCACTTTTACAACAATCTGGGACTAAGGACTTTATATACTAGTGATGCGAGCCTGCAATGGCTGCAGGAAGCGGAAAATTAAGTGTGATGCTGCGACAACCAATACGTGGCCCTGCTCAGCTTGTACTCGCCTAAAACTTGTATGCGTTCCTCCTACAATTGGACAAGAGAATGAATATTCCTCTGGACAAAGTATCGAGCCAAGCTCTGCAGGTTCTTTACCGGCATCTAATGCGCCAGAGCCTTCGGTTTCCTCCTACGCGATTTCGCAGGCCTTCAGAGAGGACGGTCAACCTACCGTAGGGCATATGACTTCTTATCATGATGAACTCGGTGTCTATACACAATTTGCTCAGCCGGCTTCAAGTCAGTCCGGTGCTTACGACCTACGGTCATCGCATGTTCCTGTACCGCATCATGCTTTTCAGCAGTCGCAGGGGTTCACGGGTGACCATACGCAGACTCTAGGCGCTGCGGAGAGGGATGTTTTCAACGAACATGACCCCTCAACAGCAGAGAATCTGAGTGAAGTTCTTGGCGAGCTTAGGATAGACGAGACGGGCATCGGTAAGCATTAAAAAGCCCATCTGAATCTCTTAGCCAGTAACTTACGCCCACACAGCGCCATATATAAGGCAGCAAAGAAAAGAGAGGGCCGAACCAGAAATCCCAACCCAGGATGACGCGGATGAAAAGCTCCCTCCTTTAAGCACTGGTGCCGGTTCCACCATACGTATTCCACCTGAGCTTATGCCGTCGGATGATGAGGTCATGAAGTACTTCAAGATTTACTTTGATGATATACACCCCTACGTTCCGGTCGTGCATAGGTCTCATCTCTACTTCCAATGGCAACATGAACGGAGCTCTATCTCTCCGCTATTACTTGAAGCAATGTTTGCATGCGCTGGAAGGTTGTCTGACGATCCTGCTCAGGGAGCTCAGTGGCTAGCATTAGCAAATAGTGAGCCGATGTAGCCCCTTTGTGCAGCGTAATATCTATCATGTGTTTCTAATACATACATTCATTCCAGGACATGAATCCAGCTTCATGGATGAGCCACGTCTGAGCACGATTCAGGCCTTACTCTTGCTTCTCAAGGCTCGGGAATCTAGGCCAAAAAAGGGCTATTACTACCGTTCTTGGCAAACAGTCAAGACCATAGTCTCCATGGCCAAAGACCTGGATATACATGAGCACAAAAATATTCATGCAGAGGAACGATCCTGTGATTTAAATCCTGTTGAGTGCTTGGTGCAAACAAGGGTATGGCAAGCTCTACTAGTTGTAGAGGTGATGATAGGCGCTCCTCAGGGTATGCTCACTGCACTGTTCATGATTTGCATAGTACTGACATTGCTAGGTCGCTCGGACTATGGTGTTGATCCAAGCACTGTGAACATGAGTCCCACGCTGGATATTAGAGGCCTTGATCAATTTGAGATCGACCGATCTAGGCAGTATGCCTATTTTGTCAAGAACGCATCCCATATTCGCACCATCGCGGACATCTATCATAAGATCAAGAAGCAGAAGGATTGGGGGGCGAACCCCAAATTCGTTGAGAAAAATCCGCTCTTCACTGATTGGCTTCAGAGTCTGCCTGCTGATCTACAAGTGAATTATCCGCCCGACGGTTCGCCGCCTTGGATTCCTTCTCATTTTGTTGGGAATATGCATTCTCACTGTCATCTTGGGATTATTTTGCTGCATCGACCACAGCTATTAGCATCGAAATCCTTCACTGCCGGAGGAGGCTGGAAGATGCACATGGCATTGTGCTATTCATCTGCCAAATACTTATGTAGACTACAGGAATCTATTCTCAACCGCTTTGGCCTATCTGGCCTTCTTTTCATGCAGAGGGGTATCAACTTCACAATTTACACTGTCTTGACCTGCACAATGCTACATCTCGTGAGTGGCAACATCTTGCCCTCTTCTGTGAGCTCCTGTTAATCTTTCTATAGGTTGCTATAACTTCACCAGATCCGAACTTCCATACGGACGCCAGGGAGTATTTCACGCGACACATGCGGATACTTGAGCGATGCTCAACTGCTTGGCCCATGCCAGAATTACAAGCTCAAATCGATTCACTGCGTTTCGCATTTTCCGCTGACGTTAACCGACCCTTCGAATTGAAACCAACTTTCCCATATGGCAGTCCCTCAGAACCATATCATCCGAGCCCGCCGTTGGATTCAAGTTATGGTACCCAGTTGAACCAGGCGTCCAATTTTCCTAGTAGAGTGGGTCATGCAGCATATCAGGTTACCCCTCCAATAACTACTAGTACTGAAGAGTCAAAGTCCGATTCGTCACACCTTCAGCCGTTGGGTTTAATTCCATCCCAGTCAATTCCGACCCATACTATAGATGCGCCTCTGGTCGATGAGAGTAGCTGGGACCCTACTCGCATCATCAAGTAAGAGTAACTCCTCATCTTGATTCGTTGGCCACGAGCATCGCTAACACACCTACTCTCAATGAAGCCAATGGGATATGGCATTCTCTATCGGACCTCCCACTGTCAACGCTAATTCACCACCCATGGCCATGAGCAATCCTTCACAGGTAATACAGTCATCTATCGCAGGTTCCTTTCCTGTCCATTATGCACAGCCGGCCACAAAGATTACTCCAATCGCCTCCTCCCAGTCGCTCCCACAATCCCATTTCACGGGGCAACAAGTGCTTTTTACTGCACGTGACTGGCAACAGAGCGTTGCTAGTGTGTACGATCCTAATGGCTTGAAACGACGATGGAACTATCCTGTCGACATGGGCACCGAGGAAGTCTCTAAACGACAACATTCATGAGCTCTTAAAATGTTTTTGAACCAGGACAGCTCTGAGCACGGCCATGTCCAGCTGCTTCTGCGTGCAACAAGTGCCTACTGGGCGTCACTATTGCTCGACCGTTCACATGTGTCATCCTCTTGCGCCCACCTTTTGTCAAAAATCTTTTGGGAATGCTTACCCTGGAATATACCCTTTTGAGTGTACATTTACACATTATCATACCCAAATACTCGCAAGTGAAACAAGGTAAAACAGTTCTAGCTTCCAAGTAGTATCGCATCTATTTCGTGGCCATAGAACTTGAGATTCTTGTCCATCAACAACACCAAGGGCAGTGCTTATTGAGGCGTGAAATTCCCTCCCCTACGTTTTTTGAACATACGTACATACTTGTGAAACCAAGAGATGCTCAACTAGAAAACTAAGAAATGTTCGTTCGTCTCGTTAGGCAGGTTCCAAACATTCCAAGAACAGGGAAGGACAAAAAAAACCTATGTGGCAGGCATTGGCCGCGAAACGAGGAGTCGCTGTAAAAAAAAAAGGTTTTTCTTTGAACATACCGTTTGCACAGTATGAGAAATTGTAGAAGGCGGCCCGGAGAGGTCTGGATACTAAGGGCTGCTGCAGGGTGCGACAAATGTAGGGCAAGGCGAAAGAAGAGAATCAATTGCATGATTGCTTAATGATGACGTGAAACACCTATACGTTCCTCTCGAGAACGAATAATTTTCGCCTTATCCCCAGGCAGAGGTTTCAACTCATCACTTGGGTCGAAGTTGACGGGATAATTCTCGGTAGCATGAGGCTCATTTCCATTGCGTTGAGTCAGCTTGCAAAGTCGCGCTTGTTCGAATGCAGCCAGGTCTTCTGAGGTCACGGCTATTGCGGTTGGCTTACGGCGAAGCATGTTGTGGAGTCAATAGAGAACTCAGGTGAATCAGTCGTTCTGGCCGGATATAGATGACGGTGATATTGGGGTTGGTAGTCTCTATTACAGTGCGGATAACTTATAGCTTTGCGTGTCAATCACACCTCACGTGACCACGCAGCATCCGTGGCTTGCGATAAACAATTTTACTCTCACATTACATCTGTTGGAATACAGCCTAATCACCATCAAAGATGATACAGCCCAGCATTTTGCGTCTACATCGTGGGCGTGCTATACTAGCTGATAAACCTCACACAATTGTTCGTTGCTTCTCCGCCAACCACTCATTCGCCCAAATTAATACACCTCGACCCAGTAAGTCTGCCTCATGGTGATGCCAATCATAGGGCTGCCTTCCTTACTCACGAAGCCTCTCGACATCACCAACCGGGCTGGAGCACGCATTTCTATTCCATTGTTGGTTCTAAATATTGCTAGGCACTCACGAGAATTCCATTTCCACCTCGAAGTCGGTGGCTGAATCCTTCCAGGCTCAGCACCCTAGAAGGTCCAAAATCCCACCAGCACGCCTGAACCTCAAAGATGCAGGCTCGAGTCGTCCTCTCCCTCGACGAGTTGTCGATGCAAGATCTATGGCCGCCAGTCGAAGCGGCTCTCAGCCTGCCATTATCATACGAGGGCCAAGGCTTCGGACTCCTCGCAACTTGATGTCTGCCCGTTCCGGCGGACCGAGACCCCCCAATCGGACCGCTACAACCAAAGACCGGAAACAGGGTCGCCCGCGGGCTAAATCAGACGCCTTTGTAAACGATGACGACTATGACGAAGAAGGGGTGGAGAAAGCCCTTGCTGAGCTTGCTGAACAGTCGAGGCCTGTGTCTATTCGTTATGATCCAGAGCCGGTCACTTTGAAATCTCTAAAGGAGACGTGGCCATCTTTACCCACTGACCTCCGTGCCCACACAGCTGGAGTCGCTGAAAAGCTGTCCTCGCTCAGTGCCCGCTTCGGCGACGGCTATGTATCTTCCTCAGAAATGGGCAAGCGTCTTTTCCAGGGCAAATACGTCCGCTTCCTAGACGAGGAAGAGAAATCACTTGCTATGACAGAGGCAATGAGGCTATCCCAAGGACTTGCGGACAAGCTTTCACAACGAAAAGGCGACATTGTTCAACCCAAAGAAATTACCTTTAGTCCGATCGGCGAAAAGGATCGAAAGACTCTGATTGAATCGCTTGTTCAAGGCAAATATTCTAAGGCCGGTGATCAGTCTTCAAATTCCCCCACCTTCGATCGACTTGCGACGAACCTGATAAACAACGGGACGTATCAGACGGCAGGGAAAGACGTGCAGTTTTTTGCTAAAGTGGAATCACTGTTGGCTTCAAATCGTCGCATTTAATCTCGATTTTGTCGTTCCTTATGTAAATTTAGTCATTGTTCTATCTACGAAGTACATGTTGCTGTCGCTTGAATCCTCTAATTCAGGAAGGGGGCCTTTAAGCAGCTTGCAGCAGATCTGCATAAGCTCTCCACTTGTGGCAAGCATAAGGCCAAAAGCAACTGACAATTGTCGGCTCATTCATGCTCTTTCCATGGCCTTCTTGGCTGTCTCAAAAAGTTCTTTAACATCTTTCTGCCCTTTTTCCGAAACCTTTTCCATCTGTTCCTGTGCCTTGCGCACATCATCCGGCCTGGCAGCCTTTTTTCTTTGCATGTCTTGAAGTCGTCTATGTACCACGCCCCTAGAATCACGTACTGCGGCGGCCGCTCTTTCCATAGCTTTCTTAGCCATGGTAACCGCCTGGTCCCGAGATTCTTTTGTGGGCGGTGGGATTGGAACGTTGAGTTGTAGAGTATTGTGAGGATCGGCTTGAGGGGTCAAAGAGAGGTTGGAGGATACAACGGCTGAGATAATCGGTTTGATATGCTAAAAGTCAAGGCGAATATGCCAGAGTCAGTATGAATGCCAATGCCGCCATGTAACAGTCCGACGAGTTCGAAGTGGGAGGGAAAAACAGAGCGTACCTCCTCTTCTGCGGCCAGGACTGTCACCATGCGTCCGCCCTTCGGTATCACTTGCGCTAAGTCTCCGAGCCTCAATGTTTCTTTACTCGCTTTGCTTAATTGAACACGAAGCGCCTCAATGGAACCGATATCGAAGCGGCCACCGCCGCGGAGTTTGGAGAGGTCATCCTTCAAGCTAGACAAAGCAGCAGAAATGCCATTATGCAACTGAGAGAGGTCGTAAGGGTCACTAGAAGCTAGTGAACTCCCCAATTCCCTCTCCTCATCTTGTACACTTCTGTGTGACTTTGACTTTTCTTTTTTTTTGTGAAGAGCAGGTGAGATTGAAAATCTGCGATGATGAGGTAGACCCTCAAGGATGCGCTGAGATGAGCGCCGGGAGTCGACGAACGAGTGGATAAGGGTAATTTGACCGAGGCATCGGGTGCTGCTCACTTTCGAAGTTGCCGATATCAGACGTACTGCTCTGAACATGATGAGATACCTAGACGAGCGGAGCGTACCATTAGGAGGTGACGCGAAATATTGCTGAAGAGCATGAGGAAAGCTTGGTCCTCAATACCAACCTGCTTTGATTGACGGGAAAAGAAATGCTCGCCTTCGAACACGTGATGCTTCCAGTAACATGGATCAAACACTCAATCCTCATACCCAATGTCACCGACTTCGAAATCTACATGATTACCTAGTTTAATATGTACGTTCAGATCTTGAGATGCGAGATATAGCATGCGAAATGTTTCGAACAAAAAATACTTTTCATATTTGTTTCCCCATTCATAAATAAACACTCTTAATCCAGAAAGGGTCCGTAGGTAACATAATAGTCTTTGATCTCATGTGTAGCAAATGCTTCTTGACTTGAAATAGCAAGAAATGATGATGGATAACTCGGAAGGCGGGCTCACTGATCTCAAGGTTGAACAATTATTATAGCAGATTGAGGCTCACAACGTTTAACGAGTAGCCATGGCCTTGGTAATCAGTCTCTTAAGAGCAAGTTCCTTCTTCTTGAGATCTTCAGGGGTAGAGTCCTCAATCTCGAGTTGGGCCATAGCATCGCTAAGAGCAGACTCGATCTTCTCCTTGTTTCCCCGCTTGAGCTTAAGAGACATAGTGGGATCGGAGATGATTTCCTCAACGCGGGAGATGTATGATTCCAGCTGTTGGCGAGACTCGAATTTCTTGGTGAAAGCCTCGTCGCTGGACTTGAACTTGGCGGCATCTGGGAGAGAATTAGAAAAAAAAACACATGAGACAACATCAGTGTCAGACTTACCATCAATCATCTGTTCAATTTCAGTGGTAGAAAGCTTGCCAACGGCATTGGAGATGGTGATATTAGCGGTACGGCCAGACGACTTTTCGGTAGCAGTGACCTTCAGGATACCGTTGACGTCGACCTCAAAGACGACCTCAAGGGCAGCTTCACCAGCTCTCATCGGGGGAATGGGAGCCAGGGTAAATTCTCCGAGTGAGGTGTTGTCAGCGCAGTTGGTACGCTCACCCTGGTAGACGGGGAACTGAACAGTTGTTTGGTTGTCAACAACAGTGGTGAAAGTGCGCTTCTTAATTGTAGGCACAGTTTGGCCACGGGCAACGACGGGGGCGAAAATGTTGCCTTCCATAGCAACACCAAGGGAAAGAGGAACAACGTCGAGCAGCAAGAGATCCTGGGTCTCAGCAGAGGTGGCCTTTCCAGACAGAATTCCGGCTTGCACGGCGGCACCGTAGGCAACGGCTTCGTCAGGGTTGATACTCTATCAAAAATATCAGTTTAGCACTCGATGAATGAGGGTCACCGTTCAGTGTAATTACCTTCTCGAGCTTCTTGCCATCGAAGAAATCGCTAAGAAGCTTCTGGATACGGGGGATACGCGTACTTCCACCGACGAGAACGATCTCGTCCACCTGGTTCTTCTCAAGACCAGAGTCCTTGAGGACCTGCTGAACGGGCTCAAGGGTGCCAGAGAAGGACTTGGCGTTAAGATCTTCGAAACGGGCACGGGTGATAGATGAGTTGAAGTCCTCACCATCGAACAGGGAGTCGATTTCGACAGTCGTCTGAGTAGCGTTGGACAAAGTACGCTTGGCACGCTCGCAAGCAGTTCTGAGGCGGCGGAGGGCTCTAGGATCGCCAGAGAGGTCCTTGCCAGTCTTACGCTGAAACTCCTTCTTGAAGAAGTCCAGGAGGTTAGTATCGAAATCCTGTCCACCAAGGTGAGTGTCACCAGCAGTAGCCTTGACAGTGAAGACACCTCCTTGGATGTTGAGCAGAGAGACATCGAAGGTACCACCACCGAGATCGTAGATCAAGACGTTACGCTCCTTCTCGGACTTTCCAGAGCCGAGACCGTAAGCGATAGCAGCAGCAGTGGGCTCGTTGATGATACGGAGGACATTGAGGCCAGCGATGGCACCAGCGTCCTTCGTAGCCTGACGCTGGTTGTCGTTGAAGTAGGCAGGCACCGTGATAACAGCCTTTTCAACCTTCTTTCCGAGCTTGGTTTCGGCAACTTCCTTCATCTGTGGCGGAAGTCAGCACCAGCACCACGTCGTGGCTTAATACAAGAGATTGGAATTACCTTCATCAAAACCATGGAGGAGATCTCTTGGGGAGTGAAAGTCTTCTTCTCTCCGAGGTATTCGACCTCGACGGCAGGGTTGCCACCCTGGTCGACAACCTTGAAAGGCCATGACTCGATATCCTTCTTCACAATGGGATCCTCAGACCGACGACCAATGAGACGCCTGTGATTAATCAGAATCTGCGCGAAGCGAGACTAGATATTTAAGCCCACTCACTTGATATCGAAGATAGTGTTCTGAGGGTTCATGGCGGCCTGGTTCTTGGCGGCCTCGCCGATCAAGCGCTCCTTGTCGGTGAAGGAGACAAATGAGGGGGTCGTGTAGCTACCCTGCTCGTTGGCGACTAGCGATTGTTAACGAATAAGCACAGTGTTTCATGTGACGGATCAAGACATACTGATCTCGACATTGGTGCCTTCATAGTTGGCAACGCAAGAGTAGGTGGTGCCTAGAGTCCTTGTCAGCGATGTCCGTATAACATTCTTGGTTTTCGATAACTTCCGAGATTGAAATAGCGAGTGGGCAAGAGTGATAATCATACCAAGATCGATGCCAATGGCACCTTCGTAAACCTCGTCAGCCATTTTGGAAAGAAATGTGTGATACTGATATGGAGGTGGGAGGAGTCTAGGTGAAAATTTTGGGAGAGTCGGAGGGAGAAGATCTTATAAAATAAGCCCCAGGTGTTGAGGTGGGAGTGATTAAATTTTTATTTCTGAAAAGGGAAAGGTAGAAAAATTCTGGAGGAAAAACCCACTTTTCTTCTTTTTCTTTGGTTCTCGTTTCCCTTCAAGGCTCCAACCCTCCCGCGCCCTCGGCTGGGAGTCTTAGACAGACTTACTAAGGGAGTTTGTTAGTTAACTAACTAAGTTAGTTGAGTTAGTTAACGTAATCCACAAGCAGGCTGGCCACCCAAGCAAGCTGGCCATCTCTGTATTACACAGAAAAAATGAGCTTTTACTCTTGATATCTCAAGAATAAAACTACTTACTAATTTCACAACTTATTGTATCAAGAAATAATATGTAAACTCCATAAATTCTATTTTTTGATTTAATAAATCTTCTATACAAATAGTTTTTATATCAATATTTCAAATTATAGAAAGGTATGGTAGATTTTATTTTATCTAGAAAGATAAAGCTTATATGATGAATTGCTAAAAAAAAATTAGAATCTAGCTATTAGAGTTTCTTAATAAAAATATATAAGTTAAGAATTAGTATTGACTAAGATTTTAGCATACAAAATATAACTATTTTGTATGTGATACAGAGATGGCCAGCCTACTTGGGTAGCCAACCTGCTTGTGAAATACGTTGGTTAGTTAACTTAGCGGTAGACATCTCAATGTTCTGTGAACTAACTCTAGCCAAGTATGAGTGGTCAACCTAGTCGATTTTCCGACACTTTGAGAGTACAAATCATGACTTTTAGCGAGGTCGGTACAAGTATTTTAGGTAGGTAGCTTGTCAACAAACTATTGCCTTGGTTATAAGTTCTCGAAATGGCGTAGCTCCTGATAAACAGTGTGCTCCTTGCCACTTCAGGTATCGGTATAAACGCTCTATCTCTTAAAGAGGCCCAGTATACTAATAGTTCAAGTCTTTATCGCTTATTACTTGTCAAGTATTTCGCTTCAGATGATCAAATTAGTCGGTGTACAGCGTCTCAAGAGCAACTATAAGCGCTATGAGGGCATGGTAGTCGTCATGTAGTGCTTAGCTAGGATCAATAAACCACAACTGTTGGCGACAGTCACGAATTTTATGCGACAGGGTAATAAAATATTGAGTATCAAGTATACATATCCTGTAGTATGTGGTTTACATTGCATTATTTTTTTGCAATTAGAACCACATTGGCCATGGTGTCCCTGGAATGCAGTACCTGCTCGGATGTACTGTATGCGCAATCTATCTTCACCAGGGGACCGATACTTGCTATATGTACACCCTAGATAGACCCCCCCTGCGGGTGCTCCTCAAATCTCCATCACATATCAACCTGGGAATTGATAGTCAAATCGAGAATACTTTCGGACTGTATCCCAAGACATCCATCTTATAGGCAGTGACCTGTGGGTAGAAGGATCCTGAATAAATTGGTTGGTAATGCATCTACTCCTGATCTGCTATGTCGTTCCTTCAAGGAGCAGTACTCTGGAGTGGTTTTCAATAGCTAGAGAACAAATAGTCCCAGGACATCGTGACATGTTTTCTGTGGAACGTGGTGGCTCGAGATTTAAGGTGTGGGTCGAAGAAATCTATAGTCATCTGTGTACCGTGATGTCTCGGAATATCTTGGAGATCGCACAATTATAGCTTATAGCTACCTATGCTATTGAATTTTTTTTGCCTGGAGAGACCACACCACATATTCGCACGTAGATTATGATTTGTTCCTGCCTCAAGCCTAGATTGAAGTCGTGATTTTTTTATCGCCGGCTTCTCAAGTTCTTTCTTAAGGATTTTATCTGCCTTTTCGATCAGATACCATACCTGAATCTTCTTTCCCCACATAAGATAGTTAAGCTAACTATTCCATTAGGTGTTTACACTTTACACACTTAACATTGACCATAAAAACATCTACGGAATATGACTGAATTGCAATATCAGCCCATGAATTATGGCCGTTTAGTTTGAGCCCGAAGTCCCCAATAGGGTACAGAATATCCTTGAAGTTTAGAAAAGGCGATTGAGAATTACCTATGTCCCCCCTTTATATCGAATGCACGAGTGTATGGTTTTCCCTCCTAACAGATGAGTGCCTGATTTAGTCAGTAGGCATATCCACCTTTAATTTTTCGGCACCTCAGGCATCAACATGGACAACTCCACTAGCAGTATCCCAAAGAGTTGCAAAGCCACTGAATCATCTTTAATCGACCCCTCTCCCTCGGCCCAAGCATAATTGAAAAAAACTGTAAAGCCATCAAGACAGTACTACATCACAGGTCATCGAACCTCCAGTCGCGTTGCTACAGTGACAGGTGTTTGAGTTTATCGATCGCGGTCAAATTACACGTGTGGCAGTTATTGCATTGCTTAGCTAGTGAGTGTGAATACAGAACCACAACCTTTATCCTTAACAAGACCTTAAATTCTTACTAATGTTGACTGTACTCTATTTGCACACTCACAGTTCTTCTATTTGAGATCGTTGACTCAGCTGTTCCCGATGGATATCGATTTGAGCAGAAGAAACAAGAAGCCACGTCTATTGCTTGAATCAGAACGTGAAAGACTCGAGGAGTTCATTGACTCTATTCACTACTCTGCCAGGTGAAGGACTCGCTGAAAGCGTTTGCGAGTTGTTCTAACAATAATTTGATGACCAGATATTCCGATGACCAATTCGAATACCGACATGTTCAACTTCCCAAGAACATGCTCAAAAAAATACCGGCCGACTACTTCGACAACGCCAAAGGAACCCTCAAACTGCTCTGGGAGGATGAATGGCGGGCACTAGGTATAACTCAGGTACGCTTGTTTGATAGCGAAGCTCCCATGGCAACTCAGAGGGACACGGCGACTCTAATTCACTGCACAGAGCCTGGGCTGGGAGCATTACGAAGTGCATGAGCCAGAGCCACACATCTTATTGTTCAAGTGAGCTTATAAGCTTTTCCCGAGGAGTTTGGATTCTGACGGTATAATATAGACGGCCCCTCAACTATCAGCCGCCATTGTCTCACTAAGCAACATGCAGCATCGTGGGACTTCGCCAGGCTTTCCAGTTCCAAACAAGAGACCGTGGGTCTGCGAGCGGAGTCCTTGCGCGACTATTAAGGAAGTGCACGCAAAAATCCGATCAGACAGTTGCGCCATGCAAAGGATGCCTCACGTTGACTGTTTACATGTGATTCCATTTCATCCTGACAAGTCAACTCATGTTACATGCTTGGCGAAATCTCGCCCACTAGGTGGCCGCGAAGCTACTGCTAACCTTCTGTACTTCGATTTCTGGCCAACAAAGTCGGTATGCAGACAGTTGCGCCTTAGGCTAAATGCTCTGTGAAGTGCCCACATCGGAATCAGCGGCTGAGGAGACATGGGCTTCGATAATCCGGTATTACTATACCGGGGATCAGTGTATGGATATGACTTTAAGATAGTTATCTATCGATTATGACAAATCTTGATAATCACTTTCATGGCCTCCATTGGCTTGTTACACCACACGTATTAAAATGCTCTTCTCCTTGGCTTTATTATGAACTTTCAAAAAAATCCTTTGCTCAGTGAAACTGACTCTACCTGCAATGATAATGGTATTTCATACATCGTACGGCGTGCGTCTTGCACCATGATGTCAAGTTACGCGAAACCTGTATTGATAATGCAGCGCTGTTACTTCAGCGCGTCTGCGCCAGCTTCGTGTGTTTTTTGTTCTCTTACAAAAGCGTGCCACGAACCCGTCCACAGGATTCGATCAGGACTTGAATTGATATTTCTCTCGCAACCACAGCCCAAAGGAAGGAAGCCACACAGATTGACAATGCAAAACCAATCTAAACCTGATTCAAAGCACAGGTGATGACCTGTCGGCATATTCCATCAACCAAGTCATACACAGATTTCCAGGATATGTGGCTGCTGTTACCTAGTCCCGGAATTCCTCGGCCAGCGAATTCCAGATGGCGATCCACCTAGTTAGTCACTTGCTCAGGGAAGATTCATAGATAGTGTAAAGCCTTACTGTGGCTAGCTAATCGTACAGTCAAAAACCTAAGGTTGCTGTGGGCTCCAATCTTGGGCTTTGCTTGACTTTGTAGCCAGCTCTTGAGTTATTGGTCAAAGCCTTGAGAGTCTTGACAGTGACAGATTCTACTGCACGCATTATTTTACAGACTCAATCCGCAGGTGCCCTTGAGCGAAGGCAATCTTTGTGGAGTCCAGTAGAATTGTAAGAGTGTCTTCTCATCGGCCCATACGCGCCTTTTATATTGTGCAACTCATAAGAAGTAAGACATAGTAGGAAAGAAAGCAAATCCATTGCCCATGCAGGCTATTTCTATACTACCTTACCACGTAAGCAAGCGAAAACGTTGCGCCACCAACGCGAGCACCTCCACAGAAAAGCTTCGAGTTGCAATGAGCCTACATACTTGATCATAGATGCATGTGGCATACCAAATGCACATTTTGCGCAACTTTTCTCCGTGTTATAACCGCACCCCGCTTCGCGGAAGACAGAATTGCTTTACAGTCGAGCTTGACGAAGTTCATCGCCACCACTGAGTACTTTCGGATTATTCAGACCACTAGAATCTCAGGAGTTTACCTCAACACCGGTCCAAAAATGACATTCCTGGATCCTATTCGCCCTTCATCTCTAGCCTGACCAACGGTTGGGGCTAGAAAACTTGACAGGGCCGGGTATGTTAAAGGAAGCCCCGACGGTGATCACCGCTAGGTGTATCTTGAATCTAGCCCCAGTTCTGGAATTGGCGATTTCCGTGATATAGAGACTAAGGAAGACAAGTCAGGATAAGACTTGTTCGTGGTTCAGGAGGCAATAGCCTGGATATCAGACATTGGTGGGGGTCCTTTAAACCTCTGTCCTCGACATTCGGCTTGAATAATTCGACTCTCGCAGGTTGAAAGGCCGCTCATCGATGGACAAACTTGTTGGTAAAAAACTTGCTTCGCTTTGCAGCTGTGAATTATCAAACTGTAATCTCTGCTGTGACAGGTAGGCAGGACAAGCATCTCAGAGAGCAAGTGCAATAGAGGATAGCTTAAAGCACCTCCAGCTGTAAACAGGCATCGACCTCGGTATTATTGCCGAGTAATTCGAAGCGCATCCGGCAGTAGTAATATGCGATCTGTAAGACATATAAAATGAGCCGCATAAGGCGTGAAGAGTCCGGTAAAACCATTCAAGTACTAGTTGGTTCTGGGTGATGACATCTTCGCAAAGCATGGTCAACCGCCGTATCAGATTGCTTGGAAGCCTTGAAATAGAGATGAACAACTATCTGAACACTTGGTGTCGTTCGATCAACTTGATACAAGGCTTCATTGTACGCACAGGGCGAGCTGTTGCGAATCATGTGTTTGTATAGATAGAATGGCTAAGCTGACAAAGAGTTGGAGAGGATTTGAAGACCCAGCTGGTGATGATATGATCTATGGCAGTTTATAGCGGACACACGGAAAGTACAAAATTCTGCGAGCAGAATAATAAGCCGAGGATATTCAATCTACAGATAAATACTATATGTTATACTGTATTCTAAGATAATATAGCTATAATTCTCTTTATAATATAGCTTATTTAGCTTTAAATACTATAACTCACTTTATTACATTTCCTAATATCTTATAGTTAAAGATATTATAAAGTTACTATTATTATAGTAGTAGTTATATAGGAAAACAACAGTTCGGTGTCGTGCTGGTTGGGTGCCCGATTACATTAACTAGAGTATTAATTGATTATATAATCGAAAGCTGAGAGGAGCGGAGGGGAGCGGAGGATAGAGAAGTAAGTGGAGAGGCTTAGAAACCGTCCACAGTTAACTAGGTAGCACTACACTTACTAGTACTTTGAGGAGTACCGCCCTAGGGAGACGGGAGATGGGGCAAACCCAGGGGAAGAGTAAAGCGTCCAATTATTAGGGCCTATGGGCGGTTGCTGCTGCCTTAAGCATTATGTAGAAGCGGACTAAAATCACAAGGGAATGAGGCATTTCGCTAGTGGTATACAAGGCGGCAAGTGGACCCTTTAAAGTTACTTTTTCAAGTAAACCCGAATAGATTCTGCTGGCGGAATCAGTTACTACTAAGACTGGCTCTATATGCCTCTAATAGAATCCTAATGTAAGAGAATAATTATAGATATTTTTTTAAATAAGGATTGTGTTCAAAGACCCTGATAATTCCAATGTAAGTAGACTCTAAGATACAATTTAGCAAGGGAAGGTGTCCGCCTTGGTACTGCTAACCTGGTGGAGAAGGAGTATTTAGTTTACTATATTAAAATAAATGCAGGCGGAGTAGAAAAACTGGTAGAATTGATCATACACGGCTCGCTAGTCCTATACTACCAAAAACACTAAAACACTACTGAAATGACCGAATTTGACATCAATTTTAAGATAGATTTCTTAGATTTCTTTAACTGTTTGAGTAACTACTATTCAGATAATAACTTAGATAGCTCAGAGCTCTAGAGTAAAGTTTAAATTGTATTATTATTAAACTGCTAGTAGTATTGAACGCGGATGAGCTGACTATAGATTCAGGATATTATACTGTTAATTATAAGATACTAAAGTAGCATCTTAGACAGCATCTTAGACAGCATTTTAGGCGGCATTAAGAGTGCACTAATAATTATAAGAAGATTTACTTACAAATACCAAGTGCGCTTATAATGCCAAGAAAACCACTACATTGTATGTGGTTTAAGGCCAATGTCTTTAGAATTACGGGCGGTGTCTATAGTCGATATCAGTTATATTACATTAAGTTGCATCTTAGGCTATAGACTGCCGCTTTGCAGTTGAGGAGGAACGTTACTGAATTTTCTTTGGTTTGGGGGTAGATGGGCTGCCTTGTCTACTACTAGCAGAATGCGTTGTAATTTTTAGCTCGCTCCAAGATTTTTACTATAATAACATGGTAACTATAGTCTAAGTAATTATAGAAGATAATAAACACCTTGCAAAGTAATGATCGGGGCTGCTATAAGTTGTTATTAAAGGTTTCACCTGTTATCAAAGGTGGCGACGGACTTCTCTCCTGGGAACTGAATAAAACAATCCACCACATGGTAACATGTGGTTAAGGCGCTGAGCTTGAGGACTAAGGTATTCTGAGTATCAGCGCAAGGGTCTTCAAGGTTTGACAGCGTCGTTACCATTTTGCTTTTCCCAATGACGTCATCCACGCACATTGATTGGTGGGAAGTTCGTAGTTTTGATTGAAGACATTACTCCTAATTCATCATCATTCATTGTCCCAGGATAGCTGTGGATGTAAAGTCGAAGCAATGTCACTCGGCCCTCCCCACGGGAGTCTAATGCCAAAGTCCGCACGTGAGTCTAATGCCAAGTAGTGAGGAGAACGACCTACTCGACTACTAAAACATACCATCCCACTGACTAAAGGAGAATAAATAAGTGGTAGATGGGCTTGATTTATGCCGTACCTTAAACCTGCATCAACACATATGAGACTTGCATTGAATACCTTGGTTTTCACAAGCAGAAGGAGTAATCCCCGACCTGTAAAGATATAATCAACCGAGTCAATTACCTGACCAAAGCTATGATCCATTCTCCCAACACCACGCGATATGACCAGAGACGGGAGTGATTCCGAACAACGAATGCCAGAATCTACCCGGTCCCTACGCATAGTCCTGAAACGTTTGTTCGGCGACCGAAGACGCAAAGCACCGCTTATGACCCATTCGATATGTCACTAGAAGCAGGGCAAACGTTTGCAATCTAATTGATTCACCAGGCGGCTTCTGTGAAATGCTCCGAAACAGTCACCAATGGAGATGTCGGTCTATGGCGCAAGACCTGTTCTTTAGTCCAAGCAAGCGACGAATCCGAGCATGAAGTCAGTTTGATCCAATATTTTGAACAAGTATTGTTGCCAGATCGGTTGACGGGGCGTCGTGCTATACAGCCGGAAATGTAAATGTCAGGAGATAGCGAGCATGAGGCCAAATAAATCAAGCCACAACTCAAGAGAAAAGCATCCACGGCTCAAACAACGGGTCCAGCCTCAAGCTGACTGAGTGTGCGGTTATTCTCCAAGCGAGCAGCGACCACTGCATGCTGTGTGAGACCATTCCCAGTGCGGCTTTGCCTGGAAGTCCTAGGGTGAAAGAACCGCAAAGGAAATAAACCATGTCTGTTGTTTGCTCGGTTGGTCTGTGGCGCTACTTCAATTGGGTAGTTTAGACTCTGGCTGTTGCCGGAGTCAGATCTTCGCCAATTGCCAAAGCGAGAGAGGACATTCCTGTAAGCTGGTGATGCTCGCTGTGCGCCAGGTAATGCCAGTGGATATTCAGGGCCACTTGTTTGCCCTCCTCCTAAGAAAACTGCCTGAGGTTGGGTCGGCCTCAGGAGGCGACGACTGGTGCGTTCGAGGTCGATGGTATGGTCTCGGACTTCCACTCGTGGCTTCGGAACATAATAATCTGCCTTACAAAGAGGACAACAAGCTCTCCTACTTGTCAGCCAAGGGTCGACACAAGAAGCATGAAAAGCGTGACCGCATGTGAGTCCACGTATATCATCGTCATCCTCAATTGAGTCAAGGCATATGGCGCATGTATCGCCTGGATTAGCAAGAAGCTCGGCGGGAACGGCCGTACGTATCTGATTGTCGACATCATCGTCGTCATCATCTGCTTTTGCCGCAGGCTGCATTGACTGTCAGTTAAGAGCAAAATTATTCGACGATTGCTACTTTCCTTGACATGGGTCTGAAGTTGAGCAAGTACGGAATTGTCCAAACACTTTTCCCCAAGTCGGGTTGCTGAGTGACCGTTATGCTGCAGTCGTTCTTCAGCTTGAGCATTAGAAGATTCAAGCTGTCGATTATCCTTTGATGGTGACGTCGCCACCAGAGGAATGTCGAGAGAAACCGTAGATCGCGCATGGCTATTCAATAGGTTATGATCACTGGTAACGGAAACTGCAATTCCTCCCGCAGTAGAGAGGCCCTCGTTGGCGCGAGATGAGCACCAAGCTTTGTATTTAACGAGAGGGAAACGCTCGTTAACCTCATCCATACTCATCAGTTTCTTCTCGCGACGTCGCCGATGCGTCCGAGGCATGGTTATCAGATCAATAGGCTCCCCTGCTTCTTCGCCGCGCATCTGTCGGTTCCGCTGGTTATACCGGAAACAATATTTAACGCCAACAATAATCCTAGAGCTTTCGGTCAGGTCCGACATGCAACTGAACGGTATGATCAACGGGCGCTTACCATAAATTCGTGAATACAACGCCGAAACCAAGAGCAACAAAGAATAGTAAAGGTGAGCTCGTAGGGCTGGTGTTGTTATTGTCTCCAGTATGGCCTGTGCTAGTCGCACTCGAAGTCGGAGCAGTGGCTGTTGGGGACATTTCGACCAAAGGGACGCAAGGAAGTCGGCCGGAGGTGAAGCAGGTATCAACACACGCAAGTTAGGACAGTATGCCTAGAGACACAGGGTTGAAGAGAATCCGTATGAGTGTGATGGCGGGAAGAATGGATATTGCTGTATGCCCTTAGCCGGGTGAAGGCGATACTTTGGTAGAGATATTATTGCCTCAGAGGACAATGCCGACAATGCAGTTCATCTAGCCTGAGACCATAAGATGGAAGTGGCAAGGAAAAGGGGCCGCAACAGTTCATCACTGATTCAATTAAGCCAAGCGTATCAGGGCCCTATGTCGGTATGGTAAAACTATGAATCATGTATCAGATCCACCGCTGGGGATGAGATCTAGAGGATGGAGGGGTTTTTCTCCACAATGAGCTTGCCAAGTACTGAGGGTGCAACCGGAGAGTCACGAGACGGCTAGTGTAAGTTAATAAATTAGTTAGTCCATTAGCTAATACTACCCAAGTACAGAGTAGTTAGTTAGTGATTCAATTGGTACTTAAGTTAGTTAATTTAACTGAGTACATGTAGTCACCAGCCCTGAACTTCATTCATGATATTAAGCTATGCTTCAGGAATATCGAACATTGGTTCGATTGTATGGGGCTATTAGAGTAGAAGTGTATTACCATGTGTGTATATCACTGATGAATATGACTCAGCATATGCTTGTTGATTGATAGCAATCAAAGTTCAAGTAAAGTTTTTCGATTGTTCGGACTACTCCGTAGACAAGTTGACCGAAATTAGTGTATGACTTAGCTAATTTCAAGTGGGGGGAATATGTAAGCTAGAAATTGGTTAGTTACTTTTGCTATCAACATTTGTAGGAAATGGCAGGAATATATGTGAGCAGAACGTCGCCCAGCTTGGCCAATACTATATCGCAGTCCTGGAGATTGTAAAGATCTAAGATATTATGGCGAATGCGACCGGGTCTCCTTCCAGAGATACCAACCCGGTGGTCTTCTTCGATGTCGCCCTAGGAGGTAAGCTAAACAACAGTCTTTCTAGGCGCTGTATAGCTCAGTCACTTCCACCACCAGCTCCGTCTCAACTCATGTCAGAATGCTGAAGCAAGCGTCTTTTACATAGGGGAGCCTCTAGGTCGCATTAAAATGGAACTTTTCGCGAATATCACACCACGCACAGCTGAAAATTTTCGCCAATTCTGCACTGGAGAAAACAAAAGTCCCCAGGGACGACCCCAAGGATACAAAAATTGCAAATTTCATCGCGTGGTATGTCCTGACCCAGGCCCAGCTCTTCGCAAGCAGTGCTGACTGGAAATAGATCAAAGATTTCATGATCCAGGGTGGAGATTTCATTAATGGCGATGGGACGGGGTCTTGCACCATCTATGGAACACCGAGGTTTGCAGATGAGAATTTCAAAGTAAAGCACAGCGATGCGGGTATGCTGAGCATGGCGGTATGTATCTGGATATAGGACAGCATCTCGAGATAGGCTGCTAATATTCTAGAATTCTGGGCCTGATACAAATGGTTGTCAGTTCTTCATAACCACAACTGCTACCCCATTCCTAGATGGTAAACATGTTGTGTTTGGGCAAGTAGTGGCCGGACTTGATATCGTACGGATGATAGAGAATACTCGCACAACCAGAGACAAGCCCAACCAGGATGTCGTTATCATACAATGTGGCGAAATGTGATCGAGTGCCGTTTTGAAGAAGCGAGGCACGACATTGAGCTCAGAAATATTAGTTTTACGGTCTCAGGCCAAAGAGGAAGAAAGATTATAAAATTCCTAGAGTAACAATATTGAATTCAAATTTGTGTTGGGACAATAGGCAACCTTTGCGGAGACACAGAAGTAAACAAAGCACCAGGTCAACTTGATTCATGTGAGAATATAGCTAAGCCGACAGCAATTCCCATGCTAGAGTTTGAACTTTGAGAGATAGTCGGAGGCTAACGCGATAGCTTCGTCGATTTTTTCAGGGTTCATTCCATTGCCAACAGAGGTGGGCCCCTTGCCCCCGGCCTTACCTCCAACTGCGCGAGACACGACAGTAGCCCACTCAGTGGCAGAAGCACCTTGGTCACTCGTTGCCTAAGAATTAGTGTCAGCAAACCGCAGAGGGAAAAATGAAAAGAAGACCAGGCTACCTTCGAGACATGACAGCCATGTGCGACACGGCCTTGCTCAGGACTCGCAGCCAGAACATAGACGCTCTTATCCGACAGCTTCGACTTTACGTAGTTAATAGCTTCGCTGACTGCTTTGGCATTCGCAGAAATGGGAAGCTTAGTTACAAACCAAGTTTTATCGGTGTTTGCTGGGTCCTGAAAGAAGCTGGTGATGGTGTCAAGAGCGGTTTTTGACTCAAGCTTCTGCTGCGCCTTTTGTTCGTCGAGAATTTGTTTGTTGATGCGAGCAAAGCGTTCTCGAAAATTTGATTTCTGTAGAGCGGAAATTGAAAGCTGGTTGAGCTCCGCCTGGATCTGTTTTGCATCCTTTTCTTTGTCCGACCCTAGGGGCATAGCCTCTAAGCGATCGAGCCGCTTGCCAAAATCCTCAGCAAGGCGCTGCACAGCGTGCGCATCTTCTCCGGTGACGGCGATGATCCGGCGAATCCCTTTAGCTATGCCTCCTTCTTCCAAAATGATAAGATCCTTGATGTCCCCGGTCTTCTGCACGTGGGTTCCGCCACAAAATTCGATACTGACCTCTTTCCATCTAGGATCTTTCACATTCTCTAAAATCTCACCGACCTCCACTCCGACAGAGACAACACGAACAGGGTCGGGATACGTTTCGCCAAATACAGCTCTAACTCCTGATATTTGGCGAGCAGTGGCCAAAGGGACTTCTTGCGAGTAGACTGCACAGTTTTGGCGGATATACTCAGTTGAGATCTCCTCTATTCTTGCCAAATCTTCGTCCGTGATGGGTGATTTGTGGGAGAAGTCAAATCTGAGCTTTTCAGCAGCGACAAGTGAGCCTTTCTGTTCAATGCCTTCGCCCAAGACTGACTTCAAAGCAAAGTTGAGAATGTGTGTGCCGGTATGATTGTTGCGAATGGGCCACCGACGGAGTTCATCGTACTCGCAGATGACCGTGTCTCCAACGGCAAGAGAACCATACTTCATGAACCCCGTGTGAAGGACATAGCCGGCATACAGCTGCACATCAGCAACCTCGAGCTCTGCCTTGCCATCAATAATAATCCGACCAGTGTCATTCTCCTGGCCTCCTTGCTCCGCGTAAAAATTGGTGCGATCAAGAATGATGCCAAGTTGTTCGCCCTCAGCTATGCCAGCTGTCGACGAGTGGAAGGATTTGCCTTGGTATATAGCCTTCACTTGTGCATTGATGTTGCCCTTTCCGAACTTAGCAGTATCATCGGTCTTAGGGACGCCGCTCATCAATTCCAGCTTGCCTAGGTCGTGGACGTCCAGCTTGACTGTATCGGCTGCTGCTTTTTTCTGGCCCTTGCTCGCTTCTTTCGCTTTGAGGCGTGCCTCCTCGAACTCGCTATCATCAATCTGCAATCCACGTTCCTCTGCCATGATACGGGTCAAGTCGACAGGAAAGCCGAAAGTATCGTAGAGCCTCCAAACATCGGCACCATGAAGTTTTTCATCGCCTTTGACCTTAGCTTGCTGGGCATAATGTTCAAATTGGCGCTCACCACGATCCAGTGTCTTAGCAAAGGACAATTCCTCTTCATCGAGGATTTCCATGACATCAAACTGCTTCTTCTTCAACTCTGGGAACATGTCGCCGAGCTGTTCCACAACAGTAGGGACGAGCTTCGAGAAAAAGCTTCCAATCTCCACCTGGAAATACTTGCGGGCGTAACGTGCGCCGCGGCGCAACACTCGACGGATAACATAACCACGTCCCTCGTTATTGGGCATCACACCATCCGAAATTGCAAACATCAGCGTTCGGACGTGATCTGCGATTACACGATACGCGGTGTCAATGCCATCTGAGTCATCAGCTCCGAACTGCCCGCGATATTCGCGGGCTCCAGTGACATTTCTGATTACCTCAAATAGAGGAGAAAAGACGTCGGTGTCATAGTTTGACGACTTGTCTTGCAATACTGATACAAGTCGCTCGAAACCCATCCCAGTATCAACGTGCTTGTTGGGAAGCGGCCGCAGGGACCGATCCGACTCACGGTTATACTGTATGAAGACGTTGTTCCAGATCTCGAGTACGTTGGGGTCGTCCTGATTCACAAGGTAGGCAGCATTGCGCCCACCAATCCGGTCGTAGTGAACCTCACTGCAGGGTCCGCAAGGACCTTGGTCACCCATTTCCCAGAAATTGTCTTTCATATTTCCAGGAAGAATGTGATCCTCCGGAACGCCGACGGATTTCCAGAGCTCTTTTGCCTCGAGATCAGGCTCAAGACCACCTTCCTTGCTGCCTTCAAAGTATGTAACATAAAGACGTTGGGGATCCAAGCCATATACTGTGGTTAGCAACTCCCAGGAATAGCGAATTGCTTCTTCCTTGAAATAATCACCGAAACTCCAGTTCCCGAGCATCTCAAAAAAGGTCTGTACAGCGGACATTGTTGGCATTATTGACCAAAAGTGACGGTTTAGTCTGACAAAAACTTACGTGGTGATAACTGTCCTTGCCAACATCGTCAAGATCCTACGGCGAATGAGGTTAGCAGAACGTAAATCTGTCAGTACATTGTTTCACACTCACGTTATGTTTTCCTCCAGCACGGATACACTATACATGGAGTCATTAGCAAGACAAAGTGCACAAGAGGTTGGAAATAATCGTCACCTTCTGAGAATTGACCGCTCTCTTGAGGTTGGCGAAATCAGATTGTGGATCAACTGTGCCCAAGAAGATAGATTTGTACTGGTTCATTCCAGCATTGGTGAAAAGCAGCGTTGGATCGGCGTGAGGTACAACGGGCGACGAAGGAACTATTTGCCCATCACGAATGAGTTAAAAGTGGATTTTTCCAGCAGAGAACGCTGTCGCTCACCGAATGTGTGACCATTTTCCTTGAAATACCCAAGAAAAGTATCTCGGACTTTTTTGGATGTCCAGTCTACCCTTGGCGGGTCACTTGAAGCCATGCTGAACGATCGTAGATAAGATTTTGCTGGTGGTTTGTTCCGAAGTGGGGGATTGTGAAAGTGGTAGAATATTCTGGGTTTCGACCTAATGGACGATAAGAGATGAGTCAAAGCCAGGTCCCCGTTCCTTGAGAACCGATAGATATTCATCAAGCAAATCCCCAGTCAAAACTAGTTTTTTTTACTCCGCAACGGATGCTGGGTCATTTATTCCCCGTTCCTTGATTCTTTGTGTTTTTCATCCGATCCTAAAATCAGTCAAGTACTTTGTAGCTAATGGCGCTGCAATCTGGCTGTGCGGACATTAATCGCGGGAGAAAACGCCCCGCAGAAACTGATCCAGACATCGACCACCAGCCTCTAGCTAAAAAGTTTAGTCATTTACACTTAAGTATGTACATCATTCTTACTACCCTCGGTAAAGATATTTATGCAACCAGCATCCACAGGCAACCGAAAAACCTTGGAGACTGATTCGTGTTTCTTTCTAGCTCCTTTGACATTTTACGATGACAGCTCAACCCGAGAAAGGCTTGCTTCCTCTAGTGATGGCGATCAGATGATGCTGGATGATACCAAGCATACAATCTATATACATGATATGGATACAGAGCTAGCAGATATTGAAAACATGGACAATCAAGTCACAATTCTCTCAGGGGTGGTGGACGCACTTTCAGCAGTTTCACGAATGCTGGTGACCAACGACAAGGCTCAGTGTAAAGAGCTAGTACTTTACAGGGAGCCTACATCACTCACAACTCCAGCAGAGAGTGAGAATGTACGAAAGGCACTTATTGCTACAAGGGAACGTGCTCGGAAATCATCACACTTAAAGCATGATCATGATTATGTTAGCCCTTGTGAGTCACATGTTGTGAGATTCTGTGAGGGTAAGGGAGATGCCGATGCAGGCCATTTGGCTTTTGGTGAAAAGATGGATATTGATGTAACAAATCCATTATAGTTCAACAAGTCTTCAACATGGACCCCTGAAAATCATAAGTAAAATAACAATACTATATCAATATAATCAATAGATAAGCTATTATTATATAGAAGGTCTTAAGTATTCATCATTCCTATTATTGTTAAAGAGTTATAAAGATGTAAGATATTATTATGGTGGTTTTTGTGATGGTTGATATCCTGCTGTATGTTTCTGTCTTCAGACAGATATCTCTTTAGTTATCTCACCTTCCTGAGCTTCCTTCTTCCTCAACTAACTTAATCAAGAGAAATCATATCTATTATAATAATTTATATTATCTAGGAGTACATTATACCTCTTATAATAGTTTGAAGTCTTTCTATCTTCATAAATATATTATTTATCTTTATATCTTTTGATGGAGTGATGATTCTGTTGAATTGACCTGTCTACCTACAGAACTGTATGATACAACTGGGCCGAAGGCGGTGGGCCAACCAGCCGATTAGGGGCCTGAGATCAAGAGTTCTGTTATATTCTTCTTAGTCCTTATAGTATAAAAGCTCTTCCAAAAGGAAAGAAGTAAAACTAAAGTTAGTCTTTTGGATTTTCTAATTAGATAAACTAAGTAAAGTATAATAAAGGTATAAATTAGAGTAGTCTTAGAAGATACTCTAGTAAACTACTACTTGTCACAATGCAAACCCAGAGCACCTATCCGACCTGCTTGATCCAACCGATCTGTTTAACCCCTTGACTTACTTATTCCTAAATAGATAACCCACAATCTGCTTAAATCCCTATCTGACCTATAATTGTTATGGTTCAGTGAGGAGACCTATTCCATTATGATGATGTTGTTGTTGTTTTCCTGAGATGAAGACGGAAATCGACTCCATCGAAATAATGCCCGAAGGCGGATACGAACGGCAGGATTCGCCATTGCTGAAACCACCACAATAATTTTTATTGACGGAACTCCATGGTTTCGGGCCTCTAATTGGCCGGTTGGCTCACTGCATCCGGCTCAGTGTATTATATAGTTCTGTAGGTAGTGTTAAGGATAAAGTCGATCAACTAGGTAAAGAATAATAGCAGTTCCTATTCTCAAGACTAATCCTTGCTTCTCAGAAGAAATCACAAGATTCTTATTATAATTATCATATTAATAATATATAAATAAATTATTAATAAGCTAATAGAATTATATCAAGGTGCGGGCTGGCTGGCTGGCTTAATCATAGGTGAGGTGGTAGGACTAGCAGTTCTGACTAAAGATCTCTTAATACAAGTCTTCTGGATTCTATCTTCTAGCTACTTAGTTAAGCTATTCTTAGATTTATAGATAAGATATAGCTTAAAGAGCTATAAATAGAATTAGAAGTAGAAAGAAGATTAAAAAAAAATTATAAATTATATATAAAATAATTAAGAAATAGAAAGAATTAAGTAGATTAAATAAACTAGTTAAATTAAATAGAATAAATAGATCTTCTAGAATTATACTATAATAGTATACTCCTCTTCTTAAGCTAAGCTCTATTAAGATACTAATCTAGACTTATTAGAATAATAATAGTAGAAATTCTTAATAATCTAATAAATATTCTTAAGATATAGTATAGACTCTATAGTAGAGTTAGAATATTCTACTTATTTGACTATATAGATTAGTTAAAAATATCTATAGTTCTAATAATCTTATATAAAGTTAAGAATATCTTCTATCTTTTACTTCTTAAATTTATTAATTTCTATATAAGATAGTAGAGAGGTATATTATCTAAATATAAAATTATTACTAATAAAAATAAATAGACTAGTATTAAATATAGAATATATTTTTATACTAGATAGTAGAATTAATTAATAGATATAGAAGCTTATAATTCTTTTAATTCTATATAAATCTAGAATATTCTAACCTAGCTTCTTACTAGATTATAGAGTTTTAATATAGTAAATATTTAGCTATACTTCTTATTTTTTTTAAAGTATCTTATAGAATATCTTTTCTTATTGGTTTATTTAGTATAGTAGACTTAGATTATAGTTATCTTAGTCTAAATAAATTCTATAATTACTTATATTTTAGCTATAAACTAGTTAGTATCTCTAGCTACTAGATTATATAATATAGATATTAGCTTAAAGTCTATATATAAATAAAAGCTATAATTTATAAAGAATAGAATAGTCTTAGTTAAATTAGAGTATATTATATTTAATATAAATTTAGTTAGAAAAAGCTACTAATTCTAATTATCTTATAGATAATTTATATAAGTATATAGATATTATTTAAATATTATATTAACTTATTTAGTTTATCTATTTATCTTAGAATAGTATACTATAGAAAGCTTATAGATAATATTTAATTACTAGATTAAGTATTTCTAGAATTTAGTAATAAATTAGAGATCTTTATCTAAAAGAACTAATTAGAATAGACTATATAGTTTTTATATATATTATATATATGTAGCTACTACTATAGATATATTAGTAGTAGTATTATAGAAGACTAGATATTTTATCTTAATTAAATAATTAACTATTACTAGAATTATATTAAAATTCTAGTTCTCTAATAAATATATAATAAAATCTATAGTTATATTCTACTATATTCTTTTAGATATAAATAGTAGTTTTATATTTTCCTATTTAGCTTTTTAAGAGAAGATAATTTAGTAATAAATATAATAGTTCTTTATCTCTTATTCTATATATTAGTAGATATTAGATTAGTAGTATTCTTAGACTAAAAACTTATATATATAGATTTATTCTAAGTATCTAAATACTAGTTTATTATATACTAGTCTTATTAGATCTATTTTTATTTAATTATTATTAGAGATCTAGGGTTTATTCTTATAATATAAAAGATTTCTTCTTCTTTTATAGAAGATTAGAAATATTCTAGAAAAATAATTATTTTCTTTTATAAAAGCTCTAAATATTTCTTTAATCTAATTATCTTTTATATATATATATATTAGAGATTTTTCTATATCTTTAGTAATAGCTAGAGTTTCTATTTATTCTTAAATATAATATTTTAATAGCTTCTAGTAATAGATACTAGTATTTCTATCTTTTACTTATATAAGTCTTTATATTTAACTAGCTTAGAGATAAGAATCTATTTATAAAAATCTTTTATAGAGAATTTCTAGTATTTAATTATTTTAGAAATAAAAATTTATTTATATAGGTCTTTTATAAAAGTCTTCTAATTATTAATAAGACCTAGGTCTAGATTCTTATACTTTAGAATAGTTTAGCTCTAATATAATAAATACTTATTTCTCTTCTTTAAAAGATTATTTGATCTTTTAATTAGATTATTAGATTTTTTTCTATATTTTCTAAAATAATATATAATCTTAAAGTTAAATCTAGATAGAAATTTAGATTGAATAGATTTATTATTAATTAAGTAACTTAATAGATATAAAGTACTTAAGATTTTAATAATTAGAAATAATCTAGATTAATAATAGTATTTCTTTTAACTTAGAATACTATTTCTTAAAATAGTAGATAATAGTAAAAAGTTTCTTATTATATATTTTATAATTATATTCTACTAGTAAATATTCCTTAGAGAAAAATATAATAGAATATAGTAAATTATTATTTCTATATTAGAATAGAATTTCTCTAGATATATAGTCTAAAATATTAGTTTTAAGAATAATCTCTTAGATTTAATTAAAGAATTATAGAATTAGAATCTTAATAAAAATCTATTTTAGATTATTTAAAATACTCTAGTAGAATAGTATTTATTAAAAAATTCTCTTTTTTATTAAATTAACTAGTAGTATAGTAAGTTTTAAAAAGTTATAAATAAATTATTAATAAAAGTTATTAAAGTCTAAGAAGACTTGAATATTAATAATATAGATTAGAATTAGCTACTAGATAATTATCTTAATCTTTTTAGAATTTATTTAGAATTCCTTATAGTTAATAATTAGATTTAAAAACTTCATTTTACTAACTATAAATTTATATTTTAATAGTTTAGTATATAGATTTACTTAGAGCTTCTATAGAATATACTTAATATACTCAGAATATTTAGAGTATATCTAGCTATAAATTAGAATATTATCTAGATAAATAATATAAAATATATTAAGATAATTATATAGAGTATTAATGATATATCTAGAGAAGATAATAGAAGCTCTAATTATTCTAAAAAGTATAACTAAAGATTTGTATAATTCTAGATAAATATAAAAAACTATTAAATACTTCTAATTTTATTTAAGGTAAAAATTATTAAGTATACTAATAATATTAATCTTTATAAATAATATATTCTTTTTAAATTATTTAGAATTTCTTTAATAAATAATAGTAGATAATAATTCTTAACTATTATAATATTTAAAGTATAGTAGTCTATAGAGAACTATAAACTACTATCTATCTTTTTAATAAATAAAACTAGAAAAGTAATAAATAAGAAGCTAAAGTAGATAAATCTCTTTTATAGATTATTTATAAGCTATTTTTAGAGAATTCTTAGTTTATTATAGAATATTTTATATAGAGATTTAAATAGAAGTATTTTTCTATTTTCTAAAATAATAATATAATTATAATCTTTATATAGAAATAGCTTCTCTATCTTCTTTAATAAGAAGATATTTATAAATTCTTAAAATTTATTTAATAGAATAGTTTTAGATAGCTTAGATTATTTCTTTAGTATCTAATAAATTTATTTAATCATAGTAATAAAGATTTAGTATTTCTAGTATTTTTAATATATATATATAGTATAGACTATTAGAAAGACTTATCTAATATTATAGTTTTTAAGAGTCTTTTATAGACTAAAGTTTTTAAAGTATATTCTTTATAGTATATTATATAGAATATAGATTCTAATAGATCTCTAGAGAATATTATAATATTTCTAATAGTATAGATTAATAAACAGAATATATATTCTATAAAGTTTATATAAGAATTATAGGTCTTTAATTATAAAAGTCTAAGAATAATTA